AAAACCCAAACCCAAACCCAAACCCAAACCCAAACCCAAACCCAAACCCAAACCCAAACCCAAACCCAAACCCAAACCCAAACCCAAACCCAAACCCAAACCCAAACCCAAACCCAAACCCAAACCCAAACCCAAACCCAAACCCAAACCCAAACCCAAACCCAAACCCAAACCCAAACCCAAACCCAAACCCAAACCCAAACCCAAACCCAAACCCAAACCCAAACCCAAACCCAAACCCAAACCCAAACCCAAACCCAAACCCAAACCCAAACCCAAACCCAAACCCAAACCCAAACCCAAACCCAAACCCAAACCCAAACCCAAACCCAAACCCAAACCCAAACCCAAACCCAAACCCAAACCCAAACCCAAACCCAAACCCAAACCCAAACCCAAACCCAAACCCAAACCCAAACCCAAACCCAAACCCAAACCCAAACCCAAACCCAAACCCAAACCCAAACCCAAACCCAAACCCAAACCCAAACCCAAACCCAAACCCAAACCCAAACCCAAACCCAAACCCAAACCAAAACCCAAACCCAAACCCAAACCCAAACCCAAACCCAAACCCAAACCCAAACCCAAACCCAAACCCAAACCCAAACCCAAGTGTATGTTAAGGGAGCTGCAACATGCAAGCAAGACTAAACGTTCTCTCTCAAATATTCCTCTCCATTTTGACAAGTATTACTTGACTCCTCTCGGAATCTTGGAATGGATAATATCAACTCACAACCGTTGTTTGACATTCCGTGGTTACATTATTATCCTCCGACAGAGTTATCACTTTAACACGGCAAAATGACATCAAACACTCATGAAATATTCGACTACCAAAATTAATTACAAATTTCAACTCGTTATTCGATTGAATAAAAATCGTTAATAACTTCTAATCCTCATTCAAAAAGAGGAATATGATGAACCAAAGTTATTACATTCGGTGGCAATCGAAATCCAACCTTCTGATCGGAATGATCATCAAATATAATTTCTCTTGGTTGAACATGAAGAAACAAATTCAATATCGAACACAAACAACGATTCAATCATCACGGCCGTTATGGTGGTTTTTGTTGTTGTTGCGAACACAATAAATTTTTGACTAAAATTTAATCATCTTTTACGGAAACTTGGAATGCAGCAAGATGCGTGGAATTATTCCAACATGGTTGAATTGATCAGCCAAAATATTGAACTGGGTCGCTACTTTTCATGAGCGCTTCAGAGTTTCCAAAACGAACTTTGAGTGCTTTCGTTCACATTCGGGAATTTTGGTGAAACGATGAATTTGGTAAGACTCAAAGAGGAATGAATTATTGGAATGAGGGTTGAAAGGTTTACCTTGTAAGAGTCAATGGTGAATTTGGAGTATTGTTTCTGTTTTCATACACTTTTGCCTGTACAATAACTTTAGAAAAAGAAGCTAAACACAATGTTTTCGCGTATTCACTGTTTTCACAACGTGACTAATGGTCTTGCTCGATGGCTGCTTGTTGTGTTAGTGGCTTGTTCGTGCATCTTCCTTTCTGACATGTCTCTGTTGTGGAATGAACAGTCAAGCGCAATTCTATTCATTCACGCTTTTCAATTTTCCACACAACTCACAAGAGTGAATACAGACAATTCTACCGAACGATTAGGATTGACAACCTTCTCGTATTCATCATCTTCAAACATCCTAAATTGGGACTTTATTTTTGACAAGACCCCAACCTTGCTGAAAACCAACAACAACAACAACAACAACACCTATTATTACTACTTTCAACACTACAGACTTATCCATCAACAGCTCATCAAAAACACCGAGTTCGGCAATTCATTGTTTTTACCGGAAGAGCTTTTTCAATCCACACGCACAACAAACTCGGATGGAATTGTCATTCCTTCTTCGAAATTGAAATTGGATTTGAATGGATTAACACAAGGTCAATTGAAAAGCGCTTCTGACCTTCTCGAAATACCTGAGTTGTATCAGAACAAGTATTACCTTCAGTGCTTCACACTACGATTGAACACGTCGCTATTTGAGCAACATTTGATTTCGAACGCTACCTATCGATCACAATTTAATGACAGTAACATTGAGAACATCACATCATCGATTTATGCTCTCTTTCAAAGTGCATCTAATCCTTCATACACATTTTCCACACTGGAATTGATAAGAAATGCTCTAGTGATTGACAACATCACAACGAGCTCCGATCCTGTGACAAATATTTGCTCCTCTGCATCTCCAGTGATTCCATTTGCTTGGAGTTCTTGGAAGTTGTGGTTTGTGTTGGTGTGTCTAATTGTCATGCTTGTTCTTTTAGTTTTGTCTGTATGGAGACCCTATGTGGTGATCATTTGCACAGTGATTATTTTCAATGTGGCTGGAATTCTTACATTGGATCAAACCATGATTGGATTTTCCAATAGTGGAACACTGGTCATTGCTCTCTTATTTCCAATTGTGAAACCCTTGACACAAAATACGTTGGTGAAAAAGTTTGCAAAATTACTTTTTGGAACACCCATTCCTTTCTAGAAAAAGAATCGATTTCTTCAACATGTTTCATACATGGTACCAACTTTAAGGATGTGTCTCGTATTTGCGGCTATTGGAGCGTTTGTCATTAACACTCCAGTGGTTGTGTTAGGATTACCGATTATTTTAGAATGGGCCAAACAAAATAAGGTGTCAGCATCAAAGTTTCTCCTGTCATTGTCATACATAACTTCTGGGAGTGGATTTTTGACATTAATTGGAAATTCGTCAAATATTGTTGTAAATGGAATCTATACTGCCGCTGGTTTTTCTCCCTTGACATTTTATGAATTTTTCTATCTTGGAAGCATTCTTTGTTTACTAACGATCATTTATTTGATGACATATGTCTTATGGATTCTACCTGATGAAGTAAGAGGTGCCAAAAACGCACAAAGAGCTTCTATACGTTTTGCTAATCGGTTTTCTTCAAAGAAACCTCCAATGAACGACAGACATGAACAGTTTGTTACTGTTATAAGGATGTCACATCTAGCTAATCAAGAAAAACACACAAAAGCTTTCAAATTGTACTCTAATTTGTTGGGAAAGAATGAATCTAATGTCATGAAAGCACTTGGTTTCGAAGGAGTGACGCTTGAAGAAATAATAAGACCATTAACTCAGACAGAAGAACAAGGTAAAGACAAGGAATCTTCATCACCAATGCCTAACCTTCAGTCAAACAACCACAGTAAGGACGATTCAACAACCTCAACAGCAGACTCTGTTGTCATTGAATATTCAAAAGAGATGGAATCCCCCAATTTGAATCTAAAGGAATCTTCAAAAGTTAGAATAAGAACACCAATTCCTAAAAATGTATTAATAGAAAAGGATGATGTTTTAATATTTAAGGGTTCTCCAAAGTCCATTCTCTTATTACAAGATATGGTATTTGAACAAGATACGTCTCATTATGAGGAAGAAAGCTTTGAAACAACTAAGGTGGTGACAAACCATGATCTTGCACGAACGGAATCAACTGCAAGCGGAGACTTTAATGTGATAACACGAGTTGTCATTGGAGAGAGATTAAACCCAGCACTCCAAATATCAGAAACGAATAAGAAGATGAAGACAAATGTCGAACAATTTGATTCCAAAACATTGGAATTCTTTGAAGTTGTTATTGGTCCTTCAAATCCATGTGTTGGAGAAGAATATCAAGAGTTTGAAAAGAGATATCGACTGACTGTATTGGCCATCAGAAATTTTTATTTTACATCTGAAAAGGATGAACACGATTTGAAGACATTGACAGTTAATATTGGAGACACTTTACTGGTGGTTGGAAAAACAAATTTTTATATTAATTTCCATGACTCCCATAGAGAATTCTACATGATTTCACGTTTCAACGAAGTAGCTCCTTCATTTGATGCATTCAAATCAAAACCTTTTCTATTGAAGGTTCCATTTTCAAAGAGAATTTTACATTTATGGTGGTGGGAGCATTGGATTTTTCTATTCTTTTTTGCAATGATTGGTTGTTCCATTGCGGGATTTCCAATGGTGCAATGCACTTTTATTTGTTTCTGCGTTGTGATTGCTTTTGGATTAATTTCTCCCTCTGCTGCAATTGATTCTGTGGATTGGGGTTTAGTTGCCTTGGTTGGTGCATCATTTGGAATTGGAACTGCCATCACTCAAAGTGGAGTTGGGCAAGGAATTACAGAAGTGTTGAAAAATTCACAGATTCCTTCAATTCTATTACCTACTTTTGTGACAGGAATAACCTTAATCATTGCAAACATCATCACTAGTAGTGCCTGTGCTGCCATATGTATTCCAATAGCGATTTCTGTTGCTCAAGCCTATCACTTAAACCCCAGATGTTTTGTGATGTGCGTGGCTTATGCCTGTCAAGCAGGTTTTGCATTTCCATTAGGTTTTAGTGGAAATTTACTTATCATGGGCATTGCAGGATATAGATTCTTGGATTTTGCAAAAACAGGGTTGCCCTTAACGATCATTTATTGGATTGTCATAAGCGTGTTAGCTCCTTTGATTTGGGGCTTAGAACGTCCAAATTTTTAATTGAAATGAGTAAGCCAGCAATAGATAGCATCACCCTTAGGTTCTTTTCACAACCTCTTGCACATGTGTGAAGGCCTCAATTTGTTTTTAAGGATTTCATTAATTAAGGAAGGCATGAAAAAGCCATTCATGATTCAATTTTATAATTTGGGTTAATCATACAACCGCAGCGTTGATTGAGCGAAAATATAAATTGTTTAAATCATCGCTTTAATCTTCGAGTTCAATACTTAAGGAGATGCTTGTTGTCTGTTTTTCCTTCTTTTCACTTTAACATAGATGCTGATGACCCAAATAATAATTGCAGCAATAAGGCCCAATAACAAGACTGATCCAGTTATACCCACAACAATGGCTATGATGGTATTGCTATCCATCGCGTTGGTTGTTTGGTGTGTATCGTCTTGTCGAGAAGCTTTTTTGTAATTGACATCAATGACACCAAATGTTGTCAGGTGATTGGTGAGACATGTAAAAGACAAGGCGCCTTCATTTCTAATGGTAGAAACTCCTTCTTGCTTCCAAGAATTATCTGTCACATCGTAGTACACGCATGTTAAATTGGGATTTAAAACATCCTGCAAATTTCTGCTTGGTATAATTAGTGAGATTGGATTGTTTAAACGTTGAACTGAAAATTCATCACCAGAAGTAGTATTTAGCACAGTAATCGATATTAAAGGACTCCTCAAAGCAGAATTTGTAAAATTTTGTTGTTGATAAATGGATGCCATTAATGATACAGAGGTGTCATTCAGATAGGGCAACAATTCTTTCGAAATTGAAGGAGGAAATATCACTTGCACTCTTGTATTGGTAGTTCCATCTCCAGAAGAGAGAGAAATATTTTTCGAATCCAAGTTGTTAACACTCCCAATTTGTTCAAAATACATGGAAGTTCCAGAAATCACCTTATTTGAACAAACCACTGTTTGGTTCGTTCCACCCAAGACTGGAATGCAAACTGGAATGGAGCACTCATTACCGGTCCATCCTTCTTGGCAAGTGCAATTGTTGAAGCCCATACAGGTACCATGTTTGCTGCAAACATTTGCATCACTGGAATTCGTTCCAAAACAAGTATAGAATTGACATTGACTGCCAAAATATCCGTTTGAGCATTGACAAGTATTGTTGGAGGAGCATACTCCATTTCCACTGCAAACATTGGTCATATTTTGAAGAATACCATAACAATATTCCAAACAAATAGTACCATCGGGGGACATGACGGTTCCTGTTGGGCAATAAGGTATTAATTTTCGAATCAAACTGTTGTAGTGATCAGAAAAGACAATTTCTCCATTCTTGTTAATAAATAAGGATTGTGGAGAATTGAGAAGTGCATTGGTTGCGTCAATAGACTGGTCTGGAGACAATCCTACTGATCCACGTTTACCTGCAATGGTTGTTATCATTCCATCCTTTGAAATTTTTCGAATCGTACAACAGTCAGCAATGAAAATTTCACCACTCACAGAAACTGCCACACTTTGAGGAAGATCTAACGTTGTCAGAGTGGCCAACACGTTGTTTTGATAGGTGACTCCACCTCCAGCCACAGTGGTAATTATTCCTGATGACACTTTTCGAATAGTGTTATGGCCATAATCTGCAATGTACATGTCTCCATTAGTGCTATCGAAAGCCATTTCATAAGGGGTATCAATACTTGCCAGGATGGCAGGAATTCCTTCTTCATTTCCAGTTGAGGTGTTTTTTCCATTTCCTGCCACTGTGCTCACGGTTTGATTTAAAAAACCAGTCACTGGTTGAAACGAAACTTTTCTAATTCTGAGGTTCAGTTTGTCCGCAATGTAGAGAGTGTTGTTTCGAAAGATGAGCTTTTCAGGGTTGCTCAGTTGAGTGTTTCTAAGAATGGAGCCATCTCCATTAAAACCTCCTATTCCACTTGATAAACCTCCAACGGTTGAAATAATCCCTTTCGAATCAATCATTCTCAAGACGTTATTTCCAGTGTCTGCAAAAAGCAACTCATTCGTGAAAGGCAGCCATGTCATTCCTCCTGGAAGGTTAATAGAAGCCATTAGGGCAGAGCCTCCATCTCCTGAATATCCTCTCAAACCATCACCTGCCACAGTGATGACATTTCCATTACTGATTTTTCGAATCTTGAAGCGTTCAGTCATATACAAATCACCATTAGGAGCCTCAACCACAAAGAAGGGCACATCGAGTTGTGTCGTCGAAACAGGTCCATCTGCTTTGGAAGTGGGTGAAAAAACCCCAGCTATGGTCGACAGTCGATACTTAATTGGAGCTGCCTGTATGAAAGAATGTTGCGAAACATGTGATGTGGAAACCATCCACAAGAAGAAGGATGCAACAACAAGAAGGAGTGGTAGCCTCCACGAGGAATTTGGAATGAACATTAGAATGGGTTGGCGTCTCATTTGGAGCTTTTTTTTTCGCAAATGAATGGTCGCTGTGTGAAAACGCAACTGAGCGCTAACGTGTGAGACGAATAAAAAAATGTTCAATAGACACTTCGAGTGAGAAAGAGGAAGAATTATTGGTCCTAATGAAACTCAAAGTGTGGACATGTCATGCGGTCGGCAGTTATAGGAGTAATTTTGGGCGGGTCCTCACAATATTGACCTCTCATTTTTCCATAGGTTGTCCCCACTTTATGATTTCTTTTTATAACATTCATCAAAGAATGATTGTTGAGCACAACGAGTTCACTCTTTCCATCTATCTCTGAATTCAACACAAGGTCCATCCTCCTTGCCAGGCAAAGCGAGCTCTGAACTACTTTGAAGCAACAAGAAGACAATGGCAACAATATTTAATTCTTGGCACATATTGAACTGAAACTAGTTTTCTCTCCATTAATCCAAACAAAATCACTTGCATTGGTAAATTCCAAATTCTTCCAATTCCACGGCAATGATGCTTCCACAGAGAATAAGGTCCATTTTCCCCAACCATTTCCATGAAGTGTGGCTGGATAGTTGTGATGAGTTTTAAATTTCAACCAAAAATCAGCATGTGTAGCTGCGACATCTTCTTCACGAGAAGGAGGATCATTCTTGTTGTGAACTTTGAATTCATGAGCTTGTACTTCTAAAAGTGACAAGAACAAATCTCCTCTGTAATCCAAAGTGAGATAATCTCTTGCTTGAGTCAACCAAACATAGGCAGTCATTCCTTGATCATCGAACAAATCTTCCTTAATATCTTGTGGTAACGCAAGAATTTTCTTGTAAAGATCCAACAGTGCGGATTGTCTTCCAATAAACGCTCCACTATTTAAATATCTAAACCTGTTTGGAGATGGTGGATATTGGCTTAAACAATACGGATCACCTCCCCATCGTTTCTTTGCACTTTCAACCACACCAAAAGGATGACAATTCATTTCTGCATTATAGACTGCAGAGTATCCTTGAAATTTGTTCAAAAATTTAGAAACAATTGCCTCTGCATGTTGCAAAACAACCACATCGTAGGCATCCAAGAACATCAAAATGGCATTTGGATTTTTCACTTTTTCAATTTCTTCAAAAGTAATGTCAATTTTTTGAGAGAGAGTGAATTGTTCCATTCCGAATCCCAAAATATTGAAATTAATTCCATTTCTTAAAGCGGAATAGATTAATTTGCAAGCATTTTCGTTGATTTTTGTTGCAATGGTGATGGCATAAAATTCTTCACCAAGAACATTCATTGGAACCATTCGAGTGTTGGATTTTGAATTCGACGGAATCAATCGTTGTGACAACTCGAAGGATTCTTTTGAAGAAGTTTGTTTTGTATTGGAATTTTGATCATTGCTGTCATCCTTTATATTTTGTTGTTCTTGTTCCAATAATGATTTTTCGTTTTTCAGGAAGGTGATGGTATCGTCTGATGGAAAATCTCCATGAACATCCATGTCGTTGTCACTAATCAAGGACAAATCCTGGTGAGCATCGGAGGAAGATCGTCGTTTCATCACAAATACAAAAAAAGCAGCGTTTGCCAAGAAGAACAACACACCCACCAGTATGAGTGTTTTTCGTGATGATGTCTGCGTCCTGGATTTGAGTAGAGACATTTTTTCTAGTTGACATTTGGCAGAGGCATTCTTTTTCAGGTTTTAAATCTCTGTGAATAATTGCATTTGGTGAAAGAGTGTGTAAATATAAAATTCCACTTGCAATATCGAGAAGATATTTGACTTTTTGTAAAAGTGTACATTTGCGCTTTCCTGTTCTGAATTCAGAAATTAAGGCTTCTAAACTTCCTCCATCTAAATACTCAACAACAAGTAATCGTTTTGTTTCAGATATCGAAACTCCAAAAAACGACACAATGTTTGGATGTTTCAATGTGCTTAATAACATTGCTTCTTTGGCAAAACTATCTTCCTCAATATCATCGGAAGAAACATCGATGGATTTCACTGTCCAGCAATTACTGTTCAAGCTCACTTTCCTTAGATTTCAATCGTTTTGAAGTTGCACTAAGCAATGACCACAACGACAAGTGACATTGTGACACATGCAGCAACTAAAAAAATTCAGATCGAAATTAAATAGATCAAAGGGATTACATAATGGCATACAAACATATTTTGTTGAATTGACCAAACAGAAGGATCTGTGGAAATAATTCCAAAACTAGTAGACTGTTCCACATTCATTTCTCCCTCTTCACAAGCATTTTCAATGATTCTGATTCTATTACTTCCTTGTGGGGAAACACTCACTCCTTGAGGGGATTCAATCAATGTGTGAGAAGCAAGTAATGGATTGAAAAAATCAAAATTAAAACCTTTGGTATCTTAGGCCGTGAGTGGGCGAGCCCTAAAAAATTCATCAAGCTTTATTTGGAGTTCGCCAAACTTCACAACGAAAAAAGCCGCCCAAAAAATGTCTTCACTCGCCTTAAGAGTCAAACAATCGCCATCATGGAAGTGGTGGTACCTCCTCATGGTCCTTGGGTTATTCTTGATGTTCGTGAGCTTTGTGGTTATTTTGTTCGTAAAGATCAAATTCATCAAATCATCCATACGAAATCCATCTTTGGATGAAAAGCATCATATAGACCAACCATCCGCTCGTGCACATCCTCCCGAAAGTTCTTCTTTGTTAAGGTCTATGGAATCATCGCCAAGAGCCTCCAATGTATTGATTCCGTCGAATTCAAAATCCAACACTCGAATGGTTCCAATGAATGTTCTTGGTGAAGAATTTTATGCCATCACCATTGCAACAAAAATCAACGAAAATGCTTGCAAATTAATCTATTCCGCTTTAAGAAATGGAATTAATTTCAATATTTTGGGATTCGGAATGGAACAATTCACTCTCTCTCAAAAAATTGACATCATTTCTAAGGCAGTGAAAAAAGTGAAAAATCCAAATGCCATTTTGATGTTCTTGGATGCCTACGATGTGGTTGTTTTGCAACATGCAGAGGCAATTGTTTCTAAATTTGTAAATAACTTTTCCAATTATTCTGTTGTTTTCAACGCAGAAATGAATTGTCATCCATTTGGTGTGGTTGAAAGTGCAAAGCAACGATGGGGAGGTGATATATTTTGCCAAAAAGAGTTTCCACCGTCTCCAACTAGATTTAAATTTCTAAACTCTGGTGGCTTTATAGGTCGTCAATCAGCATTGATGGATCTTTACAAGAAAATTCTCGCTTTACCACAAGATATTAAGGAAGATTTGTTCGATGATCAAGGAATGACTGCCTATGTTTGGTTGACTCAAGCAAGAGATTATCTCACTTTGGATTACAGAGGAGATTTGTTCTTGTCACTTCTTGAAGTCCAAACGAATGAGATACTGATCCGGGAAAACAATAATCCTCCTTCTCGTGAAGAAGATGCCGCAGCTACACATGCTGATTTTTGGTTGGAATTTCAGGCTCACAATAATTATCCAGCGGTTCTTCATGGAAATGGTTGGGGTAAATGGTATGTTCTAATAATTGTTCTACGTTCCTTACCGTAATATCTATCACTTAGGATTTTGCTTTACATCCCATTTCCATGGAATTGGAAAAATTTACAATTTACAAAGGCCACTGATTTTGTGTACGTGAATGGAGAGAAAAAAGATTACAACTCAGTCTGCCAAAATCTTATAGAAGAATGACAATCGTCAAATCTATGTATTCAATTTCACAAATTATAGTAATCTGTTATTGATTACTTGTATCCATAAACTTTAAAAGTGCCCAAGCCGACATAGGTACCTTGATCATTGTTCATGGAGATTCTAATGAATTTTGCAGGAACTCTTGAAATGGCCACAATACTGGTGACAGGTTCTACTTGATTTAAAGTTTTCGCATTGATCCATGTTGAACCATCAATAGAAAACTCAACTTGAGCAGTTTGCAAATATTTAGCACCCCATTCTGGTAATAGAATCGGTCTAATCTTGAGAGTATAAATAGTATAAATATCATCCAAGTTGGCTTGTATCCAAGCATTCGTGTCTTTGCCTGTTCCAGCCCCACCGTTTTTTGTTTCTTCTTGAAGAATTTCAAAAGTATTTTGACAATGAGCATACATGCTGCTCATAGCAAGAGTATACTTGAGAGGATTTGGTTGCTTGACAGGTTGTGAATACGGATTGTAATATGGTTTAAATGTATAGAATTTAAGCAGTCCTAATGAAACATAACCAGTAGCTTCTCGTCTAATTCTCCAATTTGAAGAGAAAATAGGACTGCGAAGAGTAATGATAGGTTGACTCTCAGTGATGTCAACTAAGCTCATACATGTTCTCCATTCAATACCATTTTCAGAAAACTCCAACAAGGTGTTGTTTGTGTAGGCACTTCCCCAACCAGATTGTGTTAATGGCTTCAATCTGATATGCGTGAAATACTGAGGACATTTGAATGTTGCTTCGATATATGCATTACTTTCAGAGCATGTGCCAGCCCCTATATCTAACGTGCTTTCATCCCACAATGCAACCATTGAGTTTTCGCATGATCCATATTTTGAACTCATTATCAATGTATAAGGAAGGCAAAGTAAATCCATAGTTTTTGCAGAATCAATTTCGTCACTCACTTGTTCTTCCATTGGTTCCTCTTCATCGTATTGACAAATTCCAAAGAATTTCCACACACCAATACCAATATAACCTGTTCCACTTTTCCTAACTCTAAATGAACTCGTACATATAACATTACTCCACGAAAGGTCCATCGTGTTCAATCCATTTTGGAATGTTATAGTTGTCAATGGATTCCATTGCCCATCCATTTCATACTCCACCACACAACCTTCTAAATATGTAGTTCCCCATAAAGGTCTCATGCATGGACCAAGAATCATTCGGGAAACCTTGACCTTCTCCTTGAATATGACTTGTACAAAAGGTTGGTCTTCCGAATTTGTGCAAACTCCTGAAATACCAGCTGTTTCTCCTTCCTCACTCAAACAATCAATGGAATTTCCAGTCGTTGAATATCTGGAGCTCATTTTCAAGTTGTATGGAATGATCCATCTGGGCTGTGAGAGCTCACCAAGACTCTTTGTTGATAAAGGCTTTTCATGAGCCGGAAGTGATGGGACAAGATGAACTCGAGGTTTTGTGAGGCTCACAGGAAGTGGAGGCAATTTGGTTGGGTTTGTAACCACTCCTCCGGATGTTGTTGCACCAGGAATGGACATGGTTGATGGATTGTTGCCCATCATCATCACGTTAGTAGGTGTTGGAATGTTATTGAAATTATTAAAATTATTATTATTCATTGTTGATCCGGTCGATGTCGAACTGAATGGTTGGGTATTACTCATCATCATCATGTTGTTATTATTGGTAGTACCATAATTTCCATACATGATATTGGAATTGACATTAGTCATGGATGATGATGATGGGTTATTACTCATCATCATGTAGGAGGAATTGGTCATGTTGGGATTATTGTTGTACATCATCATATTGTTGTGTTGTTGTGGAATGGATCCATAAAAACTGTTATTCATCATTCCCTGTTGTGTGGATGTTGTTCCTGGATATACAGTATTGGTTCCTTGTTGTGGTGGTTGAGTGGAATAGCCAATTGGTTTGTTGTACATTTTTTGTTGATAAAATGTTAATCACCACGACAATAATTCTTTAATTTATTGTGAAAAACATTGTATCCGATTACACATCGAATTGTAATACTATTTTCATTTGTGCCTTTCGCAAAATGTTTGAAATCTAGAGGAAGATGTGCTGAAATACAGCATTCAGTTAGAGAAAGGTATCTTGAGGATTCGTTTCAAGGAATGATGATATCACCGCATGAAATCTGACACGAGGTGTCACATCAAGCTCGATTACATGACAGAACATCTCTGATGGCTATCCCTTCGTTTCCCTCTCCTTATGTCTGTAGTAAGTGTTTCCTCATCTTTTCTGAGGGTTTCCTCAATAATTGGAATAGTATTTACATAGCTCTTCATTTTAGTTTTATACATCATTGTTGCCACCTTTTCAAATGAGGATTGAATGTTATCAAGTGTGTCCGTATTAACAATCACTACATCTCTGATAAAATAGGAGTACGTATTCTTAACTTCTAAGAGATCAGCAAGTGTGAGTTCTTGAATGGTCGTATTGTTAGTAATGTTACCCATAATTATTGCTGCAGGTGGATCCATAGTCGTTCGAGCATCATCCTTTTTACGAAAGTCAATACATTTTTCAATATACTTGATCATTGCATCTAGTGATTTTCTACTCGACATGTAACAAACAAATAGAATACCGTCTGTCCCTCTGAATTTATATTCAGCACTGTTTGGAGCAAGAGAATAATCCATAAAACTACAAGATTCAATTCTCACTTTGAATTCCTCTCCATCGAATCGAATGCTCTTACATTCGAAATCAGATTTGCCTAATTTGTGTCATGTGTGACAAAACAATTGGAATAGGTTCTCAATATTGTTAAAATTGGTACCACTTACTTTCATAGAACAAAGCTCTAATAGTTTGTATGACCAGACTGTTAACTCCAGCCACTAAAAGGTAAAAGTAATTGGTGGGATCAAATGAATTTTTCTTTTTTGGAATTTGTACCTTGATTTGTTGCACTTGTGTGTTCACATATTGATATATTCTCTTATAGGAAAGTTCTGGTGGTTTTCTTAACCTTAGATCTGTCATAAAATCATCCATCTTGTCAATAGACGCAAAATTTGGATAAACATAATGCCAAAAAAGAATATACTCCCAAAATCCCTCGACTAAACCATTTTTCATGTCATTCTTAATTTCTGGATCATAGTTGAGTGCACAGTAAAACGTTTTACAGCTTAACATCATACTGAAATAATCTCGTGTCAACTCTTTAGGAAACATGGTATATTTAGGATAATATTCAAACCGTTTCAAAGTGGATGAATGTCTTCCACTTCGTGATGAAATGTTACTGCTCGATTCAAACATGAATCCAGAAGGTGACAAACTAGAGGTTGAAAAATTGAATGCAGAGCCAACAATAATTCCAACGGGCGATGAAGATTTTTCCGTCGGATAATCACAACAATTGATGGTGGATAAAACAAAACTTGCAATGTAAAGCAAAATTTCAGGAGGGCAATCAGCCAATGTTAACTTCCGAGATGATGTTTGTGATATATTCATATCATTCATTATGGAAGACCTGTTGTTGTTTCTGAAAGAATTCTTTTTCAAAAACGATGAAATGTGATCATCGACCATATTCAAAAAAACGTTTTTGTAGTTTCTTGCAGTGTGAGTTGTACTGGACGTTGTAGTACTTCTTGGTGATGTCGTTGTTGTTGTTGTGGAAGGAATCACACCGCCATCCAAGCCATCATCACCCTCAACTAACGTTGTTCCTCTGTTTGAAGAAAACATGGCGTCATGATGCGGGGAGGTGAGGTGACAGCTGGCTTGGACTTCGGTCATTTTTTGCTTGGGTGATTTGCCTCTTACGGAAATGCTTTTTTTAGATTGCTGAGAAGAAGAGGGAAAATCATGGTAATTGGTGTGATGTTGAGGAGACTGGTCACATTGGTAGTGGCTGTTGGTAGGTGAGTGAGAGTCAAATTCTGAGCATGATCTTGAGGATGAGAAGTGTTCTCGACTCAAGCTGTTTCCAAAACTTTTAGAACTTGAAAAACTGCTCACATACGAGGACGAATTTCCACAAGTGCTCACGTTTGTTGATTCGCAGCTTAAGGCGACATTGGACGAACGGGACATGCTTTGAGAACGAGCATGTTTCTTCCATCTTGAACGAGTGGGAGGTTCTTGAGTTGGGCTTTCGGTCGAATTGATTAACACTGCTCTCTTCTTAACAGCAAGTAATCGTGACAGAATTCCTGTAGAGGATTTGTGAACCGTTGTGGTGCTCATCTCAGTCATTGGAGGTGTCACGACAATCGAAGGCTCAGCGTTTGTTGTTGAAGAGGAGTGGTTAAAACTCGCCATGTTCGAATTATTGGAGCCAGTATCCTCAATCTTGATGCTCAACGCAATGGTCTTTGAATTGGATCGACTTCTTGTGGTATCTTGTGTAGTGCTGGTACAGACATTTAGAGGTGCTGTTGTTGTATTAAGATTGCAAACAGAATTAAAGGTAATAACCACCTCTTCAGAGGAGGAAGTTTCAGAGATGGGAGAAGTAGTACTTGAGGGCTGAGGCATCAATGTGTTGCCAGAGTTATCACGTCTCTCCAGAACTCCAGAATCAGAATTTACAGCCTTCATATCCATTATCGTATGAATATGCATCTCCTTATTGATGGATGCAGTGCAACCATAATTAGGAGTAGTATCATCCTCTTCGCCTCCACTCGAACAAGTCAACACTAACGAGCCTCTTTTCTTATCGGGCATAAGTGTTCGGTTGTTTTTCTTGTTTGAATGAATAGATAAGGATTGTTGAGCCAACGCGTCTGTTTGATCTCTCGCTATTTGTAATCGTGGTGGAACTGCTGTGGATGATGAATATTGTTGAAGATGACGCTTGTTGTTGGATTCAAGGATAGAATTGATGCAAGACGAGGTTTTCCCTGATGTTGCAACAGTTGATGTCTGGTTGATGTTCGTCGATGGGACCACTCTACTGACTGTACTACTTTTAATCGATGAAGATGGTGGTGATGCCAGCAAAGAAGAAGAAATCGCAGCTGGTTGCTTTCCTCTAATGATGGACGGTTGCTTATGATGACGCTCTTGAATAGTGGGAGCACCTTTTCCAGAAAACGTTTGGGTTTGTTCAAGCAATTTTGTATTTGAAATTCCTCGTTTTCGTCTCCTTTTGTTTGGTCGTGAGGAGGAGTTGTGGCCACTGCTGTTGTTGCTACTGCTGTTGTTATTATAATTATTATTATTGTTATTATTACTTTGAATGATATGAATAGATTGGCTTGTTGAGGTGATGGCGGGCGTTGTAGAAGAAGAGTGCAGTAAGGATGAGGATGTAGTAATCATTCATGAAAGTAGGAAGTACTGCTGAACTTTTCAATAATGACTGTTTTGATCCAAACTGAAGAGTTTCGTCAATAAAATTAAAGTTCTCTTTGTGTGTCGTCGGTGATCGTGTCTTCTGTGTTGCTTTTGATTGAAATCTTTGAAAATTATTTTGACAAGCTTTGATGTAAGGTGATGATGTGTTGAGTCTTTTTTCCATTAAGAAGAGATATTGACGTATCTTGCTGATAGTCATAGCTCACATTTTTGTGGTCAATAACCATCATGCGAGTTATGGTGACAGTTTGACATGAAGTAAGTGAGAAATCTCTCATCTCGGTATGGTGTTTTGTCACAAATTAATAATCTGCATCCAGAATAATCTCTCAGTACTTAGAGAGACACAAGTACATCGTTCCACAATGTTCAATCTATAGTTAATGCTATAACAAAAGAAGACGGCAATTTGCGAAAAAGGAAAATTGTAAACGGAACAACAATTCTACCGATCCAGCAGCAAAAAAGTGATGGCTCGCATTAACATGGCATTAAATTCCATAGCATCAGGGCCTATCGAAGATAAAAGTACAGTTAATTTCACTCTCCACTCAAACAGCTAGTTATTGATCTCATCTAAGTTTCCAAAAAAGTTTTCAAACCGAAATTTCCTAATAATTAAAATTTTCCATGAAAGGTCCTGTCTGTCAATTCCCAAATCCAACCATGGTCTTTCTTTAAAAAAACATCATCAAGAAACAATGTTTGACTGGCTTCGTTTTGTGTGGCTTCTCATCGTCGTCTTTCTCTTCAAATCCAAACAACATGTCTTGTTGACTCGGGATGATCTGTTGAAACAAGAACACTTCCCTATCAGTAAAAAGAAGAAGGATGATGATGCTCATCAACAACAACACCCACATCATCACGCTCCCGATGTTTATCACAGCATCATACCGACCTGTAAACACATTACTCACTATTTCGTAACACCTTTTGATGTCGATTGGAATTTACATTTGAATAATGCTCAATATCTTGTAGCGCTTGAATTTGCAAGAATAAGCTACGGATTCACCTCTCACATGTGGACACGAGCAAGAAACGTTTTGAAAGCTAATCCTCTCCTGATGGGAATTTCATTTCAATTTAGAAGAGATGTAGGCATGTTCCGATGGCTTCGTGTCGAGTCTCAAGTTCTTTCATATGATGATCGTTTCATGTACATGGAACAGACGTGTTTTGTTGGAGGCAAATTTGTAGGAAGAGGTTTGGCGAGGATTGGTTTTGCAGGAAAGAAGGGATTATTGAATAGTTCTGAATGGGCATCAGTGGTATTGTGTGGAGAAGGCGTAAAACAACAATCCAATGCTTCTTCATCATCATTGAATCGGACACATTCGGAAGAACGTTCCTCTCTTGTTGAATCTCTCTCATTGAATCATCAATTGGAGAAGATTAAGAGTTATATTGAGAAGGAGAATCAATCCATGCACACCAATGATGACCATGCCCAAGCAAATATGGCTCGAGAAGCTTTGAAGAGATTGGAAAGAGTACGAACATTTGCGGAGCACGATTCCACCCTGAAGGAATGAATTTGAATTTTTCAACAATAAATATTTTGATAGTAAGGTCAGACTTGCGTCAGTTTGAAGAAGAATTTAATGAAAAATTCAAAATTTTCCATTAACTGGTCTTGTCATCTCTGCCACTATACACAATGAAAAAATATCACTATGAAATCCCTTTTAATATTACCAAAAAGCTTTTAACGAGAGAAGTGTCTATTGATTCCTGTTTCTATAGACTTCACTGTAGTAGTGGAACACTTGTCTCCGAAGATTTTGTGCGAATTCCTGAGAGTGGAATCCGAATGGCGGGAGGAAAATCTTGATGCCCTCAGAGTGTCTTCTCTCTGTTAAGAGATTTGAGAACAGTACTTGCTTCTCCACAATCAATTCATCGTCAATAATATTGATATTGATTGACATTCAAACATCACCGCTGAATGGCATTCGCTCTTCCATGAAAGATTTCTTTAGATGCAATGAGAATGACGATCTTTTCAACAAGCTAAAAAGAAAGATGAGAGAAACAAAGAGCAAATCCTTCTCGTTGGATTTTAAAAAAGTATTCACTTCCAACAACGAACAAACAATTTACATTCTCCCGATGTTCGAATGAAACCTCATTGAACAACATTTCACCAAAGACGACATGGAAATGTATTCGTAAAATAGGAACATCTGGATCCGCAGAAGGATGCTTTTCATTCCCAAGAGGCATGACTTTTGACAAGTGTCTAAATCGATTAATTTTAAGTGATCACATCAACAACAGAATTCAAGTAATTCATTTGCATGATGAAACAGTGGTTAAAACTTTCGGTGGTAAAGGAAGAGGAGAATCCCAACTCATGTTACCCGATGGTCTCTGCTTGAACAAACTCACAGGAGAACTCTTTCTTTGCGCAAAGAGACACTCGCAATCAAAGAAAGCAAGTTTTCATTTGAACACCTTAATCAAGATGTCGCAACAAAAATAACAATATTAAACAAAAAAGGACGTCAAATCAAATTTATGACTTAGTTTATGATATGTCACTCAATAAGAGCGACGACATCAAACTTAATAAAAACACTCTACTTGGTCTTCTTTTCGTTTGGAATGAGTGTTCCTTTGGCCAAATACATACTCGCAGAATATTTAGAAGCTTTCAAATAAGCCCAAGCTTTTTCCAAAATAATATAATAATTCACTAACACTCCAAATATTCCCATTCCAATTTTAGTTGGTGTTACAGGATTTGTTTCATTGTAAGCACTTTTTCCAATATAAACTAAATGTGTGACAGCTGTCATGCATGAAAAAATAAAATAAAGAAAGAAAATACATGCTTCCACCCAGTTCAGTGTAATATTCAATGGCTTTTTTTTCCAAGAACAATACACTTCCCTCACATATCTAAAAGTAAATGACAAGATCAAAACTGCCATAAAAGTATACGAAATAATTTCAATAGATTTGGTAAAAGCAGGATGAGTATTTTCCTTATCCAGCTCGAATAAATTATTTGCCTGCAAAAACGTGATACTGAAAAATTTACACACAGTCAGCAAGTAGGATTTCAGTCTCCGATTTCCAAAAGTGGCTCTCCTGAAAATCATCCAATACTTCTTCAGTTTCTCTCGTTTTGAGAGGATGGTTCTGGTGGTGGGTGTGGAATCGGGAAGAGTCGATTTCGTATCTTCGGCAATTTCCAAATCTTGCGGAACGGGTTGAATGTAGTAGGAAGATTCTACGAGTTGAATGTTGTTGGAATCATCGGATGGGAGAGCGGATGCTTCGAGAAGAGGAATGTTGTTGCTCATTGGTTATTATTGTTGTGGAGTTTGAATGTGTGTTTCAAAATAATTGAAATTCGAAACAAATATCGGAGTGAAAGTTGTTCGTGTGGTCACACGACTTTATACAGTAAAACGGTGTTGAATTATTATTATAATTTAAAAAATTGACGAGGTGAGAGATTTAAACATTCACTAGGAAGAAGTAATAATTGAATGATGCATCACCCGAAACAACTTGGAGTGTGACAATTTCGAGTTTCTATTTTTTCTTTGGTTTGACACATCAATCGTCTTTACAAATCCGACAAGCAAAATGAAGGTCACACCATGAAAAACTTCGTTCAACTGTTGGTGGTTTATTTGTTCCGAATGTTTCTACACCTAACAGCCAAGAACTGACTTGGCATTAGCGAATTTCTTATCACGATCTGCTTTGCCGTTGTAACCTCCGTTGATTTTCTTTGTGATCTTGTCAAAGCCATCTTGAGAGCAGTCAGCATATTTATTAAGGGAACGAGTATTCCAGAACCAGACAGCTGTTCTAAAACCAACGTCTGTGTCAGCTGCTCTTGTTGGATTATTTTCTCTGTGCATGATGAAAAGAGTTTTTGAAAAAAAGTAGTTGGTTGTTTTTGTAACCCTGCCATAGTCATATCCGTTAGTACTTACAAATCGACACCGATGGCTTGACCAGCAGCTCTGTAATTTGCTCTTCCAGTAATTTGAATGGGACCTCTACCCTTATACTATTTTTGAATGAACATTTGAATCATTCAAATTGACAAAATACTCGTACTTACTCTTGGTCCATCTCCTGGATAAATGTTTCCGAGATCCTTTCTTCCTTCATATTGCTCTCCCGATCCAAATTCAGTCCACCAAGCCAAATCTCCCGATTCATGGGCAAGTTGGGCCAAGAAGGCACTAATTCTACAACAACTATTAATACTTCCATCATTCATGGCACGATTCAAATAAGGAAGATAACCCTCAGCCTTGGTTCTTCTCAATTTTGGCATCACAGACATCAACTGATCGGTCGATAGGGCATTCACAACCACCATCATCATCATCATGCCTACTAAGGCGAGGCAGACGAAACGGGCAAATGAGGCTTTCATTTTTTTTCTAAGGGTTTACAACGCGTTCGTTAATTTACATTTATGGGTTGTTCTTGGTTCACATACGAAAAAGTTGCTTGGTGATGATCGAATCGTTTGCTTTTGGCTAAAAGTTTGGAAAATACAAATCCCAACTCACCATCTCGTCTCACAAGTTTGGTAATGACAGAAGGAAATACAAATAAATCATGTGAAAGATAACATGGTCGATGTGAATTTGATGATTTTCGAGAGGTGTCTTTTGGGAATGTTTCACTGCTACTGGCTGAACATTTTTCATGATGGTGAGTTTCAAAATTCTGCCTTTCTGCATTGGAAGAACATTTGGTGGTCGTGTCATCATTCTTCTCTTGATCTTTCGTTTCGAGAGATGACTTCAATTCAACAGCAGGATCTAACTGACAATTCACACAACTAATTTCTTGAATGGATTTTTCATACTGCCTCATATCCTTAAATAACAAAGCAAGGAGTAAATGAGCCCATGTGGAATAGGTGACATGATTCATGACTTGGATCAAGTCTTCAAGAGCAGCATGATAATTTCCCATATCGTGATGAAAACTTCCTCTCACCAAATATCCCAAATATTGAGCATGTGACGAGTTTTCACAGCATGATTCAATAAATATTGTAAAATCTTCTAAAATATTTCCTTCAAGTTCTTTTTCTTTAGAATCAATGTAACACTCCCCTCTGTAGAGATGAGCTTCTTTCAAGTCTCTTTCGATAGCTTTTGTGAAACAGAAAATGGCCTTTTCATAGTTGCCACTCTCCATATATCTTTTTCCCATATTTAGGAAAGGTCGGGAATCATGTAAAGGTAAAATATGGACTATGATTTCGCATCGGTGAACAATAACTTCATCAAACTGATTCGTTGTTTCGTGTGGTAGTTGTGAAATTTTTCGTAGATGAGAGGGACTTGATAGTTCATGCCGTTGACGTTGAAGGATTGTTCGAAACATCTTCTCAACGCCATGATCATTCACGACCAGCAACTGATGTTTCCATTCATCATCATAATATGAAATGTTGATATCAAAATAAGGACAAGGAATAACAGGTCTGACACTGTCTATAATTTCCTTTTTTAGAACTAAAAACACATCACTGCATGAAGCCTCCTCATCCTTTCTCACTCTCTCTTCTGTTGTGGTTGATACTGTTGGTTGTTCTTTACTTTCCACAGATGTCCTAATCCACACATTACCATTTGTATCTAAAAAAGGTTCGACATTCAACTCGGCATAAAACACATGTTCTTTCGGAATGGCTGTCTGGTCGTGACATTGCAACAGACAAGTACGTGGTCTTTTTAGATCTTGCGGAGAAGAAGAAGAAGAGGATTCCAACAATATTGAATCTGTTGTTTTAAAGTCTTTTGAATTCTTTTTGTTCTTCAATGTGGTGAAGACGGATGATGTTGTGTGGTTGATGACTTGTTCGATGGATGCTCCGTCTTGACGAATCAACCAAATTATACAAACAATGAGGATCAAAACGCCAATTAGATCAAGAGACATTTTTAATATATTAATGTTGAAAAAGAGCTGACAAGTGACAGTTTCCAAATACGTACCTCAACTAGGTATCAAGTACTCTTTATATAAATCATCACAATAGTAACGTTATTCATTCTTCACAATTTCCTTAGCCATTTCTCTAAATATTTTCTTAATATAATCGCTGTGAGCATTGGACTTGAGAGCCATCAACATCATGACGGATTGACTTTGGAAAAATCCAGATCCATTATTTGAGCTATTCGATACTGTCGAGAGAGTAGGACTGTCCAACCCAATGCTCGACAAACTGTCACTTCGAATTAATGGATTCACATTCACGTTGCCGACAGGTTCGGAAATTTTTGGATCTTTTGGAAGGGATTTGATTATTTCACTCGTAGAAAGCAATACATGCAAAATTGGAACTGGTTTAAATAAAGCATGTGGAATACGGTTTGATGTCACATCGATGGTTGATGCTGTTGTTCGAGAAAGTTTTTGGAATGTTTGAATTTCCTTAATAGGTTTTGTAATCTTCTTTTTCTTTTCATAGTTGAACATGTAGTGATGTGGAATTTGATGAGTGTGAATGGTTGTGTTGGAATTTGTCTTGATCAAACTATTTTGATGATGGTGATGATGCTGTGGTTTGTTATGTCCATGTTGTGGAATGTTGGAGTCATTGAATGAGAAAAAGTCATTGAAATAAGTTTCAATGGCTGAAATTTCGCCCAAAAAAGTTCCAATATAGGGAATGCAAGAAATTGCGCTCTCACTTGATTGAAGTTTCTTCTCAATTTCTGAAATGATGTGACATTTGAGATTGAAAAATTTCTTGTCGAATGAAAATAACTCGTTGGCTCCTTTCAAAAATTGGTAATACGGAAATGATGGTAAATTAAACGTCATGACGTCCTGTTGATCATTTTCAAACGTTGACAATTGATCCCAAGCTTTGCTCAACTTTACAATTGATGTACTATGAAAGGCACTCAAAATACTCATTGAACTTTGATAGTTTTGCAAGCACATGACAAAGAGCATGACTTGAACGAAGAAAGCCATTGTTTTGACTCGAGATTGCATGTCTCTTTGTTTCAATATCATGTAGCAAATCCAAAAGGAGAGCCAATTAAATCTTTCAATCATGTGATTCAAATTATAAGGGTTTTGTGGAGAGTTAGTATTTGATGTTGAAGAAATTTTGGAAATGGTTGCAAAAAAGTCATGAGTGTTGCATGCCTCGAAGCAATACACAAATTCATAATTGGTCAATTGTTTGGCAATTTCAAGAGGAGGCCATAATGAGATAAACTCGAAATATAAATCAGCACTTGGCATGCTATCTAATTCACTACGTTCAGGATAAATAATTTTCAAGAATGAGAGTACGAATTGTTGAATGCGTTGTGACGAATCAGAGTCAATGTTGTCAAATGTTGTTTCAAGAAGAGTATTCAGCATGGTTTCATCAAGCTTGTCTTTGAAGAGTTCAGGAATTTGAATTTGTGATAAATCGAATTGAGACATGATGGAACAAGACAGATTGTGAAACATTTCAGAGAGATCGACATCTTCTTCTTCCTCACCATCCTCTTCCTCCTCTACAATTTCCTCCACTGGAATTAGATCAGCATCTTGTTGCTCATTTGGAGATTTTTCTTCTTCATTTTCCTCTATATTATCATTCAATCCGAGTTCTTCTTTTTTCATTTCAACGTATTCGCTCCATCCAGACATGGAAAAGGGAAATTCTTTTTGTGAATGTTTCAGCATTTCACGAATAGAAGAAATACAATCTTTGAATGGTGTCAATTTGTCTTGTGATTCTTCCGATAACAGTTGGAGATTCTGCAATAGATCAATAACTTGTTGAAGAGCGTTTGAAACAAATTGATTGGTCAAAAAATCTAAACGATCAGAGTAATACTGAATCCAATATTTCAGACAGTAGAGAATTCTCTCCATAATCATCTCATTGAAAATGTGTAATTCCCTCTTCTCATGGATATTCAAGTAATTCATCCATAGAATTCCAATTAAATGTTCAGCTAATAGCAAGTGACAATTTTTCTGATCATTGGAGTATGGGTAATGTTCTGAAAGTTGTTTAAACAGTGAAGGATAACATGCAAAGAATACTTCAGTCATTTCTTGTGTCAAGTCGGGGTTAATTCTCACCAAGTCATCATGCCATACGTTCAAATGGTTATAAATTTTTGGAGGAATGTTCGACAACCTTAAATAGGGAAATATTATCTTCTCGATCCATTTGTGAAATGAAATTCCACTGAGCGAATCCAATTGCAGCCACAACTTGTTCGAATCGATCGATTTTGTAGAATCGGAATTGAAACTGGCAGCTTGTATCGAGCTACTATTTGTTTTAGATATGGTCAATTTTCCTTTTATATCCATTGTGGCTAGTTCAATTGTTTTCACATCACTTCCTATCGTTTCGGAAAAGGATGATGAAGATGAGGATTCCAAACTGGCATTGGGAGAATTTCCAATATTATTATTATTACTGCTTGCTTCATCTTCTCGACAAGAGGATGACAACTCGATCGTCACAATAAATTGTTCAATCAAAGATGAAATTTCCATGTGGTCCTTCAAATCAAGATCGACTCGATTTGCAGATAAATGATGACCATGATTCGGCTCTTCAGTGACTCCATGAAACGACAAGTACGCTTGAAAATGTTTCAAAAAGTTTCGACAACTCTCCGAACAATTATTAAAACCATCGACACGATAATGAAATTCTGAATTGATGAGCATTGGAGGTGTGTTCTTTTCACTCGTTGTTCTTGTTGTCGATGTGTCCAATTTTTCTTCTTCTTCTTGTGGTGGTAGTGATGATGATGAAAAATTCTCGGATGGCATTTGTTGTTCTTCTCTTGCTTCTTCGGATACTAAAGAATGATGATTTGTTTTCACACTTTCGACATGAGCACTGCTGGCCATCATTCCAAAATAATCCGAAAGATGAAATGGGGAAGAGGAGGATGAGAATTCGACGGCTGGATCCATGAATTGGTGTTGTTCTTGTTGTTGTGATTCGATGGTGGCCATACGGTGGGTGAAAGTGAGTATTGAGAAGAACAAATAGGAAGTTTCGAGTTTGTGAGTTTTTTTTTGAATGACCGCTTGACTTTTAACAACCTCATTTGGAAGCTACCAAAAGTACGCTCAAAAATCAACAGACGACGAATGAGATCAATAGGACAATTTTACCAAGATGTCTCTTTCTGATGTTCTTTTTCTTTATTTCTGTTTGTTGTCTAATTAAAGTTGAATTTCCAAACCCTAGCCAATTAATTCTCACGGGTGGCCAACTCCTTCAGTAAAAATGACCAAGATTCGAGACACGATTCTTTACGAGCGCACTTTTATTTTTTACTCGATTAATAACACCGACCATAATTCAAATTTTGTTTCAGAGTTGAACTGTTCTACAATTAAGCATGCTGAAACCAAGATTTTCATATGGTAGATGCTTCTTTCCGTCTAGTTTCAGATTCTTTTGTTTGGTATTGTGAGACCTAATATTCAATTAATAACAGCCCTTAAAAAAGGTGTCACTGACTTTGGCTGAATTAAACATAAAGCCCGTGTAAAGTGCAAACAAGCAGCATGAAATTCTAGAACAACAGACCACTTTACACTCAAGGATGTTCTATTTGTTGTGCACTTTTGACGGGCTTGGTGTTAATTTCAAACTCTTCTCAATCACATTGAACTCCACAAATTTAAATTTTTTTAAAACCCTTTTCGAAGAGAAGTTTGAAAACATTTTAGCAACAATTTCATAATACGTTTCTCAATGTAAGAGTTGTGGTTTGAGAGAGATGGTGTTGATAATGTGACGAAGAGGGGAAAGGGCCCCTTCAATACTATACCACCCTGGACGTGACAAATTTTTAGGACGTTACCACCACGGCTCTTGTAATGCCAATTCAACTTATTGACGCACCAATAATTAAGTAGTGTTTCCTTCACGTGTCAGCAACAATATATTGCATTGGCAAGTTTTGAGGGGTTGAAATCATCATAAAATCATACTATGATCGTAGCTTTATTAAAAATCCCCAGCGAAATTCTCTCTTGCAGCTTGGTGTTCACGAAAAAATACGCTTGAGTTGGCCATCCGTGTTAATTCTTAATCAAGTTCGTCATCAGCACAAAAAAAATTACCAATTCCGATCTTCAAATTTGAATCATCATCATGGTCAAAATCAAAATCGGAGGCGATGATGGCACTTCCACGTACACGGTGCTTAGAGGACAACCGACCAATACATTGGTGAAAGGATGGGAAATGAAGATTGAAATTGATGGGAGTTCCGGAACAGTGAGTGGTTCCAATAAGAATGAAGGATCTAAGGCTAAAAAGACCTATAGTAAGTTCTTCATCGGAATAATAATTGATGATGATGTTGATAAAAAGGCTAACTATTTCTTGAAATTCATTTGAAAATAATCATTCCAACATTCATATTTCTTAACACTCCTTGATGAATAGCCGGAACTTATCTCAATAATCAACTGGATGTTCGGGTTACTATCGATGATGGACGCATCATCACCTACAAGGGTTCCTTTCCTCTGGTCAATGGAAATCCAGTGAAGCTCGATTTTTATGTGGAACAAGGGGGAGCAGGAAGCGCTTCGGGTGATAAAGGTGTCAATAGTGGCATTTTAGAAATTAAGTAAATCTTCTCAATCGATATCGCCTTATATCTCACAGTTGTACGTTCAACTGTTTCAACACTGTTCTCTAGTAATTTGCATGAAATGAGCACAACCCTTAGAAAAGAGAGAATAAAATTGGAATATAATGAACTTGTGTGAATGACTTGAACTGTGGAATTAGGAGAGGCTTTCATTTCACACTCATGGTGAGCTAGACCAGAAGAGAGGAAATATCCATTCTTCTCTCAAAAGAGTTTTCTGAACCTTTCTCTTGAGCGCTACCTCCTTCATCTGTCACTTGCCACTTTTACTCTAAATTCTTCCAAAACAGTCGACTTCATAAAAAGTTCCTCAAAAAAATTTTGTCACTGAATCCACACATCGCACACACACATTTTCGACATCAACACTCACAGAGGCCTCCTTCCACAAGTGTCACTTTTGTAAAAGTACTTTCAAATCTCCCGAAAAACAACTAATAATTCAACAACACAACAACAAATTCATTGTCATCAACAACATTCGCAAAGAGTTCTTCTTTCTGTTTTCTTTCAAACACTTTTGATCACTCTTGAATCCAAAATTTGACGAATTTTCTCATCAACAACAACACCACACACATCGGATTCAAATCCTGGAAGAAAAAAGCCTCTTCCCATTTACTTCTGGTTCATTTCTAACATTCACTTCGAAGTCTCGTTCTCGACGTCGATTTCCATATCAGGAAATTTCAAAAAAACTTTAACATCATCCATTGAAATTATTCGCAGCAATCATCATTCTCTTCTTCAGTGATCCAAAAAGATGGGAAATTTATGCGGAGGTAAAGAATCATCGGATGGTTCATCGTCTTCAAACATGAACAACAATAATGGAAATCATGGAAGAAATAATCCATCGGGTTCATCGTCATTGAAAACTCCAACATCGCCTCGAAATAAATCAGGATCTCACGCACAGAAGGGAAGAAGATTGTTGTTGGTGGGAGCAGGAGATTCCGGAAAGAGTAAGTGGTGGTTGTTGTGAATGAGTGATGATTGTTTGTATTTATATATGATTTGAATATGATTTATGTATGATTTATATATGATTTTATGAATGTACACTGAATATCTTTTTGTGAAAATTCCTGATGATGACTTTGATCAACAACATGCGTACGACAAATTCTTATTGATGTTCACAATGTGAAATGATGACATTTGACATTTACAGGTACGATATTTAAACAGCTGAAAAGAATATACACGAATGGGTTTACAGAGGAAGAATTAAAGACAGCTATCCCGTATATATTAGAGAATATAATCAGAAATATGATTCAATTGTGTCACGCCACAAAGACATTACAAATTTCAATACGAGAAGAAAATGTCGAAAAGCGAGACTATTATGCGGAGATGACCAAGAATCACCGAGCTCCATTACAAGGAGCCAAACTATGGAATCAAAGTATGGCAAACGATTTTAAAGCATTGTGGAATGACGAAGGGTATGTTTATTGTGGTGTTGACAAGTGACAGTTTTTCTTAATGTTAGAAAACTGAATCAATATCTTTGATTTATTTTCCTCTTCTTCTATGCAAAATAATACCTAGTATCAAGAAAGTTTTCATGGATCACCGATCTGAATATTTAATTGAAGATAGTGTGAATTATTACTTTGAAAAACTGGATGAAATCGGAAAACCTGGTTGGATTCCTTCAGATGAAGATCTATTGAGAACAAGAATCAAAACTACCGGACTGGGTACGTTGATTGATGTATTGGTGTGTGGATAATTGTTAATGATGTCTTTGAAATCAAAATTGGGATTTTCGAACAATTTTTAATTTCTAATTTGTATTGTTCACAAAAAACAACAGTGGAACAAACCTTCATGTCCAATGGAAAACCTTTCACAATGATTGATGTGGGAGGTCAACGAACGGAACGAAAAAAGTGGATTCACCAATTCGAAAACGTCGATGCCATTTTGTACATTTGCAGCTTGTCAGAATTTGACCAAAAGTGCTATGAAGATGAGGTGACAAATAGAATGAAAGAGTCACTGGATTTATTTGAAAGTTACATCAATTCTACATATTTCGAGAGTTCTCTTGTTTATTTAATTTTGAATAAGGTCGACCTGTTCACAGATAAAATCAAGAAAGGTGTCAAATTAAAGGACACATTTAAAGATTACACAGGTGATCAATACGACGAAGAAGCAGCTAAACAATACGTCGAAGGGCTGTACAAGCTCAAAGACAGTCATGATAAATTACGAGGAGTTATTTACTTGACGGCCTTGGAAAAGGATATTCTAAAAACCAAACTCGAAGAGATTGTCGAGGATGTTGTAAACGCAGAGAATGAAATTTAATTTTCCACATTTTTCAATAATTTAAATTTTGAAGAGATTTCACGTCATTGCTCAATAAATAATGACACCATGTTTTTAGCCTCTAGATGATTTATTCGAGTTCATCAAGAAAAGCCAAATCATCATCATCCATACTATTAGAAGTTTCTGGAGGTTTTGATTGTGCAGCATCTTGTGTTTCCTTATTTGATGCTGCACTGTGTTGTGGGTTGTTGTTTGAGGGTGATTGTTCTGCTGTGCCATGGTTAGATTGAGCATGTTGTGATGTGAGGTTGATAGGTTCCAATGTTTGCAAAGGATCATTGAAAGTGGAAGTATTTGGTGTTTTTTCGACTTGGTTAAAATTGTCTATTTCATCCATTTCAGATTTTTCATTTGGTGTGAAATTCTTTGTCGCATCGCTATCCATTTTCGTTTTCTTTGTGACATTTTCCTCTGCTGTCTCTTCAATATTCGTGTCACTCTCTTTCATGTCAGAGAGAGTTCTCTTGACTTTGAATTCTTGTTCCATCTCCTTCATTATTTCATCTGCTTGGTTAAAATCAATTTCTTCTTCGTCACTGAAATGATATTCAAGTTTTTCTTCCTCAATAGCTTCAGATTTTTTAGGAGGAGGAGCATTGATTGTCAATTTCTGATCCTCGGGTACCACTACAGAAACTTCCATATCATCCTCAAAGTTGTACTCTTCTTCGTCGTTATCAGTATTGTTGGAGATTTCTGAAGATCTTCTGTGAGTAACTTTAGAAAGCTTTTCGAGATGCTTATTCCTTGTTGGTAAAATTTCTTCATCCAATATAGAGGATTCATCATTGTCGTCATCCAACATGATTCTTGGCTTGGGTGAACTTGGAGGAAAGGCAGGATGATAAAAATCTTTAAATTTGCTCAGGAAATCAAAATCAGTGTTTGCTAAAACAACGCTGCTTTTCCAAATTGCTCCTTTCACAGTTTTGGCTGTGTTGATTACCTTACTCCATAGAGCTCCTTTCATCAGAGTGCTCATTTTACCAACAATTACTAGATGATTTCTTGCACGTGACAAGGCAACATTAAGCCGTTGTTTTTGCTCAATAAATGCAAGGCCGTATTCACTTGTTCTTGACGTGCTCACAAAAACAATATTTCTCTCACCTCCTTGGAAAGCATCTACGGTGCTAACTTTCACTGCTTTCAATTCGTGCTTAATAAATGACGTCTTGAGGAAAGTTTCTTGTGTTTTGTACAGAGCAATCACACCAATATCTTGATGTGCAATACCGTTCTGAAGTAATAACTTGATAAAATGAACAATCACATCTGCTTCAAGGTCATTCTTGACCGAGTTATTTTCAGAAACTTCAACACCTTCTTCACAATCTACAACCATCACAGGAGGCATTCCAGGAATTAATGGTTCTCGGTCTGAGTCCTTAATTCCGTCAACCAACTTATTTTGATAGAACAGCTCGTTCGTTATTTTGGATATTTGAGGATGACAACGATATTGCGTCCTAAGCAAAAGTGGCTCATGCCCAATATTTGATAATCGAATGAAAATGGTTTTTTCCAGTGAATGTTCCGGATTTTCTCCGCTTCTAGTTCCAGTGAGTGTTGGAGGAAGCTGTAATGGATCTCCAACTGCAATAAATTTCATACATCCAAATCTTGTCAGCGGTAATAGAGCACTTGGCTCAAGACACTGGGAACTTTCGTCCAAAATGAGAATAGAAAATTTTTGACCTTTCAACACTTCAAAACCAGTTGCTGCACATGTAACTCCAACTACTCTTGCATCTTTGACGGATTGTTTTCGATTTTCATGAGCACCATTTTGAAGATCCTTAATGGCTTGTTTGACTCCTGCCTCTTCCTCTGGATCCATGTCTTCATTGTTCAGCATTTCTTTCAAGAGCTTAATTTGATCTTTCACTGAGGTAGTTTCAGTTATGACCGTGTAAGGCAGGACAGATTTGGCAATTTTCTTTTGACTACCAACTCGCACCAGATTTTTATAATTTTCGGTAATAAGCCCTTCCAAAATGTTGTCCACAGCAACATTGGTTCCAGAAGCTACTAATATTCTGATCGATTGATCTTCTGACTCATCTAAAATTCTACAAATAAATAAGATCAGTACGATTAAGGCAGTAGTTTTTCCTGATCCATAAACTCCATGGACTACCATAAAAATGAATGTAAGCACTGACATGATAGTTAAAAAAACATACCTAGACAAATTGGAGATGAAATATCTCCTTTGTAAAACCACTGAGCGCATCTCATAATAAGGCTTGATTGATCTTCGTTGAGCTTGTACTCAGAAATAAAAGACTTTGCTATTGATTGAATTTCTTCCATGTCCATGTTAATTTCAAAGGGGGCTGCACTTGAGGGGTGCTCATCTGATTCTGTGTTTTTGGTTTCGTCACTTGAGGTAGTAGTATCGCTATTTGATGAGGAAGCCACAGTAGGCTTAAATTTAGTATTCAGTCTCTTTCTCATGATCTTCAAACTCTCTTCTTCGGTGGTTCCTAGAATTTCACTTAGCAGAGGCAACTTAACCGGATCTAGTTCATTCAAATTTTCAATCATTTCAAATTCAGATGCAAAATTTGGACCTCTAATAGCATAAATACTTTCATTCTCCAAATTTTCAGGAATTCCGCTTACAATCTGAAGCTCTATCTTTCCATCTTTGTCAGGTCCATGGAAAACACTTTTTGCAATCACGAGATTACCAGTCTTATATTGAAAATCTTTGCTTTTAGAAAGAATCCAAATGTCATCTTTCGCATACACGGAACTTTTTTCCTTGTGAGAGTCAATATGAAGGTACCATTGTGTAACAGCATTCTTTTTTCTGACTGAGCCAAATGTTTGTTTTAAAACTTCACAGCCAAAATAAAAATGAGTTCCGTTTCTTCTAAAGAACATCATTCTGTCATATTCACCTGTCTTGTTTTCAATAAATCCATTTTTTGTGTTCGTAACCATAGTTGGATGAACATTGTTTGCCCAAGCAAAGAATTTACATTGCTCTGCTTTGTTTTGTTTGCCGCAGGTATAAAATGGCTTTCCCTTATTTGGGCCTTCTTTTTTTACAATTACTAATTTCGATTGAACTTTGCAATGGCATAATGGATTATTGGGCTTGGGAGTAAAGCTATTCGAGGAGGTTTGTGTAATCTTTCTGTATGCCTTATAAAAGTTCATTGCAAGATTGAGCATTTGTAAATTCATTTCCTCATAGAGTGCATCCAAAAAAACTGCCTTATAATCTTCCACGCTGCTAAATTTGTCAGGAACTTCAACGAAACGTTTAGGATAGGTATTTCTTTGTTCAAATAAATCATTCATGGCCATATCTGGGAAAATGATATCGTGTTTTGTTCTCTTGACGTTTTGCACAAGTGAAAGCACTGGTATGTCATTGTTCGTAAAAATGTTTGAAGAAGATGGAGATGTTGATGGTTTTTGACCAATATTTAGCTGTGTTTGCTTGAACTTTTTGCTTGGGGATGATTTGGTAGTCTCTGAAAACTTTTTGGTACTAAGGCTTTTCTCATGAGATGGAGGGGTTGATTGTGGTGGAGATGGTCTGATAAATTGTTGAGGAGGAACAAATGTTTGGGGTTGTCTGGGAGTGTACGTTTCTTTGATGGGTTCTTCGTCGTCATCGTCATCAAAATTAATTTTCTTGACCTTTGAGGGCTGCTTTGAAGATGTTGAGGGAGGAGTAAAAGAATTTTGGCTCATACTTGTGGGCTTATTGGCTGAAGAAGATGGTGGAGCCCTGAAAACGGATTGGTTTGTGACTTTAGAGGGTGGAGGGCTTTCTAGCTTTAAATCTTCGTCAGAATCGACATCCAAGTTATCAAGGCTAAGATCTAGATTAGGTGCAACCTTTACATTATTACGCGTTGTTGATGACGCTTGTAATACTTTTGATGCTGGCTGAAAACCTGAAGATGCAGTTTCGATTTTCTTAGTCTCTTCTCGAAGGTTTTTTGAGGATGATTTTGACAGCAATTCTTCCTCAAACTCTTCATCATCTATTATGAGATCTAATGTTGGTTTCGAGGGATTAATATTTTTGAAGTTGTTGTTACTACTTTGATTATTCGCCGATGAAATTACTTGTTTGGTGTTTGTTGGCTGTATAAGTGGAGGATGGTTTTTTGAAGTTTGAGGAACGCTTAAGTTCTCATATTCTTCCATATCAAGCAAACCATCATCATAGAGCTCCTCTTTTTCTTCGGGATCAAGAGGTGGAGGTTCGTACTTGGTTCTGGCTTGCCTGACAGTTTGCTGTCTGTTTAGTAAAAAGTTTTTCGTTGAATGTGTGACGTTAGAGGAATCGTTGTGCAGTTCCAAATCATTTAAATCGAAATCGTCCACTTCGTCATCTTCAAAGGTGTTAATACTATTTTGGGAAGGTAAAACAGATCTTACAGATGTTGAAGAGTTCATGCCTGTGGTAGACTTATTATTATGTACAGTACTTGTGTTTCTATCTTTGAAGAATCGACTTGTAGCGCCTGTTGAATAAACAGTTGGAGCATCAACTTCACCAAAATCTAAATCCTCCAATGAATCATCAATATCATTTTCGATATGAGCTTTGATGTTGGATTTTGTTTGTGTCGTACTATGATTATTGTTAGTCCTGCTGTTGTTGTTATTGAAGCCTGTTCCAAAACCTGTACTCCGATCATCATTACCTCTGGCGTGTGTTGTTGTGGCAACAGAGGACTTTTTTGAACCACTTCCAAAGTTCTTATTCCAGCTGTCATAATTTTCCTTCAGAGGAGGCTTGAATGGTTTTCGGGTTGAAGTTCTTGTTGTTGTGGTGGTGGTGGTTCTTGGTGTTGTGTTTGTTGTGTCGGAAGTAGTACTTGATAATGAAGCTGATGATTTTGCAACAGAGGATGCTGAAGTGAAGGAAGAAGAAGGCTTTGATGATACTGTTGTTGTTGAATTGTTGTTGCTGATAATATTACTACTCCCTCCTATTTCATCTTCTACTTGAATTCTAAATGTTTTTGTTTGAAACTCGACTCCACTCTCAATCGTTGGAATATCTCCATCACAATAATGAAGATACGTATGCTCCAATTTGCTATTCTTCTCATCCAGCAAAGTTATTGCCTTGGTTTCGGGATTAAATTTCAAAAATCCATCCGAGTAGGATCGTTGTTTCTTGTACAATTGTTTCGTGTACAAGACTTGAAATGTTTTAATTGAAGGATCTGCCATTATTAGTTCCGATCGGCTGATGATTCCGTTTGAAATAGAGTACATCAAAGGCTTGATGTGGTGCTCATGATGATAAAAGCCTAACGTTCAACAACGGGTTTGTGTTACTCCGATGATGTGTTTTTTGATGCACAAAATTCTTATTTTTTTTGGAATTGTAATTCTTTGATGAATTTGATTTACAAAATTAATTATTGATTGACTTGTTTTCTCTGAAAACATATCCTTTTTGGAAAGGTAAAAGGTGGAAACTTCCGCAACAAATGAGAGACTAACAAAAGAGAACGCCACTAGTCCAAATCAAAGCTCATCTCTCATTGGCCATCAAGCTGTCACTAGTCAAATTTTATTTACAGAACCAACAAAAAAATACTAGAGACCTCTTCCGCCCGCACCTTCACACTTCTTCTAGAAGTGCCAACTCTATCACCAACAACCACCACCTCTAGTCCGATATTTCTTATTCTTCATCACGTTGGTCGAAACCTTTCAACAACAACAACATTGATATTCATTAACTATTATAAATTTAAATAATATTATTACTATCGGATCGTACAAAGACAAATACAACCAAATACAACCGAATTCAAGAATGGGAAATCTTCCATTTTCAAAAACAACAGGAGAGGACATTTCGAGTCCCCGAGTCAATCGATCTTCTTCTTCTTCGAATATGAAAAAACCCGAAGATATTGTTTTGGAAAAAGTTCTCGCCAATCCAATCATTAAACAAAAACTTGGAAATAATATTCAACAAATGAGAATGTTCGCTCAACAATTGAGTGATCCAGAAGAATTGAAAGAATCGTATTTACATACAGATTGGGTTCAAACTACCAAATTGATTTCTGACATTTCGAACAAAGTCAATGAAGATTCTCCTCCATTAAATTCGAGTCAAGATTTGATTCGAAGAGGTTCGCAATTGTTACAATCGACTCAATCTGTCAATGATATGAAAATTATTGGAAATTTTAATTCAACGATGAGTAATAGTCAAGGAGAAGGAGATTTGAATATGGAAATTTCTAAACAACCACCCATTCAATTGAAAGACAAGATTCGAATTAAATTGCTGGTCACAGAGACGGCAAGAAATAGTACAGATCGAACCATTCGACAATTGTTGTCACCTGTTTTGAATTCGTTTAATGTTCTTCCTGAGATGGGAATGTTTCACACAGGTAGGTTTTTTGTGGTGAGAGATTGCGTCCGAGTGAAATTTGTTCATTGATTCAATTGAAAATATTTACAATTTCGGTTGTAAAATTCGTACATGCTAACAAATTTGTTTCTGATCGTCACAAATATAGCACTTATTGTCGGACCGTGGAAATTGGAGGTTTGTTTCTTTTCACTAATGTCAACTAACGTCTCATTGGATAATTGAATTCAACTAACTCTTTTAGTTCAATGACTCTGGAATTGTAGTACCTCGTAAAATTATGTCACAAGCTGCCGTATTGACAGCAGACATCGATTATATTTCAACAGTGGACAGACTTGAAGAAGTTATTGATACTCTTGCTAAAGTAATTTGTAAATGGAATGTTCACATGGTCTACAAACAAACAGGAGGAGATCCATCCAAACATGGTAATTGTCAAGATTTTGTGGATGACTGTTTGGCAGCTTTGGGAGTGAAATTGAACTTTGAAGGAGCTCTTAAAAACTTTATTACACGTTTAAAGAAAACAGGAAACAGCAAGCTCCAATTTGAAATGACTCGAGAATTTATTGAGAAATTCAAATTGGTGGACTTGTACCCATCGTTGCGACGAGCTTTGGAAAATCAAGAGAATGCAAAAGATCAATCTGGAGAGGCTGCAGAGGATGAAGTCCCTGCAGGTGCTCTCGTTTTTCAAACTCACAAAGATTTGGATCGATTTGTTTGGTATTTAATGCAACAAGATTTTGAATTTCAGAATCACTACCCATGTGAATATCAATTATTGAAATCTTTTGATAGAGCATTTTGGGTGAAAGCTCTTACGTATCCAAACATGGAACAATTTCATCCACTCTACGAAGATGAAGACATTCATGTGGGAGCCAAATCGCCCTCCAACAACAAACAGCCCATCAATAACGAAGAAAGAAAGCAAAAATGTCCCTTTGGGGATCCTTGTGCCTCCTCATTCATTTACTTGTAATAACTCTTTGTACACAACAACAACTAATAATGATTAATTAACCACATCCTCAGCTTTTTCTCCGCTGTTGTTTGTGATCTTTGTGTCAATGACTGCCGAGAATTCATGAATCATGAAATTGTTTCGATAAGCCATGAATAGAGGTGTTTCTCCATCGTCATCTTTGATACTAAGAATATCAGCTCTGTCAACATTCCCCAAATATTGGATGAGATCTTGAGCTAAATAGACCTTGTTTTTTTTTGCTTGATCTAAATGAGCCATCTTTACAGGCCATTTGAAAGTACACACCAAATGAGCCAAAGTGAAACCAGGATATGTGTCGGTGTTCTTCCTTGTTAACCATTCTAAGATTGTCTCTTGTTTAAGGTTGGATTTAGTGAACAATCTTTTTCCTCGTTGTTTTGTGTTGGTAGAATTTGTGACAAAATAGGCTGCTACAAAATATAATCCGAATAAATAACAAATTTCCATTAATGACATAAGCTTTGGAACTTTAGAACGTCCTTCAAATATTATCTTATTAATTTTCAGTGTTTCCACAAGCATTCTATGCCATTGGCTAGCATTTTTGTCCAACTCTTCATAGGTTTCTTCAATGTAAATCATTCTTTGCTTGCTAAATAAATCTAACCTTTCTTCGTCGTAATGTTAACACTATCCAGTAGTTTCATAGCACTGATATCAAAATTTGCAATGTCATTTGACGAATAAGTGCATCCACAAATGATCTCTACAATTTCCTCTAACGATATTGTTGTCAATAACTCGTCATAAGTACTGATTAACTTGAAGCAAAGTACATAGTGATGATTCTTCAACGCAGTGACTAAATATTCCGTTTTAAAGTACAAAGTTTAAATCCAAATTTCAAAAATCAACAAAATTTGTTACTTACTGATATGCTCAGGATTCCATTTCACTTTGGGATATTGATCAATGAATGAACCAAAGCTATCACCATTCTCTGCTATAATATCCACAAAATCTTGAGGTTGGTACGGTTGAATGGACTTGAAGTGAAAGAACGCTTTAACATTATCAAGCTTACAACATAATTGAAGAACGTTAAGTTCTCTGCCATTGAGATGATGAAAGGTCAACCTTTTGATTATATGGGTTGTGAAATAGTCATATCCTTGCCAGCTATTCTGATAGTTATAAAATCCAGAAACATAAAGTTGTAAGTTTGCCAAGTCAAATCGACCCGCAAGGAAATAGTAAAGAAAATCACAACGTATACCTGTGTCAGCATCGAATATATTGGAAAAGCACCGATCAGAGAGTATTGGTCGTTTTCCTTTAAAGTTATTCATCAGAAGAAGCGGTTGAGGGTCTACGCACCAATTCCATAACAACATTGACAGGGCATTAATAGGTACGTTTCTTAATGATTGTTCCAATTCAATATGAGAAAAATCTAGCCTAGTCACCAACAAATTATCCAAAGATTCATATCTTGCTAGTTCTGTACATAGAGCTTTCAAGATTGGTCTAGTTTTAGCAATCAACGGAATATTGATCAGAGCTATCAAGGAAAGAGCTCCATTAAGAATAATGTGACCCTGCTTGGCAATTCCAATGTTGATTCCCTGAAAAACTGTAAGTATATCACAACCCTTGTCCATCAATCGTTCCACATTTAACTCGTCCTGAGGAGAAAGAGTGATGACAGCTCTTCCCAGAGCAAATGAGCTTTTGTGTTTGAAAAGTAAGTCCTCAATGAAATATGTGAACGCCAATTTTCCGTTTTCATCCTCCTGATTGAGTGCAGTGCTATTCATTCTGTTTCCCAGTTCCAAAAAGACAGTTGTAGTCATTGTGTGCATGTTTGACAAGGTAATGCAAGGGCGTTTTTTTGAAATTATCAACGGCGTTAGGGTCAACTCCATGATTTAGTAAACCGTTAATAGTGTGGTGTGAGGGCGAGGAGCTGCGTGCCCAGTGATGAAGTAGATTTTGGTTATTCTGGTCACGGATGTCGTTCAAACAAATTCCCTTATCTTTGTAATATAGACAAAGAAGGTTCATGTGTGTTTCATTTGACGCAAGAAGCAGAGACTGAATTGGGGTCAGTCCTTCCTTATTTTTCATTAGCAATGAGTCTGCTGGAAGAACACTAAACAAATCTAAATGATATTCAAAAAAATTTCAATGATGAATATCAGATTTTTCGAGGTTCTTAAACTTACATGGATTAGGGCAAATGTGAAGTAAATTATTATTCGTTTCCAGGTCAACATATTTCAAATCACATCCCAGTCTGAAAAAACATTCCAACACTGCGCTTGAGCACCTTGACCCGTTATTTTGGATATACTTTAGCAATAAATTACATTCATGGACGTATTGGTTATTACTATTCTTAACAAGAGTTCCATTTATGTCTCCGAGAGTAATCAAATTTGGGTATAACGAGCAAAGAAGTTCGATTATTTTAGGAACATCAGTGCAAGTATTGTTGTTAAGAAGAATAAGCAAAGGGTTAACTTCTTGCTCAAATAGAATTGGAAATTTTGCTTGCTCAAAAATTGCTTTTGCTAATGTTAGAGATGTAATATTGCATAAAATTTTTCCTACAATTGTGAACGCAATTTCATCATTTGTGACGGCATGTGAGAAAGCAATTTTGAATACCTCTTTTTCATAAATATAGTTTGCTATATCACAATTCACAGACAATATTCCACCTTGCTTAAAATATTCCTCAAAAGGGTACATTTGTTTGTAGCCATTATCTATTTGTTTTCTGTAATTTTCAATAAAGAAATCTATAATTTCCGTCGAAAAATGTTTGCCTTGCATGCTAAACAAGTCCATATGCTCAAATGAAAGTTTTTCTTCTAGAACCAAGTACTTAATAGCTTTAAAAAAAGGGTTCAAACGAGAGTTTTTGAGGATATAGGGCTTGCATATATCTGTGTCTCTAGTATAATGTAATAGTTTGTTGATATCCTTGCTAACCTCTGGATACCAGTCCGCAATGTCTTCAAAATTAAAAAATTCATATTTAACAAGTTGCAAATAGTTTCCATACCAAAACAATTCATCAAATGGAGTAGTATTGAACAAGCATAGTTTTGTTAATTTGGGAAATAGGGATAGAAATGCGTTTGGAGCATATAATTGAACAAAGTCACGGTGTTTTATCAAGGGCATAGAGATTGCTTCAACATTTGGGAATAATAAAGACAAATATCGAATACAAGCATCGTATGTTTTTTTGGCCTATCTATATTGATAAATCTCTAAATCTCCTTTTCATATACTTACCTTCATGTTGTACCATGGATATTTGTAATTGATGCTATCTTCGAATTCGTGTCTTTTAACAAGATTCATTTCTTTCATATTAGGAAATATATTTTGATAGAGTTCATCCAACCATTGCTGGCACACTCCTCTAAGAGTTAAGTAATACGGAAATGGTTGGATATAATTCATAATTTCATGAAATACAGGTCATGTGACGATCAAAGGATTTTTTTTTGGTTGTGGAATGTCAGGTGGCAGCAAGTTAGAGACGGCTTTATTGGAACTTTGTGTTTCTCCTTGGATGATGTTCAAACTCCGGTAAACTCCTTCTGTTCGTTGAATTTCCAAAGATCGTGGAATTTCTCAATGTGTGACAGCTCCTAATGATTCTTGGCGATGATGGTGGTTAACACTAAACGCAAGATTGCAATCTTCTAACGGACTTATTTCTTCATAGATTTTCAACGGATGAATCACATGCAATTTTATTTATATTAGTTCCTAGATCATTAAGCAGTTTCATCACTTTCTTGTTTTTGTGTCAATAGATTGACATCTGTCTGGACAAAATCTTGCATTTTCAAGTACAATTGACGTTTCATCGCTGTCTCTTTTTCAAGTTTCAAAGTACTCAAAAATTTGACTGTTGGATCCTTTTTCACTTCTTGAACTAAACTTTCAATCACTTGTTGCAATTTTTCGAGTGGATCTTGTTTGGCTGAAATCATAAAACATTTAAATTGTTTTCTGACACAAAGTAATTGAGTTTGTTGTTCAAGACTCTCCATTTCGCTTGCATTTGAAATTACATCTGTCTTATTTCCACATAAGGCAATTGGAATCTTGTCACAGACTCGAGTGAGATCACGATGCCAATTAGGAACGCTTTTTAACGTGGATGGATAGGAAGTGTCGTTCATGATTATTGCACATTGTCCTGTGTAAAGTATGGCCATTCATTATAACACATCATCAATGATTATTTTAAAATGATGATCATGTGGTGAATGAATGATCATTAATTGAGAGTTCAATTGACAAACATTTAAGGTTCAATATTTCTTGAAATGACATACCTAACAAATAATATCCATCTCTTAAACCACCAAATTTCTCTTGTCCAGCAGTATCCCAAAAATTCACACGAATTGGACCATGAGCAATGGTTTCAAAATCGACACTAAAAACTTCCACTCCCACAGTTGGTTTGTACTCGGTTGTGTTGAATGAGATGTTTCTCAATCTTGACACAAACATGGATTTTCCGACAGATCCATCACCCTGCAAGTGTGAAAGTTGTTTCAAATTTGGGTTCATAAATTTGTGAAATATTTTGTGTAAGTTGTGCGACAATCAAGATTCAAAATAATATAATTAAAAAAATCGCATTGAGAATGATATCATCGTTTTGTCGATGAAATCTGAATCAAAATAATACTCACCACAAGAATTAATTTCACTTCATTCTTTTTGTCATTCTTTTTTTTAACAGTATCATGTTGTTGGTTCTCACTCATCATAGTTGTGGAGCTGGCTCCAAAACTACTACTAGTCGTATTCCAATTAAATGATAGAGAGGACGGAGTGGATGGAAAAGTGGATGAAAAGAAAAGACTCGACGGTTGTAGTTGAGTGGTGGTGGTGGTGCTGAATATTGTTGGTGCCCCAAAAGCTCCCGAATGACTCATGTCAAAAGTCATGCGTGGGTCATTTAGTTTTTTCACCAAATGATGATCGGAATGGGAAAGACCATGTTTTTGACCATGATAATCGCACAAATAGAGAGAACAAGTGTGGCATCGATAGAGTGACTCACATACGATTCGAACATCTTCCGATTGACAGTGGGAACAATTGCTCTGGCTGTTGAAGGGAGAGAAATGGAACGACATTTTTTTCTGAATGTTTAACTTAATACTACCTTTTTTGAGAACTCCGCCTTATTTAGAGCTCCGGTTGTTGTTTTTTTTCATACAAGATCACATCATACAACAAATATCTCTCATAGAGCCAGGTGTCTGAATCTTCGAGTGAAAATGATCTTGTTCAATTGAATAATTTATTTACAATATATATTTGAATTGGTTGGATTTGGTTGAACCTTAGGTTCGAAAAAACAACACTGAGTGGTCGTTGAAAATTTGAACCACACACCATTATTTGGTCACAATCGATTGCTCATGATGTTTCGCTGTCAACAAATAGGTCTGACATTCTCCCTTTCCTTTCACTTCGATTTTCCGTTCTTCAAATTCCAAACCCATATCATACACACGTTCATAAGTGGAACGACTGACATGAATTCGTCCTGGAACTCCTGTCGACTCCATACGAGAAGCGACATTGATGGTATCTCCCCAGATATCAAACGTGAACTTTTTCTTGCCAATCACACCTGCAACTACACCACCCGTGTTAATTCCAATACGAATCTCCACTTGTGTTTCCATTTCGGAAGTCATGTTAAATTCTCTAATGACTCCAAAAGTGGCCATTGCAAATTGTAACACTCGTTCGGGGTGATCACTTGTGAGAGAACCACTAATACCACCAACACAAAAGTATGCATCTCCAATCGTTTTGATTTTCTCCAATTGGTAGGTATCTGTGAGAGCATCAAATCCATTCACAATGGTGTTCAACATTCCAACCAATTGACTTGGATTCATTGTTGAGCTGATGTTGGTAAAACCAACCATATCACTAAAGAAACAAGTGATATCTGTGAATCGTTCTGCAATAAATGTCTCACCAGATTTGAGACGTTCTGCCACTGATTCTGGTAAAATGTTTTTCAACAACATGTCCGACTTGGCTTTCTCTTCTGCCAAAACAGCATTTTGTTTCTTCTCTGCTGTCATGTCTTTGATGATCAAAGTGATCATTGGAGTACCGCTATCGAACATGACTGAAAAGATGTTAATTTTGACTGGGAATTTGGTTTGATTCTTTCTCAAACAGGTCGATTCAATGACCTCGGAATGTGTGACATCTAATTGTGCCTTATTCATTTCCTTAATACTGTTTTGAATGAAAAGAGATTGTTGCTGATCGAACAACGTCATGACAGAAACACCAACAACGTCTGACTTGCTGGCAAATCCAAACATCTTTTGTGTAGAGGCATTCACAAATTCAACAATTCCATCTTGAGTACATAAAATGGCACCATCAACGGACGCATTTAAAACGTTCTTGACATTGGCATTTTCTGAATCTGCAGATTGAATTTGATTTTTCTTTGTTCTCTTTTGATTGGCAGGTGTAATGATACTGTAGAGAATATAATTTCGAAGTTGTTCACTTCCGTCAATGACTTCTGATGGTAAATAATTTAACATCATTCTCATATTAATTAATTGAAGTCGATGCTTCTCCAATTGATACAGCATACCGTAGAAAATGACAATCATCACCACCAAACAACCAATTCCAAACAAAATGGTTAAAATCACAGATGGTTGTGAAGAGTATTGAACAAAGAGATCCATAAAATCAATAATCTTCTCTCCCAAAAGTGAACCAGTGAAAAATACATCTAAATAGTTATGGAACATGGACATTGTGTCAGAGGTAAAGGCCGTACTTTGAGATTCACTATTGAAAATCGAAACTTTTTTCGAATATTCTGTGATCATTTCATCCAAACCTGTGCAATAACGTTGCGTGTACAGCTCGGCAGAAAAAGTTGAATTGTAGTGAGTGGCTTTTGTGCAGTTTTTAATTCCTGCCACCAAATGATCAATTCCAGCATATTTTCCAATGGAAGGTGGAAAAAATTGACCATCCTTATTCTTTCCTCCATAAATAAGTGCATTCCATTCTTGATATAAAAGATCCAAAAATGTTTTCACTTCACTTTCAGCATTCGTTAAAGGCTCAGTTTTCAATAAAGATGGATCATTAATCGAAGAGGATGGGCTTCCAAGAAATGAGAAATATTCTCCAACCTTGAAATTGGTACGGTGAACATGTCTCATGACTGTGGTACCATGAATAATATTATTCATGGTCATGGAGACACCAGTATAATTATAGTTCGACTCTACAACCATGATGGCACCACTCACAATGCAACACAGCAAAGTAAACACACCCATAAACAAGAAAATGTACTTGGGTGCTGAAAGTTGGTTTTTGGGAAGATGAACCTTGACATCGTCGTCACCCTTCAACCCCAAATCATGATACACTTTTCCGATAATATTCTTTGAGAGAGCAGAGTTGAATAACTTGGAAACTTGTTTTGCACTCGTCATCATTTTAAGCATGACACCAAGAAACACCACAAATCCAATAATATACATCATAATAATTGTGGCATACACAATGGCAAAGGACATGACAAAGGTCGAATGAAAAGCTTCAGTACTTGCCACAATGGATGAACAAAACGTTTCGAAGGCATCTCGCGAGGACAATCGATTTCTCCACAAGTACATGAAATTAAAATCCTTCGTTGTGTGGTTGTATTGATCCAAAGGCCATTGAATAAAAGCATTGATACTTGTGAGCAAATAGTTAAAGATTTCAATCATGGAACTATTCTTCATATAGGTGTCAGTGAAGGATAATTCTGAACCATTCTTGGAACTGTTTTGTGAGGTGGCAAAAGGAAGGAACGATGAGATGGAGTTGTTGACTAGTTCAGCATAAACTTCAGCTTTGAGTTTGTTTTGTTGAGCGATGTCAACAATGTCGGTGAGAAATGACCTGTAAGTGTGAAGGTGAGCTTTGTGTGAGTTTTTGACAAGATCCACAACTTGAATCTTTTCATCTCGAACGGAGAAACCATTTTGGTTATAATTATTAATGTTTTGAATAAATCGAAGTTCTCTCAGCACAGCAACAGAGACGGATGATCCTTTGCACATCTTGTAAACATCTTGAACATCGGCACCACTTTTAACAGAACCAAATAGAGAGATGGTCACACAGGTCAACAACACAAAGAAGGAGAATAGGAGGAATGAGATCAAGAATACATAATATCCCTTGCTGTTTTCTAAATGTCTAAGAGAATTCTTCAAAACAGCATCTTTTTTGGAGTAATCCTTAGTTTCAATTCCATTAAAGTCCTCATTATTTGGATCTCCCTCCACATTGGTCGCCATTGGTGGCTCGTACCGTTGGCTCACCACCGAAACTCTCGCATTAAAAGCATACTTGCTGGCATTATTGTTTGGAGATAGAAAATTGTATTTGGATCCCTCTTCTTCCAATTCATTGGCTTCTGTAAACAGAGCTTGAGCAGTTTCCTTGTCAAAGCGAAACACTTCAACAAAATTTGCGTACTTTCTGATGATTGTTTTTTCATTACGATATTTACGCATGAGATTATGGTACATTTCTTCGATGTGGCTGTTTAAATCGGCACATCTTCTATTAATGTATTCAATCTTGATATCATTTGGAATGTCATTCATCAACTCTTTCCAAAACATTCGATGAAGAGTTCTCAATTCGTCTTCAAATTTTTCTAAACTATCTAACACATGCTTACTCTCAATGAGACATTTTAGAGCTTGAGAAGCACTTGTTTCATCCAATTCAACCTCTTTGGATCGTTGTTGTACTTGAAATCTTACAAAAATATTGTTTGACAGTTTCAAACATCGCTTCAACAGATACATGGCAAAGGAATGACAATTTCCATCTTGCCAAGTGTATGCAATAATGAGAGAACTTATCAACAACAAGGAAGTATGCTGTTGGGCTTGATTCTTGCATGAACCAATCGCTTTTGAAAGAGAGAGTGTCACATCTTCATTGTCATTAGGACTTTTTGGTCGAATCACAGAGAATTGTAAATACATGATCAGCCATCGTTTCTTCTTTTCAAAGATGTGCAACACTTGTGCCATATTTTCCTTATTCTCATTCACAATTTTGTGAACTTGTTTGTAGATGAGTCGTTGCGATACTTCCATCCCTACAAAACCAATAAGGAAACCAATCACAATCAATGATAGAGTCACAGCCATCAAATAAAGACCTAGATTGCTGGAATTTTGAGTATTTACAAAGGTAGAAATAACAACTCCAATCGATGCACCAATTTTGGCACAACTAGCTCCAAAGAATAAGGAATTGGCTGTCATTCTGAAATAAGGTAAATTATAAAGAAAGAGAATAGGCCACGCTCCAGAAAAGAGTAAATGAACAATGGCACGAATCTGAAGCATTTGTTTTGGTATTAAAAAGATGGTCATAATTTCCAAACAATTCAAAATCAATAACAACATGAGAGCATTATTGTTCAAACTGGTGAATAAGGATTTGTTCAATGGATGGCTATTCCGATAAATCATGCCTGACAATGCCACACATGCCATAAGAATGACAAATGCCACCAATGAAAAGGCAAGAAATATAATATTAGGTGTTTGATAGCACTCGACATTGGGATAACGCGAGAGTTCAATCGAGGAAACATTTCCTCCATTGCCCGCACTGTCCGTATCGCATTCGAGAAGGCCTGTCAAAACGTATGTCATGGTTCCACAAGCAATCAAGATTAAAAAGTTGAAGCATCGTGTGGCCTGCAAGAACCAATCTGAAAATCTTCTCGTATTAATAATTCTCTTATAAGTGACGAAAAGTAAAGCAATGTACAACAATAGAGAGGCCAAAACGATGAAAACCAAAGCAATCATGCCTTCATAGGGAACTAAATTCAATGAGAGAGTGAGTGGGTAATTGGTAACCGTGAATACCCACTCTCCGTGCTCTCCAAAGCTCATTCCACCCACTGTGGGAATGAAAACACTCACCCACAAGAGGTGAATATTGAATAGGAAGGTCAACATCCAAAACATGATGGAGGATTGTTTCGAGCTGGATTGTAAGGCTACAATAAGGGAAAATAAGGAGGTTTGAAAACGATTCATGACAGCAAAGGCTGAAAGAGTGGTTGAGCTTGTGGCAGATGTTCCGGTTAAAGAGGTGCCAGTGATGGCTGCTGAATGAGCAACCAAAGTCTGACCTCCACCACCAACAACGCTAGTTGGTGCGTCGACGATATCATCTCGAGTTCCAGAAGTAACGGAAGAGGTCAGATGGTCAAAGGAAAAGTGGGAAGGAGGTTCAAGGGTGCCTTTTGGCGAGGAAGGAGCTTCATTCCTTAACATTTGTAGCAAATGGGGGCAAAGTATTGAGTCGAATGGTTGAATGGTTTGGAAGGGAATGTGTTGATGTCCCGATGATTGGAATCTTGATGGTTGGGTATTATTATTGAGGCGGAGAGTTATTGTTTTTGTTTTTTTAAGGAGGATCAATATGAAAAAACTCCATCAATGAGAATCAAGAATATTCGACAAAATTTTGAGAACCCAATCTGAATCTCATCATGAAAAAGCGAAAAGGATCAATTTAGTCGACTCAGAGAGATGATGCTGCGAGTTTTCTGAGACGGACGGAACGGTTTGTGGTGGTTCTGTTCTCGTACTCGAGGTAAAGACGTCTTTTTTGGAATTGATACTCGCAGATGCGAGGTTCAAGTAGGAATTGCGAACTTAATTGTGCCATTAATTCCGTTTTGGGAGTCACCAAATCTTTTCCACATTCAAGACAAATTCGACCGAAATAAGAACACTTTGAAGCGTCAGCATTGCATCTGAATGTTTATGATAAGAAGGTCGTCATAGATCAGTGGTTAGATCGCTCGCCTCACACGCGAGAGGTCCTGGGTTCGATCCCCAGTGACGACATTAACTTTTTGTTTCGGCCCGAAAGGTTGTGTTTTTTGTTGTTGTCCAGCAGCTTTCCTGTTTGTTTTTCCAAATCTATTTTTGAGGAATGAAACAATTAAATATGAATTTGATTTGTTGAACTATAGTTCCAGACAACGTCTTTTCAACTGAAAATTAAAAAAAAATCAAAAAATGTTGACCTCACAGTCTTTCGTTGCTTACGATCACAATAACCAATACAACCAATTTCTTAAGGAAGGTCTTCAATGCCAAGAATTTATTTCCTCCCAACCTGTAAATGCTCTTCAACAACAATTGATCTTTTCTCCCTCTGAACAAGTTGTTCATCCTCAACCAATTATTGATTCCATCGTATTACAACACATTCTTCCATCGGAGCATGATGATGATCATCAGTTAATTTCATCTTATCAATGGACCATTACATTCCGATTGAAATTACACAGTGATGCCTCAGGAGATTGGAGATGTCTCTTTCATTATGGAAATACTGATTTGATCCGACAACCAGCTCTCTGGTTATCTCCTTACGAAAATACTCTCCATTGCCGAGTGGATACGACTCTTAATAATAATGAAGGATTTGATAGCAATCAAAGGTTGAATAACTATCAGTCGTGGTATCATGTTGCACTTGTGTACTATGACACGTACCAAATTTTGTATGTGGATGGAAAGTGTGATCAAATTGGAAAGTTTGGAGGCGTTTTGAAAAGAACATCCAATCAAACATTTCGAATTTTTGCATCACCTGGAGGTTATTCACAGGGAGATGTCGAAGTGAAATATTTTAGAATGTATAATCGTGCCTTGTCACCAAACGATATTCAAATAGACATGAAGAGTGATAAACCACTCACAACAAGTAGTGTTCCTATGATGAGCAGTTACAATACTCAATCATGTGACAGATTGCTTAAACAGGATTTGAAAAAGATGCTTAACATGCATGAATTTTCCAACGTCTTGTTGAAATTTTCTGAAACGGATCAAGTGATTCGAGCTAATGATATTATGTTATCTGCACGTTCTGAATATTTTCGAAAAGTTCTGAGTAAGGAATGGAATGACAGTAACGGTGTGGAGTTTACACCAACAAGACCCAAAGTGATCGAAATGCAGGGACTCTCATACCAAGCAGTTAAAGCGGTCGTTCATTATATTTATACGGGAGAATTGGATAATGAACTCAAGGACAATACTGGTAAAGAAAGCACCATTCCAGTCTTGTTGGAAATTTTAAAAACTGGAAATTTATTGTTGTTGACGGATATGGAACATTTAGTGACTGATGTACTAACTTCAAAAATTGACACCAAGAATGTGTGTACCATCTTGAATGAGATTTATGTCTATCAAGTGACAAGTCTCAATACTTTCTGTTTGGAATATATTGTGAGGCATTTCAAAATAATTCCCATTGATGACTTTCTAAAACTGGATCAAGAAACTCAAAAGCAAATTCTGGTGGGTATACAAATGAGCAAATGAACTGCTCGATTGCCTTAATGATGTCAAATCACATCATTTGTATTCATCTCACTCAGGTCCTTAAAGACCATGCTTTCATGCGATTCATTACATGAACAAACAGTTTTTCTTGGTTCGACGACCCCTTCTCAGAGCATGAGTGGCACCTTGTTCGATAATTTCCCGCATTACTTCAGTACTTTGAAAATCTCCCATTCGTTTTTTCCTCACTCACTCCTCAAATATGGCACTCGAACTGATGGCTCGTTTTCCACTTGTTTCAAAAATTGAATAATTTTGCAACTGATACTTTTCAATCAATTTGTGAATTATTCCTTCAGAAACGATCTTGCTGTTATGATCTTCAATTAAATGTTCATGAACAAGATCGATCTTGTTGATTGCAAAAATACATGGCACATCTGTTGAATCTTTTACTTTAACTCTCAAGCTCGTGAGCAGTATGGTGATCATCCACAGCACACACAAACACAAAAATCTGTGAACAATGAATGAAACCCACTCTCAACCTATGTGTACATTACAATTAAGTATTTATCACAATATGTAAAGCTATAATAAGTATCCTCAATTTTACTTACGCGTGATATTCTTCCGGGCCTTATTTCATGACAAACATATTTAAGAACAACATTGTAACCCATAATCACTTACCTGCAAGGTCCAAAATGCATACCGTGGCCACACTACCATCCACGTGAATTTGTTTTCGATAAATGTCCTCAATAGTTGGATCAAAATCTTCCACAAATTGTCCTGCAATGAATTGAAGAGCCAGAGTTGATTTTCCAACACCTCCAACACCAAAAAGGACAATCTTCACTTCATCTGAATTTCCAATTTCCTGTCCGTTTTTTGTAATCCATTCTTTTCGTATTTTCAAAAACAAGCTGACACATCGTTTCATACCCTTCGTTAACATTTGTTCATGCAACCATTTCATTTCTGTGACATTGCTTTTTTCGAACTGACTACATTCTTTCAAAAAGATTCTTCACCAAAGATCATTGAAATATCTTGTCACGAGAGATTCTTCATTCTCGGATGGAGAGAGGACCTTACTTTGATGAACGGTTTGAAACAAGCTGCAATAAGGAATGAAACGATGTGTGAGTTTGGTTTTAAAAAGCATCAAGATGAAAACAAACTTTGAAGAAATGGATTCAAAAAGAACAAATTCCAAGTTCATGATGGATCTCAATGATTCGAAAAAACGAATCAACATTGATGAAACGTACGATGTCGCCATCCACTTATTGGAGGCGAAGGTGTTGGAAAAAGCGCTCTTGTCATTCAACTTGTCATGAATCTCTTCATTGAGCACTATGATCCAACCATTGAGGATGTCTATCGAAAATAAATAGAGGTGTATGGTCGTTGAACCATATTGGATGTTCTGGACACGGTCGTAGGTAAGTAGATTTTCAAAAGGTGGTTTCTATCATGTTGTGAAGGTGCTGAAGAATATAGCGAGTAAGGTGTGTTTAGTGAAACACATGTTTAGTGAACGATTCGATCATCATTGAATTTGGTGAATTTCTTGATGAAATTTTTAATGTGTGAAATATTCTAGATTAAGATCTTGTTTCATGAATCGTGTGCAAGGTGTGATTTTTGTTTGTGCTGTGAATGAACCAAGAAGTGTTAAAGAGCTAGACCATTATATTGCAGTGACAATTATAGAAAAAAATTTGTCTCATATTCCATGAATTTTTGCTATTAACAAAATGGATCTCCTTCAAGAAAATTTAATCAAGATGAACCAAAGAAATGACTCTTGACAAACTCATCAAAAAGCATCAATTGAGAAATTGTTTAATATTTGAAACTAGCGGAAAAAGAGCCACCAATACCCAATCCATATTCGAGGAATGTGTTCGACAAATACGAATTGGAGATTTAGACTGTATGGATTTAATGCGTGACGTTATTGAACATGATTCGAATGTGTTCACTCTGCCAACGTCTCGAGCAGCAGCAAATGAGGTGACGATGCGAACATTTGGAACTTGGAACCAATTTCCTGTTTTCAGATTTCACCTTAAAAAAATGAAAACAAATCTATTGAATCTTCCTTCTGAAGTGTTGGTTCATATTCTCGAGTATTTATTGGTTCGTGGAGCTCCATCAATGAATAAGGTTGAGGAATTTGATTCATCGATCGACTCGTGGATGGAAAGTTGTTCTTCAAAATCGACATCGACAGCCCGATTACAAGAGTTCTTCCGACAAATCAATGCAGTGATGAGCGTTCATTCAACATTTTCAACGCTTCATTGCAAAAGAACTCGCCCATCCGAGAATGAAGAATCTCTCGTGACAAGATATTTCAATGATCTTTGGTGAAGAATCTTTTTGAAAGAATGTAGTCAGTTCGAAAAAAGCAATGTCACAGAAATGAAATGGTTGCATGAACAAATGTTAACGAAGGGTATGAAACGATGTGTCAGCTTGTTTTTGAAAATACGAAAAGAATGGATTACAAAAAACGGACAGGAAATTGGAAATTCAGATGAAGTGAATTTATACTACCTTGCCTTCAGATTGGGCGGAATGTGTACTAGACTCATTTCCCTACATTTTAGTCAAATTTATTTCAAAAGTTTTATTCAAAAAGTATACAAACGTTCTGTTCGGAGAACCCTCCTAACCTCTCTTCAATCGGTTCTTGTTCTGATGAATGAAGTGGTTTCAAGTGTTATATCAATTCTTGAACCAAAGGTGAGTCTTACTTCTTGGATGGATCATTTCCAAAAATAATCGACGGGCATCTTCGGAATCGGAACGGAGTTTGCATTTCTTCTCCGTTGGATATAAATATTCTAATGAAACAAAAACATAAGTAATAACAGGTATCCACATCTTAAAAAAATCTTTCAAACATGCTTCGTTCTCGGTTTTTCACATTTTGCTTGTTTCCTCTCATTCTGTGTCTTCTCCTCATGCATTTCAACCATGCATTGGACATGACTTTCATGCATTCCCCATATGTACAAATGAAACACGCTCATGTCCTACGAGTTCCTCCATCCTTCCAACCACTGAGTGAATCTCATCTATTGAGATCAAGAGCTTCATTAGAAAATCAACGTGTTCGATTGACCTTTGCTTTGAAACATCGAAACACTCAATGGCTGACGAAAACCTTCGAACGTGTCAGCAATCCCGACAGTGAACAGTATGGAAATTTCCTTTCAATGAAACAGGTAGCCAAATTAACAGCTCCAGAAGAATCTCATTCGAAAGCACTCTTTCAGTTTTTGAATAGTATTCCAGACGTTCGCATCACTCACATGTCAAAGCACATGAATTTTGTTACTGTGAGTATGAGTGTGAAATCCGTGGACACATTCTTGAAAGCCAAGATGACCCCATTTATGCATAAAGAGACTGGACAAGTCTTTTTCCGTTCCGTTGAAGGATTTGCTCTTCCTCTTCATGTGGCTCCTGGAATTCACACCGTTTTTGGAATTCATCACTTTCCGACCTATAAACGAAAATTGAAAAGAAGTAGACTGCATTTTAAGGGCCTTTCTCAAAATGAGACTCCATTGACCACACCTCAATCGATATGGAGGAGATATAACATGACCCGAGACGACCTGAATGTGATCTCTTTTCCCAAAAATAGACAAGCCATTGCTTCCTTTTTAGGAGAATACTATTCACCAAAAGATCTAGAAATGTTCCAACGTACCTTTAACCTCTCAAGAATGCAACCTGTCGTTCATGGTCCTAATGATGCTTCAAAACCTGGAATTGAGGCTTCCTTAGATATTCAATATGTAAGTCATTGGTCAAGACATGTCGTACGATTTTAATTTTCATAACTTTCAAAAGATTATGGCAACCGGTCAGAACATCAACACCACCATCAACTCCATTCCAGATGAAGAAACTGCTGATCCATTCCTTGATTGGATATCCTTGTTACAATCACAAGGTGATGAATGTGCCTATGTGCATTCCATTTCATATGGAGCAGTTGAAAAATACATTCCAGAAGATGTGCAAATGACTCTCGATTATGAATTTCAAAAATTAGCAATTGCTGGAAGGACTGTACTGATCGCGAGTGGAGACGATGGAGCTCGATGCAGTCAAGATGAAACTTCATTTGAACCAGGTAAGTTCATTCATGACAATGATGTCACAAAAATAATTCACACAAACACATGTTCCAACTCCTTTCGTTGCAAACCATCACATTCAAAAGAATGGCCAACTTCATCGCCCTACGTCACAAGTGTTGGTGCAACAAAACCTTCGAATCGAAACATCTACTGGAAAAATTTTTCACTCCATGGAGCGGAGGTGGTTTTTCAAATGCTTATTCTCGCCCAAGTTATCAAAACGATGCAGTGGCTTCCTACCTCTCGCAACCACACGTTCCCTCTCAGAAATATTTCAATCCTAACGGAAGAGCTTATCCAGATATTTCAGCGTATGGTGTGAATTATCAAGTCATGTGCAATGGACGTGTTGAAAATGTCGATGGAACAAGTGCAAGCACTCCGGTCGTGGCAGGTATGATTGCCCTGTTAAATGATTTGAGAATACAGCGTGGAATGAAACCATTAGGTTTTTTGAATTATTGGCTCTATAAGAAGGTGGCTGTTAAGGAAAATTTTAATGCATTCTATGATGTGACGTTTGGAAATAATGCCATGTATCCTTGTCCTGGATTTCCTGCAACAAAAGGATTTGATGTGGTGACTGGATGGGGAACTCCAAATTTTGAAGTGTTGAAAAAGATTGCCTTGGAATAGTGGTGATTTTTTTCCACATGTGTTAAGGAATTGCTGTAAATAGATCAATTTTGTTTAAAGAAAAAGTTGTAAATAAATCAATTTTGAATCGAAGTGTTAAATTGTTGCAAGCAAGATAATAAATCGTTGATTCCATTCATTCATTCATTCATTACTGTTACATAAATGTTGATTGACTAATGTTTGAATCATCAGAACTTGATCTCCTTAATCTTTCTGCTCAGTTGGAGCCAATGCAATTTCTCTCACACAAACATGAGGAGGTGCCTCATAGGCAAATAAAATCGCTGAAGCAACATCCTCTGCTTTCAACACTCCCAAACTCATTGTCTTTTTCCATTCTTCATAGGGTTCGACTTGAGCTGGATCATTGTGGCCCAACAACTCAGTTTGTGTCACCCCAGGCTCAATGACAATCACTCTCACTTTTGAAGAGCTCACTTCGCTTCTCAGTGCTTCTGTCAATCCACTTACAGCAAATTTGGTTCCACAGTACGCTACGTGATTAGCAAAACTCTTCTTTCCTGCAATGGAGCTAATATTGATAATTGTTCCTTGTTGTCTTTCGATCATATCTTGCAAGACGACATGAATACCATTCAGGACTCCCATCACATTGGTTGAAAACATTTGTTGCTGCCTTTGCAAGGATTGTTCAGCCAATGATTGCAAAAACATGACGCCAGCATTGTTGACAAGACAATCAATGGGAAGATGGAACTTTTCGTGAGAGAGCTGGACTGCTTTCGCGATTGAATCCACATCGGTTACATCACATTCCACAATGAGAGTATTCTCTGGTGACAAAGCATTGGATTGGTCTTCCAGCAACTGTTGGAGCATGTTCACACGACGGGCCAAGAGAAGGAGTTTGTAACCCTTCGAAGCGAGAGCAATGGCTGTGGCTGCTCCGATGCCAGAGGAGGCTCCGGTGATAGCGACGAGTTTGTTGTTGGATTGAGGACTGGTCATTGTGAATGCACAGGATTAACTCTCACGATATTAGTCTTGTTGAGGAATGTGAATTTTGTTTTTGTTGATATTCTTCTCTCAGTATAGGCACAACGAGAAGAGCTTTTACGAGTATTTCACTCCGGATTTAGGGCGCACAAAGTGTGTACAGTGCAGGATTGTAAAGTGTGGAGGAACACGTGTGCGCGTTCAGGAGTTGAACACATCGCGGTAGGTCCACTTCGCTCTGCTGTGTGGCACAAAATTCGCGCAGAAACCACGATATCGTTCCTTCATCATTGTTCAATAGGAATCATAGTATTCTCTATAATTATCAATTCCATCTCCATAGATGCCAAAGGAACAAGACAATTCAGGTCTATTGCTGGACTTGAATATTTGGGCTCTTCTCCTTTGTTGAAGTTCCTTAAAAAATTGCACTCTTGTGGTGACGGTGTGAGCGAGTACGTGTCCTCCAACAGGTTTTACTTTTGGTGATCCTTTGCTGCTGTTCGGAGAATGGAATGGAGAAGGTTTTTCTAATGCATCCATCACTTGATTTGTAATCACAATTGGAATGTTGAAATCTTCAGAGAGCTTGATTAGAGATTCTAGATATTGACCTAGCTTGTTTTGTCTTTCACAAATTCCATCTCGATTAAATTCAGTTCTGAACAAACCTGTTGCACTGTCAATGATGATGAGTCGGTATGGATTTTGTTGGTGCTGTTGTTGATGCATGTTGAGAAGTTTTCTCATTTCATTTACATTCTTAGTTTGTTGGTCACAATTATAAACACGAGAATATGAAATATTATCTAGAGTTTGTTTAGGATCCAGCTTGAAGCGTTGCGAAATTTGATTCAATCGTTCAGGTCTAAAAGAGCCACAGGTATCAATATATATGACTTTTCCTATTGGAGATCCAGCTTCGTTTGGTATTTGGGCAGTGACTGCAAGAGTATGACAAATCTGAGTTTTTCCTGACGACGATTCTCCAAAGAATTCCGTCAATGATGATGACTCGACACCACCAGCAAGTAATTCATCAAGGTCACTCGAACCTGTTTTGACATGATATCTCCTTGAAACCATTTGATAATGATATTCAGATGCAGTCGTAAAACCAAAGGGTGTACATGAGGGGTCTAATGATTGAGCAGCACAAAGGATCATTTCATAATCTTGATTTGAAATTTCCTTAATAGAAAGTACAAATCTTCTTTGTGAGAAAAGTAAAGCCTGAACCGTTTGAATACCTAGATGATGTTTCAATAATTGTACAATACATTTTGCTCTGTGAAGTCGTTCTGGATTGGTAGAAATTATAGTTAATATGCTCTCAATTGGCATCGTTTCAATAGAAGTGAACTGCTCCTCCAGGTTTGTTGTTGTTGCTGTGGATTGACTATCAAAGCTTTCGTTTGGAGTTGTGGTCAGAGAGGATCCCATTTGCGTGTCGTTATTGCTGTTGCCATCATCATACAGTTGCTCATTGATGCTATTGTTTTCCAAAGACTCGGCAGATGATGATTCCAAAGCGGATGTATCACTATTGAGAGTAATGAATGGCGTTTGAGGAAGAGGTGGTAATTGATGTTGTGCATTCTCTTCCTCCTCGGAAAGGATCCCTTGAATCATTTCAAAATCAATATCTTCCTCTTCTTCCTTTACGGGCATTGAAGTCTTGAAATTAGGCTCATCTAGTTCATCGTGATGATACTGCTGCTGATTTGGAATAGACTCATCAACAAGTTCAAAATCTGAAAGGTCATAATATTCCTCAGTTCCGAGAGTATTCTCCTCTTCTAGATGATGAATCGGATGTTGATGATCATTATATGGTGGTGATGAACATGATGATTGTGTTTGTAAATCATCCGCAAGTTCCGAAGTTTCATCCCGATGATCATCCTCACTTTGAGCCTCAGATTCTTGGCTATCCGTAAGTTTTCTCTTCTTCTTGTTTAAGCTAATCATAATTACGGAAATGTCTTTTTGAAAATCAAATCATCATCCGAAAAAATAAGACGACCACCACTCGATTTTTTTTGAATGGAAATCAAATTTTTTTGTTGGAGAAAAAAGTTCGAGTGGACGCTCGACCATTAGTTTCTCTAGTGGATCCACAAGAGATTTCCAGTCCCTCGGGAATTGGCTTGATCAAGCGAAGGTGCAAGGAAAATGATGTTTTGTAAACTTCTGTGCTATTGCTGGATTTTTTTTCTCCGAGAATGCTTTTGATTGGTCGGAGAGCCAAACATCATTTTCAAGAGGTAATTTGTAGTGAAATCAAAGTGTCAGAGTAAACATCTCGAGCGTTTATTATTGAAAGATAAGCACTCTTTTATTGTGAGTATCACACACATAGAGTTTTCCAAAAACAGTATCCAAGCACATACTTTCAGGGTAAAAAAATTTGCCTCTCTTTGAGCCGAATTCACCAAATGATTTCTCCAGAGTACCATCCTGAGCAAATACAAGTATTCGATGATTATGAGTGTCACATACTAGGATTCGATTGGAAGTTTTATCGAAAATCATCCCCGAAGGCCTATTAAAGTGATTTCCATCCTGGTATCCCTTACTACCATAAGCATGAACTTGTAACCATTCATCATCATCAATATTGAATCTCAAAATTTGAATTCTATTGGTTTCTTCACTGACAACAACATCTCCGAAGGTGGTTAAATCAATTCCAATAGGTTTTGAAAGATGTCCATTCAATGAAATACTTTCCAAAAATTCTCCATTCTTTGAATTAAGAATGTCCACACAATCACGAGAATGATTACAAATAAACACTTTTCCAAAATTTGTGACCATTTCTTTAGCAGTTTCTAAAGGATGTGTAGATTTCCATAAAAAGTTTGAACATCGTTCATTCATATTTTTCATGGCTTGTTCCAATAATTTTTCCAAATTGTACTTGTACACAATCGTTCCATTGTTGCAGTTAAATAAAAGAGCATCGCTTCTTTTTTCATCATAATTTTCTTCAATGCAAATATATCTTGGTCGAGAACCTACAAGAATGGAAGCTTTCAATTTTTTGTTGAAATAATCAAAAACATGAATTCGTTCACCACACAAATCCGAAACGAGAATACATTGGCAGGAATAGGATATTCGTACATTGAGGGGAAAGCATGATTTTGGTAAATTTAGCAATTGATCGGGCTCGTTCGGAGGAGGTGATTCAAATTTCATGGAAAATTCTTGCAATCTCCGAGTACGTAATTTGAATTTCAGAAATTTAACAAGTGTTCCGTGGTGATCAACGAGTGGTAGTGATCCAGATTTTGCTATGAAATCAGTTAGCTCTATGCGCACAGTTTGATGTTGTGACATTTTTTTTATAATATATACCTTTAAACCTTTTTTCAAACAACATTCTGAAGAGCCATATGATCAAATGGTCAACATAGTACGTAGGTTAAATAATCAATAGGAGGTGATATTTAATTGAGCGATTGTGACGGAAAACTAGTATTTATTTTCTCCTAGAAAGGAATTTCTTGTGTTCTTCTTGAACATAAGCTCTTGCTTTTCCCAAAATATTCACATCTTTGACATTAAACAACACAATATCTTTGTCAGGAGATCCCTCTTCTCCATTAGGATTCAAACATAATGCATCATAGTGATCTCCTGTGTAAATGATTAAAGCCATGGCTGTGTACTCATCATGGTCGCTGCCATAAACGTCTTCTCTACATGTGGTTGTGTCAAATGCAATGATTCTCACTTTGTAGTATGCAGAAAGAATGGAAATTTCAATTGCTCCTCCCCAAGTGTCTGCAGATAATTAAATTGACCATTAAGAAGTAATAAATATTCGATTAAGAAAAGAAATTAGATCACAAAATTCAATATTAGTGACAAGTACCTTCATGCAAGATCCAATTTGCGTATTCAATATTTCTCATTCCCAAAAATTCAGTAGTATACACCTTTGGATTTTCAGCGACATAATGAGCACAAATTTCACGCAATTCTTTCACTTTTCCATTATTCTTTCCATTTAAAACATAGGATAAGCTGTGGAAGAGACATGAATTGTCAGATGGTTGCTTTCTTCTCACAAAATAACCTTTTGTAAAATTATGTTTTGATTTTGATTATAAACTGCGTTAAAACAGTGACACTTACCAACATTGGTCGATGGCGGAACATAAGGACCAACATTAGTTCCTTTCACAATCTTTCCACTCGATCCAGTATCTTCTTCAATAATAATCTTTTCTCCATTCGCGATTTTTAAATCTTTCAATGTGGATGATCCATTCTTCAAAAGATCTACTTTTGTTGGAGGAAATCCAACTTTCAAAGAAATAGCACATTGTTTCAAGGACGTAGGTATGGAATCGTGCATAAGCAGAGAATTGACTAAATCATCCAATGTGGCTGTGGTGTCGGATTGAAGTTGCGGAAGATCAATAACAATCGGAGCTGATTGCGGAAGAGAAACTCTAAATTTCATTTCTATAACGATCTAATAATTTACAGAGTGATGGTACAAGGAAGAATATCTAATGATACAATGAATGGTTGATCAATAGGATGTCCAGAGATAATTGATAAAGTGATGATCCTGCTCTATGACTTGTTGATGAAATCAAAGCCTTTGCTTTTGACAATTTTTTTTAGAAAAATTTATTAAAAATAATCTTTTGGGTTCCGAACCATCCTACATGTTTCTATTCGAGTTTTCTTCGACACGAATCTTCATATTGATACCCATTGCAGATAATTCAGAATATAAATACTTTGTAGTGTACGGTATGTAAATAGTTCTCAAATATTCTCCAGTTCGACACATGCTACAAATTAAATGATCGACATTATTTTCTGGGAAGTGAGGAACGTGGCCTTGTGGAATTCCTAGATCTGGTTTGACCACAGTATTCATTTGAGAGCATTGCGTACAAACAATAGCTGTAGAAGAGTCGGTACAATCAAAGAATCGATCTTTCAAAACTGCAGAAGCACCATAGGCAACAAGAGCATCTCTTTCCATTTCACCCATACGAACACCACCTGCCTTTTTTCTGCCTTTCACAGGTTGGTGAGTGATAGCATTGGTTGGTCCTCCAACACGGCATTGATACTTATCAGAAACCATGTGACGTAATCTTTGATAATACACAATTCCAATATAAATATCAGCCTTCAAAGGTATTCCTAGAGGACCAGAGTACATAACTTCATTTCCATAATAATTGTATCCTGCCTTTCTTAATTGTTCTCCAAAGTAGTCAATGGCTGTATTTTGCTCATCAAAAGTAAATGGTGTAGCATCTGGGAAATAACCATGGAGTGCTCCTGCCTTTGAGGACATGGATTCGACCAACATACCAATGGTCATACGTGAAGGGAAAGCGTGAGGATTAATGACAATGTCAGGTACAATTCCAGACTCTGTGAATGGCATATCTTCTTGAGGCCAAAGAATGGATAACACACCCTTTTGACCGTGTCTTGAAGAAAATTTGTCACCAATAATTGGATTACGATTGAGTCGGAATGTCACTTGGGCACGTTTGATTTTCTTATAATCGGCTGGATCTGTAGCAATGACCTTAACACTATGAACGGTTGCAGAGTCAACATCTTTCCACTTCATTGGGAAGAATTTTTGTTTTTGAGGATCGAAATAATTGGCAAAAACGGTGCCTTCTTCCAGTGTCAAACCAATTTCAGGAAGACCATCATAATCCAAATCATCATATTCCTTATTGTCATAATCAGCGTCAATTTCTGTCTTGTTGAATGTTCTATTGGTAAGGAACGATTCAGACTCTGTCAAATCGATATCTTCAGTCTTAAATACTGTACCATGCATCATGCCTCTCTCAAATGAGGTCTTGTTCATAATCATGGCATCTTCCATATCGTAACCTGTATAGGAAATGACTGCAACGACTGCATTACAACCATTATTGAATTCGTCAAATGGTAAATCAGTTTGGTGTTTCGTTCTGGTTAATGGCTTTTGTGGTAATTTCATGTCGAACAGCTTGGTGTCCACTCTGTGGTCGACGCTATGAAAAACTGCAGCCATGGATTGCTTGGCCATTTGACATTGGTAAATGCAACGTGGAGACTGATTAAAGTTACAAAATGGTGTCAAGTTGCCAAGGAAGCTCATAAAGTTGGTTGGATCAATTTCCATGTGAGTGGTTTGAGGTTTGATATCATCTGGAGTCACGGCAATGCTCAAAAAAACTTGTTCACCGCTTCCAATCCATTCTTCTTGATTGGTGGGAAGATATCTAACGGGTCTCATGGCTCTAGCAATATCAGTTAAAATATTAAGCTGTGGTAAATAAGGAATGTCCATGGAAGTGTACTTTGGTTGGCATGCAATTTCCATATATTTTGGAAGTCCAAATTTGCCTGAAACTTTGCAATATCTTAATTGATCTGCAAATGTTTGCAATTTAGAGTTGGCAACTTTACCAATGATGGTACCATCCAACATAATTGGTGCCTCTTCCTCAATAGAAATTGAAATGCACTTTTCTGTTGTAGAGGGAATCATACCCAAACGTTTGCAGGTTTCAACAATTTGAGAAAGTTCCTTTGGTCTTGCTGGTGTGGTGACAATCTCGGTTGTGTGGGACAAGTGGTTCACTAAACCACACAAGTGACCGTCAGGAGAGTGAACAGGACAAATGAAGCCCCAGAATGATGGAGTCAATCTTCTCATACGTGTAGAATTGGATTCCAAAAATGCAATACCTCTGTGAGTGGCTCTAAAGTGAGAAATAACTCTCAAGAAATTAATTCTTTCAAGCTTAGTGAAAAGGGCACGAGTTTGAGACAACTCTGGGCGGTATGGGCTAGCAACCATCACATCACCCACGCTGAATAATCGTGTAATGTCCGCTGTGCAAGACTTTGGTAAAATGTATTTTGATCTTTCACGGAAGAGAGTCAAATATCGTTGTTCAGCAAATTGTACTTCACTGGGAGAATTACGTAAAAGTTTTGCGATCACACCATGCACCATTTGTATCTTGTTGTAAATAATTAGCGGAATAGTATTGGCCAATAATTCTCCAACAGTTAACAATTCATGGTTATCAAAATCGTCCAAATTTTCCTCAACAATTTCACCGTCCACAAATTTGTATAATTTTTGAATGCAATAAACCAAAAAGTCAAATTTCTTTTGACATTCGGAAGCTGTTGGAACAGTTCTTAAAGACTCTGTACTTCCTCCATCTCGCATAAGTTCCTCATCTTCGTTCTCATCGCAAAACATTGGCAAAATTATATTCTTCAAAACTTCTTGACCTGCTTTGAGCAATTTTGTCTTGTCAACAGGACATTCTTCCAATCGGCGTAGTCCACTTGGATCATAAATAGATCCTAATGCTATAATGGCGTCCTCTCTTGTTTGAATCATTGGGAATGTCTTTCTATAATCGGCCAATAATTCAACTACACGATCCAAAGTGACCTTGTTCTTGGTACCTGCTGTCAGCAACAAGAACAAGTCCCTGTCTGAAACTTCTCTTAAAGCCTTCAAAGCTAAAATAACGTTAATATAATAAGGAACAGGATTACCTGCTCTCATGAAAACGACACCATCCTTTCTATAGTGAATATTCACAAGACGCGTAATATAAGTTTTAGGATGTCTACATCTCACCAAAATACCCTTATCTGTGAAATCTTCTTTATAGCCTGTCCATGATGGTCTAGTCAGTGCAAATGGATAATTCGAACGTTGTTGAGTCAATAAACGATAAACCACTTCACTTCCTCTCACAATAAAATAGCCACCAGGTTCATGCTCTTCTTCACCCTGCAACATCTTTTGTTTGGGCGATAGAGAAGGCAAATTACAAAGAGAAGAATTTAGCATGACTGGAAAATCTTGCATAATTTCAATGTCCTTCAAATATTCAACAGTGCCTGTGTCTTCATTCTTCAATCGCACTGTAACCTTCATACTACCTCCATAAGTCAAACTTGCAATACGGGCATCCTTTGGATACATTTCTCTTCGAAGTCCAAACCGTTTCACTTGTGCTGCTTCTTTTTGTAATTGATGGATAGTTTTTGAGGATTCATCCTCTTCCTCCGATACTGGTTTATCAGCCAATATAGTTTGGTCAATTAAATTATCTCCCACTATTGGCTTTGAGAGTGTAATGGACTCAATGGTGGCCATATATCTCAGTGTTACTTTGTCATTTGTTGGTTTTACTACTGGCTCAATGCCGTCATCATCTTTTGAAGGACGTGTATTCACTCGGGCAGTTTTTTGAATTTTAGTGAGAACTGCTTCTCCTTCGTCTTGTAAAAGGTCCTCGGCATCACCTTTTTGTCTCCTTCTTCGTTCTTGTCTAAATCGAACTTTTTCCTCATTCTGTTCTACAGTCAATGGAAACAAGTGAAGAGGAAACATATACTTGGAAACATTGGACAACATTTCACTGGTGAAATTATCATACGAAGTAACATGAGGCTGAATCAATCGGTCCATGTAGGGTTTAAACATTTCGCTTGTTGGTTCTCGTTCTCCCATCAAGTAATAATTTGACTTCTTGATGGCAGACATCCTTTCTGGTTTGTTTCCGTTACCAGAAATGGCATTTCTCTTCTTCTTCGCATCTCCCGAAGAGAGACCTCGCGATGATGAAGTATTTGAACTTTTCGAGAGTGGTCTTGTGTTGTTGGACGAGGCTGATGATGACTTCATTTTTTTTGTCCAAGCAAAAAAATGTTGAACGACCGAAAATGAAAATTCGTTTGTTGTTGAAATTAAATTCTTCTTTCTGGGAGAGAAGAGGAGGAGACTTGCTTGGAGAGAACAGAATAAGGACCACTCTTTGAAAGAACTTGGAGATTGAGGTTGGCTAAAATTCCAAAGAACAGTATCACAAATCCTCTTTGAAAAAAATAGATAACGAATTTTCTTCTTGATCATGACTCTCTTCTGAGTGTTTTCAAACTTTTAAATCCTATCAACTGATAGTGTGTTGTGCCTGTAGGGAGTAGAATCATACTAATCGCGAGTAGTAATGTCTTAGAATTTCTAATTGGTTTTATTTTCATTGGATTAAGAGAAGCTTTACAACATGATCGTAAAACCATAAAATTTTCACAAATGCTTATCAGTGTTCAAATTTCAGACGCCTTAATTGATTGACGCATTGAAAATGTAATTGTAGAAATCTTGAACGAATTTCTCTCGTTTGAAGGTCATTACCGCTCGTCCATTCTTTCCACGTTTTTGATTGACAAGTTGAATGGCATCTTGAACTGACATTTTCCACACTGATACGAGTATACAAGCAAGAACCATTCCAGTTCGAGACAACCCTGCCATACAATGCACCACAATTCCCTTATTTTGTACATTTCCAGTATTTTTCACATATTTAAAAAGTTCGACGATTTTCTCAACCATTCCAAAATTATTTGGAGTGCCATAATCATCGATTGGGAAATGAGCAACGTTTAGAACTCGATTATCAAACTTCAAATCGTTGACACTTGAAATGGTGTGCATTTTCTTGTTGCCATTATGTTCATCACCATAAACAAATGCAGGTAATTTCTCATTCACACAGATCACTAAACCAACTTGAAAAGGTTCCGATAATAAATTTTCATAAAACTGCGATTCATTTGGAAATTTCATGCCTGCCAACTCTCGATCGATAATCCAAGAGAACCCTGGTACGAGTTGTTCATTCACATATTGCAGACATGATGAACCATGTAGAGTAGGAGGGTGTGCATCAGTGATGGATGTCATTATTAACAATTTTTTTGTTTGAATAAACAGTGACTTTAGCTGCAGTTCCTGTTCCGTGTAAATTTAATCGTTGTAATGAATTATTATTTAGTTCATTAATTCATTCTCAATAGCTTTTGTGATTTCTTTCCAATCATGAGCTACGGTGGGAGTTTGAGATGAAATTCTGAAATTATTTTCTTGAAGTATCTGAACAGGAATGCCAAACTTGGAGCAATACTCTAGAATATGGTGATGCCTTTCAGGAGGAAAATAAAAAACTCCATTCGTCTCTAAAATGCATCTCATATCATTGAACGAATCTCCAATGTACACACTTCGACTAGTGTCTCTGCTGAGAAATAAATGATGTCTTAGTGACATTAACTTGTCCATAGAGGTGACACATTGTTTGGTCAAAAAAGTTCCATCTGTCAAGTTATTCTCATCAAACCTCAAATCATTAGAATAAATATAAATATTTGGAAAGCATGAATGTTCAGTGCTCCAAACTGGCTCCTCATTGCTTGCCAGTCTATTGATCGGCCTTAACCTTAACTTCTTATTGACAAGTGGTTGAACTTTTTCTATAAGAAAACTTTCAATTACGTCCAAAGACCAATTACTCGATAAAATACACAATTCAATTCGATTATTTTTACAATTTTCACCAATGTTGCAAATCAAATCAAACATGGTTTCACAATTCACGGCCAGCTCACTGTTAAATTTGAAAATGAGCGATTTCAAATCATCTTTAGAAATTCCTTTCAAAACTTGCTGGTTTTCCACACCAGTGACTCCAAACAATTCTGCACGATCCAAACCATCCAAGAATTGAGAAAAATTATTCAAATGTTTTCCGTCATTCAGAGACTTTTCATACTTTTCCATAAACGAGCTTGAAATATTTTTCCAACTTTGCAACAATTCAATATTTGAAGCATGTTTTGCAATGGCAAGCTGAGGAATTAATGTACAGGTATCTTTCCGGGTGAGAGTAGCATCAAAATCCATAAAAATTCGCAAAGAAGCTCTACCACTCGCATTATTACTCGTATTCTTCATAGACTGTTGTTCTTGTCGAGACAACATCATTGAAAAGTTTTGTTGATGAAATGAGAGATTAAAATTTCCAACTAATGCTCCGTAACAAGACTCTTTCCGAGAGAGTTTTCCAACAACCGGAATCCAATTGAAAAATCGACTAGTACTATTCAAGGATGATCCAAATCTCCCATTCCCACTCACACCTTCCACACCCACCAACAATAATTGTTGTCTTCTCATTACTTCTTCCGATAGTTGTAATATTTGAATGAAAGCCTTGAACGATCAAATTCGGATTTTTTTTTGTGAAGTCTCTCGAATTTTCCATCATCAACAGCCTCAATTCGTTTCTATTCTGACAAGAAGATGGCTCCTAGGCGTATGAATAGCACAAAGGCAAAGGAGAGAATGACTCATGAGTGAACCGGAGGTGAGGGAGTACAAATAGAATGTGAAAATCCGTTGAATTACAAAAAGTTTCAAAACAATCAAAACAATCTTGAACGTGTGAAATGATTGGACAATCTCGGTTGACTTACCAAACCTAAATGAAGGAGAAAAAAAAGTGAAAAGGTCAACGATCATAATCTTAACGTTTACGAACTAACGTTGATGTGCCTCTTCATGGAAAATCAGAATGAAATCAACATTCCATGATCCAATCATGTGAGAAACCTTGCATTTTCGGAGATTTCTTTGCATTCTCTTTGAAGACCTTTGGACATCTTGATGTGTTCCAAACACGTGTCATCCTTCTTCGATTTGAATTATATCAATTCTTCACATGTGCAATTCCAATTCAGGTTCTAACAAAAAAATGACGGAATTTACTGTTCTCGAGATCCTGTTCGAGGATGACGACACTGATGCGCATGATCGGCATCATCATCATTGCGAGTTGTATGATCGTTGCAAGAATCACTGTTCATTATCTACAGCCACACATGTAATGGCAATCAAAGTGTTCATTCCTCCTGAAATATTGATTGAGATTTTTCAATATTTAGATCGGGATTCATTAGTGCGGATATCTTCTGTAAATTCGGGTTTTGCTGAAATTTCGAAAAGATCAATTTTGTGGAAGTTGTTAGTGCAGAACGATTGGAGATTGTTGAGAGGAATAAATACTTCAAACAATGAAGCATCATTACTGCAATCGGATACTTTGGAAACACGCAACAACAACGAGTTTGAACTTGTTCCGCAATCCGAAGTTCATGAAGACAACACGATGAGAATTTCAACCAACGATCTCGCGAGAGAACATCACGAAGAACAAGATTATTATGAATTGTATAAGGAAAGATATTCACAGTATAAAACTTGGAGAAATAGCATTGCATTTATATATGAAGAAGAAAGAAACCAATATATCAACAGGATTAACAACTCGAGTTCCCCGTCTTATTTAAAGGGCTATCTGATGTATTTATTGTCGTATCCCATTCTGTATATTCGATTGCTGAGATTTTTATTTATTTCACCACAGGAACAACCTGATTACGGACTCACGAACGAAGTAGAATATATCAAGCAGAAGGCACTTTCGGCAGGAGGATCTTTGTTATTGCTGATCACGTTCGTTCCAATAATTTTCAGCACCTTAATTTCAGGAATATATCCTCAAATGCCAACTCTAACTTTCATTCATATAATATTGCAACTGGCCTTAATTACAATGTATGGACTTTCACACATCTACAACAAGATGGATAAGAGTATAAGCTCATATCCACAACCAAGCTATTTATTTGGCCTTATTGGCGTTACTGCTTTCATTACTTTAGTGTTGATGAGATATGTGGATGATTTATTGTCATGCTCATTAGTAGTATTTCAAACATCAATTGCTCTCGGATTAGCAACTTCACTCAATCACATGATTTCAAACACAGAGGTTGTTGATGAATTATTTGGAAATAATAATGGGCCAAATACGGCGCCTCCATTTGTCACATGCATGATTCTAGCAAACCTTGTGTCGCTTGTAGTTGTAGTAGGTGGATTTAAGGCAGTTCTTCTAACAATTATACTCATTGCAATTTTCACAGGTGGTAGTACGGGTGGTGACATTGGAGAACTTCTCAGACTCATCGACTTTAGGACCATTGTGTTCGCCATTGTCGCAGGATTGAGTGTGTCAGTATTTTTTCTTGCTAAAAACAATGTGGGAGGTAATTTCAAAAAGAAGAGATTTGTTCGACAAAGTGTGGCCATTCTGCTGCTCGTTTTGTTGATCCTGTCTTTCATGACACTATTCTGGAGATTGGTCGCCATTCGAAGTGGCACACAAGTCAGATGGGAATTATCCTTCTTTAATCTTGACTACGATGCTGATTACAACAGTAGAGGCAGTAATAAGACGAATACCTCGCAAATAGCTGCTGTGTCTCACTAATGTGGGTTTCCACAGATAATAATTAAAATTAATAATTAAAATTCAATTATTATTATTATTGGAATTCAAAAAAATCATCAAAAAAAATAATGCAACATGGAGAGGAAATTGTTCATCCCCGAGACCATCACAACGGCACAACTACTTTGATCAATAATAACAACAGAAATAACATGAATGCACCTACGAATTATACGGATGAGAACACTCGGATTATTCATCACGATGAAAATTATCATCCAGTACTGGATAAGGTCGAGGAATCTGATCATGAAGGCTCGCATGCATCGGAAAAAAGTTGGACAGGCGAAGATGATGAATTGTTTGATCAGTTAATCTTGGATTTGTCCAATTCGCTCCAAGAAAACCATGATGTCAATGGTGAGGATGGATTTGAACATACTTCTGTTAAAAAGCTGAGAGAAACATTAAATCAACAATTTATTGCTGAATTAAAAGGAACTGAAAATCCTGCTTCAGAAGTGAAAACTGAGGAAATAGATGATGAAAATATTACAGAGCATGGGAGTGTACAATTTAAAAATTCTACGACTCAAGATGACAAGTTAACATACCAAGACAATATAGAACAACAATCAACACGAGAGAGTGCTGAATCTAATGCTCCTAAAGAATCATTTAGAGAATGGTTAGAAATGAATCGAAAGGTCATTGATTTAGAAAGAGAATGCGAGTCATTAGAAATTTTGGAATTATTTGTTCAACATAAGGAACGAGAGTTTTTGAAAAAAATAATTTCTCACTCAAACCAAGACTCTACGATTGTTGACAAGTTATTCTTCAGAGACGCTAAAAGAAAACCAACATCTAAAGAATGTGTAAACCATTCTAAAAATGATATTAATGATGATGCAAATTCTTGCAAAAAAGAACTACAGAAAAATCAAAACTGTAGGTTGTTTAATTGTCAATTTTACAAGCCATCGACACAATGAAAATACTAGACAGAATCAAAGCTAAATCTGAAACTTTTACAAAATATGTTCTTATTTCGGCCGCAAATTATTTTTTACCAATCTCTTCAATTCATAAGAATGCCAAAAACGAAATGATTTCCTCACTATCGAATGAATCACATCTAATAACAGGAGACACCTCATCATCAGACGAGGAGGACAATATACGAAAAATACCTAAGCATACCCAAAAACGTTCCATTATAACCTTTAACACAACATCGTCAACCAGTGCTCCCACTGTTCAGCGTACAACCAATGTTAATGTCTATCCAACAAACCAATTTCTTGATAAGTACCATGAAGGAGTTGATTATTATGACACTTTTAAAGATGTGATTGTGGGAGGTGACTTGGAAAATGGAGGGCCCGTTAAAGCTGTCGCTCTCATCTCTGAACAAAATCTCCAAAAGAGAGTTGAAACTTTGTTTGGGATAGACATGTCAGAAGAGAGTTGGATTCACTTCAAAAATTATATTCGAAAACTTGTATTGGATCACAACAATGAGGATATTATCACAACTAGCGGAAAAAACATAACACACCTAACCGAAAAAGAAACTGAATATTTGAAGACGATATATCCTCTCAACAATTCGGACCACTCGACTCAAGAAGCAATTAAATGGAATAAGCCTCCTGAGGACTCAAGTAATAGGCGAAAAAACACAAACAATTCTTCAAGAATAAGGTCATATATCGCAAATATAAGAGCTCTCAAATTACTTTATGGAGTATCTGGTTATGGCGAGAGCTTACTATCTGACTCTTTTCCTCCACTTTACTCTCCAGAAAATTTTTCGATTATTTTCTCAACAAATTCCACAGATGAAGAAAAAAAGACAGCCATTGAAAATGAAATAAGAAATCTTGAAATTAGACAGGTGAACTCTTCTTCTAAGGAAGAATTTGAATGGATACAAGGTATCATCAAAAAATTGAGAGAGAAATACGCAAATATTGCTTCAAATATTTTGTCAAAGCCTTTAGAACTTTCTGAAGAGCACTGGAAAGAGCTTGATGAATTAGTTGACGAGATGGATCGAAAAATTCAAATATTTAACACAAAATATGAAGAGTCATCTATTATCGAAATACCTAGTGACCAATTTTCCAAGCCAAAGATCGATATCAAAGAAGATACAATTTCAACTGTTGTTCCTTTAGAAAATACCTACACAAATCAAACGACGAGCCCTACCTCATGGAAAACACCTCTTTCAACCTCCAATGCACTCTCTGTCGATAGCAGAGATCTCGCCAAAGCAGAGATGGAAGAAATTAGAAGTCTTATCGCCGAGAAAGGTTTTTCCATTGAAATGCCTTCACAAAGCACCGAGAGTATGTCCTTTAAAAAAATCGAACAACTTACAAAGAGAGACACTGAATGGCGCAATATTGACGATTTCACTACACTTCCATTCACGAATGAACAACATGTTTTTGGTTCCAAAATTTACCCTATCAAAGAGATGGCACAGATGCTTAACAAGTTTAAGAATGGAGTTTATAATAGTGTAAAGGGCTTCAAAATTTTTGGGGTGTCACCGAGTGATAGTTCAAACAAGTATGACTGGGACGTTGGAACGAGATTGAATGCTGATAGAAAAGCCCTAGTTTCTCCCTATGGAATTAATTTGGAAGCATTCTATAATTTTATTTTCCAAAAAACACACCTCTCCACAAAACATGCATTAACAGAAACCAAGAAAATTGCCAGTTTTTTCTTTACTGATCCTCTGAATGTTGACGAAGAAAAACAACAATCACTGAGCAAACTCGGATTAAAAATTAGGAACATGTATCATGCTGTCATGAAGTCAGATTCCTCCATTGGAAACATGATTTTGAATGCTATGAATCACTCGAGGCTGCGATCATACTACATGTCAGATAGCGAAAAAAAGAAGTGGATAGAGAATGCCGATAAAGTGCAATCAGAAAATGAACAAATGAACAAATTAGTACAAGAGGGCATCCAAAAGGAAGTTCAACAGTCGTACGATACCGGATCTACGTATTATTTACAAAATACGTTCCAAATTGATAACAAAATTTGGGAGCCTGTGGACTTAGTGCATTTTGCTGTTGGAACTGATGTTTTTAAGATTGTAGAGACTCTGAAACGTGATGCCATGCAAGAGGCGTTTCAACAGTTGAAAAATTTAGGAATCAACATTCCTCACAACTGTACTGTGGAGGATTTTATTTCTCTTCGAACATCGAATACAGCAACTGACGCTCAGAATAGCTTTCTTCTTCCAAGAATTCATGAAATTATCCAAGAGCGATTTGATAAGCTGTCACTACTGCACTTGGAAAGCTCAGTATTACAAATTGAATCAGATCTCTCCTCTAAAAGTCTTTCTGGATTGGAGCCAACAGACAGCGAAAAAAAGAATCTTACGCTTCTCAAAGAAAAATTAGAAATAGAAAGAGAACGACTGAAAAACATTCCTGATACAGCATCTACCATAACTCCTTTGGAACAAGCTCGATTGGAAAAATTAGGTATTTATCAACAATCACTTAAAGCAATTACTGTGAAATCTACCAAAGAGCAGCTGGATCGTGAGAAAGAATTACTGTTAGAACGAGAATTTAGAATATTAGACCAATTATTGGACCAAATGAACAGAGAACAGAGAAGAGAATTGCTTTCTATTCGATCCAAAGATAACAGTGCACTTGCATCGCTTCAAAAACATCAAGAGGCAATCAAAAATTATGCAAGATTACGATCTTATTACAATCAAATTGCAAGAAAGGACTCCACATTAAGAGAGTGGCAATCATTGACACTCAAAGAAAAGGTAGCTTTTGAAAAAGAGTTTAAAAAACAAGCAAAAGGAGAATACGAAGATATCGTACAATCGGTCACAAGAATGATGCAGAGTAGTCAGTTTGCTGAGACTTTTTCTTTTGTTGCATCAGGATTAGCGAAAATGATTGCAGATAAGAAGAAACAAAACACAGAGTTGGAGAAGGTTCTACTCGCATCGTTAGACAACGAAAGGCAAATTCTTGAAAGCTTTACAAAAGACTTTATCAAAAAGAATGGAATCGATCAAAGATATCGAGCAAAGCAATTGGCCAAGTTTAGAAAACTCGATCCATCAGAAAAGAGATTAAGGGAAGTGTACAATTATGATAATTATGACTCCTCCATAGTGTCACAACCCTTATCGAATAGCCCAACTCAAAACACTCCGAAAACAAAAGTCGGAGAATCTTCTCAAACCATACATGAACTCAAACTTGTTGAAGAATTAATCTCCAACGAGTTCACACAAGAAGAAGTTCAATCTTTGGTTTCACATCACAACGAGATACAACACAGTACGAAAAGAGAACGAATTAATTTATTAAGCAAGTTTTCCTCCAAATCTACAGACAACCTTCTCGTTATTCAAGACACGGAACAAGATCCAATCTTTAGCATTCTCAACATGAAGCCATCCGAGTATTTGACATTGGCACAACAAGAACTCTACAGAAAATTATTTCATACTCAATTTTCATCACGTCTCACACAGTGGAGAAGCAATACTGAAAAATCGATTGAACTCTCCGTCTCTCCTCACTTTTTGAAGAGTGACCATCCTCTCGCGGTCAAAAACTCGATCATCAATGACTATGATGGCTTTGTGTCCAAGTCACTTCCTTACTCCATGAATGACAAGAATGAACAGTTAGCATCACCACTCTTTTCATCGACTAGCACTACGATCAACCTTCAGGAACCAATCTTTCCAGAAATCAAATGGAATGGAAGTTACAAAGATTTACAACTTGTCTACCTTAAACTCCAACTCGAGCGGTCGCATCGTCCGCACTACACACGATCCATTCTCGAATTTCACAATGCCAATACACCTGAACGATTTCTTCAACGATCGTTCTGGAAAGGTGTTTGGATGTTACCTGAATCATTGTCCAACTTTATTCACACCTCTCAACCACATCCCATTCTCAAATTACTTCCTCCTCCTCCACCCAAAAAAGTCGAAAAGAAACCTCCTCCTCAAATCAAACCCTCAGAGCCGCCACCTGTCATTACGCCAATCATTCCAACACTACCAGTGCCAACCATTCAAACTCCACCACCTCCTGTGACACCAACTATGATTCCACCACAAATGCCATCCATTCCTCGAATGGTAGTTCCAGTGCAACGAGTGCCACCACCTCCTCCAACACCACCTCTCATTCAACCACCCACACAACCTTCAGTCATTCCACAGAGACAAGCAGTGACAGTGTCTCAAAATCCAATTTATCCTAGATATTTATTGAATGACTTGAATCGAAGACTGTTCCAGTGAAATGAGAGATGGTCATTGATAAACTTTAATTAAGGAACTAACGGATTGGATTTCAGTAATACTTTATTAAGGACGAATGTTCATGTCCATGATTACAATGTACTATGCGTCAACAACTTTCAACTTTCACACCACTCCTCTCCTTTTTAGTCCCCATTTTCTTTCACGCCCATTTTTCGCTGATTGTAATTTTTCAACACTCATTGTTGATGATTCAAAAGACTGGTTTTCACTCCGGTCGGATGCTATTCTCTTTATCTCTCTCAAAAAAAACAAATCACACACACTTCCCAATAATTGATTCGAAGTATACTTGAGAAGATGAAAAGTCTATTGTTGATGACTTTCTTCGTCGTAATGACCATGACCCTTCTTCTCCGACAAGAACATCACCATGTGGAGGCCACTCTCGGTTTGGATCTTTCCTACTTCCAGGGAGATGTTCCACAAAGCAGTTGGAATTGTTTGAAACAAAACGGTAGAGAATTTGCAATTATTCAGGCACAGACTCAATCTGGACATGTCAATCCCTATATTGTGAATGATATTAATCGTGCAAAGGCTGCTGGAATTCAATATGTGGATATTTACATCTTTCCGAATGTGAATATGGATCCAGCAGAACAAGTGAGAAATACTGTTAATTTTGTCAAACAAAATGGTGGATCATTTGGTCAGATTTGGATTGATGTGGAGGGACCACAGTAAGTTGACTCAATTCTTGTTTGAAATTTCACAAATTCAAATTTGATCGCTCGCACGTGTGTCAAAACATTTGTTGATCTCGTTTTTCACACAAATTGATTGTGTGGTGTTCTTTCATTGAAATGATTATTCCATTCATACAGATACTGGTCAAGCAATTGTAATAACAATGTTGCTTTCATTTCCAAGATGGTCAATGCTGGACATGCTGCTGGTTATCCAACTCATATTTATACTTCAAATTCTCAATGGAGTCCAATTACTTGTGGAAGCACTGCATTCTCACATTTGCAATTGTGGTATGCTCATTATGATGGAAGAGCATCTTTTGATGATTTTTATGCATTTGGTAAGTGGTTGTGACAAATATTTAGCAGTAATTGGAATTTATGCTTGAACAATATGTCCAATCCACCCATGCATTGGCGTTACTGGAATGTCTAATTCTCAATTTATAGGGTATGTTGAATTGATAGTTTCTTTTTCGTGACAACGTTTGATTAACCTGTCCATTCACTTTTGCATGAATAGAGGTTGGACTAGACCATCAATCAAGCAATATCAAGGAACTACTAACATTTGTGGTACTTCCATTGATGAAAACTTTTATTAAAAAAGAGCAATTAATTAGGCCTGAAACATTCAAACTGAGTGTTATGAATACTAATAAACTTTGGCTCTTTTTGGAATGAACAACAAATTGAACCAAGAGATCCCTACCTTGCTCAATCTAATTCAATTCACAACAAGTCACAATTTAATAATTATTGGATTTATTGGATGAGTCGGAAAACAAGACAATGAAATCGTTTAAAAGTCATCATCTTCTGGAACAGCAGTTTGTTCAGCTTTTTTCAATTCTTCTTCGTATTGTTTCATGGCATTCATGTCAATAGCAACTTCAGGTGGAGCCATAGCTGGTTCTTCGGAGAGTTGGAGATTTGGATCACCGACAATCTTTCTAGCCAACCACAAGAATGGCTTTTCAAAGTTGTAGTTACTCTTTGCTGAAACGTCATAATATTGAAGATTCTTCTTTCTGTGGAAATTGATGGACTTTGGTTTCACCTTTCTGTCGGCAACATCGACCTTGTTACCAACCAAAACAATTGGAATGTTTTCACACACTCTCACAATATCTCTGTGCCATGTTGGAACGTTCTTGTATGTAGCACGTGAAGTAACATCAAACATAATGATGGCACATTGTCCTTGAATATAATAACCATCTCTCAATCCACCGAATTTTTCTTGACCAGCAGTATCCCAAACGTTGAAGCAAATAGGACCTCTGGTAGTGAAGAAAGTCAATGGGTGAACTTCAACACCGACAGTAGCAATATACTTCTTTTCGAATTCACCGCTCAAGTGTCTCTTAACGAAAGTGGTCTGTTGTTGTAAAAGGTCATCCAAATATATTTTGAGTCATTCAAGATGAGAAGGTTGATGAGGGAGAAAATTGGTCATCATCACAGAAATTTGTCATCATTATTTAAAAATCCGCAATTATAGCAGTGCACCATCATTGTTTCATATTCGGATTGAACAATATCTTCATCAAAAACAATGAAAAGAATTCTTCTACATACCTTACCAGTACCACCATCACCAACTAACAAAAGCTTAAAAGTTGGAATTTGATTCTGCATTTGTGGATCCATGCTGAATGTATGCGAGAGAGAGTTGTTGCGTTATTTTTTTTCTGCACAAAAATTCCTGAAGCAGGCCTTTTATTGTTGCCTTGAGCGAAGGTTTCCCGCCAAAAAAATTCCTTGCAGAGGAATCCTTCAGAAAAGCTGGGCGGAAAAGTTTCAATAATTCTCTTGAAGCTTGTTGTCATTCTTTGGAAAGAAGTTTTGACACATTTTCAAAGCCAACCAATGCAATAGTGGACGCAAGATGTATGAAATGCTATTCTGGAATTTCGAAATGAAACCGTTCGGAGCCTTTGGTCCATGGAACTCCGGAACCTACTAAATTCCATTGATTCTCTGCGAATCTTCCAAATACTTCTCCATTACAAAAAAAAATGACAAAACTATCACAGCTGCTGGAGAGTCATTCCAGAGCTAGTGCTTGTCTCGTGAGCCTTTGGCTCATTCTCGTTCTCGTGATGTTTACCCAAATCGAAGCACAGAATGGTGCAAAAGCATTTTTCGAGACTTGGAAACAACACAAGAGAGGTGGAACAATTCCGAGCATGTTGTCGGGTCAAAAGTCTGAAGGATTGAAATTTAAGGATGGCAAAAGTAGTGGTGATGATCGAGTGAAATTTACTGAAGAAGACAATCCTTTTAAATATAGTGGATTTATTGAAGTAAATTCTACATATGGTGGACAAATGTATTATGTTTTTATGGAAGCACAAAATGGAAATCCAAATGCCCCTGTGATTGCTTGGTAGGTTTTTTATTTGGTGATGATCCTTTTGGACTTGCGATGTGCCATGAAACATAATTTTGAAATGGTTCTTTCATGTTATCCAATGATGATGACACTTTTTTTCTTAATTTTTAGGTTCCAAGGAGGCCCTGGCTCAGCAAGTATTTTGTAAGTGACACGATATTTTATCAATGACTGATCATATGTTGATGATTTTATCATTCCAGTGGTTGTATGTATTCTGTGGATTTTAGGAAATATTGACTCGTTTTTCTTCATTTTATTCTATTAGTATTTGTGGAGAATGGACCATATCTAGTGGATCCAACCACTTTGGAATTGGTCAAGAATAAGTACACTTGGAATGCAGATCATCACATGGTATGTGACATGTTGAAAAGATGTGAATTTATTTTTTAACAATATATCCTTATTTTGAATCATTTTAAAGATTTGGATTGATAACCCATTGGGAAGTGGATTCTCTCATGTCAGGTCTCCAGGTTATGTTCATTCAGAAGACCGAGTTGCCAGCGAGCTCCATATCTTTTTGGTAAAATTTTTCCAATTGGATTTTGCTGCCAAATACAAGTCAAATCCATTATTTTTGTTTGGTGAATCTTATGCTGGAAAGTAGTAAGTAGACAACTTCTGGTTGTGTGTCATGATTTATTCGAATGTATCTGATTCAACACTATGAAAATAGTATTCCCTCAATTGCATACAATATTATGAATTCAGGTTTTCCAGTTAATCTTGTGGGTATTGGAATTGGTGACGGTCTTACACACCCTATCGATCAATTTTCTACCTACGATAGTTTCTCATACAGTGTCGGATTGATTGACCAAAAGCAACAGCAAATCGTTCAACAATTTCAAAATCAAATGATCAAATTGATTCAAGCTGGTCGATATTCTGAGGCCATGGATGTCAACAACAACATGACTAACTACGTCATTGGCCAATGTAGTGGTGGAGTCAATGTTTATGACATTCGAACCTATGGAGATTATGATATTACTGCTTATATCAAATATGTGGAACAACCCTATGTGAAACAATTAATGCACACGGTTGGTGTGAAATATTATGACTCTAATCCAATAGTTTGGAATAATTTATATGCTGACATTGCAAAGTCTGTTCGTTACAAAGTGGAGGCCTTACTCGATTGTCCAACCAGAAAAATTCGTGTCTTGCTTTACAACGGTCAATACGATTGGTTAGTGAATTACATGGGTGCAGCAAAATGGATTGATGGAATGAAGTGGCATGGTAGCAAAGGATATTTGAATGATGAAGGTCTAGGAAGAAAACCATGGACGATCGATCAGCAAGTCGTTGGATATGTTCATCAATACGACAATTTGATTCAAATTGTTGTCAATGGTGCAGGACATCTCTCACCCATGAATCAACCTCGAAATGTCTTGGAAATGATTCGAACCTTCACAAGCAATCGTGATTTTTAAACAAAATCCTTTGTGTTCGAACTGATGAATCAATCTATTTATGAAAGCGCATGTTGTGGTCTGATCAGACATGAAAATAAACGCCTACTATTTATTTATCCATACAGTATGAATTGTAATCTGTTAATGGTTATTAATGTTAATAATATGACACATTGTATGACAAGTAGTTACCAGTCCCTTAAATGTGAATCCTCACCTCCATGTGTTCCCAACAATATCAACAACAGGTATTCTTGGAAGCAGAGTGGTCATCTTTCTTCGATCACTGCTTCTTGCAGACAACCCAAAAGTGTTGTCGCCATGAAAATGAGCGAAAGGAGACCTAAAAAGGTTTCAAAATGAGAAATTTCCGAATCGTGATGGAAATATGAAAGCGAAAAAATTGACAAAAAAAACTCACAGATTAATATTAATTACACCGTTGTCAAAAAGCAATCATCATCATCATCAACGAGAAAAGACCACCTTCTCATTGAGTCATCATCGGATTAGAATTGGATTGGGTTTTAGGAGGATTCAATTTGATTTATTGGTCCTCAACTAGTACATCTTTCGGATTGAAAAAAGTTCGGTTCAGGATTGAATTATCATCATCACAAGTAACTTATACTAATTACACCACTCTAATCACTTCCGATACAGAACAAAAATTGTATTCATATAAGTCCACTCAAACATAATTACACCCGTACATAACAAAATTCTTGCAAGAATTCGAAAAGGAACACAAGGCTTACTTTGATCTTACATTTGCATTATGCAATTCAAGAGAGATGAACTTCTCAGATCTACCTTTTGAAGCGAAATGCCATATATTCTCATTTCTAGATTATCTAAGCTTTATTTTGCAAAAAGGACTTTGTTTGAATAAGACCTTTTGTAGGAGTTTACTTTATGCAATTGAGCCACCAAAGAAATTATTGTTTGGTCCTCTTCCGAAGCGTGCTGCAATTCCGATTCAAACAAGCGATGATGATGAAATTGATGGAGAATTGGACGAACAAAATCGTCATTCTAGAGTCATCACATTCCGGTATGCCGTTATTGATGGAAGTCAGTTTTATGATAGAATTACAAACATTTTACTACCAAAATATTTGAAACCAATGTGTTTTAATAAGACAATCACCTATTTAGACATTCACACCATTGGCTCGAAATTGACCATGAAACAAACCATTGATATTTGCAAAGAATTTCCAAACCTCACTCAAGTTCACTTTATTAATCATTTTCCAACTCTATCAAAATTGAAATCGTTTATTTTAGACTCGCTGTATCCTCAATATTGTGCACATTTGAGAGTTATTGACATAACATCGGGAGAATTAGCGTCACAAAATCAAACTGTTGGAAATACTGTGAAAAAGAAAGTAACGCCTATTCAACGGTTACGATCTGAAGAAGATTTTCCTGCAATCGTTGATTATGCACTGCTAGTACTTCCCAATACAGCTTCTGCATCAGGGACAACCTCCTATTTAAAGATGAATGATGAACAAACATTGACGTTTCTCAAACAACTTATTGAAAAATACTATGTGCCAATCAATACATGCATTCAAGGTAAATACACCTTTCTATCAGGGGCATGTCACAACAGCCATTTCGAATGCATTAAATATTTACTAAATTTTGGAGCAAACCTAAGGCAAAATCGCTCCAAATCGAAGGATTCAATCAGTAGAAGCATATCATTGGACCTGATGAATATTGCCGAGAGCTCAGAAAAAGAGCTACTCTTACTGAGATCACAACCTAATAGGGCTCTGTATTTTTCGTTTAAGAGGAATTTTTGTATTGCTCCATTAGTAATACTTCAAAAAGAGAATATTATTGATTACCTGATTGAGAAGGGCATTACACTGTGTGAATATCAAATCGCATCCATCATCCAACATTTGAGAAGATCACTGGCTAATTTATCCTTTGCCACTCCAGAAATGAAACTCAAAATTATTGATAAGAAGAAAAAGCAAGAACAATTACTTTACAAAACTCTTAACAAACTCGAACACTTTTTATTTACGTTTTCAGATGTTGATATGGAAACGGGTTCGAGTCCCATCCATCAAATTTTAGATTATACCTCACTGAGAATAATACTCCACAAAATGGGCCTTCACTCACTGCAAAGCTCACCCGATGCATTGAGTAATGAGGTTGAACAAATCATTAACACAACCAATAAGTGTACAGGTGCCTCAGTGATTCACATGTTGTGTGCGAGTTCTTCTTCTCTTTGCAAAGTCTATCAACCCACAAGTATTTCTGAAATTATTAATGCCCTCTCTGTATATAGTAATTGCACGAACGAAAATTCCAATTTTCCTTTATCACCACTCGACACAGAAATATTTTCAAATATTCAAAATTTTCATCACTTTTTGAAAGCACGGCTGGATATTTATGATTTGAATGGAATGATGCCCATTCATTTGTGTGTGGATATGGAACGATACGATCTAGCCAAAGAATGGCTTAAATGGAAACCAGAACACGCACTCTTTCTCACGAAAAACACGAATGAATCAATTTTACACATTCTTGTAGAGCAATTTACACATACCATGTTTGATTTAAGCGCCTCAAGTAGCGACGATGAAGCAAGTTATAGAAAATGCATGAATAGTCATGTTGTTTTAGAGTCACCTGCCTCTCCCAGCGATTTATCATCAATCCCTGAAGTTTTGGAAGAGAATTTACTCGAGCAGAGACGAATTGAACTTCAAGAGAAGGAACGAACTTGCAAGCTCAACAAAATTCTTTCTCTCATCAAATTTATTGCCACCGGCTTGAAAATCAGTGAAGATGAAAGGAGGAAAATCTTCATGGTACAGAATGATTTGAATATGACCATTCTTGATAATATTCACTCCTCGTTTGACGAATATATCACAGAAGAAGCAACTGATCATGAAGAGTACAAACACTACAAGGAGTACGTGAATGAGGTTTTATCCTTGCTGGAAAAATAAAATCAATTCTTGAACTTGGATTCAAGGTTTGGCTACGTTTTATTGATCTATCTACATTCACTTAATGCTTGTTATTGTTTTTGAGATGATTTTCAAACTTGGCTTTCTCATCTTCGTTCAAGCAATAGATATCCAAGTCAAAGGTGTGAAGAGAAAAGTTTTTAGAGAGCGAAGTAAGGATCTTTCTCGTACCACCAGCCGAGAATGATGTACCCATAAGATTAAGGCTCTTTAAAGTCTTATTTTTCTCAAGTAATTCGCATAAAGATGGAACTGAATCATCAGTGATGAGAGTATTGTTTGACATATCCACTGTTGTGACGCTTTCATTCTTGGCAAGTGCGGAGAATATGGCTTTGGCAGTATAATCATCACATCCCTTGTTTGACATTTCCAAGCTCTTCAAATGTGTTGATTCTTCCACCACTACACCAAGATCAATTACCTGTTGTCGCTCTAAATCTTTAAAGTCACAAACCACTGCTGAAAATTCCAACTCTGTTATCGATCCATCTTCAACACCATCAAGTATATCTTCAAGCTCTTGTACAAAAACGTATGACTTGGTCGAAGTAACAGAAGACTCACTCATAGCAGGTGATAGGCCTTCTTCAATTTGGGCTTGTGAAGAGGTTGGTGGCATCTGTGGTACGGTGTCAACTTGAATGGATGGAGGTGCATTCTTTTTTGAATTCTTTAACTCTTGTTCAAGAGTGTCGATCTTTGTCAAGAGTGCGTTCTTTTCTTGCTCGAAATCTTGTTTGAGCTTTGATTCCTTTGCGAATGCTTCTTTTAGCATATCTTTCACTTTTTCGTGCTTTTCATTCAATTCTTTCAACTCGATAGCTTTTGAATTATTTTTTAACTCTTGTTCAAGAGTGTCGATCTTTGTCAAGAGTGCGTTCTTTTCTTGCTCGAAATCTTGTTTGAGCTTTGATTCCTTTGCGAATGCTTCCTTTAGCATACCTTTCACTTTTTCAAGCTTTTCATTCAATTCTTTCAACTCGATAGTTTTTGCATCAAGATTACCATTAAGGTTCTTGACTTCTTCTGAAAGTTGTTGCTTCTCCTTTGAAAGACTGTCAACCTTTTGAGCCAATTCAGTATTATTGTTATTGTGAGTTTCTAATTTCTTGGTCAATTCAGCAACATTATGGCTTAATTTCTTATTGCTATCTTCCAATTTTGAAATTTCTGAACTCTTTTTGGAAAGTTCCTCTTCAAGTGAGGACAACTTTTTAGATGAATCAGCCTCTGCTGACGAAGCGAGGCTTTTTTCCTTTTCTAGTTTGGTAACTTGATCTTCAAGATGGGATTTCTCTACTTTCAAATTCTCCAATTCGGTTGTCAATTCTTGAACTGTACCTTCAACTCTCTTCAAGCTTTCAGCAGCTTTCTTTTCTTGTTCTTCAAGAGTGGATTGAGCTTTTTGTAAGGCGTCTTTGGCTGAGGCTAAATCTTGCTCATGTTTGTTCAATGTGACCTTGAGTGTCTCAAGCTGCTCATTAGATGAAGAGGACGCTGATTCGACAGCCTTTTGAAGTTGTTGAATTGTTCCCTCTTTTTCAGAAAGGTGTTGTTCAAGAGTTTTGATTTGAGTGTTTTTATCCTCTTCCAAGCTCTGTGCTTTCTTTATAGCTTCCTCCCTTTCAGTAATGAGCGTAGCCATCTTTTCATTGAGAACCTTGTTAGAATCAGTCAATTGTGAGATTTGTTTGGTGAGTTCTTCTTTTTCTTGTTGAAGTGTTTGAAGAGCAGAAATATTCTTGTTTCCATCTTCGAGTTGTTTTTGAAGGTTTTGGATGAGCTCTTGAGCTTTCTTGTGTTCTTCTTGGACTTGTTTTGCTTCGTCTTGATACTTTTTAACCTCTTCTTCTCTTTCACTGAGGGTGGTTTTGAGTGTTGCAACTTGCTTGGCGCTTTCATCCAACAATTCTTGGAGACGTTTAGTTTGTTCATTCAGTACCTTCTTCTCGGATGAAAGTGTGGCAATAGATTGCTTGAGTGTGTCCAATTCTGAAGTCAGTTGTTCGGATTGTTGGACCAACTTGGTCTTTTCTTCTTCCAAACTTGAAAGTTTTTGAGAAACAGAACTTGATTCGTTCAATTTGTCTTCGAGTGATTTGATATTCTTAATTGAATCATCAATTTGTTTCTTGGCCAAGTTTAGTTCTTTTTCGAGCGTTTCTTTTTCTTTTTGCATGGTTTCTTTAATATGCGCGAGCTCATTCTCTTTTTCTTGGATTGTTTTGAGATGTTGAGAGTTTTGTTTTTCGAACTCCTCTAATTTGGAGTGCAAATTGGTAAGGTTATGTGAACTAATATGTTTTTGAGATAACAAATCTTCGACAGTCTTGTTGAGAGATTCTACTTGCTTCTTTACAGCGTCATACTCTTGTAACAAGGTTTCCTTTTCCTGTTGAATTGTGCTCAATTGAGTGGACAACTCCTTTCCTGCGTCATCAAGTTTTTGTTCATATTCGTTCAAAGACTTTACAGATTCATCGAGTTGCTTCTTGAGAGAGTCTCTTTCAGATGCCATGTGCTCCCTCTCCTTAGAGGCTTCTTCTTTTACTTTGGAAAGTTCTTGATGGACGGTATAAAGTGTTTTGTTCAGCTCAGCGAGTGACATTTCCGAGGCCTTCAATTTTTCGTCAATTAACTTGATTTGATTGCTCTTCTCTCTAGATTCCTTTAGCAATGCATCCAACTTTTGGTTGTATTCTTGTTCCACCTTCTTAAGAGCGTCTTGTTGTCCACTGGAAGTCTCCTTAATAGAATTTTGCAAATGTTTAAGTTCATTCTCAAGGTTTTGAATGGTCATACTCTTTTCATCGTGTTGTTTCTTGATATTGTTCAACTCATTTTGCATCTTTTCCTTTGTTGAAATCAAAGACTCCAATTCAGAAGCCTTTTGTTTCAAATCTGAGCTCAATTTTGTCTTTTCATCTTCGAGCCTTTTCTTCTCATCATTTACTGCTTTCAAGTTCTTTTCAAAATCTTGTCTTTGCAACTTGGCCTCTTTTTCATAGTCTAATTTTACTTGCTGAACGTTCTCATTCATCTTCTTCTCCAATTCTTGCATTCTATTCATCTCTTCTTTCATCTTATTCTCCACTCTTTGTTGGATTCTCTGCTCCACCTCCGACTCGGCTTTCTTCTTTGCCTCTTCCACGAGCATGTTGGTCTTCTCTTCCAAGTCATTTTTTAATGTTTCAATTTCTTTAAAAGATTGTAACGATGATGAAGAAGCCTTTTCCTTCTCTTGTGCGAGTTTCTTATTCTCTTCCATCAACTCTTCTTGGAGTTTTTTGAGTTCATCCGAGAGAGTTTTGTTTTCCGAAAGGGCTTTGGTCAATTCCTTGTTGAGAGATTCTTCTTCTTTGTTCTTTTTTTCCTTGTTAGTCGAGTTGGTCGAGTTGTCGTTGTTGTTGGTGTGATTCGTTTGGACAGGTTTGGTCAGAAAAAAGTATAAATTAGCTGCTCCCACGGCAACAAGAGCGAGTAAAAGACCAACAATGGTATAATCGGTGGTCATTTTGTGTTATTATTATTGTTATGGTTTTTCTGATTTGTTGTGAGGAGTCTGTTTCATGTCAACAACGACAACAACAACCACAGCAACAGCCACACCGTTATCCATGCAACAAATAAAGTTGTCATCATCAAAAGTCCAAACATGTTTCCGTGTTTAACACAAGTATATATTCATTCATCATTAAATTCTTCTTCTCTCGGGAAACAAGCACTTTCACATACCTCTCTGAACGATAATTTTTTGAAAAGACAACCGAGTTGACAAGTGAAGGTCGTCATCGATGCATTCTCAATGTCCTATTCACACACACGCTTTGAAGGCTTGGGTGTGATCTTGACAACTACCCGTGTGGCAATTCATAGGAGGGGATGCTCAATTTACTGAAAAAGAATCTTCCTTTGTGTTGTACGCAAGTGGTGCATCAACAGATCGCACATGTCTTATTGCTCGATTCATAAATTTATATTTTAATAAAAAAATAAAGCGCCAACCATAACCGCGAACGATTTAAAGATCGGAAAACGTTCGTTCGATGTTGAACCCATTCGTTACTATTGACAATGCGAGATGAGAAAAATTGTTCATTTGAGGGTTGCAAGTACCCTTCAGTGGCGCATGCATCTCACTGTTCGTACCAAACTAGCAATGATTATCAGCTTGTTACATGCCAGTTACAAGTTATCCCTATCTGTAGTGATCTTGAAGACAACAAATGGTAAAAAGAATGAGCTTCAATACCCATCTTTTTAAACGCCGTCGTTCACGATTGGCAGACCCTAATTGCGAATAATGCTTGAGTGCTACAGCAATTTTATGTCAGCTCAAAGTACACACAACATTGATGTTCTTCGAATTTGTCAAGGTGAAACAAGGATCCTTTCTTCGAATTGGGGGATATAAGACTATTAAGGGACCTCCATCAACTTGTCAACATCACCCTGTTTAGTGCTGTAAAAGAACAATGAATTTTCAACAGTCGTCAAAAAAACCTATTTCATATTATTTTCCTCTGTTTGTATTTCTTTTCAAGTGTAAGACATCTTTGGGTCAAACAAAGACTTGTGCGATCAGACGCCACTACTTCTGAGACCAGCAGCATCCACGACGTCGTGGTGTGAATTGCTCATTGAACATTCCCAGGACTTTGTTCAAAACATACTATTACTTTAACTACCCTTTTCAACAGGCACTCGCTGTACAACTTCATCTCTCAACGATTTGCATCTCCTTGTCATTCTCCCTTTGAGAGTAATATCAAGAATAGAAAAAATGATGAGTAGTAGAAGTGCTGGAGAATTACAATCTTCTTCGACATCCATACAACCGCAGCATGAGGAACATGCATCATCTAGCAGCAGTAACAAACCTCATGCAAATAACAACAACAACATGCTCGTGTTGGGATCGCCCTCGCAGATAGAAAACACTTCCTCCTCAACGACTCATCCGCTTCTTAGTCATTCAACTCCTCCTCAGACTAGCTCTAATCATTACCATAATAATAATAACAACAATAACCTCATGATGATGGTGAACGTACAAGCGTCATCCATGCCTAGTTCTTCTCCTTTAACGACAAGTACTCATGCAGTCCTGATTGGAAGCTCCCCCATACCTCAACAACAGCCTTCTTCTTCGTCTGGATCATCATCACACCATCATTCTGAACAGAGTAGTAGCAATGGATCAGCGTCAACCTTGATAGCCAATACATCCTCTAAATCCTCAACGATCGCTCTTTCTTCTCCCTCTCCTCAACATGATGGATTTAATGATCATTCAAATTTAAAAGATGATCAAGGCAATAATTCGTTAATGGCGTCCTCTTCATCGTCCTCTGTTCAGAACCCAACCATCATCACATCGATCAACAACCAAACGACACCCACAAATGGTGGTGGGAACAGCACTATTGTTTCATTGTCGCCACAACCTAATAATGTCACTTCTCATCCTCAGTCAACGACAACAACATCTGAAAAAACGACAAAAACCATCCCCACAAATATGTCATCAACGCCGACTGGAACGCAAATTCCCATTCCACCTCCTCCGAATGTTTCTGCTCACTTGCTTCCTTACACGACATCAACAGGAAAAACACAGCTTTACAGTATTCCACCCCTCACTTTGTGTGTTTTAATGGACCAACTTGCAAACAAAATTCATCAACACTACAATCCATTAAAACCACAGGTAGAAACACGACTAATTCCCCGATCAGCATCAACAGCATCAAAAGAGCCAAATGATAAAGCACATCAAGACCAATTAATTTCCTCAAGAAACAACAAGAATGAAGGATCGTCCTCATTGTCTTCAACCAAGCAGCCAGAAACGCCTCCAGTGCAGGAAGATCTTCCTCAAACAGAACAAGTGCAAAAACAGGTTCCTTCAACAAGCTCTAGGTCTAGAAGTACCTCAACATCAAAAACAGCTCCTTCTCTCATAGATTTGCTCACAGAGGAATTTCATGCTAATCCTTCTGGGTACAACGACATTGCTCAAGCGACAAATGTTTTAATAGAATTTTTGTATGGCAATACCGACATGAAAGATCGTCGTTCGGTTCCGTCTTATCCCTCTTCTCAGCATTCATCTCCATTGTTTTTCACTCCGACACCATACACTTCAACTGTTTATTCCTATCCTTATCATCAGCCTCCTCCCATTGGATATCAGGTAATAACTGAACCATCCCAGCATCATGTTCAACATGTGCAACCTCCTCGTTCGATGCCTTCAACCTCCTCAACAGCTCAACCATCTAGTAAGGTTAAGACAACAAATGCTCCTAATGCCCCGCCCTCATTTCCTCCCCCCATTATTGTACAGCCTTCGTCAGTCAGCAACTTGGATCAAAATTCAAAACCATCAAGCTCTCCAATTCCTCCCTCAATTCAAACTTCTGCGTCTTCATATTCACCTAGTAAAGGGTTTGGTGATGAAAAATCCTCGAGCTCTTCAACACCAATTCGAATAAGATGCGCTCCTTCCACCACAAGCACCAACGAATCTCTTTCATCGAGTTTGTTTTTAAGGAAAGATGAAAGCGTGTTTGAGCCAAGCACAGAAGAAAATGTGAAAAAGAAACGTGGAAATAAGAAATCAAACGAAGCTGACACCACAACAGACGAGCAAGATTCAAGATTTTCATGTTATATTTGTGACAAATCTGTAGTGGACAAAAATACTAAGTACACATTAACATCTAATAACTATTCATCATTTGCAGAGGTGTTTCCTCATGTGAAAATACCAATGTATGGTGAATCTAAGCGAATATGCGCAAATTGTTATCACAAGAAATATCGAAATGCAAGGAAAAAGAAGGAACAAAGCGTTGAGGAAAAAAAAGAAACAACGACAAACTATTCAGTGCAACTATCCTATTTATTAGCTCCATCTTTACAAACAGACATGCACTCTGACAACTCTGAGCCAACCAACAATACCTTATATACGTGTTGCATTTGCTCCAAGTCCAGTACCTCTCCTTCTTTTGTAGACACAAATGCAATCAACTCTCAGAACTACCATGCCTATCAAAACACTTTTCCTCATCACCTTCCTCAACAATTTTCTCCTGATCGATTGATGCCAATTTGTGAATCATGCAAACAGGTGCATGAAAATGACAAAAAGCGCAAACAACCTCCCTCATCCTCAACAGAGAATGAAGCTTCTAAAAAACTCAAACAGTAAACCGAATTATTTCCATAGCGTGTTCCAACCGGACATATTTCTCAACTATTTTGATCAATTTGATCCAGTAGATCAGACGATGTTCCTATTTTCCATGATAAAAAATAACGAAGTTGCCTTTTTTTTTCAAAATGCGTGATTTTTGAAAATCATGCTCCCAAAACAATGCAAACAAAGATCCATCAGCATGAGAAAAGGTCAGCATCTACAACGAAGCATGTTCAACTCTCGAGATTATGGACAGAAGCTTACCAGTAGAGGAAGAAGAGAAGAAGTCATGTTGAGTTTGAGAATATGGGCATTAGTTATTGTTTCCATAATCTTGTTATCCGTGTTTCCAAGATTTCAAAATGTTAGCTAAACCTGCCTTCCTTGTTCTGAGTCAAGGATCAACGTCATTCTTTGGAAGGCCCATTCTCCAAAACAATTCATGAACAAATTGCAACTTTCCAATTTGTGGTATCACGAGAGAAAAAACATTGTTAATGAGTCTCACATGTCATTGACTGCGCAAAAAAGCGAACGAGGACATCTGGCAGAAAACACACTCAAAAAAACGCAACAACTGGAGCAAGAAGAACCTCTGGGTGAAGATACGGGATCTAACCATTGTCTGCCTACCTCTGGCCAATAGTTACTCTGCTTCGAACACACCTCACGGTATTTTAACATACTTCAACTTCTGTCAATTCCCATTTCGGTACACCTCCCAACTTCCACTCTCAACTGCAATTCTCTCTTTCAATTCTCTCCCGTAACTAACAAGTTCATAACTCTTGCACGTTAGAATCTTAAGAAGGAACCTACTCATTATTGGTATAGTTGACATTTAAGCACTTTGTCCACCACCCCATCACCAAAACGCGAAACGTTCAAACGCAAAAGATTTTCCTCTAGTTCCGTTCCGTTTCGCACCACCACTCGTTTGGAAACAGACTCGCAGTTCGGATAACACTTGTTCAATTTTCAGTTAACTTCAACAACAACCGTTCTCTCTCTCATACACACACCACCCTTCCCATCAATTGGTCATTAGCACCACCACCACAAAAAAAACAACTCAAACCTCTCTCAAAGAGAAGACCAGCTGGCTGTTCAAAAGAAGAACACAAGTTTGCGCACACCAAGTTCAATCTTTTTCAAATTTGTCCAAAAGACTCTTTCACCCGTGTGTATCCCCCATTGCTGCTATTCGGTGCGTACAAACAAGAGGTGCATCTCCAATTTTGGAAATTTCAAAATACACAAAAAAAAGCCTTACCTTAGAACCTGATCGTTGATATTTATTCTCTCCTATTACAGTAGTAAAGATGATGATGCATACCATGACGACTCCTCAAGTTTCCTTCCTTTCTCCTATTCATCATTCTCAACCTCATGAAAGCAAACATCACCTTCTTGCATCCTACTCTCAGAATCAAGCCTTAACAAGTCCACTTCCACAACAACGAACAATGATGATGCAGAGATCCATTCGGCAGCATTCTACAATAGAATCCACCAATACGAATACTCCTCCCTATCACCACTACCAAGCAAAGACGAGTCCATCTCACCACTCGCCAAACGGTGCCTCAAGTTTGAACACTCCCCACAATCACCACCATCACCACTCTCACTATTCAAACAACACGAATACTCATGTACATACCAATCCTTTTTCAATCTCTTCAGTCTCGTCGTCAAGCTCTTCTTCACCATTGTTGCAATTTGAAATCAACCAAGCTGTTGTCAGGTCTTCATCCTCTCCTAATACATACACTCCATTGTTACAACCTCAACATGTTGTAACAGAATCACCCACAATTGAAAAGCTTCCAAATTTGAATGAACTCATGAATGGTGAGAATCATTGGCCAAACCGACCACTGTTCGAACCACAATTTACCAAGTCACCCCCTCATCTGTTACCACCTCATGTGTCACACATGACCTCACCTCCACACTACCAACCAATGATTAATCAGCACCATGAACCATCTTCATCCATGCCTCAAAATCACAACTCATGCAGATCTCAACACACTTCAAATAGCAACGAATCACCCATATTAGAGGGTCTGGAAAGAAGAGTCTACATGCAAGAGCAAGAGATTAGACGTCTTCACAATGAGAATGCTGAGCTGAAAAGAGAACTCGAAAGATTGTATAGCGAAAATTCACCAAGATTAGGCTTGGACAACAGCCACTCGACATCTTCGAACAGATCGTCCAGAATGGCTGAGACATCACCAACATCTGTGAAGCAGTTAGCCTGTGATGGTCATGTATCCGCCTCTCAAATTAACACAAAAGAGAGTAAAGAGTGCTCGAAAAAGAGAAAGAGTTGTGATACCCTGACCAAACAGCCACCTCAAAGTAAGAAGCAAGTTAAGAGCGATATTAGAAATCCACAGCAACATCCAACAAGATTGAGAAATACTGGTCGAAGAGATGCAACAGTTGGAGATTTAGAAAAGTACACAGTGACATGGAAGGGAGAAAAATATGTTTTGGTTAACGCCTTCAAGAATCGAACTCAGATTTTGAATTATTATGTTCCACTCTTTGAGAATAATTTTCCAGACAAGGTTTGCAAGCTTGTGCTCTGTAATGATGAATACAAGACTTTGTCTACCCAGAATCCAGTCACTGTCGAGAAGAAGAAGCATGCATGGCGTGTTTCAGTTTTCACTATGGATTTCTATAACTTTGTCAAAAACTTTGATAAGAAGAACCTCAAAATTATTAACTCGTCTGCCGGTTTTATTCCAAATATTTACTTTGAAGAACCACAGCCATCTTCATCTACAGCAACCCCCACTACAGATGATGCGTCATCTTTAGGGACAAACTCTTCAACACAATCAACTCATCCCGCTCTTGTCACGACACCCACGACAAGCAATACCCAACTTATTGACATCACCACTCCAAGACCTATTGCCAACATCAACAACAAACAACCATCTCAATAAAGTTATATTGATATATAAATTGTCTTCCTGTGACAATGATTAAATGTGAAATGAGCTGAAGGCACTGGTCGTTTGGTTAAATCAATGATTCATGTCCCTAGATGAGATAGGAATGATCCCGGATTGTGTGTTTCAGGATTTCACCATTATCGTAATCAGTGAATCACAAATTTCACAAAAAAATTGTTTAAAATCCTCATCCTGCCACATCCTCTCAGTAACACACGCACAATAATATTGGACAACCGAGAAATTCGTACTTCGACGCCGCTGCTTCCTCTCCCTCCCTTCACGAGGAACGTGTTGTGTTCTTTATTTATTAAAATCATTTATCCGAAATCTTGTTTTAACACACAGTAAGTGCATCTCACACACATCATCAATGATGATGAATCAAATCTCATGAACACACGATTTCATCCTTTTGTTTTTAGAATTACAGTCCCGATGAGTAACATTTTACTTCAATTCACTGATCATACCATTGAATACCAACCCTCAACAAATAAGCCTTTATATGTTTTGTACCATATCAAATGTTCATATCGGACCAACCACAACTCAACCATCTCGTCTTATCCCACACGAGCAAATCAGGAGAGTTATACAGTTATTAAGAGGTATTCCGAGTTGTTAGAATTGCATAAAAAGATAATGAAACAGCTCGGAAAGAGATCATCATCATCAAGTAACAGTCCGAGAAAGGAAAAACATGGCTCTTCTCCATCAGCAACATTGCAAGAGGAGGGAATTAAATTTCCAGGAAAACTTTTATTTGGAAATTTCAAGGTGAGTGATATTCGTGTAATCTTGTGTCAATTTGTAATGTTTTATTATTGTACTGAATATTTCAATGTTATTTAAAAATTCTCTATTCAATGGAAATGTTGGTATTAATACCAATAATTGTTATTATGAACGAACAACACGTGAAACACAGGACGAAAACATTACCAAGAGAAAAGAAGAATTACAAAAGTATTTTGATTCTATTACTTCAAATCCAATGATCACACAAGACCCATTATGTAGTCAAATAATTTATGCCTTCTTCAGAAGAAATTTACAACGAGTTTCACCAAATGTTGTTTTTGGAGAATACTATGAAAAAATTGTTGAAAAGGTTAAGAAATTGGCAATCCCATTTGGCCCAATAAGTGAAAATGAGATGAATGCCATCATGACTCTCACAAGTCAAGTCTCAAAAGGTTATTCTGATTCTGTATTTCAAAATATTGATCAAATTAAGGGCTTGGAACATTTTCTTGGAAACAGTTTGGACAACACTCCCTCAAAAAGTGATGAAGACGATTTGGATGATTTGTATTTAATTGTGAATAGCTCTCCAAAAGATTCATTTGATGATGAAGAAAAGGGGAAAACAACTATTAAGAACAAAAAAAAGATGGCACCCGAGCCCAAGTCCATGTGGTTCAACATGCCAATCGAAAACTCTATCACTCCGTCATCATCAAATGAATCTCTTAATGGATCATCGCCAAGAAATACTCCAATATTTTCAAACGTAGGGTCAATATTCTCAATGGATTGGAATTCAGTTATTGCTGATTTGTGTCAAGCCATGAATAATTACAACAAAGCTGTTCAATATCCAAGAATGATGATGTACAAAGAGTGTTGTGAAATTTATGAAAAACTGAGACAAGAAAGAGAGTTGGCCTTGATATTAATCTTTAACAAGATGCAAAAACTCTTCTCTCAAAAGAATCAAAAGTTTCCAGAGCAAAGCAAAGCTTGTAAAAATTGTCTCTCAGCGCTGGCCCAAAATTGTGTCGATATGACATTGACGTTTGAAGAAATTTCAGAAAGCTTTGCCCTTTTGAAAAAATACTTTTCTGAGTTAGCCACCAAGAATCCAGCCACTCAACGTAAAGACTTTACTGACAATTTAGAAAGTCTGAAAGAAATTTTGCAAATTCTGCTCGAACAAGTGAAAAAAGGTCAACAAAAAATCACAACATTGCGACAAATCTTAAAAACACTCTTTGTGGTGTTTGATGACTTTTCCACACGAAAGTTGAGTGCATTTTCGCAGAGCCAAAATTCTCAAACTTCCAATGCTTCAACCACTTCAAGCAATGCTACTGGAGATAATGACATGGACGAACCTTTTCCAGTTTCATCAGAAGATTCCAACTCATACAATGTCTTGTGTAGAGAATATATTGAAACCTATTTATTACCATTTGCCTCCATGGGATATGTTTCTGAACTGTCATTCATGGTTCCAGATGCACTCAAATACTTTATCATTTACAATTGCTCTTTGAGAGAAAAGAGAATTCGAAGAATTTTAGCCAGCAGTCAAAAATCAGATTCAGATTCTAATCTCATGGATTCCCAAATGAAACAAGCTATGGAAAAATTATTTTCAGAGAAAATTCCACAAACCGATGAAACAAGAGACGCCATTGCACGAGCTTTTCAATCCGAATTACAAAGTTTAGGAAATTCAGAAATTATGGATCCTGAAGTACTACTATTCTGCATTCCTGAACCTCTGCATCGAACTTGTACATTATTTTCCATGAGATTCCTCAGTTGGGTGAATCAACTTGAAGAAATTGAAGGATTTCAATTTTGTAGACTTTTGCATGTGCAGTACTCGCGAACGACACAACAAGAACTGGAGCAGTGGAATCATATGGTTCACATGTGCCGTAAAATTCTTGACATTTTAGAACAAGCTGTATTGTGCTTTTCAGAACACTCACAAGACACAATCACAACAGATTTGAAAATTTCAATCACCTATGAGACGAAATCGAGATTGGATTTAATTTCAAAACAATTCTCTGGTTATGCAGAAAGATTACACTATTACAATAGTGAATCAAAAAGATTTCGATTACTATAAACATATCCATTAATTTTGATGGATTAATAAGTTTTATAATAGGTTTATTTAAGGGATTTTATCCTTCTTCAATGACAACAATATTTACAAAAAAATTCACACACACGTTCCCGGTGTGAATTCACCATTGTTGGAATATTCCAATAATATATGCATTTTCTCAATGCATCTCATCCTCCAACACATCTTCCACATCCTGCACCTTCTCCTCTACCAACACCATCTGCTTCTCAGCCAAACGTCGATAAATTCCATTCGGAATTTGAATCAACTCTGCGTGTGTTCCCTTCTCTTTCATCACACCCTTGACCATGACACAAATCACATCCAAATGGATCACTGTGATCAAACGATGAGCAATACAAATCGTGGTGCGTCCTTTCATTAAGGTATCTAAAGCGGCCTGAACGAGAGCCTCCGATTCCGTATCGAGTGCACTTGTGGCTTCATCCAACAGTAAAATCTTGGGATCTTGCAAGAGTGCCCTCGCAATGGCAATTCTCTGTTTCTGACCTCCCGAAAGTGACACTCCCTTCTCTCCCAATAGGGTGTCATACTTGTCAGGGAGATCCATAATAAAGGAATGAGCATTGGCCAACTTGGCCGCTTGTTCAATCGCTTCCTGAGTGGTGTTTTCCAAACCAACAGCATAGGCGATATTATATCTAATTGTTCCAGAGAACAAGACAGGTTCCTGACCGACCAAGCCAATCTGTCGATGAAGCCAAAAGGGATCCATTTGTTCGAGATCGACTCCATCCAAGAGGATTTGTCCTTTCACGGGGTGATAGAAACGTTCTAAAAGACACACAATGGTCGATTTGCCTGAACCGGAAGGCCCAACCAATGCCACTTGTTGTCCCTGTTTGATTTCGAGATTGAATCCTTGCATGACCAATGTATGAGGACGAGAGGGATATGCAAAATCAATATCTTTCAACACAATCTCTCCTTTCACACTTTCTGGTTTCAAACCTCCCATAAAAGGAATGGCAGATTCTCTCAACACGACCTTTAAAAATGTCGTTTCACTCACATAGGCCTTTCCATAATGAGGAAAGAACGTTGCAGCTCGAGTAATGGAAATCACTCCCAAACAAAGCATTCCAAAAACCTTAAAAATTGATCCCAAAGTGGAAGTTCCTTCAGCCACTTGATTTCCACCATACCAAAAACCCAAGTCAACAAGGCAGCTCCTCCATAAGCACAAGCATGAGAAAGACCTTTAAAAATACCTTTCGTATTAATCTTGAACAAATCGAGTTTGAATCTCTCAATTTCTTTACATTCACCTGCCATGGAACGAATGGTTTTGATGCAAGAGGCAATTTCATTGGAAACTGCAGCGGAGTGTTCAGTTAATCTGTTGATTTGTCTGGTGATGACGGTGGAAATGGTGGACATGGTCATGTAATTGCAAAAAGTGAGAGGTGAAGTGGAGACTTGAAAAGTACAAATTTTGATAATTCCATAAATGGTAATTGAAGAATTTTAAATAAAATTAAATATTAAAAAATGATGACTTCATTCACTTACCCAAAATTAATGACATTCTCCAATTGACAGTCATGGCCAAAATAAATCCAACCACAAATTGAATAATTTCTTGAAAAAAGAGAAACAATTCATAGGTGTAAACGTCTTGAATTTTCGGAATATCTACCAATTTTCGATAAATTTTCGTAACCACAATTCAAATCCATTCATTCAATTTCACAAATCCGTACACGAGATTTGCACGTAATTCGAATCCATCTCCAATATTACATGAAAAAACCTCAACAACAAAAAACTCACCTTCACTCAACACCACAGTTAAAGCTCCAATCTTTTTGATATCAAAGAAACTCATTTCCTGTTTGACCAATGCTGTCAAAAAAGCTTCTCTCATGGCAGTTCCAAGTCTTGCATGGGCCACTTGTAGACAAAAATGTTGAATTCCAAAAGCAGCCATTCCACAAAATGTCATGATTGTGAATTTGATGGCAGTTTCAGCAACGGCCTCTTTGGATTGTTCAACAGTTGCTGTTTTTGCATTCAAAAAGAATGCATCAATGAGGTCACCTGTGTGGTTTTTCAATGATGATTACAAAATCATTGAATTCATTAAGTTTTGTTTTCATGGATTTTCAAAAAGTACACATACCAAGAATGTATTGACAAACCACTGGAATTAATCCATAAGCACATGCACAAAAAGCACCAATTACAACAATAATCATATTCCATCCAAATATTTGAATCATTTTGAAATGTGACCAAAACGAGATATTTGGTTCTCTTTCATCCTTAATGACTTGTTCTTCTTCTTTCGTGGCAACTGATTCTTGTCGTCTTTTAAATAAACGTCTTCTCGAGTGTGGAGTCGACTGCACTGCCTTGAGATTTGCATTCAAAGAGGTCGTTTGAACTGGTTGTTGGAAGGGAGTTGCTGTCAGCAGTTGCCAAGGATGTCATTTCAAATGTTTTTTTTATGATTCTGCAGAAATGCATTGTCATTTGAACTATTTATACTAATCTTGAAAAGAATCATCAGCACACCTCATTCCTCGCAACAAGAGGATGATGACGATATTAAATATTTGGGGAAATAATTGCAATGACATGTGTGTTCGGTGAATATGTATATTGTTCGAAACTCTTGGTATGATTCTCGGTGCATGATCATATTTCTAAATTAAGAGAGTTGGTAATGTCCTTGTGCTAAATGGTGAACAGAATGCATGATGGTTTGCTATGGAAAACACTGATTATCTATCTTGGGAACATTTACCATTAAAATCAGACGAAAGTAGATTCGAATTGTGCTGACCTGATTCCGAATTGTCTAGATCCATTCCGAAGAAGATTGTCCATAATGTTCCGTCCGTTTTCACCACTTGGTCATGTGGCTGATTTGACAATCTGTTCAATCATGACAAAGGGAGCAGCAGCTCTATAAGAAGGTAAAGGTTGATTAAGAGAAGTCCCAACTCGGGCGTTTATTCTCATAAATATTATTATTACTACTCATAAAACCCTAAATAGAGGGATGTAAAAGCGTCAAAAACATTTGTCTGAAAAGAGTCATCCGTATGCCATATTCTTTACTTTTGTTCTGGGTTCTTCTTTCCCTTGTTGGCAAAGTAGAGACCAGCAAGGACGTACCAAGAGAAGAAGTAAATGATAGCCTGATAGTTTGATATATTAAATTATTATCCAATTCCAATCCATCATCATAACGATTTTCGAATGGTTCAAATAATATTTGTCATCATCCGATTTGTTATATGTAAATTTTCATAATAAGAATATTTTTCATCGGCCGCACGGTTATCATCATCCACCACAATAATAATAACAAAATCATAATCGCAACAACAAACAACAACATCAATAAATGATTCAAAGGGTTAAAATTTTCCAATCAGTTTCTTGCCAACAAGATCTTGATGATTAGTACATACATATTCCTTCTTTCCTTGATCAGCCCAATATCTTGCTGGGGTGTATGGATTCAAATACTTGGTGTATTTAGCAAGAGGAGAATTAGATAAAGCCTTGGCGAGATTAGAGACGACTTCCTTTGCACCCATTTTTGTGGTCAACTAATTTTTTTTACAATACGAGAGGCCAGCATCATCCTCCTTTGAAGAAGATGCTGTTTGTTGTGGATTCTCTTGTTGTTTCTGATGTTTTCAATTCTGTAAGGAGAGCCAGAAAGAGCCGTTCCTCATGAGTGAGAGAGAATTAATGAGCGAAAGGGTATATTCGGAATATCAAATTGCTGGACTGCGCACTTCAAAAAATATTTTAATCAGACCATCAACAACAGCGTTTCTTGGAATATAAAACAGAAAGCATCGGTTCTCGACTCACACAACATCCATAGCAACTAACACACTGTTGTTGCAAAACAGAAAAGAGAAATATTGAGCCAGACTCAATATTGTTGTTTTTGGAATTTTACTCAAACTTACGTATTGTTACACCACAAACAACAGAAAAATTCATTGGACCTCATGATGAATAACAATAATCACACTCCTTCATCGGATTTTAATTTTACGACAATGATGATGTCGTCTAGAAATGATACTCCTTCATCACCAACAAGTGATTTTCTCCCTCAAGATGAAACTCCATCCACAACATCCTCGTTTTTAAATAATCATCATCAACAACATCAGAATCATCAACAACAGGATGATGATCGAAGTGAACAGACCTTCCTTGAAGATGACCACAACTCTCATATTCACTCTCATCACCCTTCCAACGAAAATTCTGATGATGATGAGAGCAATTTCTATTTTGATGAAGAAATGAGCGAAGAAGCCAAAGCCAAATTGATACAAAAACACAAGGAAATGAAAGTCAAGAGGGGCAGAAAGATCAAGTATGAAAACTCAATTTGCTTGGAATGTGAAGAGGACGGGCATAAATCGCAGGGAGGCATTTGGTGTTATGAGGTTGATCATCACAAAAACAACAAGAGAGCTCCAAAGTATGTGAATTGTGATGAATGTCACAAATTAGTGTCAGGACCAAAGTATACTCGCCATCTCAATAAGTGTGCTCCATCAGGAGCAAGTACTGTCACTTCCAACACCAACCAAACATCATCCACCGCTCTTTCTTCACCAGGAGTTCGACAAGGAATGAATACTAATGTTATTCCTGTCTCAGGTGCTGTTGTCCGTTTGGCCTATGATGGTGGTACAATTTCTTCCAATTCCAATCCTCATGACAACAATCAAAACATTGAAAACCAATCCAACTCCTCATCTCTAACAATGAGCAGTTTAAATAATCAGACATCTCCCCGTGTCATCATTGGCAGTCAGCCAGTCAATCAACTCCATCAAAATCAAATGCCAAACAATCAAAACAACAACACACAAGGAATGATGAATACTTCCGCTCCAACGTTTGTCATTATGCCAAATCCTGCTACTACGAACTCCAATAACAACAATGCCTTTATTCAACAACTACAACAAGGAAATAATGCCAATTTCATGCTGAATAACACCAACATGATGGCAATGATTAACGGAATTGGTCTGCAACAACAGTCATCACCTCATTCACCTAAGAGTCCAGGAGGATCAAGTACCTCCCTACCAACCATCGTACTACCACAACAACATAGTTCTGCTCTTCAACAGCAACAACTCATCAATGTGATGAATAGGTTGAGCCCACAAAACAATTATCCAACATCACCGAATCAACTTGTACAAATAGCTCCAGGAACGTTTGGAATGCAGTCAATCAACACACCAAATTATATCATTAATAACAATGGTGCCAACCCTGTGCACTCTCCTCAACACATCATTATCACAAGTCCAAACAACACTAGCTCATCACCTGGAGGAAGACCGCTAGACAACAATGCTGCCAACCAAACAAGGGCCATGACAAGACTATCTCCATCACTTCTTGTTTCTGGTCCGGTATCCCCAGGACAACAACAACAATTCACAAAAATTATTATTCCTAATGCTCCTCCTACCTCTCCTCATCAGCAACCACAACAAGGAATGTTCCAACAATTCTTACCAATAGATCAACACCAACAACAAAATTTCTTGTCAACCTCTTCGTTTACTACAAACACTTCTCGTCTTTCTCCATCCTATCAACAAGCTCTTTCTCCAAATCAAGCTTCATGGTCTGGATATGACTCCTCACCTGGGCTTTCCCCTGGTAATCAGTCTAATAGCGCCGCACAGAAGAAACGAAAAAGAAACAGTTCGAATGCAGGATCTAGTCAACCATCAGGTAGCTCTACTGTTCCTTCTGAAGGAGACTATGTTGAAATTAGAGATGATTTACTGAAAAAAATTAACGATGAGAATGACGACAATGTTTACTCTCTAAGACTTTATAATGAAACAACCAAGCAGTATACTGTATTGATGTCGACTGTACATAAACCAGTCAAACAACTTTGCTCTAGTAAGAAGAGAAAGAAGCTCAACCAAATTTTAGCACCTGTTCTTGCCAAATTCGGAGTAGATGCTGAAACATTGGTTCAAATTAAGGAAGTAAGATCGTTAATTAAGAATAACAAGAAGCCATCCTCATTCAACAACACGAATGACAATGATTCTGAGGATTCGGATGAACAACGAACTCAAAATGATGTACCAATTCATCATCATCAACAACAACAACAAATGCTTTCACAAATTGTACAGCCCCAACAAACAATGATGGGAATGTTGAACGATCTAGGAGCAACGGATATACCTCAATTACCTTCAGAAAAAGACTTTACTTATGAAGTTCCAGATTTTAACATAACACAGCACAATTTTCTGAACTCACTTTCTGATCCCCAACAGCAACAACCCAACAATGAATAAAGATGATATTCTTGGAGCTTACTCGAAAATTCTTCGAAATAAAAATGATGACAGAGGAAAAAGCCACCACACACTTTATCCACACGGATTCCATCATGATGGAAGGAACAGTGGCCATCAAATTAGGAGGAAGCACAACCACAGTTAAAGATTCACTGCATTGCTTAAATCATGAAAATATTGAATGGATGTCACAACAAATAGCCGAACTTTACCACAAATTTCACACAAAATTAATTATTGTACATGGTGCTGGAAGCTTTGGTCATTTTGAATATGCAGAAGTGAAGAACATTCTTCAATCAGAAGAATTTAAAAATTCAGAACATAATCCAAAATCAGAAATTATTCAAAGACTCCAAATGAAAATTGCAGAAACACGATTTTACGTTCAGCAATTAAATAAGGAAATTGTTCACCGTTTAATTTTAAAAAAGATTCCAGCCATGAGTGTTTCACCATTTGATTGTGGAGGTTTTATGAATGATAGTGAAGCAACAAAACGAATTGAAGGATTGGTGGAAATGAGATATGTTCCAGTGATACATGGAGATTTACAATTTAACACAACAGAGCGTAGTTTCAAGGTGATATCAGGAGACACGATTATGGAAGAGTTATCTTGTTTAGGATTGACCACAAGATCAATATTTGTGACAGATGTTTTTGGTGTTTATTTAAACTGTCCATCAAAGGAGTCACAATTTAATGAGATTTCAGCCACTAGAGGTCTGATCAAGAAAATTAGACTATTTTCAAATAATGAGTCAACTTGCACATATGAATTGGACATGTACGAAAATTCATGCACACCATCAGAAATTACGACAGAGCTACGACATCAACATGATGTCACGGGAGGATTTGAAAAAAAGCTCTCCTCTGCATTTGCAATAGCAAGAAGAGGTCATCAGGTCTATATTGTAAAGGCAGGTACAAATAACCTTGAAACAGCAGTACTCAAGAAGCATGTGGCGTGTGGAAATTTGTCAACATTTCAATTCTTAGGCACTGAAATTTCATCTGATGTATGAACTTATAAATATCGAGGTTTTTGAGGCTTCAAATGTTTTTCATCATCATCCAAAATTTTTCTTGTTCTTCTAATTTCCTTTGTTTCACCTTTTTTAATTTTCTTTGGTTTTGGCTTCATAGAAGTGAATAATCGCTCTTCCAAATGACGAGGGTCGGTCCTTCTATTGTTACCAATTTCATAGGTTTTAACATAGCTTGGTGGAGGTTCATCAATATCTGTGTCCTTAATGTTCATGTGTTTAATTATATGAGCATCCATATTATTTAAAAATCTTAAATTAGCTTCCGCTTCTAAAAGAGCACGAGATTTTTTCTTTTTCTTCTTTGGAGGCTCTGTTACTTTCGAAATCTTTTGGTTCAATTCTTTGTACTTTTGTACCTTTTCCATTAGTTGGTTTCGTTTTTTTGATATTTTTTGTTTTTGTCTTTCTGCATGAGTTTTAACTTGATTTAATGAGTCTTTACAATTCTCATGGTTTTCATTTGGATTGTTTTTGGTTGCTGTGTTTGTTACATCAGGCTCATCCTTGACAATAGTATTTTCAAATTCCGAATTATCTTTTCGTAAATATCGGAAACATGGACTAAATGCTCTTACACTCCAAAAACCATATGGTTGAAAATTAATGGTATCCATTCTCGTACTCTTCATGATGGTGCACAAAACATTTCTTGATGAGCAACAACGAGCTGAAACAAAGCATCCAAATATCGATTTGAACATTTTTTTATAGATGAGAAAAAATAGCCTTGAAACCGAAATTGCAAGGAGACTCCTTTCAAAGAGCCTCCACCATCACTTGGAATTGACAAGAAAATTATTTTCAACAGAAATGAAAGGTACTCGATCATCCCTGATTATTAGATTTCCTGAAGATGGAATGGGTGGGAGGAGAAAGTGTTTTCAAGTTCTGAATCATGAGAATGATCATAATGGTCATATCCGTATCGGAGAGCTGAAACGAAAATTGTATAATCTCATCGGATTGGCCTATAATCACAAGGAATTAGATTTCAGTTTATGCATGGATGGTAAATGTATTTCAATGAGAAACGAAAATGAACATTTGCAATTAGGAGAACACGAAACTCATGTAGCCGATTTAAAAATACAACTAAAGGGAGGAGGAAATAATCCATCAATACAAGCAACAAGTTCAAGAGATGTAAATAGTATTCAAGCAAAGAAAGTTTTAATAGAACAACCAGTTGACAGATATATTTCGGAGGAAGTGAGAAAGCGAATTGTGTTTGATCCAGAAAAAGATGCCCCTTCTACAAGTTGTTTTAGAATTCCATTTCATGAATATAATGGATCAAAGTGGCAACCAGTAAGCTATGAAAAATTACATCAATCTAGCAATACTGTTCAAGAATTGAAAATAGTAACATATAATGTTTGGTTTGATTTACTAGAACGAGAGGCGAGAATGTTAGAAATTGTCAAAATTTGTCAAAGTGCAAATGCTGATATTATTTGTTTGCAAGAAGTCACACGTGGTTCTTTAGAGATAATAACAAAACAACCATGGATTAGAGATAATTTTTATATTTCTGATTCATTAGAAAATGGAGGAGCAACTGTCAGCCCGTATGGAGTATCGATTTTTGTGAAAAAGAATTTACCAGTTGTAAAGTTATTCCTTAACGAGCTACCAACTCGAATGTTTCGATCAGCTCTTAGCTTGGAATTGAAGGTAGACGATCAAATTCTTTGCTTTTCAACAATTCACTTGGAATCATTAGATAACCAACCACTCAGAGCTCAGCAAATGTATTTAATATCTACCTTTTTGAAACTGTACAATACTGCTTTTTTGTGTGGAGATTTTAATTTTGATTCAGAAGAAAATTATCACAAAGACATCACACCTCTCGAAAACGAGAATTTAGAGAATTTTTATCCTGATTTCATAGATATTTGGAAAGAACTCAAGTATCCTGTGCATGACATGGGGAAAACATTTATTGGGGATCATAGTAGACTGGATCGAATGATTTTGAAGAGCTCCATCTTTGAGCCTGTGGATATAACCATGTTAGGAACCACACCATTCAAAGAAGTGAACGGAAGAGTCATTTATCCCTCCGATCACAATGGATTACTAACCACTCTTCGACCAAAGAAGTGAGTCGGTGACAAAACGCAAACTCTTACCATCCTAATACTAGTTATCAACAAGAAAGCTATTGAATGACAAAACAAATCCAAACAGTTTTAATTATCATCTCCGTTTACCATCATCATTTAAAGAACAGCCACCTTAGCAACAAAAACTGGAGAGTTCGTTGGAAGATGATGCAAAATCATTGCAAAAGGTCTATCCAACACAAAAGTCTTATCTCCATCGTTCTCCTTTGTTTCATTCGTTGTAGCTGTTTCAGGTGTTAATTCACCTTCCACAGTTCCTAACTCACTGATTTCCATAATACATTTGTGGAAGAGTTCATCCAAGACCCATCCAGATTCAGATGGTTTGGCATCTTGTGGAGTTTCTTCAACAGTTGTTGGTGTCGTTGCAACAGGTTCAGTAGTGGAATTCGTGGTGGTCTTTGGTTTCTTTGGAACTTTGACCTTCTTTGGGAAGAGCGAAGGAAGAGAGAATGGCTTTTCCTTTAAAATCGATGAAAGTTTCACCTTACTTTCAATTCTGAATTTTGGAATGGATACTCTCTTGAGTGATTGAGGTGTAGTTGGGAATGAACAGGAGAGACATCCAGAATTCAATTTACGAGTAATGAATCGATTGAATCTTTCCTCACTGTCTCCATGCAAACTCACTTGATCTTTTGTGACTGCAAAAATCATGGCAAAATCTTGTGAATGATACTTCATGGAAATCCAATGGAAATTTCTAAATTCACCATACTCTTCCACTACATCCATCTTATTCATCATATCCACTTCCACATTCTCAATCACATCTTCATCGTTTGGAGAAATAGTTCTGAAAAATTCGATCGATGTTTGATTGAGATCGAATGGTTTTTCCCACTTTCCAAAATAAAAAGCAGTATCTGCAAAAATAGCTTGTGTGGTATTTTTCAAAAAACCAGTTCCAATCAGAGGTGAAGTAGTCTCTCCATTCTTCTCTGAGATGAAATTATTAATGAATTCTCTTGATTGTTCAACATTTGAGAAATTCACACTTTTCACATACAAAGATAGAGATTTAAAAGGAGTCTTTTCGATGAATGGCTCCGATGCAAACAATGCATGAGTCAATACCAATTTTGGAAACATTTCAGAAGAGGTACTACCAGAAGCACCGCCAACATCTTTCGAACTAGTTTCAATCGCTTGTAAAACTTTGTTCAAATTTCCAATACCAATCTTATTCAAGAGAGTATTCAATTCTTGCTTTTTTTGTGCTCCCAATTCATTTGGTTCTTCAGTCGCTGCTTGTAAGAGAATGGACAAGGATTGTGAAAGGGAGAGTGGAGAGAACATCATGTTTCTAAAATGATCATTGATGGAATTGGTAATCAATTGATTCATGAGTTGTCCAGCAAATTGAGTGGCGGATTTGCTAATATCGATAGCTTGTTGATCACTTGGTGTATTTAACACAGGAATGTTTCCTAGAGGAGAGGAGGAGGAAGATGTCAATGGATCGGTGTTGACGAGCTTTACGTCATCGTCTTGGCATTTGACATGAGTTGTTGTGATGGCAATCATCATCATCGTGATGAGGATGAAAGCACCCACAAGAGTACTTTTAGATGTCGAGAACATTTTTTTACTTTCAAAAGATGTCATCGAGGAATCAACACATGTCCGAAAAAGGCAATGACCCATGTCAGTGAAGAATTAGTTTTTCTTTACCAAATTGAAGTTTCATGTTCGCTGAATCACAATTATATATCAAAGTGTTCATACAATTAACTTTGTTTCGTGTTGTGAAATGAAAATACAATGTTTTGAATATTTAAATGGAAAATTTACAAAAAAATGATCATCACAAAACAACAAGATAATGATAACCTACACGGAGTAATTCTTTTTGATCCATCTTCCTCATCATCATCAACCAAGAAAATTAAACAAGAAGGAGCAACAGTAGCATCATCAACCAAGGTTCTGTTTGTACCCACTACTTCTCATGAAAAGAGAGAATTAAAACGATTGAAATTAATGTTTGAAGAGTGGTATCGGGAAAATGTTGGTCCAATCAAGTCTGATGATGTAAATACCACAACAACAGCAACAACAAAGGCTGTTCAAGAAGAGGATGTGGAGAACGACGAAGAGGAGGCACTTTCTTCAGATTCCGAGTCCGATGAAGACAACACCACACCTTCAAAGGCTGACATCAAATCAATGAAACCAAGAAACAACTCTACGACAACATCATCAACACCAACTAGGAAAAGTGATCGTCAATTGAAAAACACGTCAAAGCTAAAAATCTCTGTACAACAACTCATCGAGGAGGGTCATTTACATGATGGAGAAACTTTGTATTTCAATGGATTTAAAAACGAACTTTCTTTCAAAATTGATAAAGAGAAGGGAATAATATGGAAAGATGATTCATTTTCTTATTTGAAACCGTTTTACTTGAGATTAAAGGAAGACTTTGGACAAAAGAAAACATGTAATCCTTGGAATACGTTTTATGCATTAAGAGATGGACAACGTATTTTACTAAGAAAATTTAGAGATGCAATGTTGAAAAGCATTGATTCAAATTATCGGTCCAAAGAGAAAAGTCCAGAAAAGAAAAAAAGAAAGAGAAATTCCTTTGTGAAAGTTTCTATTTATGACATGGTTGAAAAAGGACTGCTCAAGAATGGTGACGCAATATACCTTGTCGATGGCAACACTGCCTACCACGCCAATATTGTTGAGGGCAAATATATTGGATATACGGATGGAAAAGGAAAATTACACAAATTCGAGACAACCAATTCATTTAAATCATTCCTAGGAACAAACGGAGGTAGTTGGAACAAGTAAGTACATTCCTTCAGTATTTATGTAAATGAACCAAATTTCTTTTTCATTATGATAGAACTTTTGTAACAGGGTCAGGAGGAAACGGAAAGCCAGATAAGTCGTTCCAAGACCTTCGAGACATGTATTTAAAAAGTGAATCTAAGCACTAAAAGATCAATTTGAACCTTTATTCGATCCGTCAAATAATCCCAACCACCTTATTCACACGAATAGAAATTCATCTTTTCTCATGGGCCGCGGTTTCACCTTTTCACCACTGAGAAACCTTTTTTCACGTTCACTTGAATGGATTCTTTTCGGTCATTCTCTCTTTTTTGGTTCAAACAGGCGCAGCAAAATCCTTCACAACGTTTAAAAATTGTTGGTTTGGAGAATCTTTCCGCTCAACAACAACTTTCAAAAAAAACAACAGCAACGAATTCTCCGTGCTCCCACCTGGTGAGAGAGAGAAAGTGTATTGACACTACGACGAGTCGCGGCGTGTTGTGTGTGTGGTTTGGGTGGCATCACGTGTATTCAATACTAGAGTCGTGTTTACTTTTTATTCTTTTCGTTTTTTGTCATCAATTTTGCATCCTCTTCGTTTTTCAATTTTGTCTCTTTTTCCGAGTCTTTTTTCCTTTGCGGCCTTTTTGTAATTATTATTATTCCTACCAAATACTACCATCTCTTTTGATATCATCCAGACATGACCGTTTGCCAATCTCCTGACAACAATTCTACCACCTTTCAAAATTCTAAAAAAAGAGCACCTTCATTGCGAGTGTCTCTGAGCTCACCAAGACAACATCCTAATTACAATGACAATACTAGTGCCATCTCAGGAAATCACTTTTCTGGACTTCTTTCAAAGGAAGCCGTAGAATACATTTTTACGGACTGGCTAAATTCAACGAGCTACAAACCCTAAAATACAATGCTTTGAACTGTCACATTTTGGATACTTTCTCGAGTGGCTTACACTAACTTCCCTAACGTCAAAAGCAATAATGATATTTCATTCGAATTGGATTCATAAATTTCATCCTTAATTGTTACATTTATTACACTTTCTTGATATCGATTAATTCCAAGATATCGTCAATAGACATTTGCTTGTTGGAAATGACAACGTCCATGATGGAGAGTAGTTGTTTGATTGGAATTTTGTCACCAACGTTTTCAATGAGCGAGTCCACAAGCTTGTCACACTTTTCATTGTCTCTAGCAAAGAGGTCATTAGTTTTAAGCACTCCCTTGATATTCTCTGCTCCTGTGACTGATGGGACAGTGAGAACTCGGTCAAATTGTTCCACCAAATCCAAGGATTCCAACGAAGGGAGCGTACTAGTCGTTCCAATAATTAATAATTTTCGGTCTGCTGGAGGATTTCTCTTCAAAAAGGTCATTAGAGTTTGAAGCATCATATTAGAAAAACGAGGTCCTACTCTAACTAGTTGAATTAAACGTTCAATATTATCCAACACAACAATACTCTTGTCAGACTTGTATGCATCAAGAAAAGCTTCAGCAACATGTTGACACATGGCAAACTCATCCATTCCAACCATAGAATTGGGAGAAACAACTCGTACATATGGAAAGTGAGAAACGAGAGCAAGATGAGCAGCCAAAGCAGTCTTTCCACAAAACTTTTTACCTTCCAACAAAATACTTGTCAAGAAGGTATTCTCTCCTTGATCGACTTGCTTCAAAATTAAATTACATTTTTCATAAAGTTTTTCAAATTCAGCTCCATATCTTATAATTCCTTTTCCCATATAGGATTTCAAATCATCAACTCCAAATGATGGTTTCTTAACTTCGCTCAAAGCCCTATTAAAATCATCCATTGTTACTTGGATTTGAGAACTGAACTCCTTGACATTCTTTGCCACAACTTTCTTATTCTTCAAATCTATTCCTCTATTCATAGCAAATGATCGTGCTGAATTGACCAAACCCATTATATCAGAACCAGTAAAGTTCTTGGTTCTATCTACAATACTTTGAAAATCAACATCGCTAGAGAGGAAGTGGTTTTTAGCAAGAGCAGATGTGTGAATTTTCAGAATTTGCATTCTTCCTTCCTCGTTGGGAAGACCAATCTCAATTTGAACTTCAAATCTACCTGGTCTTAACATTGCTGGATCCAATAAATCCAATCGATTGGTCATTCCAATCACTAATACATTTGGTGTTGATTCGACACCGTCCATCATGGTCAATAATTGATTCACAACACCATCTCGAACTCCAGTGTTATCAGACATACTGCCTCGCTTCCTACAAATCGAGTCAATTTCATCAATAATAATAAGATGCAACTCTGCATTCTTTCCTCTATCTTTGTAATCCGCAATAGCCTCAGCAAATAAATCTCGAATTCTTTTTTCTGAAGAACCCACCAGACCACTGAAGATTTCAGGTCCATTCACTACTTCCTTTGTTCTACAGTTCAAAACTTGACCAATTTGTTTGGCAATTAACGATTTTCCTGTTCCAGGTGGACCATATAGAATCAAACCTTTCACATGCTTTACACCCATCATTTCGGCAACGTCAGGAGGATACGCTCGAGAGCAGAAGGCTCGTCTGAAAATGGTGTTCAATTGTTTATCTAAACCTCCAATACCCAGTGTTTCAAAGGTAAATTCTGAATTGAAAATGTCATGCATTTGGTCGGCGTCCTCTTCTTCTTCTGTTAAAGATTCTTCCATCAGTGTCATGACCTTACCACCATTATTGCTATGATTATTCAAATTGTCATTCAGAGCTGAAGATAATGAGACAGAGGAAGAACTTTTTGAATCGTGTTTTGGTATTTGATTAATATCATATGGAAGATTGGTTAATTTCATCACCTTATTTTCTTTAGCAGTCGTGACATAAATAACATTACTGTTTTCGTCATCACAGATCAAAACATTCTTTTGAGAGGTATATACAATTTTAGCTGCAATAATTTCTCCATGATAGACCAATGCCAGTGATTGACCTCTCTGAAGAATATGACCTCCATAACATTTTCTCAAGAGTGGAATGAGATTTGACACATTGACGATTTTCTTCTCCACTGTATTTTCATTCAAAAAGCGAAGTTCAAAAACTATAGAAGAGATGGCCGAAGATGAAGTGGAAAAGCTCTTCTTTTCGGAATAGCCTTCACAGGTACAATCTTGACCTACTTCAATACCTGCATGTTGCCTCATAAATTTGTTGAGACAAATGGTGCCTTTAGCAACACTTGGAAAAGAGGCATACTTGGTAATGAGTCTACCACATTGGATCCAAGGACATTTCGCTTGCTCAAATTGAGCACAATCATCGGGATGAAGATAGGCAAGATTAGAAAATTGTAAATATCGCTCTGGAGTATTGGCAATTTTGAGAATTATGGATGTCATCTTGATAAAAGTTGAAGATTTAATGAGCTGATGATGATCGATTTCAGGTCAATTTTTTGTTGTCCTGATCAGAACTACTCTGTCTCTTTTCTTCCGAAAATAAATGAACTTTCTGAAGAGCTGGAACAACAATTCCTCAAGAGGTTGTGATGAGTAAATATATTTTTAGATTGTTGTGTGCCACGTCTAAAAATGTTTCAACGTTCAACTCTTACGAAATCATGATACGTTGAAAATGCAGAAAACCCCAATGACAAATAAAGATAACCTCCTCAATGTGCTAGGACGAGAGGATACGTTTTGAGCATTCGGGAAAAGCAACAGTCCATCAGGTTCAACCAAGAATGCAGTGAAGAGATTCTCTTTTATTTTTTTATCAAAAAATGAGCCAACAGCAGAAGGAGGCTATTGCCGCACAAGAAATGCCTCTCTCGGATGGCGAAGAAGAAATAACAACGAGGACGGAAACAATGAGCAACAGTGCCTACAACAACAACAACAATACTTCCACAAATGGCAGCGTTGGAGATCAAAAATCAAAGCAACAAAAGAAAAAGAATAAAAAGAGGAAACGAAAAAAGACAATCATATTACCACCTGGATTAAAGCAATATGAGAGAGGAAATCAAGTGCCAAACAGTGTTGATGATCAACAGGAAGATGTTTTTGTTCAAAGAGATGTAATTAAAGAACTTGAATCAAAATCATCGGGTTCCGATTTTCTCAATGAGTTTAAACGTATTTTCGAACGATTTGGAGCAACGAAGGATTTTATTAATTCTAAGCCCGCACCAGAGGAAGCTGAGGAACCTCCTAAGAAAGAAAAAGATTTGTTTGAATTGAGTAGTGAGGAAGAAGAAACTCAACAAGATCAAGAGGCCGAAGAAGATGACGAAAATGAAGCCGATTACGATCCAGTTTCTCTCATTGCCAACAAGCGTGGTAAAAACAAGAACAAACTCAAGAAAAAGAAGAAACGTAAATATAAGTTCACGGTTTCTCAACTAAAGCAATTGGCAAGAAAACCAGATGTAGTGGATGTTCATGATATCACTGCTCCCGATCCTGAACTGCTGGTGTACTTGAAATCTTATAGAAACTCTGTTCCTGTTCCATCTCATTGGCTCCAAAAGAGAAAATATCTTCAAGGTAAAAGAGGATATGTAAAACCACCTTTCAAACTTCCAGACTTTATTGCAAAAACTGGAATTACAAAGATGAGAGAGGCGTATCAAGAAAAAGAAAAAGAAAAATCCATTAAACAAAAGATGAGAGAAAGAGTCAGACCAAAACTAGGAAAAATGGATATTGACTATCAAGTACTAAGAGATGCTTTTTACAAGCATCAAACAAAACCAGAAAATATCACTATTCATGGAGATTTGTATTATGAGGGCAAGGAATTTGAACAACGTAGAAAATATATCAACAAATATAAGCCTGGAAAACCACTTTCTGAGAAATTGAGACTTGCATTGGGTATGCCAGTAAATGCACCGCCTCCATGGCTCATTAAGATGCAGGAACATGGACCGCCTCCATCATATCCCAATTTAAGAATACCGGGTTTGAATGCACCAATTCCTGAAGGAGCTAGTTATGGTTATCATCCGGGTGGATGGGGACGATTACCTGTCGATCACATGAACAGACCTCTCTATAACAAGTTCTTCGGTGCCAATTCTGTTGAGCCTGAGGATAAACAGGATGAATCTAAATCGAAATCATTATGGGGAGAAGATGTCATCGATGACATGCAAGAAGAGGAGCCAGAAGAAGAACCTGCTGAAGAAATTAGAGAAGGAGTTGACTCTGATGAAGAAATACAAGCAGCAGTGACGGAAAAAGAGGAAGAAGAGGAAGAACCTAGCTCTATTATATCTGTGAGTGGACTTGTGACACCCAAGCCCATAGATTATCCACAAAAATCCATCACTCCTGTTGCGGCAGCTCCTCTGAAGACTCCTGATGCAATCAATTTAAGAAAAGATGCGAGGAAAACAAACGATACAGAACCAAAGTTGTTGTACAGAGTGCTGGAAGAAGAAAAAAGAGAAATTGGAGCCAATGAATATATGGGCTCATCTACCAAATACAAAATACCACCAACCACTGGTGGATCAAACATGCCACCACCAATCCAAGAGTCGGCAGATGACAAGAAACGAAAACGGAAAGAAGGCTCGGGATCTCAAAAGAAGTTTAAGTTTTAACTTTTCTTGTACGTATGCAACTTGTTGCTCTTTTGTTATCTTCTTAATTATTTCACAATACCGTTACAATAATACCTCTTCTTTGATAACAATTAAATTCATTATTTAACTTATTTACAATATTTTCATTTTCAACGCTAATGTTGCGGAGGTTTCGAGCTTCGAGTGTCTTTAATTCCTTTTGCTTCATTTTCAAAACCCATCCTTTTCAATTTTGTGAGAATTTCATCCAAAGATTGTCGTGTTTGCACCATCGTTTGTAATCGTCTGTCAATTTGATGAATTCTTATGTTTTCACCACCATTTTCAAAATATATTTCCAAAACATCCAATTTGATAAAAACAATCACTTTCGAAACCTACTGTACAGAAATATCAGTGGTTGAATTTGAAATCTCATTAATTTGATCTCCGAAGGTCGAAATAATCGGATCATATTTAGTCACCATCGCTCGTGTGCACGATGAAATATATTCATCTTGTTTTGATCCTTCCAACAAGGAAATACACACCCGACTTGTTTCATCTGCAATTTTCCCCGATCGATCATGAAGTAATTGTTTCACTTCTTGGAAACTCATTTTTTTTATAAATTTCTTTTGTAGCGCCCAATATTGTTGATCTTTTCTTGTCAAGCAGACAAGAACTAATGCTAAAAGGAACCGTCTAAATTCAGTCAATTTCTTCTCTTGAGATTGAGTAAACTCATCCATGGTTTTTTAAATACTCGTTGCAAAACCACAACAACCACCACTGTCATGACCTTCTTCTATGAATTCAACAAAAAAAATGAGTCAACAGTTGACGAACGATACATCCACCATCATCATTCGCTCCGAAGAATCACACGAAGAAGAGGACTACTCTGGTTTGTTTGAATCGGACATGTTTCAAGTGGATGAAAACTATTTCAGAAAACCAAGACCAGCTCGTATTGAAGTTTTTAATATTGAAAATAGTGATTTTCAAGTCAAGGTCCGACTGTTGGGTATGTATCTATTCATTCATTGGAAGGATTTAAACGTTTTTTCATCATCGGAATGAACACTTTATATTCATAGGTGATCATATTTTGTGGGGCAATTATTTATGGAATGCCTCTAAATGTTTATCACAACATTTCTATGAAAATCAACATTTAATTAAGGATAAGACAGTGGTAGAGTTGGGAGCTGCAGGTGGATTGCCAAGTTTGACGTGTGGAAAATTAGGTGCTAAAAAAGTGGTCATTACAGATATTGGACATGAAGATTTAATTGATAATTTAAAGAAGAATGTGGAATTGAATTTTGGAGAGAATTGTCAACATGTGGAAGTGCGACCACATGCTTGGGGAGAACGATTGGAGGAAACATTTGGAATTGGAGAAAATAAGGAAACATTTGATGTCATTATTTTGAGTGATTTACTTTTTAATCATATTTGTCATCATCAATTGTTGGACAGTTGTGAATATTTGTCTCATCCAAACACAATGATTTATGTGAGCTATACGTAAGTGTTAATGTTGTTTGGTAGATATGAGTCACAGTTATTTCAATCAACAACATTTTCTTAACGTTAGCCATCATCGCCCTTGGTTAATTAAGGAAGATTTAAAACTCTTTGTTTTGGCCAAAGAAAGACACTTTTTGGTGGAGCACTATTTCGACAAGAAGTATCCACCCATGTTTGAGAATGATCCTGGTGATGTGGAAGAAAGGTCCACTGTGCATGTGCAAATCATGAAACCACCTCAAGCACGACAAGGTAATCACGAAAATTAAAATATTTAAATGACTTCTTGTAGCTCAATAATTTTTTCTTTCAACACCATCACTACAACATAAACGTGTTCAGAGGTGGTATTGAGAAAAAAAAAATTAATTTTTTTTCTCCTGGCTTGGGAGATCTCGTTACCTGTCACTCCCACCCTGTATACGTTACTGGGGTTCTTATGTTGTAGTGCGAACACATTTCAACATGTGAGACGAACTTATTGCCTTTAATGCATATTGACATGAATTCCTTCAACTACATATGAATTAATTTGTATTGAATGAATTATTATTCGTATTTAATAATTGAATGAATCTATCACTAGATTGGCTCAAACAAAAGGAGCATAGCACACAACATCCTTATAAGTTTGTGAGCTTGCAACAGTAATCCACCACTTGTTACTTGGAGATGTGTACACATAGGAAGCAGCAATTTGAGGAACTCCACTGGTTGGATAATTGGTTTGCCAATCGGTATAACTCGACACGGAAGATCCATCCGACCATGAATAAGTCTTACTGGAAGAATCATAATTATTTCCAAGGAAGAAACTGAAGGACTCATTCTTTGGAAGTAAATTCATAATAATGGTCTTTTCAGCGGCAGTTTGAATCATGGCCAATGAGGCAGAAGAATCCCAATATTTACACAAGGTATTCAACACGGATGGACTGTATGCTGTGCTGAAACGAGTGTACACATAACAACGACCCAAAGTGGCACTGCATGTCTGATTTCTATACCAAAACTGTTCCACATAGGTTGGAGGTTGAGGATCATAGGGAGTAATGACACTCGAAGGTCCTCGAATACTTCCCACTGCATATTGTGAACCTCCTGAAACTGCGAACGGAATGGTTCCTTCACTGACATCACCTTCAACCATTAATGAATAAATTCCACTCTTTCCAGTAGCAATGGTAAACGTTTTAGGAAGAGACTCCCATGTGAAACCCTTATAACCACTAATTGGATCAGTACCAAGATACACTGGGAAGTATGGAGAGTAATTATAGAAAGCGTCTTGATTGTATCCTGATGCCAATTGAAGAGTGAATTTTTCAACACCACTTGCTGCATTGGAAGCAACAGCCACTTGGTAGGTGAAATTCGATCGAACCCAATTTGTGTTCAAGATATTCTTAATAATTGAAGTGGTCTTTCCGAGATAGGTCACTGAATAGCCAGAAGTACTGAGTGGAACAAGTGTCTTGGTTTGTGACAATTCGACCGTATTACATGCATTATCGACCACTGTTTGATACACACTTCCCAAACTATTCCAATTCACAGTAATTTGATTGTAGTAGTCATAGTTCATTCTTTGAATTTGTAATTGACCAAAACCTGAGGATAAACCACTTCCAATTCCAATTGCTAATTGTCTCCAATTCCACAAAGCAGATCCAAATCGTGCAATTTCAGGATTTCCATATGAATTGCCAGGACTCCATGAATTAATATCAGAAGATCGCACAGTTGCTTCAGCACAAGGATTACATCTACTTGTTGCGCTTCCCCAGTTGCATTGAGAACAGGACATACCAGGGAATCGAGGTGATTTACAATAAGTGGTGGTCACATTTCCATAAAGTAATTTGTTCGTTATGTATCCATAAGTAGATGAGTCACATGTTGAGCATGAACAAGGTTCATTGCTTTCACCATCAGTCACATGGATGATAATCTTATTGGTGACTTCTCTTCTTCCTTGATTGTATAACATTTTCACTGCTTCATTAATACCGAGATTGCTGGCAGTTCCAGATTTGAGCTGAGCACAACCACTGATGGTATTGAGTACAATATCTTTACTTGTACCAGATGATAATTGCAAGTGGGTAGCCACTGTTGAAGCAAATTGAATAATACCAATATTAGTACCTGTTGGTGAAATGTTAGAGCCAAAACCAGCAGTGATATTGGACATGAACTGTTTCATATTCAACCAGTTCGCATCAGAAATGGATCCACTTCCATCCAACAAGAAAACTGTTAAATTATTACAAGTGAAAGTTAACATGTTACGACACGGTTACATTCTCATCTACTTACTAATATCCATATTCAAATAACATTGACATGAAGTATACTGAACGGTGACAATAGCCGATGATGTGGTTTGATCTTGATCCGATTTAATTCTATAAACAAATGTTTGAGCGTCACAACTACCTGTCCTTGGAGAAACACGAATAATTCTAGAGTTGGCAGAATCGCTTGGATTGAGGATGACACAATTTCCAGAGGGACATGAATCAATTCCATTGAAAGAGAAAGTACCACCTGAAATTATGAAAGAATATGATTAGATTCGACTCGAGTGAATGAAAAAAGCTTACCTAAAGAATCATAGTCATTACTCATAATACTAGAAACAGGAATGTCAATATAGGTGTTATATCTGGTGGACACAAAGTCGTTGACGCTCATTGGTGGAAGAGCAGTTGGAGTGATGGACACATTAACTGTGACAGTCATTGGATTCACTGGATCGCTATCCATGACACCTACAGTAAACCAACAACTAGATCCCACGAAAGAAATTTGTCTTTGGAAGTTAATCTTATTGGAAACGACACGAATTGATTGCATGACGCCACTTGTGCATGAACCTGTGCTCAAAATGCTTGTCAATGAGAGAGTATCAGCTGTATCTGGATCACCGGCATTGGAAAGTGACAAATAATCCATAATTTGAATCGTGTTACTATCTCTTCTCACAGAGTACACATAATTATAGGAAGGAGCAACAGGTGCTTGATTGGCCTGATTGACATAAATTTTACATGTAACAGTTTGACCAGCAGAATTTGAATAGGAATAAGTGGCATAACAATTATTGTTCATGCAAGATCGAGTAGCTGTTGGATAATAGGTCAACTTGTTGGTTGAAGAATCCTTAGAAATGGTTCCAATACCATTCAGGGTACTTGTGGAAGAAACAGTAACAGTTGCTGGTTCACTTCCAGAAAGTTTCACCAAATTCAATCTGAGATTGTCTTCAAATTGGATGGATGCATCATTCTTGGAAGCAGTAATGTAATAATCGACGCAACTCAAAGCACTTCCTGTGATATTGACTGTATAAATATATGAAGAAGTGAGCTGACCATCTGTAATGTAGACATAGAATTGTTGTGCACCAATGAATGAATTGGAATAAGTGAATTTTGCAGAACCATCTGTTCCACTTATCAACACAATGGATGATCCTGAATCTTGATTAGGAAGAAGAGCAACGGAAGAAACTGTCACACTGTCACCATCGGTATCAGTAACACCGCTTAATAAATTCGTTAAGATAACTGTTGGATTTGAGTAATTTCTTGTCACATTGGCCGTTCTGGAGGATCCCTGAGGTGGCGTGTTTCTAATTTGAATTGAGATTGTTCCATAGGTGGTGAGTGAATTATCTGTACAACCATATTTGATCGTATCGGTTGCAGTGTAAGCACTACCATCAGAAGGTCGAACTGTGTAAGACATGGATGTTGAAGGTCTGTAGGAGAAGGAACCAACTGTACTATCCGTGACGGTAATTGTACCCAAACTTCCTTGAATAACACCAACAAAGCTCAGTGGATCTCCATCAGGATCTGAACATTGAGTCTGTAACATTTGGGAAAAGCTCTTGACTTCATTCCATTTCATTGAGGTCGATAGAGATGTTGCACTTGGAGCAGTATTGGTAAATGTCAATGAAACAGTCGCTGCTGAAGAAGTGGCAACACCATCAGAGATTGTATATTTGAATGAATCACTGCCTGATCCAGTCGTCGATGAAGAATCTACATAAATAATGGATCTCTTGTCAGAGCTAATGGAAAGTGAGGCACTTCGAGAAGATGACACTGAATCGACACTAGCAATATAAATATTGTTGTTATCAGGATCATAATCGTTTTGTAATACAGAAAGAGTTAAGCTCTTGGATCTCCAATTGTTGGAATAAGAGTCAGCAACAGCCACAGGCGCAGTATTGGTGAGAGAAATCGAAACCGTTTGAGTAATGGTTTGAGCAATGTCAGTAATCTTGAATTGGAAACTCGTAGTTCCCACAGTGTTTGCAGGTGGAGTATATTTCACAGTGGTGGCATTGAATGAAGCAACAGTTCCCATGGAGGGTTGTGAAAAGGAGGAAACAGAAAGAGAATCACCATCCGCATCATTGGCACCATAGAGTAAGTTAATTAAAAATCCATTTTGAACATTAGACCACAAATAAGTGTAGGACATGTCACTACAAGTTGGAGCCACATTTTGGAGATTAATGGTAATGGTGCTAATTGTTGAAGTTTCAAATCCATCACTAACGACATAGGTAAAGGTTTGTGGAGCAAGATTTCCACTTGGATTGTTAAAAGTAAAGGACTTCTTATCACTAGAGAGAGTTAAGGTACCAAGTGATGGCAAAGTATAGCTTGAAATTACCAAATAATTACCATCTACAGAATCTGAATCTGTTGGTTTCAATGCGTCACTTCGACTCACGACTGGAATTGACAAGGTGTAAGCATTTGAGAAGTGTGAGTTCATATCGATATTATAAGAAACTGGTACAGAGTTGGTGACAACAACAGTAAATGTGGCACTCGATGTGGTCCATCCATCGGTGAAAGAGACTGTGAAAGTATCAGTACCCTTCCATGCTGAAGAAAGTTTGTATGAAACGGCATTATTTGAACCCAACGTCACAGTTCCTTGATTGACCTTGGTAATGGCAGTAATAGTAACTGTATCTGAATCAACATCACTCAATTTTGAACCTAAGGAAATGGATGTTGGTGACATGACTGTTCTCCAATGATAAGTAAATGCTGCAGAAGTGTTAGCAGTTGGAGCATTATTGTTAATGGTGATGGAAATGGTTCCTGTGACTGTTTCTCTACTGTCACTAATGACAAAGGAAATGGTCGAAACACTACCCACAAATCCTGTCTTTGGTGTATATAAAATAGATCTTCCTCCATCCACTGTAGTTAAAGTACCTTGACTTGATGAAATTGATGAATAGGAAGAGAGGGAAAGTGAATCTGAATTTGCATCAGAAGAGTTACCAACAACGGCAAAAACAATTCCATTGACAGCAGCAGACCATAATCCATTGAATGAGAGATTTTGTGTGGTTGGTCGAGTATTTGTCACTGTGACTGTAATCTTGGCACTTGTTGTTGTCACACCATCAGAAATGACATAATAAAACACATCTTGGCCCAATGGAGCAGTTCTTGGGTAGTAGGTGATCTTGTTGTTTGCTATAATTGGAGCAATTGAAGCAAGAGATCCATAAACGGAAGTTATCGTTAATGAATCTCCGTTAGGATCATTGTCATTTGCTAAGACATCTAATACTAGTGAGGCAGTGTTCCAATGAACGGAATAGGTGTCATCTGTGGCAATTGGAGCATTATTATACACTTGAAGGTTGACAGTGTTGGAAACGTCACCGTTCGAAGCATCATCCGTGACCACATAAGAGAATGAAAGAGATCCTGTGAACACAACACTTGGTGCTTGAATGGTCACGTTGGTTGAAGATCCTGATCGAACAGTCACACTTCCAACAGTAGTTTGAGATGAGATACTCTTCACACGAATTGCATCTCCATTTGCGTCAGAATCAGCAGGACTTAAATTCAATACATCCAAGTCAAATCCATCTCTAAAGGATCTCCATAATACACTGTAACTTTTGACAGCAGCTGTTGGAGGAGTGTTGGTGGTTGTGACAGTTAGGATTGCAGAAGTATTTTTCAGTCCATCACTACAAACATAGGTCATTGAAATACTACCAATCGTTGAAGATGGAACATAAGTAGCGACATTATTACTAATGGAAAAAGTTCCTTGTGAAGGTTGAACACCTGTGTAGGTTTGCAAATAAGCAGAATCTTCAGTATCTGAATCTGAAATAGAGGAAGCAAGACTTGTGACAAAAGTTGTCTTCCAGTGTGTGGTTGCTGTGACAGCGCTGGCTGTTGGGGTTGTGTCATAGACAGTACATGTCACATTAATACTGGATGATCCTGAACTAGAAGTGTATCTCAGTGTGAAAGTTTCAACGCCTGTGAATTTGTAAGCTGGAGTGTAAGTAATGTTCTTTCCATCGGATGAAACGACTACAGATCCATGCATGTCTGGAGAAGAAATTAACGTAGAATCGAGGGTAAGTGCATCTGTGGAGTTAATCTTCGACAAAGGATCTAATACAATTCCACTAAAACATGCTCTCCAATGAATATTATAAAATTGTTCAGTATCTTTTGGAACAGTGCTCTTAATTTGAACAGTGACAGTAGCAGTGGATGACTTGAAACCATCACTAATGACGTATTGGAATGTATCAGTGCCTATACTTGTTACAGAGCTAGGTGTAGGGAAATATTTAATCTTTCCAGACTGAATAGTGGCAACACCTGGACCATAAAGTGTGGATGCGCTGGTTTGTGTGATCGTCAGGTAAGGAATATCCTCAACGTCACTATCGGTTGCAAGTGACAAGACATCAATCAAGATACCACTCTGAATATTTGCTCCATAATATTGAACTGTCACTGGAGAAGCAACAGGAGCATTGTCATAGGACATTGTGGTCAATTTTTTAATGTCAGAATCTAATCCATCCGAAAGTTTGACATAACAATCTTCAGTTCCTTCAAAGGATACATGTTGGTATTGAACAAGTTGGATCGATCCAGAAGTCACCAATGAACAAGGACCAGATTGAACTGTCAGAGTAAGTGAATCTCCATCACTATCGGTTGGAGTATTGTAAACCGTATAAGAGACTCCAGAAGAAGCAGCTCTCCAATGAACAGTCTTATTTTGATTTGAAATTATTGGAACGTTCAGGTTCGTAATTAGGACAGAAACTGTGGCAGAGTTAAAAGAATCTTGAGCACCATCGTTGACCTTGTAGGTAAATGTTTTGGTACCCTTTGTTGGTGTCGATGCCAAGGTATATCTCACTTGTTGATTGCTTACAATTGAACAATTTCCTTGTGAAGGTTGTGTAAAGGAACTCACTGAAAGTGCATCTCCATCGCTATCCACATCATTATTCAATACTGGAATGTCAATAGACGAGGTCGACCAGTGCACAGAAACAGAATCTGCAACAGCAACGGGTCGATGGTTCGTCACATTAATGGTCACCGTTTGTGTGGCATTTGAAATTCCATCAGTGATGGTATATTGGAAACTGTCAAGTCCAACACGGCCCTGAGTTGGAGTGTAAAGAGCTTTTCCTGAGCTAACAGAGACTGTACCTAGTGAAGGAGTAGAGAATGAATTGGAAGCAAGAGATAATGAATCAGCATCACTGTCAGTGCAACCAGACAAGACATCAATGGTCACACCTGTCGAATAGGAGGACCAAGGTGTGCTGATGGACTTGGCAGTTGCTACTGGAACAGCATTTTGAATGTAAATACCAAAGCTTTGATTCTTTGCAATCCATCCATCGGTGTATTCAATAGTGAAAGAGGATGTTCCAAGAATAGCAGGAGAAGGTAAGGTCCATGTCACTTGTTTGACTCCAGCGACTGTGCTCACACTTGGAGTTCCATAACTGTTGGCCATTGAAACAATTCTAAAATCAATGACATCATTGTCACTATCCGTGATATTTGCCAAAACATTAATGTTCGTACTAGTGGTCGTCCAATGAATGGTTGTGGTGAATGCAGTAGCAACTGGAGCAACATTCTGAACATAAATGGTCCAAGTGCATGTAGTGGTGAGCAATCCATCGGTGAAAACAATGGTGATGGTTGCATTTCCTGTGAAACCTGTGGTTGGAGTGAAAGTGATTGAATATCCAGATCGAGAAATGGATCCACCATTGGAAATGGAAGCTTGTGAAATTGAAACAACATCTTCCCTGTCCATGTCAAGAGCATTGCACAACGCAATGACATCTCTTGAATAACCTGATGCCACAGCATCAAAGTGTTTTTGCTCATAATAGTTTGAAGCCGTTGGAGCATTGTCATACACATTCATGACCACTTGTATTTGAGCAGTTTGAGCACCGTCGGTTAGAGTCAAGTTGAATGAATCAGAACCTAAAAAGTTATTATTTTGCTTATAAATGACATTTGGCACTGTGGTCGAATTACCATTCGAGATGACAACAATACCATGTTGTGGAGAAACAAAAGGTGTCGAAAGCAATTGAAGAGAATCTCCATCAGTGTCAATTGGTTGAGGAACATCATAAATGTTGATTTGTGTACCTGAATGTTGAGTTGACCAGTGAACCGATTGAGTGATCACTCGATTCTTTGGAGCATCCTTATTTGTGGTCACTAATGTCACTTGAGCGGATGGACTGGATAGAACTCGATCGGTACAGGTGTAAGAAATTTGTTGTGTTCCTAATGATTCAAATGTTGGAGAGAAGATCAATTTGTTGCTTTGTGAATTCTTGGTGACAGTACCCTTAAAATTATTTGGAGTAAAAATGCTCAAAATGGAAAGTGGATCATTATTTTCATCCGAATCATTCTGCAAGACATCTAGTTCGACATTGGATGATCTCCAGTGAAGGGTAAAAGTATCATCTACAGCAATTGGAGCTTTATCAGTGACTTGAATGGTCACAACTCCAGTTGCAGTCTTTCCATAATCACTCACAACATACGTAAATGTATCATTTCCTGTGAAATTATTAAAGGACACACTTGTGTAGGAAAGAGCATCACTTCCATCAGCTAGTTGAACACGAGTAACAATACCCTTTGAAGGTTGTGTGAACGACTCAATGTGAAGAGCATCTCCATCATCGTCACCGTCATTGGCGAGAACTGGTAAGACGACCACATTGTCAAGCCAATGAACAGAGGCAACATCAGAAGTAGCTTTTGGTGCATGATTCGCAACTATTACTCGAACCGTTGCAGCATTAGAAACATCAATGCCGTCTGTTACAGTGTAAGTGAATGTCGCTTCTCCTGTGAAACCATTGGGAGGGGTGTAAAGAACCTTTTTACCACCTTGGAAACTTGAAACTGTTCCTTGAGATGGAATGGACAATGTCTTGATCACAAGATTGTTATAATCACCAGGATTAATGTCTTGATCATTATTCAACACTTCAATGGCAACACTTCGATTCCAAGCGACTGTGGCCACATCAGCAACGGCAACAGGAGCATCATTCACAACATTGACAGTAACTTTGGCATAGTTGGAAACAGCACCTTCAGAGTCAGAAATGGAATATGTGAAAGAATCTGTGTAGGTTTGATTCAAAGCTTGATAAGTGACAACAGAGCTCGATGAGGAAATTCCAACAGTAACACCTTGAGAACTCACAGTGGCATCGTTGTACTTGATAACATCATTGTTTGGATCAAGATCGTTGGCAATTAAATTGAAACTTCCAATCCATCCCTTAGAAACAGTCACAACATCATCCTTTGCAATCGGTGGTGAATTTGAAACTGAAACAATTAAATAACCAGTGGTTTGGAAAATACCATCTGTAGAGCCATCTCGATTAGTATTGGAAACATAATATGGAGCGAAATCAGTTCCAGTGAAATCATGTGCTGGAATGTAAATGACATGATTGTCATCAACTTTCCGAATTTCACCTCCATAAAGACTAGTAAGAGATGTGAAAGTGAGTTTCAAAATATCACCAGCTGCACTATAGTCATTAGCGATCACATTGACAGTGATGTTGGAATTCTTTGAACAGAGAGCAGTGTCATTGTTAGCAATTGGTGGAACAGGTGTGACATTAATGGTAATCTTAGCGGTTACAAAATCAATTGTATCAGAAATCTTAATTTGAAAACTTTCAGAATAGATATTTCCACTCTCTGGGGTGTAAACAAGTTTGTAAGTATTGACTTTGACAGGATAAAAGTCATTGGTCACATAGTTGACTTGACTCATGACAGAGTATTCGACAAGTTGGAATGTACCTCTTGTTGGCTTGGTCAACAAGGAAACATAGACGGTATCCAACATGTCAGAATCCAAATAAGTAAGGTCTAGCATGTTGTTTGTTGAATTCTTTGGAACATGGAACACACGATCTCCACCTTGAGGAGGAGTATTCACAATCTTAATAAACACAAAACTATTACCAGTAAGTGATCCATCAAAGTTTTGATATTCCCAAGAGTCAGTTTGTGGTTGAACTTGTGGTGGTGGAATGTAAGTAATGTTTTTCTTATCCTCTGAAAGAATTAAGGTACCAATGGATCCAGCTCCTGCAGAGTAAATGGTAATGTCATCCTTGTTTATGTCATAATCGTTGGCTAAAAGGTTGATAATGGTCTTGTCATTCTTTGGAACGACATAATAGTCAGGAACACACACGGGAGCATCATTGGCTACGGTAATGAAAATAGTCGCAGTGGAAGTGACATTTCCATCAAAAACAGAATATTTGAAACTGTCTTCACTGTTAAACCCTTTTGGAGGAGAATAATACACATAGAGAGAATCAAAAGCGATGGAAGAACCATTCACTTGAGGAGCACCAACAGCAGAAACAATCAATTCATCGCCATCTGGATCAGAAATGGTGGCACCCGAATCAGAAATATAACGGAAGACATCGAATGCATTCTTCATGGAATTCTTACTGACTGTATATTTTAAATCAATCAACTCGGGTGGACGATTCAAAATCTCAATATTCACCTGAGCAGATGCAACCACATAACCATTTGTGACATAATAGGTAAATGTGTCATTACCAGAATAGTATCCACTGGAGGTATAGACAACTTTTCCACCTCCTGTCATGACAGCTGAACCATGAAGAGGTTGTGTGATGTTGACCAATGTTAAATTCAAACTCTTAGGATCAACATCATTTAATAAGGGATAAATAGTGAAAGGACGACGTTTATAGACCTGTGCATAATCATCCTTAGCAGTTGGACCTGAAACACCAGCAGAGACGGTGACCATGATAATGGTAACAACGACAGAGGTGACCACCATGGTAGAAATAATACCTCCAACTGTTGAAGGAGTTCTCATCGAGAGAGAGAGGATTGGTTTTTTGAAATTCATAGGATAGTTTTTGTATTTAACCATCGATGGTTTTTTGATGTTCATGCATGACGATGAATGAAAACTATTCACACATGTGTGCGTTCACAACATACCTATCGTTTGAGTGATGGTTCCTCCTTTCTATAGAAAGTGATGGAAATACATTGAATGTGCATCGAACATTGTATTTGAGGTTCATCATAAAGTTGTCGTCGATGTGTCGTTGATGACATCACATTATGTGAATGACATGGGTTGTATGACCAAAATATATACAACAGTTTGTAGTATCACAACCATTCTGTCCATACTACTTACCAACAAGGAAAGATTGACACCAAGGGTACTTCTACCCACAGTGGTTGAGCTAAAAGTAATTTGTTCTGGCATTCAAAAATGTCTTGTTGAAGAAGAAATGATGAACCTCAAATCTCAGATGAATGATGGTCTTTTCTCTCAATTGTTGAGAGATAAGAGTTCTCGAGTGTGGTCTTTGAAAATATGAATGAACTATTGCGAGGGTGGAATTATGAACTCTTAGAATCTACAACTACTACAACACCCCTGTTTTCAAGCACAGAGAGGTTTGCGGAGTGGTATTGTTTTTTTTTGAAGTGTGTATATAATGAACAGCTGTCACGACTTGTCATCCACATTAGGGGAATAGCGCCTGAAAAAGATTGCTAATACGGAACAAGCAATTAGAGATACAAACTAGAACAGCTGAAAGCACAAATTTATACTCCTTTTTAGTCGTTGAGTCTTGTTTTATAAAAACCATTCCCAAGATTCTCGAGTCCGAGAGGGTTTGAAATTTGGAAATTTTATTGTGTGCGAGCACATTCGACATACATGTTCAAGAATACAATACGAATATCCTATTTTTTTGCAAACAAGTTTTACGGATTGAGTTTAGCTTTCGTGCCACACACGCATCATCACTTCACATGAGAACAAACATTTGATGCACTACAGATAAATTGTATCATGTCCATGTTGAATGAGATTAATCCAATTTTTCTGTAATTTTCATTGAGAAATCAACCTTCACTCCACCTCCCTCTGTCAAAATACCCATCGACAAGACATGAACATGTTCGCAATGTTTCAAATAATCGAGAACAGTCTCTGGATTCAATCCACCACTCACTTCAATGACTAAATTTGGAAATTCCTTCATCAAGACACGAGCTGCCTCTTCAGCTTGAATGGCATTGAAATTATCTAACATGACAATATCAGCTCCAGCGAGTGCTGCTTGTCTCGCATCTTCCAATGATCGACATTCCACTTCAATTTTTTGTGTATTCATTCCACATAACATTTTTGCTCGTTTCACACAATTCGCAATCGAACCTCCACAGGCATCAATATGATTATCTTTTAACATGATCATTTGAGAAAGATCCATTCGATGTGGTTTACATCCTCCCACTAACACTGCATACTTTTCAAAATGTCGAAGTCCAGGAGTTGTTTTTCTTGTGGCAGCAATTTCACCTCTAAATTTCCCGCCTCCTTTCTTTTCACAAGTTTCTTCCATTTGTAAATCATGAACTCGACGGCAAATGGAGGCAACACCAGAGAGATGAGACAAAATATTTAAGCATAATCTTTCGACTTGTAATAATTGATAGACAGGACCATCGACGACTGCAATTGGAATTTTAGTTTTTTCACACTGACTCTGTGATGGATATTTGAGAGTCTTGCCATACTCGTTCATTAAATGTGTCACCAAATGTTCATCATTCAAATTATCACCTTCTTGGACAAGCCATTTCACAGAGAGTTCGGAAAAACATTCTTCAAATAGAATGGTTAAAATTGGAATTCCACAAACAATGACAGAAGAATTATGAGATGATCCATCCATACTGCCATTGCTATTCTTCTTCATCTTGTAAAAGATGGTTGAACGTTGACGAGAATCTCCGACAATGGATGCACTCACATCAAAGGCAGGAATGTCCTCTCGGATCCAATCTTTTAATTTATCAATAATGAGAGGTTTTGGAGGAAGCATGAATTGAAGTGATTGAGTGAGGGAGTGATGGTTGGTCGATGATAGGGATGAGGAGGAGGAGGAGGAAGAAGCTTGAGTGGTTTCATAATGACTCATTTTCTTTTGATTGACTGAATTCACTCTATCGCAACCATTCCGCGCTGAGAAAAAGCTATTACCCAAATTCTCAAATCCTTTTTTAAACTGAATTCTCATCTTTGGTCGCGAGAAAATCTTGTCCAAAGTGATTGAATTGATATTATTATATAACTACTACTGTTGTTATAATTCCACCACCCACACAGAGAATAAATTTATTCTCCCTTGTAATTAGGTTTACGCTTGTCCTTAAATGCTGTCAATCCTTCAATTCTGTCCTTGGTTGGAATAACTTGAGCATAACACAATTCCTCAGTCTTCATGGCATTGGCAATATCTAATTGAATTCCCTGTTGAATCGCTTGCTTGGCCATTTTGACAGCAATTGGTCCATTTTGAGAGATTGGTTTACCATATTGTTCGACAATATAATCAATCAGTAATGAATCTTCGTTGGCACTTGTTGTTTTATCCACCACAAGAACATCATTTAAAATTCCATATTTTTCAAAAGCTTCTTTCACATTAATCTTTTTAGCAGTGTAAATCAATTCTTTAGCTTTGCTAACACCAATTAATCTTGGAAGTCTGACAGTTCCTCCAGCTCCTGGAATAATGGCTAGAGAAGTTTCTACCAATCCAAAATAGGGCAATAAATTTTCAGCATCCTTGTTAAGAACGCCAACTCTGAAATCACATGCAAGTGACAGCTCCATTCCTCCTCCCAAGCAGTATCCATTGATCGCTGCAATGGTTGGAATTGGTAAATTTTCCACATCATTCATCAAATTACGAAGTTTAGTCACAAATTGACTTGTTTGTTGTTGAGTCATTTGTGATCTCTCTTTCAAGTCTGCTCCTGCACAAAATGTTCCCTTCACTGCACTGTTAATGATCAAACAACGAATTTGATGTTCCGTATGATTAAATTTTACAAAATCCAAACAAGACAACAACTCGTTCACCATATTTACGCCCAAAGCGTTTCTTTGTTGCTGTCTATTGAATGAGAGAACGGCCACATTTGGATGTTTTTCATTTGGTAATTCAAAAAGAACATCTTGCAAGGAAGAAGGAACAGCAGAAAGTTGGAATCCTTGTTGGTGAGTACTGAATTGCCGATAAGCTTGTTCCGACATTCCAAGCTTGATGATGGAAGAACAATTTTTAAGCAGTGATGATGAAGAGCGAACAGCGGTCAGCAAGGAGCCTCTTGCGAGCATTTTTTATTGTAAACATTAAATGCAAAACAAAGCTTACTTGAAAAAAAAAATAATTGTCAAGCCAAAGAAGAAATCAGTATCTCCAAAAAAGAAATCTAAAAAGTTCTTGCTTGTGAAAATGTTCCCCTAAAGAGAATGGTGCTAGAGAGTGTTGGAGCACTTGATGCTTTCAAAGAAATTCAATCGGTTTCAAATATAGGACACCATTGTTGTCATATTCATTGAGAACATTCATTGTGTTGCTTTCTTAAAAGTTTGGAGTGGTGAGTCCCCAAATCAATGGCACACAAACACTAATAATCACCCAATACATGAATGTAATGGGTAATCCTGCCTTCAAATAATCCATAAAGGTATAACCTCCCGGACCATGATGAGCATATTGGCTTGATAGCCAATAGGTGTTGCGAATACACTTGAAGCCGCATAGGTTACACACATGGCCATACATCTCGGATTCAAACCATAAGCTCTCGCTACGGCTAATCCTAATGGCAAACAAATTGCCACTGCTGCATTATTAGTAATAATCGAAGTGATGCACAAGGTGATCAAAACAAGACATGCAGGAAGTAAGAGAAGAGGCATATTCATCCATCTCAGAAATTCTGTTAAGGCTTCTGCCACTCCGCTCTGAGTAATGGCATTGGCAATTCCAAACGATGCTCCAACCATGACCACTAATCTCCATTCAATACAATCGACAGCTTTGGTTGGGGAAATGAGTCCAAACAAGATAATGACACAAAAAGTCACCAATGTACATTGAACCATTGGAAATCCGGCAATTGCACAAGAAATCATGGCAAGAAAGAAGACAAAGATCCAATGTTCCCACCACCATAAATTGAGTGTCTTGTGAGTGCATGGAATGGTCCATACGACCTTTTTGGAACTGAAAGGATCATGATAAGGTGACACGTGACTCATTCTTGAAATGACATAAAAATCTCGAGAGGAGTCATGATGAATTCGATAGAATCGAGTCTTTCCCAAAATGAGTATGGTATCACCCACAGAGACAGTTTGAAGAGTTAAATCATGATCTGTTTTGGTCCAAATGGTTGTTTTTTCAGGTTGTGGATTCTTTACCGTCCTTTCATCAGAGATGAGAGTGGTCGAGGAATTGAGTTGACGAATGGCAAGAACTTTGACTTGAAAGCGCCTCTCGAAGCTTTCATAAAGTTGACCGACACAAGAATTCGAAGGTCCGACCACGACTTCGAAAAATTCCAATTCATTGAGACCATCCTTGTGAGTTTCATCGGACGATGGATGTTCTCGATGAAATTTCAAACTAAATCTCTTTCGTGGAGTCGTTGGAGTGTTGAGTGTCGATGAGGTCGAAGGGTGGTGCTGATGCTGAGGTGGACTTTCAAGTGAAGGTTTTTTCTCTCCAGCATCCACCACATTCTTCTTTTTGAGATTCAAATAGAGTTGATTGGTCACAGTGTTATTGGGATGGGAATGGAAGGAAGAATCACTGAGAGTGGTGGGAGATTCAATGAGTAGATCGGTCGAATGGTAAGAATTTAAATTTCCGTTACTACTACTTTGTGAGTTTCTACCTTCTTCGCAATAAGGGACTTCTAAGATTTGTGTTGGAAGGTTATTGGAGGATGGCATTAAGAGTGGTTCTGGATGAGAAGAAGATGCACCATTCCTGGAAGTGGTGGTCAGAACAACTGTACTATCTATAGATTCTTGAGGATTGGAAGAGAGTCCCACTCGAGTATCTCCACTCACTTGTTGATGAATTTCATGATCTGTTTTTTGAAATGTTTCCTCCTTCTCCTTACATTCAACCATCATGGAATGTAATTTAAAGATGGAATCTGAAAGACCTCTAAATATCAAAATGTCATTCTTTTGAACGATTTCACTCAAAGGAACAGGTGAAATATGTCTCAAGAAGGAGATGCCAGAAACTCTTTCTTGCTGTGAATGTTCTTCCTTTGGAGGGATTTTAGATAAATCATTTTGGGAGCAAACAGAATCACAAGTAGGTTCAATTGTGGTGGAATGAGTCTCAAAGGTATTGTTGGCCTTATCCTTGGATGGATCAGAAACTTGAGGAGACTCATCCACTCGATAGGATGATGTTGAAGGTATGGATGATGTTTCTCCAATTTCTTCTTTTGTTCTCAATTCTTCTCTCAGAATGGCTTCAAGATCAAAGTGTTTTCCTAATTCTAATTTTTGAAGAATCTTTTCCTTAGAGGATCCATTCATGGTGGTAAATAATCGATACGCTTTGGAACGTTTGGGTTGAGATTCTAAGTGAGACATTTTCACCAAGGACACAAACAGTTCAGAACGTTCTCTTACTTTTGGAATTGCCTTTTTTGTGGACAGGTCTGAAAACCCAATGATGGAAGACAAGGTTGAAGTGTTGAGTTTTGGTTTCACACCTTCTTTAGGAGAGATCCATAACACATACAAAGAGCAATAAATAATGGTAAAACAAGCCAATATAGATCCCACATAAATAAATTCATAAAAGGTCAATGAAGAATAACCAAATTGAGTATAAATACCATTCGCAACAATGCTTGCTGAAGTTCCAATATAGGTCAATAAACCACCTCCAACCGTGGTATATAAGAGAGTCATGAGGAATTTTGAAGATGCAAGTCGATGTTGTTTGGCCCATTCCAAAATGAGTGGAATTCCAGTGGCAACAACAGGTGTGTTCGAAACAAAGGCACTGAATAAAGTAAAGACGAGACCAATTCTCAATGTGGGAAGCACGAGTGAGAGATGATTGAGAAAGGCGTTCTTTTTGTTGTTTGTTTTGAATCGAATGGGACTTCCAAATAAAAGTCCTGAAAATTTCAACACGAGTGAATTTTCACTCAATGGTTTCACAATTGGAAATAAAAGAGCCACAATAAGAGTGCCCGAATTGGAAAACCCACTCAATGCATCATTTAAACTGAGAATACCTGCCAATTGGAAGATCACTAGAGTCAAAAGGACCACAAAATAAGGTCTCCAGATGGAACTTACTAACACAATGAGCATTAAAAGGGCCATTCCCAACACAAACCACAAACGCCATGAATTCCAAGCAAATGCAACTACAGGAGATTTCGTACCACATGTATTGATGAGAGGAATGTTGGAGGTGACAAGTGAAAGAACTTGAATGGAACTGTTAAATGTCATCAATGAGGAAAAGGAGAATTTCACATTCTTTGGACTTGGATGAATGGATGTTAACAGTAAATACATTTCGTTTTGTTGCATTTCAGTCCTGTTGTTGGAATATGCCCTTTCAAGTTGGTTCAAAATTTGAGAACGATTGAATCGCAAAGTGAACCATTGAATATAATATTCATTTTCAAACAATTCTGGAATGTCCAAATATTTGGAAATATTGAAATATGACTTGTTGATGGATGATCCATTCAAATGGAAAATCATCTTGTCATAATTTAAATCCATTCCATTCTTATTTTGAAGAGTCGAGACAGGATATTCTCGTAAAAGATCTTGTCCAAGATTGGGAAGGAATAATTCACTCGAAAAACGAGTGTTTAACAAATTGGAGTGAATGAGTCGAAAATAATAATAATTGGAAAATAAGGAAATCTGATTAGAGGTCCACTCGACCAATGGTTCATCAAAGATGAATTTCCATGACAAGGTATTCTTTTGATGGTCATAGTCAATCGATGCAAAACAAATTGTTGTTGTGATAGAAATGGTAGAGTTTGGTTGAGTAGAGTTTTGTTCTAGATCTAATTGTAATTCAGATGAATGATCGAAGAGAGAATGAACATCTTGTTGAGAAGACCCAGAGATCGATTCATTGACTGTGAGAAGAATGTTTCTTGTAAATTCAGAGGTGAAACGATAGGTAGAGGTTTGAGCTTGAACAAATATAAAAGAAGAAGAGGAGTTGATGATGGTGGTGTTATTCGTGTGGTTGGATTGCATCCATTTGGGAACAGAAGACAAGGAAAAAACTTTTATGTTGAAGAATTGTAAAGCAACATTCAGAGTGAACAAACAATGCACCAAAAGAAGAGAAAGGACAAGCAACAGAAGAATTTTGTTGAGAAGTTGTTGTAATTGTTGTTGCTTTAAAGGATGATGATGTGGATGATTTGGTTTTTTGAAGAAATTCCTGAAGAGGATTGCTTCTATTGTACAGCAGTTGTCGTGTGTGGATTGATGCATGGGATGGAATGGTATTTGGATGTATTAAAAACAGTGAAGATACAAACGATGCATGACCGAAGAGTTCACTTTCGTGTGAGACTTTTGTGTGAGTGATAGGGAAGAGGTGTTTGAGTGTTTTTTTAACAAAAGAAAGATCGCCTATGATCGTTCTCTCAAAGAAACAATTGTTGTGATGTGTTTGCACTCGAACGCACTCCATGACAAGTCATGCAAGTACAAAAAAAGTAAGGTTCACAAAGTTTAGGGTGTTCACATTTTTTGTAAAGAAGATAATACAATATCAGACGTAAAAGTACTTGTTGAAGCAGTTTTGCACGACTGTACTTGTCAAATAACAGTTCTTTGAAAGTTTTAAAAACTGGAGATGCAGGAAGGATATGAAAATATTATATGATGATGATCCTATCCAATTCGAGAATAAGGCTTGCTTGATCTTTTAAGACGAAAAAAAGGAAATTAAAAAAAATTCAAAACATGCGCCAACAGCTTCTTTCACTCCGAGTCATTCCAAGCAAACTCTCCACGACACATCATTGTGAATGTACAAAGGAAATGAGAACATTAGATAAGAAAATAGATGTTCAAAATTTTTTAAAATGGTTTCACTCCTTCAATTTCATAATAGTGGTTCATTGCGAAGATGGTCATCATGCTTTAAATTTTGAAATGATGAAAAAATTAAAATCAAAATTGGAAACTGTGAGCAAGGAACGAAATGCTGCTAACTCCATACTCGAGTATGAATTCATGATTGGTACGAAAAATAGTGTATTACAAAAATCAATAGATATTCTTTTAGAACAAGATCACCCAACAAATAATGAGCTAGAAAGTATTGTTAAAGATTCTTTAAGACAATTGAAATCATATTTATTTGGCCAAGTTGGATTAATTTTTACAAACAATGCAAATAATATTTTAAACGAGTTTCAACAATTGCTAGCTTGCGAAAGATTGACACAAAATGAAATGGAAACGATCACCGAAAGCAAAGCTGAAGTCAATAACAAAGAATCAGTTACAACCATTCAGAACGAACAAATTGTTTATTTACCAGTTGCATCTGGCAAAGCATTACTTCCTTACAAGTACGACCCAACAAATCAATCCTTACGCTTGCACGGTCAACTGTGGCATCCAATTTCAACAATTTCAATACCTGTCATCCAAAAATCATCAAATACGTGTTCGACAGAGATTAAATTGTATCATGGAAAAGATCATTCACAAAACTACAAATTCAGACCTGCCAATTTCAAGAGACGAAACCACCCAATGATTGGACCCCAAAATGAAAACAATGCTTATGTAGCATTGTTAATTTTTAACAAAGCTGAAAACTGCATTACGAAGCAAATCATAGAAATATCAGAAAATAGCACAAACAGTGATAATTAAGAGTAATTTAAGAATTTGTTTTTTCATAATTAAATATTTCCTTCTTTAGAGTTGTCTTAGTTTTTCTTCTTTTTAGATAAACTTTCAGGAAGATTACTGGATGTTCCTCCTATACTAGTTCGCTTTTTGTTGTTTTCAATGTTTGCTTCATTTGTTGTAATAATTTTAGGGGAATTAGTTGGCTGTAAATCATACAATGGAACGACACCTGTCTCCTTCTTGATGTGAACTACTTCATGACCAAGTTGTCTGTGTTTGTGAGTAAGCTTGGTTTGAGTTTCTTTGATTGTATTTAAAGTCTTTTCGAGCTCTTCAATTTTTTGTTTGAGTTGAGGAATTATTTGCGTATTCGTTTCAAGAGCATCTATTCTCGAAAAAATTTTGTCGTCTTTTTCTTTTAGACCTAACAGAGATGAATGAATGAATCCAATTTCATCATTAATTGACTTTAGAGTAGGTAATTCTTTAAATAGAGCTGCAGGCTCAGTAATGTTTCCTTCTTCTCCTGGGGTCTTTTCTGAATCTGCTGACCATAATTCGTAAACAGATAAACAATGAAAATCTAGTGTGTAAAAATGTAAAATGTCAACAATTGGGCTTTTGTCGCTCATTATATATTTTCTTCCAACACAGGACTGACAATGACGGCAAAATAATGGGTAATAATTGCTTCCCGCATCAAATCTATCAGGTGGAGCAATTTGTACATTTTCTCGAACATCAACTTTGTAGATACTACAAAAGCTTAGAATTTCATTCTCATCGCTATGATAAACTAGAGCATTGCTGTCAATAAATATCGTTCTGCAATGCTTACAAGAAAATACAAATTGGGAGTCTGATGTCGATGTCGTTTTTTCTAAAACAGGTGGGGCATTGTTTGTGACAGGCTCACCTCCTAAAGTTGTTGGATTATTTACACCATATGATGTTTGTGGTGGTTGCACAATAGCTGCTGTTAGAACTCCACTCGAATAAGGAGGTTGTTGGGGATTGTTGTCTGTTGTCAAAACATGTTGAACAGAGGCCGATGATGAAAAGTATGGAAAATTAGGTGTCTTTTGTTGTAAATGATGATGATCTCCATGTTGATCTCTCTCTCCGACAACCATTCCATCCCCATGAACTTGATTATTAAAAGGAGGAGTGTTAGCAGTAGAAGATTCCACAGGAGTGGTTAAAACTACATTGGATGATGCAGAACCTGGATTCTTTGGAGTGGTTGGTTGAAGAGGAGTTTGATATGCGGAATGCCTAGTAGGAACAGGGACGACAATACCTCCTGGATTTGTAGGAAGAGTATGAATATTATTATTGGTGTTATTATTATTGTTCAACATGGATGTAGAGTTGAGTGGATCGTTCATTAGTTGGTGATGGGGTGGTGGTGCTTGATGCACTCCTACCGATGATGACGAGGGAGGAGTGATGTGGTTTTGAAACATTTTTTAAACGTTATTTTATTGTTTGCCTATCAGACAGAGAAAATCTTTGATAAGACGGTATTAACTCAGAAGCACAACAACAATCGGAGGAGGTATTGGAAAGGCATGAATGATTCTGTACAGAGTCATGTAATATTGAACCTCTTTGGTGATGGCATTACTCATCCAAGAACTCAATTCCATTCTATGATGCTGCAAAGAATGAAAGAGAATTTCTTTCAAAAATTGATTGAATAAGAGAACAAACAACAAAAAATGTCTTCATCATCATCGGACCAACAACAACAGCAACAACAACAACCAAAAAGTGGAGTGGACTTTATTAGAAATCTTCGTCAATACACCACTCAACACACACCTACTAGCTATCAATTCGATCAAAATACACCTCCTCCAGAATATTTGGAAATTGAAGAGGAAGGCAGCAATCGTATTTTGGAGCAGTCGATGGGCAATATTGGAAGAGCCTACATCGGATGTTTGGGAATAGGAGCACTGCATGGAGCTTATAGAGGTATCAGATATGGACAAGGAGGCTCAGTCAAGATTCGTATTAATTCTATTCTCAATCAGGCAGGTATCAGAAGCGTAAAGTTAGCGAATAGTGTTGCTGCTGGTTTGATATTTTACTACTTGACGGATATCGGAATGTTTTACTTTGGAAAGAAGACTGAAAGTGAAGAAGAAAAGAAGGCTCGTGAAGAGAAGGAAGCCACTAAAAACATTGCACAACTCACTAGTTTTAATGTTTCTGGAACTGATAATGAGAAAGAAGAAAAAGGTGTGGATGAATATGATGAAATGAAGAACTCTCCTGTAAATGCTGCGTTTGCAGGTATGCTTACTGGTTTGCTCTATGTAGCTCCAGCTCCTTTTGCAAAGGTTGCGCGAGGAGGCCTTGTTGGTGCTTCACTTGCACTTGCAAATTCAATCTATATTGGACGTTTTGATCCATTCACACCGCTTGAAAATAACACTTGGATGAGAGATTGGGTAATGCCAGTTTACCACAAAATCGCTCCAGAAAGATTTACCACTTTATTTAGGGAAATGAAGAACCCCAATGGTTCGAAATTATACCCTAAATTTGAGACTCTGATATCGTCAAGATTTTCAGAGAGAATAGGATTTAATACAATTCCTAATGAGAAGGAACACAACAATAACAGTAATCGCGAATAAACACATTCATTTGTCTTTTCTTCAAAATGTTTGATTTGTGTTGACATTTCAGCACACAAAAAAATGTCTCAGAACAGTAAAACTCGTGTGGGTATTGTTGGATTCGGAGAACTGGGTAAATTCTTGGCCGACAAAATTCTTCATGATGAGAAAGCAAGTCAAAAATTTGAAATTGTGTTTGTGTGGAATAGAACTTTTGACAAGATTGAAAATGACAAGTCCATCAAGCCGGAATGGTATTTGAAAGATTTGAATGATTTTGCTTCCAAAAAACCAAATATTATTGTCGAAGTTGCCCATCCAGATATTATTGTGGAATACGGAAAAAAGTTCCTAAGTTATTGTGATTTGTTTGTTGGATCTCCAACGGCATTTGCCGATGAAAAGTGTGAATCGGAAATTCGTCAAGTATTATCCAGCAACACAACGAATGGTTGCTATGTGGCAAGTGGAGCATTATGGGGAGCGTTCGATATTCAAAAGATGGCTCTCATCGGAGCATTGAAAGGACTTTCAGTCACCATGAAGAAACATCCATCAAGTATGAAACTTACAACAAAGGAAATGCAAGACAAACTTCAACAAGCTCTCAATGATCCCACTAAAGAGCATATTGTTTATGAGGGACCTGTGCGACCATTATGTCCCATTGCTCCAAACAATGTCAATACAATGGCTGTCGCATCACTGGCAGCAGAGAACCTTGGATTTGATGGCGTTAAGGCAAGATTAGTGGCTGATGCAAGACTTGATGCTCATGTCATTGATATTGAAGTTGTAGGACCAAATGGATTCAGTGTTGTAACTAATCGATACAATCCAGCAAAGGTGGGAGCTGTGACAGGTCAAGCCACTTATTTTAGCTTTTTGAGTAGTTTGCTATTGTCAGGAGGAAGAGGAGGAGGAATGCATTTCTGTTAATTCACAAAATTGCAATAACATCAATGAAATCACAATTGTGACTATGTATCTCCTTTAATTGAAATAGAATGTACACTGACAAAATTATGATATCCACTCATGATTCTGAATTTAATATATCGAGCAGCCACTTTAACCTCAATTTCTTCTTCCTGAAGAATACTTCCATCATCTAGTAATTGTTTTTCAAATACTTGTTGAAATTGTATGGGTTGATTTTTATCGGAACATTCAATCTTGAGCAATTTAACTTGAATATGATCATGTTGTATGTCAATCGATGAATATGATCATTCATTCAGCATCTACTCCTACTTACTTCCTGTACTTGTGATCCTTATGGATTGCAAATTGAAAACACTTTCGCATTGAAACATTATTTCTTGAGGAAACATTCCCGTTGAAATCCAAAAGGTTTCTTCCTTGTCGTCCAACATGTTTGAGATGGGATGTTCGCTATCGAGGCTCGTCGTTAATACAACTTTGGCCTTTCGATTGGCCACCAAGTCTTCGAGGACCATTTTGTTTTTGTAGTTGAGAAAAAATCAATCCCGCCTTTTCCTGTTTTTCAAACACAAAAAATGCTTCAATCACACACGAGCCAACACTTGTCGAGAGCATCAAGCAACAACAACTCTTCAGCAAGTCCGACGAACAATACAACTAATAAACAGAGCTCGGGAAATACAAATTCATCATCATCATCATCAACAATTACTAGTTATAAATTAGCAGTTGCTGGATCGGATCAAATATCTGTTTACAATTTTTCGTTAACAGTAGAAGGATCACTCACTCCACATATTTCAATAAATCCACATTCAAAACCAATCAATGATGTGAAATGGAACCATAATAGTAAGTTTGATATTAAGGTGGTAGCACTATTAATCGAGCATGATGAAACAGATCATGTTTTGGTCAGCTGTAGTGATGACGGTTATCTAGTAATGAACACATTAAACGGAGAAAATATTGGAAAACTACCACTTGAAGAGCAGGTACATTCTATTTCAATTGGAGAATTTTCAAGAAAGCTTTGTACTGGCGGAGCTTTGGGAATTGTAAAAATTTGGGATTTAAAAAAGAAAGAAGTTGTTCAAACGTTTAAGGTATGTTTTTCAGATCCTGGCTTTAATGTTTCATTCAAAAAATATTAGGGACACAAAGGAAGTATTACTTTAGTAACTCTCAGCGAAGGAGATCAATATGTAGCAAGTGCTGACTCTAATGGAATTATTTTAGTTCATAATTTACAAACCAATACTCTAACCTGTAGTCTCACAAACAACAGTCAACAATCTGTAAAATCTATGGAATTTTCTTCGTTTCACAAATCATTATTGGCCACTGCTGGGGACGATGGATCGGTGACTGTATGGGATATTCATTCTGGAAAGTCCTATTGCTCGTTTTTGAGGCAACATCAAGCACCATGCACAGGAGTGCATTTTTCAAAACAAAATGCTGCACTACTTGCTTCTTCTGGTTTAGACAAATGTATTTATTTCTTTGATATTAAGGAAAAGAGGTAAGATTTAATATTGACATGACAACACTCACTTAAACGTAAAATCTGCTGAAATAGAGTGGTCGAGACGATAAAAACAAGCCACCCCATTTCTTCTTTTTCTTATATGGATAATGGTTCAATAATTGCTGTTGGAACATCGAATGGATTAGTATTCATTTACGACTTGAAGAAATCTACTTTGACACCAATTGCAGAAGTTACTATGGGCAACTTTTCAATTAAATCCATGGTATTCCAAGCAAAATTAAAGAAATCATCGCCAACAACTGCATCATCTAATGACAATTCTAAATTAACAACAACACTGACAAGAAATCAATCAACAGAAAGAATGCAAGAGAAACAACCTACAACAGTTGAAGTTAAATCTCCACAACGACCAACAACTCCCACATTTTCAGCAAAATCGACCATCAGTGTTGATAGTCAGGCAGGAATGGATGTGTTTTCTCCTGTGAAAAACATAGGAGATGCCAAAATAGGTCAGCTGTTTCCGACTGTTGAAGACATTAAGAAGCAAGCTCAGTTAGAGCATTTAAATGCAAAACTAAGCTCCAACAAACTGATGGACAACCCTTTCAAAAACAAGCAATCTACGTTCAAACCCATTGAGCAACCACAGACCACCTCTAAACTGGATTCTAGCATTAATTTAGGAAATGCATCTAATAATCGTATTTCTCTTTACAAGACTCTCAAACCTTCACAAGATGACAGAGCACTACTCTCTCCATCGGGACCAAAGAAAAAGCAAAAGTATGACATGTCCTCTCCATGTGGAGATGACAGTAATGATGATAATTTTACATCGAACGGAAGTATCACACCCACTCTAGATCAAGAAGATTTCTCGTTCGAAAAGAAAGTAAGCACAAGACCTCATATTGACAGAATGACAGATGAAAACGAAGCAACTGAAAATATTTTGCCTCAAAAACCATCACAACAAACATCATCTCCAATTGTGTCTTCGAGCACTCCAAAAATTGGGAATTCTTTTTCAATGCCAAAGAATACTGGAGTGTCAGAAGATACCATTCGAGAAATTGTGAAAGAAACAGTCCAGGATTCACTATTTGTTTTGCAAACTTCTCTTCACCAGGACATCACCAACATGCACGTCGATATTTTACGCCAATTTTGTTTGCAACAAGAACAGAGTTACTCTCTCATTGAACAACTCTCGAAACAAGTTCAATCGTTGAAGGAAGAAGTCAGAATGTTGAGAGAGGAAAATTGGCAACTGAAAAACTTGATTTAACAGTCATTCATTTGTGTGTAAAAGGACTTTACAACGTGTTGGCTGTCATCCTTTCACACAACAAAGAGGTAAAAAAAATTTCCACCACCCCTTCTCGGCTCCACCACAAACATCTTATCAAATTATTTCAACACCCATCACCATGACAAAGAAGAACCGCTCTCAGACTCAATTCTCAAAACGTGAAGACGATGATATTTCGAAAATTGTTAAAGGTTTGTATTTGTGTATGGATGGACCTATCTGACGGAAATTGGATCAATTCTGTGATGGCATTTAATTTTTAACGATTTGGCATGATTGACTTTTGATCATCATCATGACGACGTCCAATTTCTATTGTTGTAAATGACTACTCGAACAACAACTTTCCATCATCAGACCTTGAGAATGAACAAAAGAAAAAGGAAGAAAAGAAACAAAAGGAGCTCGAAAAGAAATCAAAGAAACAACAAAAGGATGGTGGTTCCAAAGATGGTGACCAAAAGAAGAAAGTTGATGAACCTGTTGCTACCACTACTACAACTCCAATTATTCAAACATCATCATCAACAACAACACCAACAACACCTTCTTCTCCCAGCACACCAACCATGACCAAGACTGAAAAGAAGAAATTGAAGAAAGCACTCAAAATTCAAGAGGCTTCCGAACAACAAGTGGCGAAAAAAGACTGAAGAGGCCAAACAAGCTGCAGTCGAGACCAAACCAGTCGTAGCAGAACAACCAAAGAAATCTCAAACAGAGGAGCCATCTAAAGTAGCAGAAACTAAGTCATCTGTGGTCCAAGAAAAGAAGATTGAAGCAACATCAGTCGTCGTTGAACAACCAAAGGTTGAAGAAAAAGTCGAAACACCAGTTGTGGTAGAAGAAAAAAAGGAAACCACACCTGTGGAAGCTAATGTCGAAACACAAAAGACACTGACTGAGGAAAAGAAACCTGAGCCAACAATTGTTGAAGAAACTAAATCATCAGTAGTGGAACAATCGGAGACAAAGAAGGAAGAGGCTAAACCTGCTGCTGTTGAAGAAAAGAAAGAAGTCGAAGTAGTTGCAGAAGAGAAAGTTGAAGAACAGAAAGTTGAAACTAAGGTTGAAGAAACAACACCTTCAGAACAACCAAAGATTGAGGAACATAAGGAAGAAACAAAGCCAATTGAACAGCCAAAGGTAGAAGAAACAAAGCTAACAACACCTGTAGAACAACCAAAGATGGAAGAGGTTAAACCAGTTGAAGTTGCACAACAAAAGGTTGAAGAAAAGAAGGAAGAATTAGTTAAACCAGTAGAAATTTCAAAGATCCAAGAGACTAAACCAGTTGTTGTTGTTGAGGAGAAGAAGGTGGAGCCAGTGGTTGAAGAAAAGAAGCCTGTTGAACAACCAAAAGTTGAAGAAAAGAAGGAAGAATTGGTTAAACCAGTAGAAATTTCAAAGATCCAAGAGACTAAACCTGTTGCTGTTGAAGAAAAGGTAGAAGAAACAAAGCCAACAACACCTGTAGAACAACCAAAGATGGAAGAGGTTAAACCAGTTGAAGTTGCACAACCAAAGGATGAGGAAAAGAAGCCTGAACCTTCAAAACCAGTCGAACAACCAAAACCTAAGGTTGAAGAAAAGAAGGAAGAATTAGGATCACAAAGCTCACTCTCCCCAAGGTCCTCTCCAAGATCAATGTCAACATCTCCAAGAATGCTATCTGCATCAGCCAAAAACTTCTTCCAAGGTCTAACTAAAAACTCAACGGGAGATCTCACCTTTGATGAAGAAATTAGTCAAGCATATACCATGTTGAGAGATGACAATTCTGATGTTAGTTATGCAATGCTCGCCTATGATGAAAAAGATGTGAAAAAAATCAAGTTGTACAAGAAGGGTTCCTCATTTGACGAGTTATGCAATGAACTCACGGACGACAAAGCTTTCCACATTTTATTACGTGTGGTTGCTGTGGAATTAGGTGATGTTAAGAGAAGCAAATATATTGCTGTTACTTTCATTGGAGATAATGTTAAGGCAATTAGACGTGGTAAAATCACCTCTAATATCAACAATGTTGCAGATCACTTTGGTTTGAACTCTTTACACTTAAAGGACAAGAGTAAGATTAAGGATGAAATTATTCATCACTTGAACATTTCCTCTGGTATGAACATTCCAGAGAAATATATTTTCTAGTCTTCTAATATATCCTAATGAATCACGATAATAACAACACCAACTGAAATGGACAGATTGGCCACTCCAATGAGTCAGAATAACTAGTAAAACATTGTTAACTTTTGCTCTATCATCCTCTCTATAGTGATTCAAATGTGTGACCAAACAAATGGACCAAGTCCCAATATTGAGGACGTGGCGAGTTGTCTCAAACAAAAATGACTGAGTTCTTATGGGCTGTGAAAAGCAAACAGAACAAGTACACGTTCCCATTGGAAGTGTTTGTTCTGGCTGGAACACCATCATCATCATCACTATCTTTTGGGGATTCTAATGCTCGGAAAGAAGCTATCATGCCATCAGCCACGGATGACTCTAGAACATTTTCCGCTATCGATTTTGTAAACGAGTACCGATCTCGGGTTGATTCTTTGGATACCTTGCTAGAAGAACTTCAAGAATTTAAAGAATTTTTGAAAGAGGAAACCATCTCGATTATCCATAAGGAATATAGTTCCTTCATCGAATTTTCTCGGAAATTAAATACTATTACTATCGATCAGATGAACTCCTCCATGCCCACTCTTATTCATCAAATGAAAGATTTTGAAAACTTTATTTATGATTTAATAAGTAAATGTGAGAAGGAGCTAAAGAGCAAGAAAAGAGCCTCTCAGAAAGAATTCATATCAAAAAAGCTTTTGGAGATTTATACCTTGCTGAAAAGCAATTTAATTCCTAAATTACAATCGGAACAAGAAAAACGATCAGTTGCAAATCAGGAATTCTCGGAGGATGATTTAATATTTTCCAGCATGGCTGATCACATCAAACAATGCTCAGAATCAATGAAGCAAATTGAATTAATACTCCTAGAACTCTCCGAGGAAAATATTTCTGAGAACTCTCTTGAAAAACAACACCTTGCTGTTCTTTTTGAATTCTACGAGAAGGTAGATTTAGCTCTCAAACAAACCGAACAGTTATTCTTGGATCAAGTGTGCTCTACATTTATATACTTCATCAAAATTAATAACAAGACTCTTCCGAGAAGAAATTACGAAATCTCATTGCTCAAAATTTTGGATTGCATGGAAGGGTGTTATTTGTTTAATAATACGAGATTACTAGAGCAGTATCTAGAACAAGAATTGATAAATCCACTGTTGGACACAATCATGAACAAGGAAAATTTAATTCAATGTAAGAACAATCCAGAACAACAGGTGAAAGCGCTACTCTACGATAACATTCTGCAACAAGTTGGAAATGCAATTGACCCTCTTTTGGATATACTCTTTTCTTTCGAAAGAAAATCCAACATTTTAGAGTTGATACACTCCAGCTACATCTCCAATGCTACAGAGTCGTATGTCCGTAAAATTGTTTCTTCCTTCAGATTTATCACCTCAAGTGTTTTCCAATCCGTTTCCAACAGGCTTCAGTCAGATCCATGTAAATTTCTGTATGAGTATAGAAATGTGAAGACGTTCCATTTCATGTTCAAAGAACAAAAACGATTTATTAATGACTTTAAACAGCAAAATGTTCCACAGCATGAAGAAAACAATTTCAACATTGCGGTGAAGTCTCTATTACTGAAAAAGTGGCAAACAAAAATTTACTTCACATTGGTAAAACAGCAGATCGTGAAGGATTTTGAATGGATTATTTCACAAAAAACAACTTCCTCGAAAGACAACAATATTAATAATGAATCCAAATTTACATCGATTACTGATAAGATGGTTGATTTAATTTTGAATTCAATTTTCAACCCAGATACAACATTCTTAGACGAGATGAGCGAAGATTTTGTATTACTATTTATTCAGTTAATATCGAGGTATAGAAAATGGTTACTAGAAGAATACATTCCATGGATGATTCAATCTTCAAAGCAAACGACACAGGAAGATGAGTTACTATCATGGTTATGTACCTTGGCTAAAAGACTTGTGGGTCTCGTAAATCGACTATCTAGTTCCATTAGAACAGATATTTTTCCAAATCAACATGCTTCACAAATTAAGGAGTTAATTTCCAACTCTCTCTCTGAAAGAATTGGTATTATAGAAGAGACTGAAACATTTTCACCTGTATTTTCTTCGTTAATTGAAAATATTGTCAATTTATTGAAAGATAAGAGCATTCAAATTATTGCATCCAGATTAACTCAAAGCTATAACTTTACAACCGCAACAGGAGCAAATAATTCCCCTTCACCATTCACACAAGAGATTTTCAAAAAATTAATCCAATTTCAGAGCCAGGATTTTGCGAAAACAAACAAGGTATTTTTGAAGAGAATATTACAGAAGGTAGTTTACGACACTTGCAATCAATACAAGATTGAATGTATGAAGATTGTAGAGTCTAACAAAAAGACACAACAATCTATCGATCGTATCAAAAAGAACAAGTCGAACAAAGTAGCGTCAATTCGAGGTCAAATCATAAGAGATTGCAACAGGTTGGAAGAAATAATCAAGGATCAACTGCTGTTGGAGGTGAAAGATGCCATAGAACCATTAGAGCAATTAAGAACCGCTTTGAACAACTCGGAATAGAATACGATTCTACCTTATGCTATTTTATTTTTTTTTAGTCTAAATTCCTTCATTTCCTTACTTCATCATTTCTCGATACTCTATGAAATCCTTGTTCATTTTCAAATAGACACTGTATTTCTTTTGGTGATATTCTTGAGTGTTTTGCTGAGGAATTACATCTTTTTTTCTATTAAGGTGACACATATGCTTCATTGCGTCAAACATATTGGGATATTCATGGCAGGCGACACCTGACAAAACAGCACATCCTAATAACATTGAATCTTCATCCATTCTATAAATTGGCAAACTTGTAGCATTGCTGTGTTGACGAACAAAGAGCTCATTATTTGATATACCTCCGCACATGAAAATACTGTCAATATTATAGCCTTTTTTAACCATTTCATCGATGATATGTCTTGTTCCATAAGCAAGTGATTGAATAGTTGACAAGTACAGGACAGCTAACGATTCAAAATCCAACAATCTAGAAATTATCAGTTGCGTTTCCTTTCCATGAACAATTTCATAAATACGTTCATTAGTATTTAGAGGGAGAGTTTGAAGCCCGGAGATGACACCTATTGCCTTTTTGCTCAGAATCATGAATACATTACATAATACTAAACATACCTCTCATATTTGGATCGGCAAGTGGAGACCTACATCCATTAAAATGCGGTAACACATGGATGTCTCGAGTTAAAAAATCAACGCTTTCAAGATTCCTCTGTTTTCTTAATAATTCTAAAATTTCATCCAATTTAAGATAAACTTTCTTCTTCAATCGAGAAATATTGAGCTCCTTTGTTTCTTCATATGTTAATTTTACAAGTTCAAAATATTTTGGATGAGATTCAACAACATAATCAATTAGTGCACCAACAAAGGATTGACCCCCTTCATTGAGATACATATCTTGTACCATTGCATTACGATAGCAGCCCCAAATACCGTCAATAAAAATAGGGTCTTTGGAAACAGCCATGTGACAACTTGACGTTCCAGCTATGATCACAATGGTTCGAGAAAGATCATCTTTTGTATTATTTTCATTCATATTCAAAACAGCCCCAATCATTCCAATTCCTCCAGCGTGAGCGTCAATTACAGGAATAGCTACAGGTATGGCTTCCAATAGGCCTAGTTCTTGAGCGCTTTGTTTTGTCAATGGATATGAAATATTTCTTCCAATTTCACAAATGCTAGATCCTATTCTATTTGATGGTTGCACCAAATGTTCAAGACCAATACTTTTTAAAAATTCAATGTTCCATCCATTGCAAATAATATTCTTTTGTGTTGAACATTCATCAAAGACAAAACCCCATTTACAGGTTGTTGTGCATTGAGATCGTACAGAAACTTCATCTGTGCATTTGTATGTGAGCCAATCAGCTAAATCAAAGAAATGCACAGCTTCGTTCTCCAAATTTATCACATGATTATCAAATAACCATTTAATTTTTGGCATTTCCATTTCAGGTGACATTTTTCCTCCTACATAATTCAATACTTCATGTTTGATGTTATTAATTTCATCGGCTTGTTTTTTAGATCTATGATCTGCCCATAAAATAATATTTCTCACTTCCTCTTCGTTTGTAACGGTATTGCCATCACACGATGGTAGAGATACCGAGATTGGCTTATTTCTCTCAACATCCCAAACAACCAACGAGCATGTGGCATCAAAGCATAAACCAACTACTTGTTCCGGTCTCGTGTTTGAACATTGTAAAGACTTGTTACAAGATTTACAAATTTGTTTCCAAATATTTGTCGATGACTGTTCCATGTGCATTGTAAGGGGATGAGTAAATAATTCAATGGAACAATCAGTGATGAGAGAGTTAGACTTGATAGATCCATTCCGAAGATTGATGAGAGCTGTGCGTACGGATGATGTTCCGACATCGCAGGACAATACAAATCGTTCATATTGGGACATTTTTTTTGTAAAACAACGATTCTTCTTGAAAGCAATTATTAAGTTAGAAAGCTCAAGTTGACTGATAGTCTATCAAGTATACAAGTTTTTTTACAAAACCTTTGTTACTTGTGACAATTTCGAGATATTGCCAAATTTCAAACAGAATTCTTAACTATTGGAACGAGATTGCAACTCGGTGGTTTTTACTGAGCTGCTCCATGCATGAAAATTTCTTCCATTAATATTTCGACCTCTATACATTCCACATATTCCATCACAACACCATTCTACTCTCTCATCCAACTCCTGTTCCTAAGGATGGAACAAAAATTTCCAGTAAGAGCCATCCCACTCCTAACAAGGCTACGACCACAATGAAGATGACACAAATACATAATAATCGAGTTGCCCCTCCAGCCTTGTGTATGGCCTGGACCAATCGTGCATTCGTTTCATCCAAGGTTTTGTTATATTTATCGACATCTGCAGCCATCTTGTCCAATAAAACAGCTTGTTTATCCAATTCATCGGAGAGTGTATGAGCAATTTGACCAATCTTTTGAATCTGACCTAATAGAATATCAGTCTTTTCTTCCATTTGACGTTTGGCCATTTCAATTTGTTCTAAGCCTTCCGAGATATCGACGGTTGGTATTTCAGCCTTAGCCTTCTCCAAATTTTCAAGAGATTCAAAAAGAACTTCTCTCTTTCCGACTGGATCATCCTCCTCACCATAGTACTTGATATTACCGGTGAGCAGTTTGGTATATTCTTGTTTCAAACATTTGACATAGAGCTTAAAGTTTTTAATATCAGATTCTCGCTGCTTTCTCATTTCAACCGGCATTTGAACTTCTTTCCAGAAAGTCTTCTTGTTGAGGGCATCTTGATGTATTTTTTCCAACTCTCGAGTTTCTTTTTCCATTTTAGTAATGGCTTTGTTGATGTCGTTATTGAGACGAGGATCATTGTCATTGACTTTTTTCTTTTGATTGATGAGAGTTTCGGTTTGATCGATGGATTGTTTCACAAGTACTGTTTTTTGAGTGTTTGTTTTTGTGTTTGAAAGAGAGACATGTACCCGGATGGAACGTTGCATCCAATTCGTGTTGCAAGAAAGAGTGAAACATTCATTTGGAAAGAGTCACACTGATGTTTACAACAAAGAGAGAAACGACCACAACAACGAACTTACCTTTTTGTCGTTCGAATTTATCCAATTTCTTCAATTGCTTTTCCATTTCCTTTTGTTTTTGTTTATCGACCCCATCACTCACAATTTCACCACAATCGATTCTTATTTGATATAAACGTCGAAATAAATCTGCCATACCAGGTGAGCATCGCAGCAAGTCAATACTTTGAATGGTTTTTTCATGCTCAAAAGCGCTTCCTAATTCAGCTTTTGAAGACGTTTCATTCTTGTCTTGTTTTTTGAATATCTTGGACAACATGGCAGACTTGTTGGGCAGCAATTGAAGGAATGATGTAGAGGCTTTTTGTTTGAGTAGAGCGATGAAAGCTGTTGGAGGTGCACCAAAACAAGGAAAACAGTTGATAGAAGAGACTGTTTGTACTTATCGAGAATAGAAGCCAAAAAGAAAATTTCAATATAGAGAACAGAGAATATAATATACTGATTACGAATTCCTGTAAATCCCGTGTAGTCCAATGGTTAGGATACCTGGCTTTCACCCAGGAGGTCCGGGTTCGATTCCCGGCATGGGAGATATATTTTTAAATTTTGTTGATTTAATCATCAATATTGTGCTTCAGGATATCAATTGATAACAAAAGCACCTCTCAGAGATGATCTTAATCAGCTTGTAGATTGTTAATAAATGCAAATTGTTAAAATTGAGATATTTATAACATGCAAAAGTAAATTGCCATCTTGGCTTTGTGCCCCCACAAGAGAATTAGTGTATCAAATTATCTCTTTTCAACATCAACATGATAAACTTCTTCCTTGTTGTATCAGTGGTCAATCTCTCTTTGAAAATAGTCTACAGAGATTATTAGCATAATCTAGATTGCAACCACCAACCGCCATTATATCTACTCGATAAAAAAGACCCGAACTCTCATCATTGCCATGTCATTGTATGACATTTCCCCACAACACTTTTTGTTCCACTTGAATTTGTTTCAATTCTTACCAATGCCGCAACGACAACACCAACAACCACATGATGTATTATTTATCACTTCCATGTTCTTGACCTCAAATGTCACTTCTTCTTCCAATAACAACAACAACACGACTCATTCCTCTCTTTCAAACCTCTTTCCCACTCCTTCCGAAAATATTTCCTCCATCGTCAATTCTTGTTTTTTCATTCTTGTTTTTTCCATTCTTATGGTTGTCATTGGTTATGTCATGTTTAAGACAAGAAAGACCTGCAAGAGAAATCATAAAATTCTCTTCTTCTTACTTTCGATATTCATTTTGGTTCAATATTTTGGTTTAATCTTTCGATTGGTGTATAATGGAATTGGATTGAGAGTCAATCAATTTGAAGATTTGACTCGTGTGGAGAATTTGAATTCCTATCTAGTGGCCATGTGGACATTTTCAGCGTTGGAAAACGTGTTTGTCCTTTCACAAATGGCGACCATTTTGATGATTATGAGTTTTATCATGACCGTATTGTAAGTTGAAAGTCATTTTGGCATTTGACATTTCATTCCTTTAGCTTAAAAACTGCCAAACTGGTTGGAGCCATGTCCTTCAAAATGTACAAGATTTTATTTTGGGTTGTCACTGTCATGGCTTTCTCATCCCTTATTTTCTTAATCCCAATTGTTGCTGCTGGATTTTTTAATTTACTTCTCAAAATGAGCATTCTCATAGTGGACCCAACTCCGTTTTACATCATTCTCTTTTTAGTCTATTTCACAGTCATCATGACAGAAACTATATTATTTGTATCCATTGGAGCTCGATTATTGCATGTGATTAGAAAACAATCTCAAAATGTGTCAAATGTCAAAACGAATCTATCAACCCATTCAGCTCCATCACAAAAACCTTACATCAAAATTGTTGGACTTGTCATTGGAATGGTTTTGAGTGCATTCATTCAAATTTTGGCAGCTATCGTTTCCATCTTTACTACTTTATATTTAGGATATTTGCATTTTATTGATTACTTTTTACAATGTTTTGGAGTGTTGGTATTTGCCATTTTCGTCTTGTTATTATTCAATCCTTTGATTCAGCAAATGGAAGAAAAGAATGAAACAAAACCATTGGATTCTTCTCCTCATGAAAAGAAAGAAAAGGAATTCCATCAAGTCGAAGAACAGATTCATGAAGCAATTAAGGTGTAATTATATTGTTGTTTTTCAACCCATTTACTTGTCATCATTCATGTCCAAACAATTATTATTGTCTTGTTATTTCCTTGACCATTTCTGATCCTAATAATAGTTTTAATGATTAAATCTTTGTCAAGAAATGATTCAATTTGAAGAATTAAAAAAAATGATTCGAAAGTGGGAACTGAATGATGGACGAATTCTCCAGATCGAACAAGACCTTGATCTTGTAAACAAGGAATTTGGAGCAACTGTGTGGGATTGTGCGCTGTATGTAATCACACGTCGTGATTCATTGTTGTGATCAAAATGATCTCTTAGAGTGTTAGCTAAATATTTGGAAAACGAACGAGTGTTTCCGAAAGGACATTTCAAAGGAAAAACAGTTTTAGGTAAATAGGATCGGAATCATATATTCAATCGGATTATTCATCATGAATCATCCTATTATATTTGGCCAAATTTAGACATTGGATCGGGTACTGGTTTCATTGGTATTCTTTTGCTCATCATGGGAGCCAATGTTCATTTCACGGATCGGCAAGTGCTCATTCCTCTGATTGAAAAAAACATTCATCTCAATTGTCAAATCATTCATAATAGGAATGATGAGCCTCAACCACTCCCCTCGCACTACCACTCCACAGTGGATGAAAAGGTTCCAATTCTTTCCTCTCAATATAAAGCCTTTGAATATCTGTGGGGTGAACCCAATGAAATCATTGAACACACACATTATGATTATGTCATGATTTGTGATTGTATTTATGAATCAAAAGAAATGTGGATTCCACTTGCAAAAGCTCTCAATGAACAATTACATTCAAGAAGTGATCATATTATTATTGCACATGAAAAGAGATCTTTTAAAGATCTTGCATTCTTTCCATATATTCAAGAAACATTTCAAGTGGAGAGAGTTCCTGATGAATTGATGGATCCAGTGTGGAGAGATGAAAATATTAGAATCTTTTATTTAACATTTAAGAATGATATTCTCACAACAAAGAATCATTCAGAAACCTCTGTGATTACAAATCATCATTCAGAAACCTCTGTGGTTACAACTGAAGAAGAAGATTTAAATATCCAACATTGAATTGATGTCATTCAAATATCCAAAATGGATAAATCTCATCATTAAAAATGTCAACACTCAATATTGAATATTTTGATAGACTCATTGTCACTGTGAAACAAGCAAATGACATTGTTCCTATGGATGATAACGGTTTCTCAGATCCAGTAAGTGTGATTTATTGTTGGTGAAACATTAAATAATGACTCTATATTTCACGAAATTGTCACATCGTCATTCTACCTTGAATTATTATTATTTGATACTCGGATCGAATATTAAACAATTGTTATATTAATAATAATATTAAACAATTATAATAATAATTTGAATAATAATAATTTATTATAATCATCATCATTAAAATACAAACCTATTAGTATATCATCATCTCTTATGGTGGCATCTCTCTCATTTCTTCCGTCAAATTAAAAACTTTAAATCCAATTTACAATGAAACCTTTATTTGGATACTCGATCGACAATTTCAAAATAGGAATTTAAAATATTTGAAACAATTACAACAACAACAACAACAACAACGAAACAACCATCCCAACTCCTCCATTGAGAATAACAACAACACTAAAATCATTCACAAGAAACTTTTAAATTCTCGACGACAAGATCATTCTCTCATTCCCTGTGCATTTTTCATTAGTTCCACCAATCACGATGCATCACTTCATCATCTTGATCATTCGATCACCTCAAAGAAAAGATCAAGTCTGAACAACCACTCAGTGAATGAAACTCCACGAGGAGTAAACATTTCAAAACATGTCTCACCAAATATTTTAAATTCTGGTACTTTCGAATGGACACGTTTGAATGTTTCAACACATGAAATTCAATTACAACAAATCAAAAATTCACATTACAAAATTCCAACTAATCGATGTAAATTGGAAAATTCATTCATGATTACTTCTCCATCCAATGAAAATATTTATCTTATTAATACTCAACTATTAGATGTAGTGAAATTTCAAGTGTGGGATAAAGATTTTTTAGGAGATGATGATTTTTGTGGAAGTGCTGAATTGAGTGCGAGTCATATTTTGAATAGTGACAATTCCAAGTTTACACTTAAATTGAAACATGTGAAAAGTGGTGAATTAATTTTAACCGCTCAGTTTAAATTCTCTTCCTTGTGTGATTATCCAAATGAAGAAGACACTCTGAACGATGAAAAAGATGTTGTGAATTCTAAAAGATATAGCACCACCACAGATCTGAATGATCTTGTCCATGTGGTTCGTGAACATGATGCTGTCACTACCAATTTACCAAATCTGAATTTCCAACAAGAAACTCCTCACACAACAATGAATGCACTCGAAAGTGTTCATTCAACACCCATTTCAAGTTCCAACTATCAAAAAAGTGAATTCATCAAATACATTGGAAATATTACATATCCTTTGGGTTGGAAAGTGGAAAAAATTGATGAAATGAGAATATTGTGTCGATCTCCAACAGAGCTTTTTGATGAGTATCATCGAAGTGATTTTTTCAAAATTGAATTAGAAGTTGGTTTATTAGATATGAGAGAAGTCTATGTGACTAGTAGTGGGAAATTTAAGAATTTTACTGAAATTCCACTCGAGAGTTCTTCCAAATTAGGATATCACTATTATACTTTTTTATTCCAGTATGAAGAGTCTGGAAACAAATTATTTCAATATGTATGTGTGATTGATATTGGAAGTGCTTGTGCCATTGTCGTACGATACATCTCCAATTGTGCGTTGAAAAATCAACATCTCGTTCATCAAGTGGTTGCCAATTCTGATTTTGTCAAAGGCTCTCAAATGTTTAATGTCATTTATTGGGATGTGTTTGAGCACTTGTGGGTGAGAATACCTTTTGGATGGCAGAATGGTCATGAAGGAGAAGGAGAAGGTCGAGTGGTCGTGTTCAACAGTCCTCTCGAATTGAGAGAGAGTGAGAAAATGATCTTCCATTCACACCCTCGAAAGAGTGCTGCAGCTTTGGAAGGACAAGATGGAACACACGAACGCCTCAAACAGGAAAATTCACCTGTTGTTGTCGTTGTGGATCGATTTGAATTGGCACTACTCACACAATCTTCTCATGACATGTCTCAACAGGATGTTTCAGAGTTTGTGAAAAGCTTGATTCTTGAGGAAGGTGTAGAGGTGCTGAGCGAATGGAAACCCTTTGATCAAACACAACAACACAAAGATGTTGAACTCGGTTCGGTTAAAGAAGAAGACAGTGTTGATCCTCCAAAGCGAAAGAAAGAACCAAACTCAACGACAAGTGTCTACAAGAACTACCTTCAAATAAGGTATAACACGGGAGTTTCTGACCTTACTCAAAACAGTTCATCTCTTACTATTTACGAATTGGTCATGATTATTCACAGAGTAGATAGATTCGGGCACAAGCAGCAACACCATGTTTGGATGTTCTCTTACAAATCGTCCATAAAGTGTGGAGAGGTGTATCGGGATTTGTTTTTCGAAATGGCCAGAGAAATGAAATTTCCATCAGTGGACGAAGGACAATGAAAGTTGTGCCACATGAACGAACGATAAAAAGCATTACCTTTAATGCTCCAACATGTTGATTTTCAAAACAGAAAACCCTTCATGTGCACGAAAAATTGCTATCAATCATTAGTGAAATGAGGAGTGTATTTGAAGCGGCGGTTAATGATAATGATTATACAATGATTCATTTACTTCTTAATTGAAGTGTTAATTGTCATGTTTCCGATCATAGTTGGATGCTTTGTTACAAGAACACGATATTCCTCAAACTATAGTTTTGACAATAGACACACGTGTTAGTTTTGGTCTAGCAAAACAGAGTTCGTACTTACAGAAATTTTACCGTCTCCATCAGTATCGGCTTCGGCAAAGGTTGCGTCGACCAGTGATGATAATTGCTCTTGCGGAATACCTAGTGAGTTTTCTACGAGAGAAGCCTCCAAAAGTTTGTATAGTTCTTCCTTACTAATGCATCCATCTTGATCAAAGTCATAAATTCTGAACGAGAATTTTAGTTTTTCATCAATAGTTCCCTTTTCACAAAACACGGACAATCCACAAATGAATTCTCTCACATCTAGTTGGATGATAGTAATCATTGATGAAGAAGTATGAATTTTTGCGAATAAATTCGGTTAGTATGATGATGATCATAAAAAAGTTCGTTGTTTTAGATATTTGTTGTTGCAGCGCATTGAAAGAGGAATAATTGCAGTTAGAGATATGATGACGAGTGCGTTTTAGGATGAGAAATAAAGGATGTTTTCCATTCCATTGGCCGACCAAGTTATTTTCGTATAATATTTGGAATACAACAACAGGACATTATGAAGACAAATAAAAGACCTAGAACTACTTACCAATAGTACCATCGTTATCACCATCAAACAATGAAAACATTCTATCTACGAAGAGGGAATCCTTCAAACCAAGAGCCTCCTTAAATTCGTTTTTATCTATCACACCATCATCTTCGCGGGATGAAGAAATTGAAAGGAATTGTTCGTAGAGTTTCATAATCTCATCCATATCAAAGTGAGTGATCTCCACTAATTTCTTCAATTCATTCTTTCTGTATTGCTTGTTCTTGCCAGGTTGATTGCCCATTTTGAATTTTGCAAAGTGATTTTTTGTGGTTGTTTTTTTGTGATGAGGAAGGAACCTTGGTTCTGTTTTGGGCAGCACCAAGAGAGAAATTGGATAATTCACTGATCCTGAGATGAAGGCTGAGACGTTGTCGCTGTTGTTATGGAGGAGGAGAAGAATAGCAGCGAAAAGGCATATGAACGTGATTACAACAGGAACAATAAGGTTCCCAAAGTAGTTTCCCGCGATCCTATTCTTCGTGCATTAAACCTCAGCTCTTACAGCACAGCCTCATCATCGAAAGGCTTTCAAAAAAATATTCTTATTCCTTTCAGGGTTGAACATTCCGACAATTTCTTGTAATTGTCCATCACGACGATCACACAAACATCTCACTCGATAGGAACCTCATCATGCTCTCTCTTTTAGAACTTGTCTATGATAAACTTACTTACACACCTACCTATAATATTCTCATCATCGGAATTGAAGAGAGTGGCAAGACAGAATTGCTGCACACAATTAAACAAATGAACAAACAAGAAATATTTTCATATTCACCTGCCACTGTCATGACTTGGACCCAACATTCATCAATTCCACAACTTGACTCCGCATTTCAATTTAATTATTCTCAACTTTACAGTAAATCGAAAAGAAATCGGTTTTACAATCCCACTATTGGACAAAATACGTTCAACATTGAGTTTGCAAAGACTTGTAATTTAAAAATTTGGGATATTGGTGGAAATTTGAAAACGATGTGGAATGATTATTACAAATCTGCTCATTCTATATTTTTCGTGGTAAATTATAATATTGAGATTCGATCATCTAAACTTGACGAAGGCTCTACTAATGGCAACAATAGAGAACTCTCTTCAGAAGAGGCTTGTAAATTTGATTCACACTTATCGTACAATGAACAAGTCAAGTTATCTATTGGATCTGTGTCTGCAAAAATAGATATTTATCATCGATATACTTCGTCTTTCAAAATACTATCAGACATTTTAAACGAATACAAAGATCTATTCAAAGATATTCCAATATTTTTATGCATTAATAGTGTTGTCACATGTTATGATGAGTTTGAACATATGGAAAAGGATGATGACAAAAAAATAATGATCCATTTCATTGAAAGATACAAAAATATTGCAATGAATGAGTTTAACAAAGTTGCCTTTGATGACAGCTCTTCGAAAGAGGGAACAACAAATATTTTATACAACGACGATTATTACAAGATTTTCATTAAGCATTTAAATGTCTGTGAGCCAAAAAAGGTGTACGAGCTTTTAAATAGCGTTGTGGATTATTTACATCAGAGAAAACAGGCACGAGAGTTATTGGACAGCGAGTTTATATGAATCACGCTTGGTAACCCATGTCGTCTCACTATTGATTCATAAGAGAGGTAAATTCTTCCTCTGTGAATGAAAGTTGTTTTGAGGCCTCTAAATGAATGATTTGTCTTTTCAGTATGTCAATCAATTTCATCTGCTTTTTGAAGGCAAGTACTATATCTTGTTTTTGACGATCTAACCGCTTGTTTTCTTTTCGCAAAGCTTCTGCTTCTTTGCGTTGTTTATCATTTTCCTCTCTCTGAGATTTTTGAAGCTCCGCAATTTGCGATTTATATTTCTCAATCTCTTCCAGAGCTCTTGTATACTTGATATCCTTGATACGATTTTCAGAATTGGGTGATTCACTGGATGATGGATTCGTGTGTGAAGAAGGATCTACCTTCATATTGAGTTTGAGCTTTTCATTTTCTTTCTGCATGTCGTTGATCAGGCTGGCTTGCTTTTTAAATTTAAGTTGGAGAGCATCAAACTCTTTCCTCTGTCGGTCCAATCTAGATTGAAATTGAGCTTGATTTTTGCTTATTTTCTTACTCTCAATTAAAGCTGCATTGTACTTGACATCTAATTCTTTGATTTTATCGTCCTTCAGTTTTAGCTGATTACTATATTCAAGAACATCTTTCTGAAGGGACTTCACTCGAGCTTTGTAAAATTTCATTGCAGCTTCAAGTCCCATCTCATTGGCTGCTCGATCTAAATCGTCATCTTCGTATTGCTCGAGCTCATCAATGTTTTCTTGGACTTTCTTTTTAGCTGCAATGGATGCGCTGGCAGGTCGTTGTTTTGAAGTCGAGGATGGAGTAGCAACCACATTGTATCTATTCTGAGACGGCGTTACTGATCGTGAATGATTCCCAACAGTGCTGTTGACTCTATTCAGATTTGGTTTCACTCCAATTTCTTCAATTTTCTTTGATTGTTGCTTTACAATATTGTCAGTTTCTTTTAGAACTTGCTTGGTTTCAATGTTAATCTGCTGATTTAACTTGAATAATTGCTCTTGTTTTTGTTTTAAATAATCAAATGTGCTTTTTCTGCTATCATCACCAATCACAGAGATTATGTCACTTTCATTCCTACTTGAGGTTAAGGATTTAATGTCATTCTCGTCTTCATATTTTCTAGTGTTGAATGAGAATTTTGGCGGAGGAGGTTCAATCACTTCACTCATCGAGTCATATAGTTTCATGGGATTGGTTGTTGTGATGAATGTTGCTCTCGATTTTGTATTGGGTGGACTTTTCTTTTCACTTTCTTGAGAAGATGGTCGAGAGCTGTCCTGTTGTGGTGTTGGACTCGACGAAACAGGTACTCTTGTTTCAGGAGATGAACTTGGGGTTTGTTTCCTTCCAATAATTTGTAAGTCCGAAAATCTTCCAGAAAGAGGTGTTTTTGTTTGAGTCGTCACTTCTTTCTCGTCATCGGAGCTTATGGAATAAATTTCATCATCACTTTCATCCTCTTCCATATTGTATTCAAAATCATCATCTTGATTATGCTTTGGCCTGTTGTATTGCATGTCAAACTCTTCATCATTCTCATCCTCATGCAAGGGTTGCATCCTTCCTTGTTCCAATTCGTCGTTGGAATCTTCTTCTTCTCTGAATGACATTTTTTTTATTCTTCTTGAAAAATGTGTAAAAAATGGCGGTTTTTTTTTTAAGAGGATTCGCGGGTCTGCGAACTTTCCATTTCGATCTCTTTTGGTTTCGTTCATGACTTTGTTAATGGTGATGACTCATTCGTTTGCACTCCTCTAGATCTGGCAGCCATAGTTGTATTGATCCTTTGATTCGATGTTTTGTGCAAATTTGAGAAACCAGGTTCAACAGATGTCTCTGATGGATTCAGAGGTTACAACAAAATGAACAAAAAACTTGCAGAAAAAAAATGACCTTGTCTCAACCATCATCATCACCCTCTTCCAACAACAACAACAACCATCATCATATTCGCCCTCTTTTCATCTCAATTGGTGCCAATAGAATTTCTGGATGCTCGGATTGGTATCGATTACCTTCGGATATCTATAACACACAAGTCTTCACCAAGCCTATTGATTACAATACGATTAGCGAGTCCAATCATTGTATCCGAGTGTCTCCTCAAGAAGAACAAGGCTCATCCATCCGAGACAAGTACAAACATTTGGATTTATTTGCATATGCTGCAAATCAATTCGTTGCCATCTACTCTCCATATTACAATCGAGTATTATGCACATTGAAAGGTCATGATGAGAGAGTCAATTCCGTTCAATTCTTGATATATCCAAACAAGAATCAATTTCAAACTCATACTCTTTATATGGCTAGCGTGGGTGGAAAACAATTATTGATTTGGAAATTGAATATCCATTCAAATGATCCTTCACAAATTGACTATGAAATTGTTCAAAAGATTTCCACAAAAACACATCTCACCAAAGTGGCTGCACTCAATCATTCTCATATTGCAGTGTGTGACTCTGATGGAAATGTTTTTGTGTACTCTTCAAAAGATAGTCATAACCAATATGAATTGATTCAAACATTTAAACATTCTAAATCAATGGAGGCTATTTCTATGGTTGACCTTTTCAATAGTGGTCAAATTATGGTTGCATGTGGTGGAGTAGATTTTAATATTTATTTATATTTTTTGAATCCAAATCACACCAAACCAATTTTAACATTGAAAGGTCATGAAGATTGGATTCGATCTCTTGCATTCAAATACATTGAACAAGAAAATGCTGTTTATTTGGCAAGTGCATCACAAGATAACAGAATTAGAATTTGGAAGATGATTCCATCAAAAGATCAAACCTTGGTCCAAGCAAGTTCAGATTCTTTATTAGAAGAAGAGTTACTTGTGAATTTATACAACACTCATCATTTTACAAGTATTGATTCCTCCACTCATTATCAATTAACATTGGATACCTTATTAACAGGTCATGAAGATTGGGTTCATTCTCTCAATTGGCATCCATGTCCTAATTTATTACAATTATTGAGTACTTCAATGGATCGAACCATGATGATATGGTCACCGACATCGAATCATGGTGTTTGGTTGAATCAATTCAGAATGGGTGAATTTGGAGGTCTAAGTGGTCTCTTTGGTCAAATGGGTTATTTCAGTGGATGTTTTTCAATGTTTGGAGATTTTTGTATGGGAACAGCATTTCATGGAAGTTTCCATTTATGGAAATTGAAGGAACATGAAAATGAATGGAAACCCATGGTGAGCATTTCTGGACATTTCAATAGTGTGATGGACTTGGATATTGAACCTTCAAAAGATGGTATTTATTTCATGACTACAAGTACGGATCAAACCACACGATGTTTCACATGGGTGGATACAATTAATGATGAGACTGCAACTACTACTACCAATACCACCACTATTACCACTGGCACTACTACTACTAATACTACTACCAATACCACCACTCCTACTCGTTCCAATGACTCTCTCAATTATCAAACCTGTGAAGAGAGATCCATTCGAGAAATTGCTCGTACTCAAATTCATGGCTATGATATGAATTGTCTCACTTTCACAGACTATTATTCCTTTGCAAGTGGTGGTGATGAAAAAGTCATTCGATACTTTGATGCTCCTCAATCTTTTATCAACACTCTTTGTCTCTTAAATTCAACAATGGGTAAAAAACATTATGAATGGTATGGAAATTCAAAGAAAGAAAGAGTCATGGCAGCCACAGTTCCACCACTTGGTCTCACGAACAAGTCTGTTAAAGAAGGTGAAGAGAAAGACATGATTACAGTGAATGAATTTGATTATCAAGATGAAGGTGGTGATGAAGAAGATGCTTTTATTGAAAACGGTACAACATTAGATGGTCAAAAATCAAATCCATTCTCTTCCATATTTGCAAATGGAAATGCAAGTGCATTACCTCATCCACCCTTTGAAACTCAACTCTTACAATTAACCTTATGGCCAGAACAACAAAAACTCTATGGACATGCCAATGAAATGATTTGTGTTCAATCCAATCATTGTAAAAGTGTATTGGCAAGTGCTTGTTCAGCCAAACATGCCGATGCTGCTCAAATTCGTTTATGGGACATTCAAAATGGATTTAAACCCATTGATATTGTGATGGGTCATAATTTAACAGTGAGTCGTATTGCATTTAGTAACAATGATGAATGGATGTGTAGTGTGAGTAGAGATCGATGTATGATTCTCTATCAACGAAAGAGAATGAGTCATTATGATAGTATTGTCCATACTAGCAGCAGCACTATGAATACTTCCAATTCTATGAATACCACCTTTGATACCTATGAGCCATTACTCTATCAACAATGTCATGAACGTATCATTTGGGATGTTTCATTTAGTGTGGATGATTTATATGTAGCTACTGGATCTCGTGATAGTACTGTTAAAATCTTTAGAGTACCTTCTCAAAGCATGATTGAAGAGATTTTACAAAAGAAGGAAGAAGAGAAGAGTAATCAAGTGAATTTGGAATGTGTGCAAAGTATTGAAATGCCACAACCTGTCACGAGTATTCAATTCATTCCCAAGTTGATCTATGAAGAATTTAGAGAGTATTTCCAAAGTCATAAACTCTCCATGTACTTGATGGCTATTGGTATGGAAGATGGATCCATTCAAATTTATGATCATGTTTCTGATTCTGGAACAGAAACATCCTCCACAACGATTCAGTTGAAGCTTTTATATTCCATTCCAAACAATCATGCTCATTCATCCACAGTACGTCGTGTGAAGTGGAGAGTCGATGCATCGGATCCAACTCGTATGAAATTGGAATTACTTACATGCAGTTTGGATTTCAGTGTGAGAGTGTTTGAAGTGATTCCTTAATAATGATAAATTAGTAAATCCTTTGATGAGCTCATCAAAAAACGACGTTTTGGTTGTTAAATCAGTTTTAATAATACGGCAGTTGCAAGTTAACTTGTGGAGTTTTGTAAAACTGCACAAGTTTTGAGACACAACATTGTAAAACTCTTACATTGAAACTCGATGAATTCAAAATATAGGAGACACTTTGTACAACACCACATTCATTTAATGATGACATTGGATGGTGGCTGCATTTTCAATGAGGCATACGTTTTGATTGCTTGTTTTCGTTCTTCTTCAGTCACTGGTGATGTATCCAATACTTTCAAATTTGGTAATCGACTAATGACAAACAATCGATAGTCATTATAGGCATCGGGTGAACCTCCTTCCACAAAGAAATTCGGACAAGCCTTATTTTTCAACATGCTAAAATACTGTAAATTTGGCGCTACGGACTTTACCTTTTCTATAAATGTAGATAAATTAGTAATATTACAAGAATTCACCCATAATAATTCTAACGAAGGGAGTGGTTTTCCCATATTTAAATTGACATCACTTTTAATTAAATTATGATCCAAAACGAGAGATTTTAAATTTTCAAATTGATATAAATGTTGCAGACCTTGTGATTCAATTTCATTATGAGAGAGATCTAATTCTAATACTTTGGATAATTGTTTTTTAGAAAATAAATGATAAGGAATTTCTTTTAAATTCTAAATTATTCCATAAATGATATTTAAAAATATTATTATTCATCATCGTGATAAGAATATGAATGATCATCATGGTTGTACAACATTTAATAGTTGATCCACCATTCATAATAGTATATTTTCAAATTTATTATCATCATCGGAAACAATGTTTCATACCTGATGTGCAAGTGAACAACGTCCTTGTTTATCAATTTTTATCGACGAAAAGAGACTCGGTAACATGTTGTTATTGATGATGATGAGATTTTTTTGAATGTGTGTCCATATTCTCTCTTGAATTCTTCGAGAATAACAACAGCCCAAGGAATAGTGTCGTCACAGGATGTGATTCTATTGACATGACTAACAACACTTTGTAACATTGTCATAACATCAATCAATTCCCAATTTCAAAAAATGTCACCAGCCCAACCCTCTTCTCACCGTGATGACACAAGCATTTCCCATCATCATCAAGATGAGAATGACATGGAACCGTTTCATCATCATCATCATCATCATCATCACCATCATCATCAACAACAACAACAACATTACCAATCCTCATCTCCTCCTCGACCACCTCTCACGGAATGGTCTTCAGGTCTCTTCCGTGAAGGTCCTCTCCTCACACCCACCACTAATTCCATTTCCGATACAAGATATTTCAAAGTGACACCTCATGTCGTGGATTATGATGATATGGATGATGATGAAAAAGATCATCATCATTCTGTTGCCTATGATGAGAGTGATTCTGAACAAGTGGATGAATTTACACCTGTTCTTGTGGAAAAATATATTCCGGAAACTCCACAACAACAACAAATGTCCAATGTGAAGTCCTCATCGTCACAATCAACAACAACAAGGAACTCTTTAAAAATTTATCAAGCACGTGGATTCAATGAAACTCTTTATGCAACTTGTTGTTTACCATGTTCATTGGCAGATGTGGTGAAAATGACACAAGAGAGACATGTTTTAAATCAAGAAGGAACATCCTCTTGGTGGCTCATTTGTTGTGGTGCTTGTTTCTTTCCAACTCTAGTGACAAGTGTAGTGAGAGGAATGGTGAGGAAAGCATTTGGAATTAAGGTAGGTGGATTCCATAAAAGGATGATGTGGTGGATTTGATTCCTTTTGATTGAATTTCATGATTGGATCATATGATTGGATTGATATGGTCAAAAAATAATATTATTATTATTGGTCACATTGTTAACACTTGAATGTTGTGAATACAAAATATTGGATGAAAATGCAAAATGATGATTACCATGCCATTGTAATGGTGATGAAAAACTTGAATGGACATGTTTGGAACTTTTTGATTCACCACATGAATTCATGATTTATTGTGAATGATACAAATGGTTCATGATGTCAAATGGTTCATGTGGTGACTTGTGTATACACACATAACTTGATTACAAACTAACAACACTTCACATGTAAATTCATTTCTGGAATATTTAAAAAGGGTGGATGTTGTGGAGATTGTTGTGTAGGTACATGTTGTTCCTGTTGTGCCAGTGCACAAATGTTGAGAGAGTTTAGAATGAGAGGACCACCACCACCACCACCACCTTCGAAATCACATTCCATGATTTGATTCTTCCATGAAATTATTTTAGGAAATGCAATTGCATAGTGAGCTAGTTCGGTTGTAGTAGTAATAGTATCAAAATGTTGCAACTCAAAATCTATCAAGTACTATTGATTGATGAACAATTGATTAAATCTAGAGTAAACACACACACATACATTAATGATTCATTTTTATTAATCGGACATTTCATGGAGATATTCATATTATTATTATTATTATTATTATTCATATTCATAACATTCCATAGTGTGTGCATGGTGGATCAAGTGAAATTGACTTCAAAATAATTATTGAATACAACAAGAGGGATGACAACTCACATCATCATGATTCATTGAAGAAGCAGCAGACGACACTAAGGAAGAACTTGTTGTTGTTGTTGTTGAAATACTCTCCTGTTGTTGCAACTTGTGTAAATCATCTTGTACAACGACAATCTTTGGTATTCCAACCACATGCAACGAATAACCATCCATGATATAATTGAACCTCATCATGCAGGATGAATGATGATTCATTTTTGAAGGTCGAATTGTATCATGAATTGTGGAAGGAGTAGTAGTAGTAGTAGTAGTAGTAGGTATTGTGGTCATGATGGCTTCACCATTAGCACTCCTAGTACCATCATTAGCACTTCTTCCTCCTCCTCCTCCTCTACCACCACCACCACTCGTACCCAAACCACCACTACTACTAGTATTTGTAATAGTAATTCCACTACTACTACTACCACTCCTCGAATCACATTCCTTCTCCTCCTCAAATACCATCCCTGGATAGTCATTTAATAATTTCAAAAAATTTGAATTCAAATGACAATCAATGAATACAATATTTTGAAAGGTTAATACCTTGTACTTGTTTGAGAGAAATACATGATTAATATTGGTTTTAAATAGAGTTAATTTCTTAATACTTGTTAAAGATAATAATTGAGAAAATAGAGGAGAATAGATGGTACCATATTTGATCGATAATTCTTCAATACTTTTAAAATAGGTTAAAAAACTCAAATCAGAAATAGTTTCATGTTCACGATAGATTAATTCAAGTCGATGAATGTTAAGAGAATTGAATTGATTTCTTCCAAGAAGTGTAGGAGGAAAAGAGGATGATGGATGAGTCATGGTGATGGTTGTAGAGTTATTAGTACTTCTACCACTATTACTACTACTATCACTAGTAAAAGTATTCATTGGTGTCATCCTTTCACTACTGTTAAAAGTACTTGCTCGTAATGTTCGTGGTGGAATGTAATTATTGTTGAATAGACTTTGACTTCGAGTCGTACGTGTGGTTGTTGTTATTGATTCAACAATAGAGTGAAGAGTTTGACCATTACTATTACTATTCGAAGTGTTGTTGTTGTTGTTGTTGTTGTTGTTGGTATTATTGATGCAAGTAGTCGTTGTTACTGCTGACGATTGAATCAAACACTCAATATTGAGATGAAGGGATGAAAGGATGTTATTGTTGTCTCTTGTTGAGCATTTGCCAGCAGTCGCAGTACCATTTATAGTGGTAGTACCATTATTACCATTTATAGTAGTAATAGCAGCATCATTTTTAGTAGTACCATTACTCCTTTCAGAATTACTACTTTTCATCTTTTGAGATCGAAACAACACAAGATCAATCAAGGAATACATATTCACCATTACTTTCAAATCCAATCTTGATAAATTCTTAATATTCAACAACAGATCAATACACATCAAATCATTGAGAGCACTATCACATCCAAATCTTACAATACTTTGAGATTGATTTAAATGTTTTGAAATACTGTAATTGACATGACTTAATTGTAATTCTTGTAAATTGGGACATTTATCATTGAAATGTTCAAAACTATTGGATGATGAAAATTCTTCAATATCAAGAATTAAATAGAGTCTTTTCAATTGATGACCAATTTTAGTAATTAAATGATTCAATTCCAATGGATTGGTAATATTCAATGTTAAATCATTTAATTTTGTAAAAATATTCCAATGATAATTGGGTGGAATTTGACAATAGGTCAATGAAAGTGAATTTAAATGATTCTCACTTGTAAAATATTGAATATAATGACTCATATTGAAATGAAAATGTAAATCTGTAATTGATGAGGAGGAGGATGAGGATGGGGAACAAACAACGTGTTGAATAAAATTCTTGAGTGATACATAATTCTGATCAATCACTGGATATTTCAAATAAATAGAGAGAGAATTCAAGGAATAAAGTTGTAACTTGTCAAAATCAATTTGATTTAAATACTTGGAATAGAGAGTGAGAGATTTAAGATTGGGATATTGTAGAGGATGAGGAGTAGATGGATGTGTTAGATGGGTTTGAACATGTACATCATCATTGGACCACCACAAGGATGATGAAGGACTAGTCCTTGAATGAATAGTAGCATTAGTAGAAGTGGTAGTAATTGTAGTAGTAATTGTAGTAGTGGTTCGATGAATAGTAGCATTGGATGAACTCATCACACCACTGTCAAATGCCATAGGGGTGACACTCATACTCTCCAATGACTTTCTTGATTTGTGTAATAATTGTGATAAATGAATGTCATCTTTAAATCCATAAGGTAAATGAAAGGATTTCAATCTTTTAAATTCAAATAAATGTGAAAGATCATTAAAATGTTGATTCGCAATGAAATGTGAACAATTATTGATCACACTCTTGAGTGCATGACAAGTTTGAATACGATTGAACTCTGATGATGCAATATTGATATTATGACTATTATGACTATTACTACTATACATACCATTAGTATTGTGATTATTATTAGGATTATGACTATTCCTACTATTACTACTATTACTATTGATACTCAATGATTCACTCATGAAATATTTCAAAAATTCAGGATTGGTCACATTCAAGGAAATGGAAGGAAACACTTGAAATAAATGATTGTATTTCTTTCCATAGAACATTTTCATGATGAGAGAGGTACATGATGATGATTCATAATGATGATGATTTGGAGTCTTGTTGAGGTTCTTGAATTTGCAGTCTTGTTGTTGTTGTTGTTGATGAAAATGATTTCGATGAGAATGATTTCTATATAGAACATCATCAGTAGTAGTAGTAGTAGTAGCAGCAGCATTTCTCGAAAGTCTTTCATCACGATACACTAATAATTGTGTATAAATAAACCAATCATCAATAATAAATAAATAATAGGAGAGAATGGAATAAATAATTCCAAAATCTAATCTTGATAATTTGTTAATTAAATCATGATAATAATCAATAACATGTGAATTTGTTGTTGAGAAGGAGGAGGAGGAGTTTTTAAAAGCATGAATAGTAGTCTCGTTAGAAATTGCATGGTCAGTAGTAGTAGTAGTACTATTATGACTATTATTACTACTATGACCACCACCACTCATGATCTCGACAAGATTCATTCTCTTATTAAAATGTATAGGGTCATCTTCCGTGTCACCATCATAATCGATGGAGGATGTGAAAAGTCCTCTCTGTTGAGAGTGTTGTTGAGAGTGTTGTTCATGAACTTTTACGTCATGATTCTCATCCTTGTTTTGTACACAAGTAAGATAAGAATCGTTCAAGAGAACATTCAAAATATCAGAATTCTTATTATTGGATGACAAGGTGGTGTTTGGATCATTGATGAATGAGAAGGCTCTTCTTTGAATATTTAACTCAGAGTTGTTGTGATTGAGACACTTGTACTGTTGGTGATAGGTGGTAGTATTGTTGTTGTTGGTGGTAGTAGTGTTGTTGTTGTTGTTGTTGGTGATATTATTGTTGTTGGTGGTGGTGATATTATTATTACATGATGATGATGATGTATGAGTCATCATTCTACTATTGATGATACAGTGAGTGCTGGGTGCAACAACATTTGAAAGTAACTGACCTGAAGAGGTGGTGGTGTCAGTTCTTCTTTGAGAGACAAGTTCTGACGAAGGACTCCGACGACTCCGACGAGTGGATGTTGTTGCAGAATTCTGGACGATGCCATCACAAGAGGATAATGATGGAAGTGAATGATTCTCTTTCGATAGTTGGGAATGGTCCAATGAAAAGGCATGAGGATCGAGTGGTGATGGAGGATGGTTCTCGTCATCATGATCATCCTCTTGATTGCTCGCTGACAGACTGCTCTTCAATGAATTCAATAATGTTCGTATGGATGGTGAAGAGAGTGGAGATGAGAGTGGTGAATACAAATCATCACAAAGATATTCGAAGGAAGGAGGAGGAGAAGGAGGAGTGGTTGTCAGGGTGGTGGTGCCACACCATGGTGTTGGTGAGAATGTTACTTCTGAAGTCGTCGTCGTCTTCGTCGTCGGTGATGATGATGATGATGAATTGGGAGTCCAAGAAGAAGAAGAAGCATGCTCCTCTTCAATCAAACCTCCACCAATTTCATCATCATCATTACGAGTTGTCATTACACCAGAATGCTTGATGTTTGTAGTCGTCCAAGTGCTGTTGTTGTTGTTGCTGTTCATCGATGAAGAATTCTTAATGTCGGTTATGTTTTTGATGAAGGAACAAGAAGATGAAACAACCCCATTGGATGTATCGCCACCATCACCACCATTAGGATCAAGTAAGCCTTGTTTGCGGTTGAATTCGCTTGGCATATGTCTCCCCGTCGATCAAAAGTGGTGAGATATTACAGTGGTGTATTGTTGTTGAATAATAATAATTATAATAATAAAAAGAATGATTGATGTAGGACAAGGAAGAAATGCAACCACACTCAGAGTTCTGTTATTATTTTATTATTTGAAATTGTATGTTGAGCTCAAAAAAGAAACGTTCAAATAAACTAAAATAAATATAGAAAACTTCTTTATTGAGAACACTCCTCCTTCAGAGGTTGACATTCATCTTGGGACCAAAGAAGGTCCACAATCATTGCTGATGGTGAGGATAGTACTGTATCCTTTCTCGAGAAAGGTTTGTCACATGTACCATATGTTTTTTTACCTTAATGGATTTTTGTATCGTCACTACATAGTGAGAAACCTTATTCACAGGACTGGCGATATGAAACAATCTGCAACAACATGATTCATTCCTCTTCTCGTGAGGCGTTTCATTCTCCATAGATGGTCTTCTTTGATATTGGTCATTCTGTCAAAATGCTCTATGGTCAAATTAACAATGATTTTTCTGACTCGTTTCACTTGAGAATGTTCTTCTTCTAAAGCTCAACTCGATGAATAATATTCCAAAAGATTGGTTTGAAGCGGGTGTTTGAATTGCAAGTTAAATTTACACAAGTGTCTACGGTACCGTGAAAGTCGCGACGATATCATTCATTTCTTAATCGTCAAATCATGAACATGTTTTTTAATCCGACGTCGGTTCAAATCCGTATCACCATCTCTTTTTTGAATGTGACAGAAGATTGACACAAATCTCAAAAAAATCAAATCTCCACCCAAGAGAGAACCTCACCTTCAGCTCGAGCTTTCATTGTTTGCGTGTGAAAGGGTGTTACATTGTATGGATTTTCTTCCAACAACAACAACAACATCCATACTCTTTTTAATAATCCTTACCACCATCACCATCTGAACTATTATAATCATCATCCCATTGTCATCTTTTGAATGGATTGAAAATGTCCAATAGTAATAATGAAGAACCCATTGAGCTCTATGGTCAAATTAACAATGATTTTTCTGATTACATTGGAAAGACACAGATACACAAAATGAAAGGAACTTTTGTTCAAATTATAAAGTAAGTTCAATGATTGATCATCATAATAATTATTGAAACACGTTTGCATTCCCTATGTTTAATGTTGTTTTTCAAATCGACATGATTAATGATGATGATGATGATGACATTTATGAATGATATTCAAAAGAATTTCACCACAACAAGATTCCTATCAAGTCATTGATTTGTCTCTTGCATCCTCACAAGAAGGTACTAGTCAGAGTGGTAGTAATAGTGGTGGTGGCAGTGGTGGTGCTGATGTGACATTAGTACCATTTGACATTCCTTCTTCGGAAGTGAAACGATTGGAAAGTTTTAATGATTTACCCTCTCATATTCAAACATTTATTCAAGAAAAGAAGACATTGGGAGGATCCAATAAGAAATCATCCAAGAGATTGGAGAGACTCTTTTCAAAATTCACAAGATCAAGCAAATCATCATCATCTCCGTCAAACCACTCTACGAAATCTCTTACAAGTGCTCCTCAATTGAATGCACTGATATCCAATTCATCATCATCATCTGCAACAACAACAAGTACTAGTAATAATGGAATGGGTTCAAGTCAGAATAATACTCATTCCAATTCATCCTCTTCTTTGGGAAGTTGTGCGAGTAGTGCGAGTCAGCTCTCTCAAGAACTTTTGAAAAATGTATCGTCAAGCTTGACAACAGCCACTTCGCACATCTCGACACCTCCGACCACCACCGCCGCAAGCACCTCGACCACTCTCTTGTTGGCTCCATCGATCGATGCTGCAGCAGATCTAAATACGTTCAGTAATAATAACAGTGAAGGAGATGAATTTGAAGAGGAAGGCTCGGATGATGACGGGGATGAAATGATGATGATGATGGATTCATCGTACCATCATCATCCGACCTCTTCCAGTACCACCACCATGGAGATCACCGTGGAGATCACTCCTCCTACCACCATTCAAACTTCTGTTTTGAACAACAACAACAACCAGAACAACCCCACTAGTCCCATTGAGGAGGACATTGATGATCGTGAAGATGATGTCCTTGTAGAATTTCATTCCTCCAAAATTGAACCCTCTCCACATCTTCTTCAGTCCATGAAAGCCTTCCTCATGCGCCGTAAATTTCAGGACTACATTTCAAAATCAAATGATGTCCGAAACGCGCGACTACGACGTGCAGCGCTCCTGGAAATTCTCTCCACCGAAGAATCGTATTATTCTGCTCTGAATACCTGTAAAACACTCTTTATGGATCCACTCCTCAATGATGCTCAAACGAAAAAGAAACCCATTCTCAACATGAATGATATTAATGAAATATTTGGAGAATTACCTTCCATCATGCAAGCAAGTGAAATGCTTATGAGTGATTTGAGAAAGGAAATTGCAAAATGGCCATCAAGTCCAATCTTGATTGGTCATATATTCAAATCCTTTGCACCCTTCTTTCGAATGTATTCAAAATATATCAATAATTTTGATAGTGTTTCAGAGAAGGTTGAAAAGTTAGAAAAATCATCAAAAAATTTTGCACAATTTTTAGCCAAAGTTCATGAAACACCTGAATGTGGTGGTTTAACCTTTACTTCTTATCTGGTCGTACCCGTTCAGAGAGTTCCACGTATTCGTTTACTCCTACAAGAGGTATTAAAGAGAACAGATGAAACACATGTCGATTATGCACCCACTGAACAAGCATTGAGTATTGTCAATCAAGTGGCAGAGAATTTAAATGAATCTAAGAGAAGCTCTGAAAATGATAAAGTCATGTTTGAATTACAAGAGAAATTGAGAGGAAGATTTGGAGGTATTCTTCAAGCACATCGAAGATATATTCGAACGTTTAATTCCATTCATGTTGAATCTACTAGGGAATTAGATAAGAAAAAATTGAATGGTTTCTATAATGCATATTTATTTAATGACATGTTACTATTGGTACCACAATATTTGGATAGATCTCTGAATGATTTACAAGATAAAAAGAGAAAAGGCAATTCGATTGGAAATAGTGGTGCTAACAGTGGTAATGGTAATAGTGGTGGTGGTGCTAGCGATCATTTGAATCATGGTAATAGTGGTCCAATCAATTCTGAACCCATGGATGAAGAAGAACGTTTTCAGAGACTCGCTAAAGAATCTTTTGTGATTTATTTAGCCTTCTCTAAAGTATTGGATCGAGAAGAGAAGGAACTCGATCGAATCAATACCATGATGTTACTCACCAAAGTCGCATCCAACACACCATCCACACATCGATTCAATTTCATACTCAAATCCTTCATACGAACTCAATCATTGAACTTTATTTTTAGTTTTGATAATCTTTTGATGAGAGATGAAATGGAGGCAGATGTCACAATTAATATTGAAAAAATTGATAAAAGTATGGAAAAGAAAGTTGGACAAGAGAGAATTGATATTGAAAAGAAAAGAATAGAAATGTGTAAATCTATTAAGGTAGCAGACATGATACTTTCGAAATATTTACTTCAAAAACAAACTGGAAATGAAAAGTATCAACAACTTGTAGAAAAATTATCCACTTGTGAAAATGAATTAGAAGCTAAATTAATGGAATATCGATCCTTGAAAGATGAATTTAAAAAACAATCTGAATTGTTAAGAGATATTGAAGCTAAAGAATCTGAATCTCTCATTGACTATGAAGAACAAAATCAAAAGATTTATGCCATCGACACAATACTGTGGAAAATGTTAAATCCAGATCGATCAGCATTTAAGGAAGTATTTGGTGAAGATCCTCGAATTGATCCCAGTGATTTTGGAACTCAGACATACTCTGTGGCCACTTCTGGAAATAGCAACCATACCTTTACTGCAAGTGGTAGTATTGATGAATATGTGGATTCATCATCTCCAACCATCTCCAACAACACTTCTCATCGAAAGACTGTGACTTTCAAAAGAAGTACCACTCTATTCAACTCGACTGCTAATTTAAATTTCCTTCATGGTGGTGAGGGTTCATCTTCATTCTCTGCACTTCCATTGAAACAACTCAAAGAAAATTGTAATCCCTATATTCAATTAGCTTATCGAGAGACTCGTAAAAACAAGGATCACAACCATTTGATGACTCTTCATTCTACTACTACTACTACTAGTACTACCACCTCTACGTTTGATCATTCCTCATCAGAAGAAATTGAAACATTGAATGCACTCTATCGAATTCGACCCTTGAAAAAGTCCTTCATGATTGAACCATTTAAGAAATTACCATACAAGTATCGAATTGATCGAATTCTCTATGGTGAAAATACTCCACAAGAGATTATGCCTAAAATCATACCCTATCCTGAAGAATACAATGATGTCGACATGTATTATAATAATATTTCAGATCGAGATGGATTTGATAGTTATTATGGCAGTGATCAATACAATGATGACAAGAACTCTAACCATGATCAATACAACGATGACAATGATGATAACAACAATACCTTTGTTAAAACGTATGACAATATTTATGACTTGCCCAATAATGTCAATGATTTGAAATCTATGATTATCAAATTACAAATGGAAAAGGAAGATATGAGAAATGAATTGAATCGATTGAAACAACAACAAACTGCAAGCTCCTCCTCCTCTTCTTTGATGATGGGTATGGCACCACTGACCTCTAGCACAACAACCAACTCTTCATTTAATGAGAATGGCAGCATTTCACGACAACATCGTTCGACAATTGCCTCCTCAGTAGACACACCAACAGGACAATTCAGCAACAGCAGTGAATTGTATGCCTCCCAAGAAATTGAACCCTTTGTAGAGTAAATCATCCATTCAACAAGTTCATCATGATTCACCTAATGATCTGTTGACAAGTGGTGTTCTTCAACTTTATTTCGTTCTTTCAATTCAAATGTGTCGTGGCGAATGTTTTTATTTGGCAGCATTTGGAAATGAATGCAGTACAGCGACGTCTCTTTGCGCATTTTTCTCTCAAGTTCAAGCATGATTTTGAAGAAGAGAAAAAACGACTATAAAAATAAGCACAGACACAAGCACACTCTCGTCAACAAAAAAATATTCCAACTTTTGTGCAAGCTTTCTCTCTTGCTTCCTTCTCTCCGAATAAGCCTTTTCCGCAACACTCACCCTCTTTTATTTTCGATAAACAGTATATTATACTATCATCATCATCATGGCTACTAGAACTCAATTCCAAAACTCTAGCGATATTGGAGTCTTCTCCGTTCTTACCAATGGATATGCTCTTGTTGCTCAAGGTACCAGTGCCAACTTTTATACATCTTTTGAAACTGAATTGATTGATCATATTCCAGTCAACTATGCAACCATTGCTGGATGTAGAATTATTGGTACATTGTGTGCTGGTAACAAGAAAGGCTTGATTGTTCCTTCCACTACGACCGATCAAGAATTATTACATTTAAGAAATTGCTTACCTGATACTGTCAAAGTCACTCGTGTTGAAGAAAGACTCTCCGCACTTGGAAATTGTATTGCTTGTAATGATCATGTTGCTTTGATACATAAAGATATGGACAAGAATACAGAAGAAATTATACAAGATACTCTAGGAGTTGAGACATTCCGTACCACAATTAACGGAAATCCATTGGTTGGAAGTTATTGTGTGTTTAGTAATCAAGGAGGTATTGTACATCCAAAGACTAGTGTGAAAGAACAAGACAAATTATCTCAACTTCTTCAAGTTCCTATTATGGCAGGTACAGTGAATAGAGGCTCTGAATCGATAGGTGCTGGATTGGTTGTCAATGACTGGGCTGCATTTTGTGGACTTAACACAACTAGTACAGAAATTTCTGTGATTGAAAGAATTTTCAATTTGAGAGATTCAAAGCCAGAGGCTGTTGTGACAGATTTGAAGGACTCTCTCATTGATTCACTTTAAAATATATGTTTTCTTTGAGAGTTATTGTTTGTGCAAAAGGATCAATGTTTTTTTTTCAGAAAACAAGAATGGATCGTGCGAGAGATGATTGAGTAGTAGTACAACAGTCAGGACTCCTTTGGACCCAAACTACTTTTTCACTGGGTTGTGTGGTTCCTATCCAGGTGTCATCCATCAATGATTTTTCTTCGACAAAAAAATAGCACATCATCAACAGTTGGTATCGTGTCTCTCTCTTCCTCGTCATCAAGTCTTCTTCTCTCGTCATCAACAATTTTATACTCTCATTCACCAACAACAGCAATTTTTTATACTCTCATTCACCAACGGGTAAAACATTGACAACAGCAGCTGCTTCAACACCACTTGTTTACTGTCGGCACCCATAATTCATCAAGAACACCACCATCAAGAACATCACCACCAAGAACACCACTCCTACCATCATCATCTCCAACAAGAATACCTCCATCACAACAAGAATACCACCTCAACAACAACAACATGGGCGCCTGTTTTGGAAAAGAAGGCTCTTCCTCCTCTAACAATAATAACTCTAAATCTCAAAACAACAACTCTCACACCGCACGTGTTCACAACAACAACTCTTCTCATCTCGACAATGACACTGCTGCTGACATGGACATGGAAGAAAATGCCAATCCCAATTCTGGTAATTACGATGTCAAATTATTGTTATTAGGAAGTGGTGAATCTGGTAAAAGTACCTTCTTCAAACAAGTGAGAATTATTTCACAAAGACCATTCTCTGAAATTGAAAGAAGACGTGTGAAAAACACTGTTCATTTCAATGTTGTTTCATCCATGGCTGTCATGTGTCAAAAATTAAAAGATTTAAATGAACATGACCAATTAAGTGAAGAATTACAACAATGTTCAGAACGTGTATTAGCATTGAGTAAGAATCGATCATTCATGACATCCACAACAGCTGCCAGTAAGGGTGGTGAACGTAATTTCTATACCGAAGAAATTGCCAATGATATTGAAAAGTTATGGAACAATGAACTCATACAACGAGTCTTTAAAACTCATCGAAATCAAGTTCATGTTTTTGATGGAGCAGAGTATTTCTTTGAGAGATTGGATCGAATCAAACGTTCTGATTATGTTCCAAGTGAAGAAGATTTACTTCATTGTCGTCAAAAGACCATTGGAATTGTGGAAGTGTCTTTTGAATTTGAAGGATTGAAATTTTCCTTATTTGATGTGGTAAGTGTTGAACTAGTTCAATTCGCCAAGTGTTGTAATCATGGTGTTGTAATCATGGTGTTGAATTCAACCATGTGTGTGCATGTTGTTGTGAACAAAATGTGAATCATCCTAAGGGAGGTCAACGATCCGAACGTAAGAAATGGGTCAATTGTTTTGAAGGAGTGAGTGCAGTGGTCTATGTCAGTTCATTGGCTGATTATGATTTGAAAATGTATGAAGATGATTCTCTGAATCGAATGGATGACTCTCTCAACGTCTTTGAAGGTCTCTGTAATGGATATTTCAAAGAGACTCCAATTATTATTGTCTTGAATAAGACAGATATTTTCAAAAAAAAGTTACAAGTGCATGGCATTGACACTTGTTTCAGTGATTATAAGGGTGATCTTTCCAATTATGAAGAATCGGTTCAATTCATTCGTCAGAAGTTTTTGGCTCTCAACAAATTTGATGAACAGAGAATTTGGATGCATGAATGTTGTGCGACAAATACAGAAGATGTACGTGTGGTGTTTGATAAGATTAAACATCAAGTGGCTGATTGGAAAAAGAAACATTCCAATAAATAAGAATAATGGTATATATTATTTTAAATAGTATTCATTTCTAAAATAGTAATAATATTGATTCATTTCTAAAATAGTAATATTGATTCATTTGGAAAGTATCTATTTACATACGATTGAAACAGTCTATTCAATATAACATTCAAAGTTTTGAGACTTCCAAATTGATACAAACTTGAGGATCAGGAATATATACTCGTTCCATTGGAATGCATTTCGTTTTCCGACTCATGTGAGCCAATTCAGTACAATCCACAATTTCTATAAAATCCTCTCCATTCTTGAAAGTATCTCTCTTTTTAATTCCAAGTTGTAAATCTCTTCTCCTTTTAATTGGAGTTAATTCAGGTGAATAATCAGGATCCCATTGGGCTCGAATCAATCCTGCTCCTGGACCCTTCAGTCGTGCCTTGCTCAAAATGTCATCATAGGCACTTTTCTTTAACCATAATCCAAGTATTCTTGTTTGATTTTGTTTTGTTGCATAATTAGAACGATACATCATCCACAGCCAATTAGATTTCACCCAAGTCATTCGAGTTTCATTATAGGATGGACAACCTTCTAATTTTTGATGTTTAAGAGCATAATCGGCAATTTCATCATTAAATGCTTGATAAACAAGAACAGCATGATCGGTATAGGATGCAATAATGTGATTCCCTTCGGAAGGCCATCCAGACCTAACCTCAGAGTATGGAATGAGTGTGATGACGGATCTGTTTGGTGTTGACATTTTTTTAAACTTCCGTTCTTTTCAAGAATGAATTCCACTTCCCAATACTAAGGTAACACAGCAATTTTAAGGTACCAGCACATCAATAAAGATTTTTTAACATATAAACCACAGGAATATCAATCCTGTGGTTTTCTCAATGAGAAAATCGAGTGTTTGGTCATTCTACATATTCATCAATTCTCGGAATAACTTTGATACTTCATCCCTAAATGTGGATGTATTCAGTCCGGTTATATCATCCAACCCATTAACATTAACGTAAAATAACCATCCAATACTACAAAAGTATTTCATTTCGGTATTTATCCTTGACAAACAATCATGAACAATTCTCAATCGATTTACATCAAAGAACAACATCATAAAATGCATTTATGAGTAAAGGATGCTAATAATCAAATATTCCTCTTCATTTTAAATTACGCGGTATCGCGTTATAAACATGATAATAATATATTACACTTATAACCATGTATTATAAACTGAAAACTCATAACAATATGTTTCAATAGATATAAAGAATCCTATTATAATGGTTGTTGTATTGGGTTCTCTGTTATTATTCTTTATGTGTATGAAATGCTAAATAAATTCTTCGGGTATCAAAAGATTATAGGAGTATCTAGATATATAATATCATTTAAAAAACAAATAAATTCAGAATTAAACTCATTAATTTGATAAATTAAATCATTTCTTTTATCAGTTTATGTGGGATTTAGTTCATATATCTTCAGATAAATAGGAATAACATTACTCACAAAGTTTTACAGATATCCATAGTTGAAAGACAATAGAATGTGATGAAAAATACTATCAGTTCTTTCTATAAAGGTCAAGTATTCATACGGAATAAATATATATATTTATTTATTTCTAATAATTTTATTTCTAATATTTCTTTTAGATCAAATGTTGTTTTCGTTTCTGTTGTTTTTCAAAGGACCATCAACAATTTCATGTTGGAAATGGTTGTAAAGGCCTCAAATTGTTTCGATGGATGAACATCTCCTTGACTTTATAAACATGCAATTCGAATTAGTGGAGTTTGTTTCATAATAACCAGCCAAGAATCTTCATCATAGAATTGCAATTCGCTGATTCTCCCAATCTATTGGATGTATTGTGACATGGAAGTTCAAGTCTTGTTGTTGTTATCCACATTGAATCTTTCCAATTTTTCTCAAAACAAAAAATGGCTTCATCGGAATCATCCACCAGCCCTATACCGAATCATTCTCTGCCGAGTATGTTTGTTGTTGTTGTTATTTGATTATTCTCACATTGTCGTTGCGGTTTTATATTTCTGTATGGTGGTTCCAAACTGTGATGTGTGTGACTCATCCTTGAATGATTGAATGGATACTTGATCCACGCATACATTCCGAAATGAACTCGGAATCGATTGACCCTAATAATTATTTAAATTTCTCTCAACAATTATTTCTCAACATCAACTCTTTCTCAACAACATCATTATTCATAGGAATTATGAATGTCATTCCGATTGAAACTCCAATCGTCATGTCAGGAAGAGTCATTAAAGGATTTGGAAGAGGTGGAAAATTATTAGGAATTCCAACAGCAAATTTACCTGCTGAAAATTTCGAACAAGAATTGTCTCGCATGGAAATGGGTGTTTATATTGGATTTGCTAAATTGAGAAATGAAATTTGTAAGACTGTCATTAGTATTGGAAATAATCCACATTTTGCAAATGAAAAGAAAACCATTGAACCACATTTACTAAAAGATTTTGAAAGTGATTTTTATGGAGAAGAATTACAAATATCAATTTGTGGATTTATTCGATATATGGAGAAATACAATGGATTGGATGAATTGATTCAAGCCATTAAATCAGATATTAAACTTGGAAGTGAAGCATTGGATCATGAACCATTTAGTAAAGCAAAAGACATTCTCTATTCTTTTCTCTTTTTGAGAATGGATCTAAAATCAACTTGATTAACTGTACTATTACTGGAATCATTGGTAATTGCTGATGTTGTTGATTCTCCTTTGGAGGATGTTGGAGAGTTGGAATGTTGTTGATGAGTTGCAGCAGTGCTTGTCGTCGTCGTCGTGGTTGGTGGTGGTTGTTGTTGAGAGGATGGTGATGGTGGTGGTGTGGATTTCTTTAAACCACCACTTTGACCAGTCATCATCGTGGGTGAAGAGTTGTTCAATGATGATGGTGGAGTACTAGTAGTGGATTGAGTTGGAGAAGAGGATTCAGTTGTTGTTGTTGTTGTTGTTGTTGTCGTCGTTGAATGAAGACTTCCACTCATCACAACACTTTCTCTCTTCTTCAGTGCTGATCTAAAATCTACTTGATTGATACCTCCACCAAGAATATTCACACCACCAATGATTGATTTTGGAGTTGTTGTTGCAACATTAGATGACGACACTTCTTCTGAAGGTGGTGGTGGTGGAGGAGCTTTTTTAGAGGGTTTTTCTAGTGCAGAAGGAGGAGTTGTTGTTGCAGTATTATTATAATTATTATTACTACTCGTGGTGGTGGTGGTGTTGATAGGAGGAGGAGGTGTTGTTGCTGAGGTGGTGGTTGTGGATGAAGGTGTCGTAGTAGTCTCTCCTCGTTTCTTGAGATTGGATCTGAAATCGACTTGATTGATACCACCACCATTGTTATTAATATCCGAACTAGAACTTTGAAGAGATGGTGGTGTCTCTGGTTTTTTAGGTTTCTCTTGTAAAAATGTTGTCATTGGAGGAGGAGTATCTTTCTTTTTAAAACTTCCACCAGGTTGACCAACATGGGTCATTACAGCAAGTGGAGGAGGATGTATTTGATCCTCCTCTTCCTCTTGTGGTGGAGGTGGTGGAGGAGGAGGTGTATCTTTCTTTTTAAAACTTCCATAACTAACTGAGGTGACAATGCTTGTCATTTTCTCATTACTATTCATGTCATCCTCTACAGGTGGTGGTGGTGGTGGTGGTGGTGGAGGAGGAGAATCTTTCTTTCTGGTCAATGGTGTTGTAGTTGTTGTAGTTGAAATGATCATGTTGTTGTTGTTGGTCGAGGAGGTTGATTGTTGATCCATATCTTGTTGTTGTGATAAAGGTGGTGGAGGTGTATCTTTCTTCTTTGATCCTGGTACAGGTGGTGCTGTACCTCTCACAAAGGTTGGATTAGAAGATGATGATGATGGTGTATTGGGTGTTGTTGTAGTTGTTGTTGCATTATTATTGGAATCAACAACAGTCTGTGATGAATCTGAATGGGAAGTATTCTCAGAGAGATTCTTCTTTTTGAGGAAGGAAGGAACACTCGCAGTGCCACCACTAGCACCACTCATATAACTCACTCCTCCAACCATACCAGCAATGGGTACAGCTCCAATGATCTTCTTAGAAGTACCACTCATACCACTTGAATTGGTCATATTATTAGTACTACTAGTACCTGACACATCAACACTTGAACCACCACTACTACTACTACTACTTTGAGAGTTTTGTTGTGAGTTTTGAGAGAGTTGAGGCTTTGAGGTTGGAACGGGAGGCTTTTTTATCTCACCACCACCACTACTACTACTACTACTACTCATACCGCTCGAATCCGTTGTGGCAGTTGTAGCAGTAATACCCAGAACAGCATGATTGTCACTCGTAGTAGTAGTAGCACTTGTAGTAGCTGCGGTGGTATTGGTAGTATTCGTACTCGTACCACCACTCTTCTTACTTGAAAAGAATCCTAAAATATCCTTCTTTTTAAATAAACCACCACCACTATTGCCACTATTGCCACCTCCTCTTCCAGGTAATGTCATCATGACACTTCCACTCACTCCAGACACATCCTTATTTTCTTCTCCAATATTATTCATTGATTCTTGCACTGCATCTCGTTCTACTCGTTCTAATTCACTCTTCAATGCATTGGAATTAGAGGATGGTTTAGCTCTATTCTGAACACGTTTTGTCTTTTTCGCAATGACATTATCGAGAGTATGAGGAGGAGTACTTCCAATTCCACCAAATCGATCCATATCCAATGACACTGATTTTGATTTTTGAATTCTTGTGATATCATTGACACGTTTGTTGTTTGTTTGTTTCGAATGATGATTGGATGATTGAGAATTCTTTGGAGAGGAGAGTGGTGGTTGATGTTGAGAAGAAGAGATTGCAGAATGGTTATCCTTTTCATTACCACTAGTAGAAGCAGCAGTAACAGCAGCACTAGTAGGATTCACTTGAAATGGTTTCACTTGAGGTTTTGGAGGTTTGTTTTGAGGAATCATGGGAGGTGAAGATGATGCCTCCACCACCACCACCACCACTGTTTGTTCTTGTTGTTGATCATTGTTTGGATTCTGTTCAGGAATGGGTGGTGGTGGTGGTGATTTTTTGGTAGGTTTTGGTGGAATGGTCATCATCCTCTTGTTGTCTTGATCTTCCTCTTCTTCTAAATTCTTAACACTCATGGATAATCGTGTATCTTCTTTTCCAACACTGAAAATAGCCATTGCTAGTTCATCTTTATCATCCATGAAATGATCATTACTGCTGGTTGAACCTCTGTAGTGTGGTGATACATCCTTTTGAGTATTCGTCCCAACATCCATTATTGGAACTTGTTGTTTAATGGAATGGGTGGTGGTGGTGGATTGTTCCATTAATTCCCACAATGGTTGAATAGCTGTAATGAATAAATTAGTAGTAGTTGTAGTATTACTACTGTGATGATTCAAAAAGGTAGAAGGAGTTGAACCAATTATTGGATTCAACATGATTGTTGTTCGACAATATTCCATGAAATCCAATAACAAACAATTCAAAAATAGACATGCTGAAAAGGATCTCAAAATGTAGAGAATTCTACTTTTTCGATGATGGATATATTGTAAAATAATATTCAAATAGGAAGTATCTTCATTCTGTTCCATACATCCAGTCACTACATTGTATACTCTTGAATATAATTGATCATAAATCTTGTTGTAAATTCTTTCCTTATCACTATTGGAATGAATCACAAAGAGTGAATTTAATCCAAATTGATCAAAATAACTTCCTAAAATACGAGAGAAGGCAAAATTGGAAAGAGTCTCACGAAACATTGAATTCCATCCATCACCACTATTATTATCACCATTACTATTATTATTACCATCACCATTACCATCACCACCATTACTTGTCACTTGATGATGATTCCATATGGAATGAATGGTTTCATTTGGATATAAACCACTCTGATTATTGGCCCAATGGATGGAATCAAGAATTTCCTTATCTACCACTGAAAGGGAAGATACTCGTGAGTGGTGGTGATCCTCATCATCATTGTTGTCGTTCAATGAAGAACTCAATGGTGAGCATGATGATTGGGGATTGAGAAATCGATGAGCATCGGCATCACGTCTACTTTTAGAGACTGGTTGATAACTTTGTCGACTTCTTGCTGCTGTATTCTTAAAGCTATCGAGAAAGGACTGGTGCGAATCATAATAACCACCAGAAGAAGTCATTTCTTCCTTCTCTGCAGAAAGTGGAGGAGGTGGTGGAGGAGGTGGTTTGAATTTTACTGAATGACGGATGGAGGAGTTCTCAACAGTGTTGTTGTTGTTGTTGTTGTTTGATGATGTCATCATGATGGCTTGGTAGTAGACACTGTTCTTGTCAGTCTCTTCGAGCATGTAGGATTGACGAGCCATCTTGTCATCTTCACCACCACCACTGCCTGCACGTGAACTGTCAGTGGAGGAGAGACCAAATAATCGGTGAGAAGAGGACATGTTGAGGATGAGAGGGTGAGGAGAGGGTTGTGATGATTGTTGTTGGTGGTGATAGTGTTTCAATTGAGTGTGTGATGATTGATCTAATGAATGTCGTGTGTAATGATTGATCCAATGATTCAATTAATTGCGCATTGATAAATGTAAGGATCGATGAGTCAATCAATTACGATCGTAGGTGTTGTGCAGGAGCAGGACGATGGGTTGAAGTTGAACAAGCTTCTGCTGGTTATGACACAATGAACTTTGGACACACTTTTTTTTTTGAGTGAAATGACAGGCTGACACTTGTCAAACGGAATCGGCATAGAATGGAGAGCACCAATGAAAACCAACGAATGAATGTTATTGATTTTGCTATCAGCATGAATGATATAACTACTACAGCAGTACAAACAAAGATAGAGCGCTCCTTAATAGGGAGCTATTGTATCCACATACAAATGTGATCACTTTCGAGCCAAAGATGTCTGTCTCACTTGCTCAAACAAAGTTCTCTGAATGGCATCTTGAAGGAAGAGATAAAAATTTGTTTCTTTTTGGAATGAATTCGTCTTGTTGTCACATTGATTGTTGTTCATCACCAATAACGTTCGAGTGATTTCATCACCAAGAATTTGTTGTAAAATGTTCCGTGGATGAATGAACGATAAAGACATGTTCCATTCCTCAAAACGTATGACCAAATTCTGAACATAATGAGTGTCAATGTATATACAAATGAGATGTCAATACAAGCGAGAGAGAGAAAGAGATAGGTCAATCTATTCTTCAAATATATTTCACCACCACAAGAACACTTACTCTAAAGAACATGGTCATTTCCTTGATACCATCTAAATGATATTCATTCTCTCCATATTTTTCTTTAATCACAATCACACTCTCAAACAACATTAACAATACATTGGTCTCAATGATTCTTTTGAAAATATTTCTACTACCTTTCTCAATTAATGTATTCAAAATGGAACATATTCCAAACATTAAATGATGAAAATGTTTCACTTGATGTTGTTTCGAAAGTGTTTGGTCTGTCTTTTTAGTTTGTTCTTCCTTGAAAAGTGATTGTAACAGATTTTTAAATCTCTTTTTACCTAACAAAATGGTGACCATTGAAATTCCTTGAATGACTCTGTGTAAAATAATATCAGCAAATACTTCATTTTCATCTTGATAACTCATGGAGAGTTGAATGATTGATATACTCTCTTTCACCACTCGAAAATCTTCATTACTCAAATTAGTGAATAAAACATCAATAATGTTCGTTTCTCTAAGTCTTTCTATTTTCACTACTTTAGATATTTCTCGAATGATTGAATAAAGCAGTAACAATGACTGAGAGGACAGTGATAATGAATCTCGAACAGTTGGAAGAGCAACTGGTGAATTATTTTGGGGAGGAGATTGTTGAAGAGAATTGGCAGAGAGTCGAGGTGATGCAATGAAATCAAACACAGTTGATCTTTTAAAATCATCAGCTCTAATTCCTCTTGGAGATTTGAATGCTTCAATAATGGTTGTCCAATGACTCCTTTTAGATGATGATGGAGAATTGGATGAATCCGTTGTATTGTTCGTTTCCAGAGTGAGAGGAAGAGGATTCACTCTTGGAGATATTAGAGATGAACTTCTTGGTGTTATTTCATTGCCAATGCTTGGATTGTTTCTTCTCGGAGTACTAGCTGATGATAGATAACCACTCATATCCTTCCAATTGAATGGTGAAGAATGTTGAGAGAAGACATTTAAAATCATCTCCAAGATTTCCTTTTCATATTTTGGATTTCCATTAAAAATACTTTTAAAAAAACAAGTGGCTAAATGAATTGATTCACTGGATGGAAGATAGAGTATGACATTCTTTAGCAATGAAATTCCATTGTCATAACAAATAACTTCTTTAAACTTTCTTCCATTGCTCGCGATACTTGTCAATAAAGAGAGAGATTCATTCTTATCTTCTAATTCTTGTTTATAATAGTGAAATCCTAATATTTCTAACAATATTTGCGTTCCACCAATTTCAATAAAATCTATTAAGGGTTTGTACTCTTTCATAAATAATCCAAGTGCTTTGATTTGAATTGAAAGATCATTACAATGTAAATAATTTAACTGAAAATATCCCAATATTCTTGTGAATATTAATTCATAATAGTTTTTAAGTTTGGCTTCTAATTCTCGACATGATAAATGTTGACATGATTCTACAAATGAATACAATAGTTTGGATCGTGTTAATGGTTGTGTTGTTGCATCCCACTCTCTAAGGAATAATTTTGAAGAAAAAGTTGATGTATTTGAAGAATAATTGTTGGAAATGAGAGCGCTTGGTTTCACGGAGGTTTGATTCGGAATATTAACAGAGGAAGATGCAAAGATATTCTTTGTTTTTGAGGGTTTTGATTTTGTTATCAAAGAAGGTTGATGAGTGGTGTGTAAGTGATTGACAGCATTGGGTGAAAGAGGAGGTGTTTGATTGTTGGATGACATGACAGTAGATGAGGCATTGTGCTTGGACATGTGTTGTTTTAAGGGTTTGTTGTTATTTTGGATTTGAGAGTTTTTCATCGAGGATGATGTGAGTACAATTAACTTGTTAAGAGACGACGAAGAGTTAGACGAGTAGGAAGAGCTGTGATGATGTCTTGTATGACGTCGTGTCATGGAAGAGTGTGTGGGTGAATTCGAATTGGAAGATCGGTCATGATGAAGGACAGGATCGAATGGTTGTTGTTGTTGTTGTTGTTGCAAATAATCATCTTTCGTGTGTTCTGTAGTCATCATGATTGAGGTATGAATGGACTGATCTCTTTGTTGTATTGATTCCAAGCAATGATAATCCTCATGCTTGGATGAATATTCATTGACATACTCTTTTTCATGGACATCCAGAGAGGAAGCATTTCTTGAATCCACTTCAATAATGTCTTCAACGACTTCAAAACCAATTGCTGAATATTTAGAACGAATCATTGGAAGAGAACTCTTTGAATGGATGTCACCATTGGATTCGTTATCATGTATCTCTTGAAGGTGTTGTTGAGAATTTTCTAATACTTTAGAATTCAATAATAATGATTCGTCCAATATTAAGGCTTGTTGGAAAGAGTCATGATGGGAGGGAACTATTTCGTGTTGATGAGGATTTCTACCCACAAGTGCTTGATGATGCTCGTGATCCTTCTCCTCCTCTTCAATTGAACATTCCGAATGACTTTCTTGTTTAATAGAGTGTTGGTCTTTATCTCGGTATTGTTCATGAGAATTCCATATGGGTTTCGTTCCATCTTCTCCCGAATCTGAAGAAACTACTGCTTGAGTGTTGTTATTATTCGTACCAGTAGTAGTAGCAGTAGTAGTAGTAGGATGATTCAAAAGTGCTTCTTCCGACGACGACTCTCGAATGGTCATGACCACACCAGTAGTAGTGAGTAGAGGCTGATGATGTTTGATGCGATCCTTTGAATTCTTTTGCTCAACGTGAATGAGGCTGCTTGACGAGGAGGAGTATTTTTCTTCAAATTCTTCGTTTAAGGAAAGAGGAGAAGAGGTGGAACTTGAGAATGATGATGGTAGAGGTGCGTAAAATTGATCATGAGGTAATAATAATGGGTGTAAGGAAGCATACTCCTCCGCATCAGCCTGTTTAAGCTGGAAATGGTGTTGTTGTTGTTGGTTGAGAGGAGTGTCATCATGACCAGTTGTTGTTGTTGTTGTTGTTGTTGTGGTATCTTCTTTAGGGTGATCCATGTTGTTGTTGTTGTTGTTGTTGGTTGTTGGTTGGGAATAAAACACTTGGTGTTCATTCGGAAAGGAATTGAACTCATTCCTTATTAATAATAATTCAAGAGGATCCACCAAATGTTGAGAGCTATATACTAGTGATGAGAGTGAGGAGGAGGAGGATGATTTCATCTCTTGTTGTTCATCATGAACAACACAAGCATCAACATTTATGAATGATTCACCAATCATCAATTCGTGATCATTGTGATCTTCCATGATAGCCTCACTTAATAAACTGGCAGGAGAGAGTTGATCTTCCATGATCACGATGGAAGAAATGGATGTGTTGTGTTGTTGTTGTTGTTGTACTCTATGATTCAGAGTGGACCGTTCATAGCTACCACTGCCAACAACAACAACAACACCACCACCACCACCACTCGTACCACCACTCGTACCACCACCACTCATTCGACTCATTCGACTCATTTGACCACTGCCAACAACAACATTTCGTTGAGGCGCGAATAGGTTCCGATGATGACGATGATGATGTGATATTTTCATGCTGTTCTTCATCCTCTCTCGAATGCATTGAATTTATAACTTGTGCAACAACTTGTTGTCTCACACACTGTGGAGTACTACTAGTACTACTAAAAGAATAATAACTGCTGTTTTTTCAGCTCTAATTTTACGGTAACATCTTCTGGTTTGATGAAAGGAGGATGTATCATCATCAACAACAACAACTCTCTCTCTTTCACTGGACATCATCATCCTATTCATGGACGAACAATTAAAAATTTCATATCACGATACTCGGTAAGAAAAAGAGGATTGCATGCGATCTATTTGTCATGCATTTGTTGTGTGTTCGAAATATGAATTCATATTTTGTTGTGCACAGTAGTCTTATGTGTGCGCAACGAGTTTTTTGAGCTGAGTTTCGCTTGGATAATGGACTAGAATTAGTCCAGCGAAAGTCCTGTTCTCCATCGAAACTGGCTTGACATCGTCACCACCATTCTCTTATGCATGCGCAACGCCAAACGGTCGCACAACTTGAACACCACTCCTCAAGTGTCATTCCAATAATTATTGGGACATGTTGTTTATTGGTGGTGGATCTTTTTTAAAAAAAATATTAATCAGCCACTGAATTTTGGTGTCGTTTGAATCTCTTCTCTTCCGTTCGTGATGAGTAGCAACAACAACAACACTTCAAGTATGACCATGACCATGATGGATCAATTAATCTCCTCTCAAGAACGTTCTCTAATTCAACAATTAAAAAATCAATTATTCGATCCAGCTTTGGCCACTCGACTCATTCCGAATCAAGAATCTTCTTCCTTTCCGCAAGAATCTTCAACAAACATTTCTCTCAAAACAATGAATGATTTATGGAATGCATTAAATCAATTTATTTCTAAATCAGAAATACATCCAGATTTGTTTTACGTGAGATGGTTGAGAGCTACCAATGGAGATGTATCAAAATCAATGAATTCAATCATTGAATTGATTAAATGGAGAGAAAGAATTCAAATTGAAAAATTAACATCTTCACATTTTGATTCCATCTTTACAAAGGTGGAAAATTTTGTGTACTTGATGGGACATGACAAAGATGGATCTCCGACCATTTGTTTGGAAATTGAAAAATTTGTTCCTGGTTCCTTACCCTATGAACAATTAGAAAAAGTAGTAGGATTTGTATTGGAAATTGTGACACATGAATTGCGTATTAAATCACAAGGAAGGTTAGAGAGATTTGTTGTATTGATTGATTATTATAATTGGGGGTTGTCATTGGTAGATACAAAGCTTGATAAGGCAATTTTAGGGACTTGTCAGAGTTATTTCCCTGAACGATTGAAATTAGCTTGTTTGATGAGAGCACCATGGCTATTTTCAACAGCATATGCAGTTGTTAAAGGTATGTATGGTTGTTGTTAAAACATAGAGTATTGAAAGATTCGAAAATATATTTACACTCTCGGTGCACATTTAGTCTTTTTGGATGAAAAGACAACTGAAAAGATTGCTTTTGTGAGTGAGAGTGAAATTCCAACAGAATTGAGAAAGAGATTTGATGAACATATTTTGTTAGAAAAATATGGAGGAAAGTCACAAAAGAAACAAACCATTAAGGAATATTTAAGCACTTTTTTGGGTCCAAACGAAACATTGGAAGAATATTATGCAAAGAGATTATCTTTTTTACAACAATAGAAAAATCCACAAAGGATGGCTACAATAAAACGAATTTTCCTGAACTGAAATTCACAAATATTGTTCTTTTATTACAACTCACTTGGAATAGAAAGCAAATCTTCCAACAACTGTCTCAATTCAAAAGCCTCTTCTCCATGGAAATATGAAAGATAGTACGACAATTGGCCAATCCATTGTTTGAAAGAATGGTAATCGTTTTTGTGTGCTTGCTGCTGATTGATCTCGGCAGAGAATTTTGTTTTGTCTCTCTGTGAAAAGAGTGATCCATATTTAAACAGTGAAATGTATAACAAGTTCGCCAAATCAAAAATCACCTTTCCAACAATATTTCCTTTGAGACCCCAAAATACTAATTCATCGGTCAAGAATCTAATGTCATAATAGAGAGAGATGAATTCTTTCTGTCTAAGAATATCTTCAATAACATCCAATGTAATTCTTCTTGATCGCTCCACTTCTCTAAGTTCACTTAAATTTTTCATGGATAAATAATATTCTGAATATTTTCTGAATTGAGTAATAACATTTACAATCGATTCTTCCAATGCATTGTACACTGGTGATGATTTGGATCCTGGTGTTGAATAGAATTGAGTTATTGATGATAATCTTGAGAATTTGATAGTCACTAATTTCTTTTCACGAATGTTATCATAATTATAAATAAATAAATGTTCTTCCAAATATTTAGCATCCATTTTTGAAAGTTTAGAAACGATTGGTTCAATCACAATGGTATGAGTACTATATGGAGGAATGGAATAAATTCTATGATTCAAAACATCCACCGTTTGTTTTGGAATTAGAGTGTTGTCAGAAGGTGTCGAATTGCTATTGGAAGGAGTACTAGTGATTAGATGGACTGTATTCATAGTAGTAGTAATAGTACTCGATGTAATTTGTGATCCAACACTATCCAACACATGTATCTTGAATAATTTACAAAAATCATCTCTAATAATATAAAGTAATGGAACATTCAATAAATTTTTAAGTGTAATTGGACATCGATCGATAGGATTATAATTCACATCCATCATCACATTTGAATGTTGTTCATTACATATAAAAGTTACTTCTTGTCGTGTCAAGTACATTTGTGGTCTCACACATGTTGCTGTGACTTTGATCATTCTTTGATAATCTTTCACTAATTTACACTTCACAAGAATATCAAATTCATCAATAAATGTCATGTCAGTAGAAGTAATGGTGGTATTCAAACTATCATCAAGAGTATGAGAAGAAGAATGAAAAGAAGGAGATGGTGGAGAGGTTAAAAGGTTCTGAGTCATCATTGCATGTTGGGATGAGAAACGAGGTGTTGAAGGAGAAGATTCACTCAATAATGAACGACTCCTCATGATGGTTGGATCCACACCACCACCACCAACACCACCAGAATCATCTCTATCAGTACCATCTCTATCAGTACCATCTCTATCAGTACCATCTCTAACGACAGTAGTGGTGGTGGTATTGGTTGTTAAACCACTATCACCATCACCACCACCAACACCAATGGAATTATTGGGAGGAGATAAATCAGTGGTTGTTGTTGTTGTTGTTGTTGTTGGACTATGGATGGTGGTGGTTGGATCATTCATAATTTCCTTATGAACCTTATAGATTAAATAAACTCGAGTCTTTGATTTTGGTTCCACTCGTAAACTATAAAATGGTTTCAATGATGTCAATGAAAGTGAAAAATGAAGTTCAGTTGTATCTGGATTGTGATTGGATGTGAAAAAGAATTCAAGTGGAGTATCATCACTCAAATTCACAACATCAATGAATCGATGTCTAATCACAGTATCAATAAATGCAGTTCCTAAATCCATTTTGAGTGGTAATTCATTATTGCTAGTATTATTAGTAGCAGCATTACTCTTAATTCCATCAATTCGAATATCAAATAATTTTTCAGGGTCTTCAATTTCACTTAAAATTTCAAGAGATGCTCTCAATGTCTTTAAATCAAGTGCATTTTCACAATTTTCAATTATAATATAATCAGAAAAACTTTCAATAGAATCCGTATTGAATGTAAATGTAATTTGATGTGAATCAAAAGCATCTATAGTTCCACTAGTGCGACTCATTGAAAATGGACTTGAAGCACTTGAATTAATTTTACCTGAAATGGTATAGATTTTGTAGGACACATCTTGAGGTGATGGATTTTCCAATGTAATCTTACTTTCAACAGTCTTTTTCGTGAGTGTTCTCTTGTGCTTGAATTCAATTTCATATCGATTGGTCATGTTTGCAGAGGATGATAATTGTTGTAAGAGTGGTCGACATCCCTTTAAAATCAATACAGGTGAAGAGGACAAGGATGAGGAGGAGGAGGAGGATGGTTTGTTGTTGTTGTTGTTACTGAGAGAGTGATGACTGATCACACTACCACCACCACCAGTAGTTGAAGTAGTTGAAGTAATGACCGTAGATGAACGATTGATGCCATCACCACCACTACTACTATTGAAATGGTTCTTTGTAGTAGTACCAATAGTAGTAGTAGTAGTACCGATAGTAGTTAGAGTCGTCGTAGAAACACTCAAATCATGTAAGAGGGCATCTCCATACATCTTGTAATAATCAACTGCCTTCACATTCAATGGTAAATGTTGAATAGTTAATGGTGCATATTCATCAGATACCACCAAATGATAGGATTTACCAATCAATGAAAGTTTTTCAAAGACTTTTTCAATGCTTTGAATGGAGGAATAATCAATGAATACACTAATGACTGTTGAGAGAGCAGGTTCAAGGAGACCCTTTTCAGGAAATATCGTAATATTCACTCCTTCCAATTCATCCTCTTCATTGGTCCAACTCTTTTTAATTTTGAAATAGAGTGCTTCATATTTTTTGATATTTTTGATGGTGAAGGATTCTTGAAGGACTTTGGCATTTGCAGGGATGGTATTACCAGTAATACTATTACCACCAGTAACACTGCTACTAATACTACCACCACCACTAATACTATTACCACTCTGACCACTCTGACCACCACCACTAATACTATTACCACTGGAAGGATAATAATAATCAACCATTGGTGATGGTAATTTAAAATCTAACTTGTCTACTGAAAGTGAAAAGGTTGGATACTGAACAATGGCTCCATAAATATCAAAGGATTCTTTTGGTTGATTGGAAGACTCAAAAATTAATTTTCCAACATGAATATATTTCAATTCATGTAAATTCAAATCATCTGGAGTGTTAATCAATGAATAGAGTTCATGTGGAATGGTTGCATTTTGTTTTGCTCTACATCGAATTCTAATATAAAGAGTGGACTTTTTTTCAAATTTGTATTCCTTAATTGGAATACTTGTTGAAAAATCAAGTAAATCAATTTTCAAAAAGTGATAAATACTTGGATTGTTATAAACGACTCTAAATTTAGAATCAATTTTAGAGGAACTATTGTTGGTGATGGTCAATGTTAAATCACTCACAGAACTTGTGTTACTAGTAATGGTTTTCATAATCTCTGGACATTGTAAAAGTGGCATTTTGATTGAATTGTTTGGTTGTAATCCAAATATTTCCCAAACTCTTTGAGTTACATTTGCAGTAATGGTTGCACTCAATACATTGGTTGGATTGTATAAATTTTCAAAGACCACAGAAAGTGAAAGGAGACCATCGGGATTGAGTGGTTTCTTGTGATCCATATATTCAATGGTTTTGAGACAAGCTAAAATCGTTTTTTGACCTTTTGGAGGAATGGTCCATTCCATGGTGGTGGTGGTGCTGTTGTTACTGATATTACTACTACTGTTACTACTACTGTTACTACTACTAGTATTATTGATAGTATTACTATTACCATTATTACCATTATTACTACTACTACTGATATTATTGATAGTATTACTATTCGTACCATTACCACCACCACTCTGACCACCACCACCACCACTCATGAACATCATATTGGAGAGAAATTCAATTTCATTGGGTTTGGAGACGAGTCTTACTTTTGAAATGACCTCCGAGTTGTTGTTCAACACAATTTGGAATTTTCGAGGATTCCATTGATCAATGTATCCCACTTTACCCAAATTAATCGAACTCGAACGAAGTGAAATGTCTGAAATTCCCAATTGAATATGAACATTGATCAATTTCAATACATGTTCCTTATCATCGGCCAAAATGAGAGATCTTTGAACATTCACACTTGATTTCTTCAAAAGAGTTTCAATATCGAGAATGGACATGTTCAATGGAAGACCAGTCAACATGGTCACGAGTGTTAATTGTTCTCCAGCAGGTAAAATGAATGGTTTTCCTCTCTTTGAATATTGATTGAATGAACTATTTGCTGAGTTTAACATGACTTGAAGACGATCTTTGGAGGAGGAATTTGTTAAAGAGTTGTTGTTGTTGTTACTTCCAATACTACTACTACTAGTACCTATACTGCCATTACCAATAATGTTGTTGTTGTTGCTGCCACTACTACTACTCTTCTGACCTTTTGAACTATTGCTTCCCTTTGAAAGGAGATTCTTCTTATTCTTCACAAAGACAATCATATCAACATCACTGTACGGTATCAAAATCATGTCTTGTTTCGAAATGTTGGACATTTGAAATTCTTGAATTCCTAAAATGACCGAGTTTTGAATTTCCTCAATTAAATCCTTTTCTGATTCATCGACATATTCATAATTTTCAATCAATTGTTTTGCAAGTTGTTGTACATGTGGTAGAGGAACACCAGAAATGAAAAGTTCATCCGAAGAAGATGGACCATTCACGGATGATGTGTCTAATAGTTGTGAATTTTCTTCTTGATGATTCGAACCTGATGGTATCACTGATAACCGTTCTTTCACCACATAGACCGTATTGAAGATTAAAGCATCCACTCCAGAGCTATCTGCAATGAGATTATTCCTAAGAGATTTTCGATCATCTACAAATGCACGAACTGCGATGGTTGTAGTTTCATGATTTTGAATTGTTGTGAACAGTTGGGCTGAGAATGGTGTTGGAGATGAGTTCACAGATTTGTTAATAATGGTAAAGTAATTGTCATGAAGACCACTCGATGATGGTTGAAAAGTGAATGGTATGGTGAGAGTATGTGGTAGAGGATGATGAGACGACACTACTGATGTATCAACACGACTACTACCATCAACATTACTCATAGTATTACTACTTCCATCGATACTACTACTACTACCAACACTACTACTCATAGTATTAGTGTTGTTGTTTGTTTTAGAGGGACTTGTTGGAGTCCATTGAATTTCTTGAGTTTTGTTTCCACTCAATACTCCCTTCAATAAACTCTCATTACTCACAAACAATTCATTGGGAGAAGATGAAACAATTTCATACTCGAGTGGTAGATATTGATTTCCATTTGAAATTGTAAAAGTACCTGTAAATTGTTTTAAATTACTTGACCATCCAAAATCAATAAATTGAGTATCGACATTGAGAATACTTTTTCCAATGAATGCTCTGATTTGAATGACCTGTGAATAAATTTGTTTTTCCTCATTCAACACACTCAATACAATGCTGCTAGCAAACGATGTACATTTTCCCTTATTTGCCAAATTCATATTCATGTGAGGTTTAAAGGCAACAAAAATTTGTAGAGATGCATGAGGTTCTACCTTCAAAAGAGTTGCTGGCTCACTCAGAGATGCATCTTTGAATAGGAAGATTTGTTTCTTTGAATTGGAGATGAGTTTGAGAGTGAGAGCATTGTTTTTGGTGTTGTGAACTTTGAAGCTAGAAACTTTTGCATAATTCTGAAGAGTAGTAGCCATCGTGTTGGTATTGTTGGTGGTGGTGGTATTGTTGGTGGTGGTGGTATTGTTGGTGGTGGTGGTGGTGTTGATGGTGATAGAACTTGAGTGTCCGATCGTAGCAGCAGCAGCAGTACTACTCCTTACAGCATCACTAGAACTACCCTGAGTATCGTTCTCTCCTCCAGTTACCATGTTAATGTAACAAAAACCAAAATTGAGAATTCGATCATCGCCAATATTCTCCAAGTGAATAGGAGAATCCACAATCACATTGCATTTGATCGTACATTTGTGAATGACTTTGGTTCTTAAATCTTGAATGTTCACAGTGTGCATTTGTGTGCCAGGACTAAAACACTCACACACCACTTCAATATTTTCGTACTTTCCTGGTGGCAGAGTTCCATTTCTTTTGCTAAATTGAAGTTCACAATCGGAGGTGATGGTTTGTTTGTTGGATGTGTGATCTAAAATGACAAAACCTGATTCTTCGGTTTTAGATTCATTGGTAATTGAAATTTTACATTTCACTTTTTCACCAACCGATATTGCACCCAAATCAATTTCAGGAGAAAGTATTTGAATGGATTTGAGTGGATAGTTCGTACTTGAAGAGGATTGTTTCGATTGTTTTTCAATCTTATTTGGAAGGGATACAATTCTCGATGGATGAATGCCTAAAGATGAAGAAGAGGATGAGGAGAATAATGAGGAGGACGTCGTCGTTGTTGTTGTTGAAGAGGAGGAGGAGGATTGTGTATGGTGATTTGGAATAGTACTTGTCGTATTCGAGGTGAGTAGTGTTTCTTTTGGAAACTTTTCACTACTAGCAGACTTTCTGATCATTGTCTTTCCAAGAATGGGTGAGATTGGAGTTAATACGGTTGTTGATTCTTGTTTTGGTGTGTTGGTTGTTGAAAAGTTCGATAATGAAATGGAATGATTAAAAGATTTGAGATCGTAGTGAACCACCGAACTCAGAGTCACCATTTTTTGCTCATCGGTATTTCTATTCTCATAGACGAGCATTCTGCAAATACCATTCTCAAAGGCAACATTGGGTGTTGATGATACATCAATAAGATAGGGTTTGATTTTCAAATTAATGACCTGAGACATTCTTGCTGGAATTGCAAATCGAATTCCATTCTCTTCAATTTTTTTGAACTTTCTTTCTTTTTTTCCTTCATCATCACTTTCAGAGATGAATACATCATCCTCTACTCGACCCACTGGTGTGTGATCATCAAAATTAAGTTCCTTTTTGATTTCATTGATTCTTTCTGTGAGCTTTTTAATCTTTGAAGTCTTGTTCTTTCTCACACAAATTCTGTATTTATGTTCCAATTTTTCGAGTTCGGTTTCTAATTTTTCAATTTCTGTACTTTGACTCACTGGTTCCAAATCATATTCAAATTCGAATCGACAAAAGCTAAAGCTCACATATTCAATCATCGTTTCGAATATTCTTCGATTCTTACTCATATTGGTTACAACAATTTTTTTTGAGATACTTGGCTGACCAATTAAAATATTTCCAAAATTAATATCATTGGATTTGAGAGTAAACTTTTCATAGTTTCTAATATCAGCCTTAACCACAATATGAATCTTATCTGATTCATCTAAAATATTCTCAAATGTTAAGGTCTCATTAAATACTCCTGGAAGAGAAGGTTTAAAATACAATTGAATGTCTCTACTTCCATATGGACGGACAACACCACCACACTCTAACATGTCCAATATTTTAATGTCATTGGAGGCTATCGATCCAGATCTCTTCACTCGAAATAGTAATGGTACTTCAGATGCATTACTGACAGTAATTGTCTTCTTTCTGTCTTCAATGTTGGTGATGGATCCAAAGTTGATGTTTTTTTGAGCAATTTCCATCATGGAGAGACACACTTTTGATTGAACGGTAAGTTCTCTTGGAGGAAGAGATTCTTTTGGAATAATTTCATCAACCAATGTTCGATCGTAATCCACCAATTCAATAAAAAGCTTTTCAAAATTCTTTTTCATGGCATTAATTGAAGTATTACTCGAAAAAGAAACATCACTGTGAAGACTGAGAGGTGAAATGTTGGCAGGTGTGGACATAAATTTGCTATTTGTGCTCTTGGGTGAGTAAGTAACAAAAATGTCCATGGAGGATCGAGGTTCAATTGAAATTAAATCACATGGAACAAGAATATATTGATCAATGGCAAAGGCTAACTTCTTTTTGAATTCTAATTCGTCATTAATAATTGATTCTTCATCTGCCACTTGTTGGTTGTTGGTTTGATCAAAAAGATTTTCTTGAATTTTCTCATAAAGGGCAAGCAAATCATCACAAAATTCTTGAGGATTTGAAATTGGATTGTTGAACATGTCAGAATGACTGCTGATCGTAGAAAAGTTATCCATATCTTCATCACTGTCATCGTCATCAGAGTCAAAGCTCACCAATGTACTAATTTCATCAACACCAGCAAAATCAGTGTTAAATAAGGTAGGTGTAGTGGTTGTTGCATGATGATCACTACCACCCGTTCTAAATGTTTCGTGTAATGAAGTGGATCGTTTCATTTGGAAAGATTCTTCTTTGAGTTTCAACGAGGATTTAAGAGAAGTTTGCAGAGCAGAACTATTCACAGTCGACAAGGGAGATTGAGATGAAACTTTTGTGTTGGCTGATGTTGTCGCAGTGGTGTGAGCCGTAATATGTTTTCTTTTTCTTTTCTTGTGTTGTTTGGTCATGGATGGATGTGGTGAAGAGTCCATTCCGCTTCCTGCTTCTGCTGCGGTATGATAGGAAGTTGTTGAACTGCTATCGTAGGGAGAATGGACATCGGAGGATGTCATGTTGTTGTTGGCGGCGGCATCTGAATTCACCTCATTGGCACTTGAATCGTCCGAATCTGATTGTTGTTGAGATGTCTTTCGTGAAATTCTGTATGGAACAAGTTCATTCTCCATTAAGGATGATCTCAATCGTAAAACAATGGGTTCATCCGAAATGTTTGATAATTGAAATTTTGATAAGGAAATTCCATTCAAAGCAACAACTCCAAAGTTAATTGATTTCGCATAATTATGTTGAGAGGAAGTGTGAACATCATAGAATTTGCAATGAAAATTTAACATATTTCTATCGACATTGTTGGATTCTACTTCAATAATCTGTTCGTTCAATTTGTTGCATTCATTCACAATGGTAATTTGTTTTCTATAATTTGGATTGACTCTTCTTGGAGATAATCGAAAACTAATTCGAATGGACTTGTGAGGAGCAATTACAGCTGTTTTTGTCTTACATGTAATGACTTTGGAAGTAAATTGAACTGATATTTGTGTAGGCAAATCAGACTTGTTAAAAACAGTGACTGATGCGAATTTGATATCTCCAATGGTGCTATCACCAAATTTGATGTTGGTTGGAGAGACTTCAATGATGGAAGCACATGTATGTGCAATTGCTTTGAGAGTGGCCAATACTCGTCTTTCAGCTGATGATGGAGTGGTGGTGGTTGTAGTAGCGACGATACTGGAGGATGGGGTGGTTGAAGGTGTTGAAGGTGTTGTTGTTGTGAAGGTCATGGATGATCCAACAGCACTCATACTAGTAGCACTCGGGCTATTAACACTGCCGCCGCCGCCACCACCACTCAAAGATGAAATACTTGTTGTTGTTGCCGAGGGAGTTGTCGTCGTTCCAACAAGAGTGGTACTTGTAGTGGCGCTACTGATGCTGCTGTTGCTACTACTGGATTGGACATTGGAACCACCACCACCACCACTTTGAGGAGTGTTTTTGGTCGTTATTAAAATAGTGGTCTTAATCTTGGACAAGGATGTGTCGAATAAACAATTCTCATCGAGTGGCACATGAGCACAAACAAGAACCTTTCGATCACTCTTTGGCAATAACGTTAATTCTTCAATGCTTTCTCTGTAGAGAGATGAGCCAGTGCTATTGAATGCTCCAGAATTCATTTGATTGGCAGAGTTTTCATCATTGCTGTTGTTGTGGAGAAGCACATTATGAATATTTGGATCAAAAACTTCAAAGTGGATAAAATCATGCTCCTTTGAAGTAATTGAGTCTTGTGATGAAGTGCCAAGTCCACCACCACCACCACCAATAATAGGAGAGTTGCTAGCACCAGTAATAGAGGCACCAGAACCAGAACTACTACCACTCCCACCACCTGAAGAGGATGTTCCCGTTGTTTGCGAGGATTGATTGGAGCTACTACCACTTGTGGTCAAATAAATATCATAAGACTCATTACTCTGATTTCTCAATGTAATCACTCTGAACACTGTTTGTCCTTTAAAAAAGTCTCCAAAATCAATTTTTGAGATGGGTTGTTTTCCATATTCATCCAATACAAGAATATTTCTACTCTTACTTGGTATTGCATCAGATTCATCTGTTGCATAGGCAATAGATTTAAAATTAATTGTAGAAAGTACTCCATCAATGTCATTTGAAATTGATACATTGAAGTTCAATTCACCAATTATTTTGGGAATGAAAACAACATTCACTCGGATGGATGAATGTGCCATTATTACGTTTTCTTGCTTTCCTAATAGCTTTCCAGTTTCATATTCCGAGAAAGTCAACTCGGCAATTGCTCTATCCTCAGAAACCAATGATGGATTTGAAAAGCTTCTAGATCTATGAGAGGTATTTCGAATGATGATATTATCTTCGGAAGAAATGCTGAAAGTAATGTCTTCTTCGGAAATGTTGGTAATTGTAAATTCTTTGATGTACTTGCGATTAATAATGGAAGTACCAAATTCAATTTCATTCTCGTCCAGCTTTATCTTGCTTTGATTGAACTCTATAGCGAAGGGTATTTTAATCTTATCGTTATATTTAAGAGAGATAACGTCTAATACAATATTTCCTTTGAAGGACTTTAAATCTTGAAATTTCAAAGAATCAGAGAGTGATGGCAATTTGCTTGGATTAAAATTAAGTACAAAATTATTTGATTCAAATTTTTTGATTTTGATTTGTTGGAAGTTGTATAAAGTGTTGAACATTTGATTAGAAAATTGTTGATCACTGGGATCAAATGTTTGAAATGTGACTAATGTTGTCTGTACATTACTTGATACAGCATTATTACTGGAGCCACTACTACTGCCTATGGTTGAATGGTTTAACGTGTTCAGTGATGATGAAGAAATATGTTGGTGAGCAAAACTTAATCGGATCGTAATATCTTCATCACTCCGATTTTCTACGGTTATTGTTTTTGATAAATTACTTCGTGATTCATGAGATACATTGGAAAAATGTATTCCTCCTAAAGGTTGGGCAGCAACGAGAGATCCATCGACATCATTTATACACGCAATCACTTGTTGTTGCTCTCTGATGATGATTGCACAAACAGGTGAAGAAGAAGGAGGTGAAGTATTGTTTCCGATACCTGATGATGACGCACGTGTTGATTGAAGCATTTTTATTTGATGAATCCTTTCGAAAATAAATCGGATAAAATAAAAACAGTGGCACCAACAAATGAATGTGCAAATCAGACGCTAGAATGTCATCAAAGTGCATCAGCCGAAAGGTGATGAAATTGGTTAAGAGTTTCATCATTTCAATGGTCATAACCAGAAGCTCCCCAAGAACGTTCAAAAACATTCTCTTAACAGGAGGCGCATAGCAAAGGCTTGAACTTCCCTTCACCACCAATAAAAGACGGACAAATAAAATGAGGGGAGATTTATGGGTTGATTTGAATTCAAAAGAAATGATTGAGCCATCAACTTAAGAGCATTGGCCTTTGGAGAGTTAATGGATGATATTAGCGTTCATGATGCAACATCAATCCTTCGTTCAACATATGAGTCATTGTTTCAATACATCCAATTCAATAAACTTTTGTTTCGTTCGACAAAAAAATGTTCTTTGGAAGGAGAGAGGAGCAACAACATCAGCCACAACAAATTTCCTACAACAACCCGAACTCTATGGAAGCAACACAATCATCTTCCGTTAATCAACCCCATCCATTTGATCAATCTCAAGGGAATATTGTGGATGACAGAAGTACAACAACAAATGATGATATTTTCACTCATCACAAATATCCTTCTCTTCATCCTGTAGATAAGCTTTCTCCCATGTACAAAGCGAAACAATATTCTCTTTCAATTCAAAAATCCTATCAACAAGCCTGGAACAATGTCATCCAATTATCAATTCTTCTACTATTATTATTCATTGCTATACATACCAATATATTCAGAATTGCCGTGATGAGATTAATTACCTCATCGGTCATTATTTATTACATGCTCTCCTATTTCATTTGCGTTTTATTGTTTTACTTGATCATTCGACGTATGAATAAGCTGTGGAGAAAGTCATCCTTTTATTCTCAGCAAGAACATGAATATAGAGGAGGGAAGTTGTACAAGTGGAGCCAAGAGTTCGTGAAATCTCCAAACAGGGCATTACAGACGTTGTTCAGAAACATTAAAAGCCTTTTCATCGGAAAGCCTTCTTCACGCTCAAAAACATTGACAACACAAGAGCAATTCCGTCCCACCTATATTTGCACTCCTTCTAGCACCCTACTAGGCTTAAATACTAAAGAGGAAATTGATGAATATAACACTGCGCTGTATGAAGAATATTTGCAACAAGAAGCAAAACGAAATGAACAAAGAAGAGAAATCCTTTCTAATAGGAAAGAAATTGACAGATATAGATCGATCAATTATGATTTAGTATTTGGTAGATCTGGATATCATCCAACAACCATGGGTGGCCCTCTAGGTACCTCCACCACAATGGCCGATTCATTAGGACTTGGTTATCCATCATCTCTTCCCACTACGACCTCTTCAACAAGTACTGGAGGAGGATATCTTTTAGATGCTTCAACTGCTGTACCAGCTGGACCAAATGCTGGAATGATTCACGATTTTGATGCCATGCCACCATCTTCATTGACTTTTTCAAATCCAATCATTAGAGATCGATTTACCACAGGTGGAATGGAAAGCGAAAATGTTGCATATCGATTGGCTCCATCTGCCAACTTTAATCCTGATATGTTATCTTGGCAAACATCAGCTAGAGCTCAAAATCATGCAATGCATAGTAATGCACTTCTTTTGAGCGAAGAAGCTTCTCAAGCGTTAGAAAAATATAATTTAAATACGTTTATTGTGAATAATTGGGCAGAAAATATGAGAAGATGGATCATATTTAAAATTTTAACTCCAATCACAAACGATATAGAAAATATTAATACACAATTATACAAAACCTTTAATGGGCAATTTAAGGGTTATGATTGTTACAACCCATTAGACATTTCACCTCAATATCAACATGCTATTCCAACATTTATTCCACTTTCAGAAGATACTTCCAGATACACCTTAAAATATATTTTGTCTACAATGGTTAACACTTTCGATCAACAAAAGCAAAAGCCTTCAATTTATCAAGATTTTGAAATTTTGTTAAGAAAGAGGTTAAAGATTGAAAGATATTTGAGTGTGCCATCCTCCGCTATGGACAAAATTGGAAATAGAAAACATGTTCTTGAAAGAATAAGGACTATGGCTAGAGGATCATTTGACAAGCTAGGAAGTTTCAGCGAACATTTGAAGAATGACTTCCCAAGTGATGAGGAGATTTTAGTATTTTTGTTTTGTAAATACATGGATTTCATCTTGGACTCTCATGGATCGAACAGCTTTACTCAAAAATATTATCGTGACAAGACAAGACCACAAGAACCAAGCACAAATGGAATGGGTCTTTACAAACCAAGAAGTATGGCTCCAGCCGTTGCGAATGCTATTATCAAGAAAAAGGGAGATTCAAAAATTTTGCCAACTAAGAAGGGTCTGTTTTTGTGCTTGGCAACCTTACAACCTGTACCACATTTTAATGTGGAAGACGACGGAAGCGTATTAGAATGTCAACCAGGACGCAATAACTTATTTTATGCCTTAGTATTGTTCTTGCACTTGATTAGAGAGAAATATGAAGGATACATTGAGACGGTATCGCTTGATGATTTGGATCTTTCGCGAGTTATTGAATCTGTTTAGTGCGCACTCTTGACATTTTAGAGAAGACAATGTTTATTCATTAAGAGAAGACTATCCAATTAGAACTGAATATGATTCAACAGCTCTGTAGAGAATCTTCGGTCAGTCACCCTGTTCATGAGCTGTTTCATTCGACATTCTGCCATTATGTTCAATAAATTTCTCTTGGCAATTCGTAATTGAGTCATAATTTCAAAAGGAGCATAATGCGAATGTTTTTTTTGCAGAATCTTGTGAAAAGCACAAACACCCAAATATTGTACGCATAACTTATCCAACTCACACATCGATCTAAACTTGTGAATCACTTTCTTTCTACTCTGGATGCAAATCCACATGTATCCAATAATGTCAGAAATGATGGTCTTGCACAAATTGTAGGCTGATTTTTTGTGTGCAAGATTGCTCTTATTCCATTGAGGTTTCATCTTGTGTCGAATGGTGGTGTGAAATTTCATGGCGACAAAAAGAAATAATTGATAGATATTCAAATAGCATGTGAAACGAGAATTAACGGTACCATCAATCACAAGAGGTGTACATTTCCAGCTAATCGTTTGTTTCAGTTTTCGACAAAGATTAAATCCAGGAGTTCTACAGTCTCTAGAAATCTTATCTTTTAAATGACAATCCCAATATCTTGAATAATCAACAGTGATGTTCAGTGTTTGGGTATCAATATTAAATCCACACCATCGAATTAAACGTTCAGCATGATATTCACATTTGGTTAAACTTGTCACTTTCACACTTGTTTCATAATTCACCTTTGTTTTTTTTGGGTTAATCCTAATTCCATATTCTGGATTACCAGCATGCATTGTTTCAAGAAAATATTGTGCAGCATTCTTATTATTGGTGACATATAAAAAATCATCGATCAATCTCAATAATACTCCAATTGAAGAAACCAATAGAAATGAAGAATTGGATGAATTGGATAATGGTTGTTGATGTTGTTGAGGATGATCATTTTGATTCATGAGTCCTTCTTGTTGAAAGACTGAAGGAGGTGGTGGTGTTGAATCTACTTGACGACCATGATGTTCTTGAAAGAGGAGAGGTGATAATGTTGTGTTTAAGTCCATCCTAATAGTAGTAGTGGAAGTCGTCGTCGTAGTAGTAGTAGTAGGAGCAGAGGTAGTGGTAGTGGTGAGAGAATGATAGTCATGACCAATCGGTGAACATAAAGGAACTAATTCTCTTCTCATGAATGAAATGGGTGGTGTAAAAGTAGGAATGATGGCGTTACTACTACTACTACTACTAGTACTACTAGTAGTTGTCGTAGCAGCAGCACCTCCACCAGGATTTTCATGTACAATGGTAGTCGATTCACTCATGAATCCAGTACAAGCGGTCATTGTGGTGTTTGTTGTTGTTGTTGAATTCAACAATACATGAATGAAATATTTGAGAGTGGAATCCTCCTTCCATGAATCCTCCTTATCAGCAACATGACATGACTGAATCAAGTGATGATGGCCATCACCACCACCACTACCAGTTCCAGTAATAACACAACATGCATGACCACCACTGTTACTATGGCCATGTCCATTCACACCACCACTTGTATGTCCATTCACATCATCACCACCACCACTTGTATGTCCATTCACACCACAATTAGGTAAATCCCAATTCAAACACTCCTTCTCAAAATCAGCATATAATAAACTACATAATAAAGGTGATACAATACTTCCTTGTGGAATTCCAACCACTTGAATATAAAATTCATTCTTAATTTTGATTAAATTCTGAGAAATGTGTTCTTTCAATAACAAATGAATATCATTGGCATTGATGGATGTATAAGAAACTTGATCAATAAAAATAGATTTACAATATTTGTATGAAAGTTGAGAATTGAGTAATTTTGTAAATCTCATAAATTGATTTGGACACATGATCACTCTCTCATATTTGGATATAATTTTACCAATGTAAGGTCTAATGACATTGTATTTCACAGAAATGTATTCTTCTTCTCTAATAATTGAATTTGAAATTAATTGAAATAATTTTTGATGAGGAATTGAATCATAGGCTCCTTTGATATCAATTTTAACAATATAAAGTGGAAGAAGAAGATGTTCATTTCTATTATTTCTAATACTTTGAATATTGTCATTTCGAATATTACAATTATTTCGAATATCGTCCATGTCATTGAAATTCTCTCCTTGTATGACATTGGGTTGATCCAAATTTGATTCCAAGTTTTTCACTTTTTCATTCACTTCCTGTAATTGTTCTTTCCACATTCTAACAAATGGTAGTAATCTCTTGTACATATCTAAAGGATTGAATACTGAACTTCCTAATAACTCTGGATTTCGATGAGTTTCAAATTTTAAAATACTTAATAAATCTCTGAGTTTGGAATTGACCGAATAGGAATGAGAGAATTCAGAATTGAATGGATCAGATCTGGTGTGATTTGTGGTATTCGTATTATTTGTATGAATAGTATTCATATTATTCATCACTCTCTTTCCTAAATTAATTATTGGACGAGCAGTATTTTGTTTTGGAAGTAATCTCACACTCGTATAGGGAAGAGATTTCTTTTTTAACATTTGTAGAGCTAACTCTTTTTCAATAGGTTGAAAGAGTCGTAGAGTTGTAGAGTGAGTGGATGATGATGATGGTTCAACTCGTAGAGAATCCTTGTTATTCATAGTATTATTGGTATTTTTAATAGTATTATTAATAGTATGAATAGTATTATTATTATTATTATTAATAGTATGAATAGTATTTGAAGTAGTAGCAGTGTTAGTAGTTCTAGTGGTAGTAGTAGTAGTGATAGTTGATAATTGTTGTTGTTGTGAATCATGGTTGTTAATTTTCGACCATGACACTCGATTAATATATTCCCATGTCTCTCTTCTAAAATATAATAATTTGGTTCGTTGTTGATCACTCTCAGTGATATAGAAATGTGTACTTAATAATATCATAATGATGTGTTTGAATAAAAATAGAATAAATTGTTGAGCCATAAATGTTTGTTTTTTAAATTGTAAAAGATCCACTCCATTTGTTTGATGATGATTTATGTTTGATCTTGTTGTCTGTTGATGATTTTTGTTTGATCTACTACTACTACTAGTAGGGTTATTGTTGTTATTATTGTTGTTGTTTGTTTTCAACATCATTTCCATTTTCACATCCTTTTTTGGATAGGTCCATTTCATATCATTCACCTTAATGTTTTGCATTAATTCATGCAATGTTAATGTTTCATATCTTCCCAATGATACTATTCGATCAATATTATTAAATATGATATTTCTATTGTGTAGAGATCCAAATAATTCCAATGGTATTAATTTCTTACATAGAGATTTGATAAATTGTGAAATCTTATCATAGGGATGAGTCATGCTTATTAAATTTTCAAATTGTTCTGAAGAATTTAACATGACTTCACTTTCTATTTGTGGTGCAATGCATTCATTCATTGAATTTGGAATATTTACATGATTTTGAGTATTTTGATGTTGATTTTGAATATTACTATGATGATGATCATGTTGATTTTGAATATTTTGATTTTGAATATTTTGATTTTGAATATTTTGATTTTGAATATTTTGATTTTGAGTATTTTGATTTTGATCATCATTCATTTCTTCTTCTTGAGTACATAATACTTGTTCCATTCTCAATACCACATTTCCATGGTGTAAAGAACCTTTCTCATTATTCATCTTTTTAAAAATCACTGGTTGTTCTGTTTGTGAAATGGAAATGGTATTTGAAATGATTTTCTTTTTTTGAATTCTCTTGAGTGGACAATAATGAGAGAGAAGATAGGGAGTGGATTTGAGATGTTTCACTTGACGATGTTTCATTTCTAAAAGTAATTCTAAAAGATATCCATAACCTTTCAAATGTCTTGGATTTGGTTGTTCTCTATGTTCACTCATTCAAATTGTTGAATGTATTAATTCATTTAAATTTTATATATTTTGAGGAATGTGATGTTTTATATATTTTGAGGAATGTTCATCCAATTTTTAAAGAGTTTGGTAATTATAATAGATATGAGGTGAATGTATATATGAATTGGATATGACCAACTACTAACTACTCACCTCTTTCCATAGAATATGAAATTAAATAATTTCTTAGCACCTTCGATAGATGTTTCAATGGTATTGAACAAGTCTATGATTGAGGATGATAAATCAATGATGATTGTGAACATACGAGTAGTATGAGACAAAAGTAGTCATCACATTATTGTTGTTAACAATAGTAAGAGTAGAAATAGTAAGAGTAGAAATAGTAAGAGTAGAAATAGTAAGAGTAGAAATAGTGAAATAGTGCCATAATAGTTTCATCATGTAATCAAATAGATCGTATCATATAAAAGACATAAATTATTCCACTTACGTTTCTGTGGAAATCCCAACACTGGTCTCTTCTTATTGGAATACAACATGACTTGTCGAGGAAGATAAAATTCAGAAATACTTCGATCCCATCGAGAATGTCTATGAGATGAACATCTTGAAGGAATGGCATGAATGATGATCTTCATGTCGTCCTCATTGTGATCATCTGAAAGATCATCCATGATGATCGATTCTTGATCATTTTCTTCACTTTCCAAAAATAGAGAACGAAGAGAGGATTCTGAGACAAGTAATAATGGTTTCGAATGGTCATGATTTGAATCTTGTTCTTCTTTTTCATGATTCATCATTGTTTGTAGTTCATTGTTCTGATCAACATTTACCATTTCATTAAAATGTTCCTCTTTCTTATGACTTGTTGTGTCAAATATGTTGAGAGTAGAATCCTTTTGAATCATCATCTTGTTGTTTTCCTTATTCATAATTTCCTCAAATTCTTGAAATACATGTATGAATGGTTGTTGTTTCTTCTCTTCAGATCTATTTTGTTGATTATTATTAGCATTATTAGTATTATTATTAGTATTATTATTAGTATTATTAGTATTATTATTATTATTACAATAATAATACAATGGTTTTCCACAAATTTGAAGAAAATTATTTCTAGGTATAGATCCTTTTAATACCACACAATATCTTAAAATATAACTCATCACACAATCTCCAACAAGAGATAATAATAATTCCCATTCTTGACTTTTCACAAGATCAATCATTGAATTTGGAAAGAATGATTGAATGGTCGTCATGGTGGATATTCCATGACTTGCATTTGGTCTAATTTTAGAAAATCCAAAACACAACACATGTTTAGGTTTTTCAAAATCATTTTGTGATTGTTCTGCAAATATGCTTTCAATGACTCGATCCACTAATTCTGAAATGTTACATGTTTGTCTAAAACTGAGATGAAGATTTGAAAGTAGAATGGAATTTAATTCATGTTGAGATGGTTCAATTGATTTCAATAATTGTTGTAAATAAATATCATCGAGTTGTTGTTGTTGTTGTGAATAAATATCAAATGCAGCCTTAGAGAGTGTGTGTTCCAAATTTGGAGCATCTGGTGGAATGGCAATAAAATATTCATGTTGTAACATTTGAATAGATTTGGGTGATAAATGTTGTAATCGTTGTTTCAGAGATTTTGTTTTTTCATGGAGAGGATTGGATTCATTTGGAATTTTATGATTCACAACAGTACTTGGATTTGTTGTTGAGTGAATGTTTGGAATTCCAAAATATTTTGAAAATAATTCTTCAATAAATTCATACAATGTTTTCCATTCGTTTTTAAAGATTAATTGAAAGATGGAATTTGGATGTGTTAATGATGGATGAATTGTGTTGGAATCACCATAGTGAGGATGTATCGCATGGCCATGAGGAGGAGATGAAATAATTGAACGATTTGTGTTGCTCTTGTTATGTGAAATTTTCTTCTTTCGTGATGGTGGCTCTAAAATTTTAGAAGTTTCTGCAGAATGATGATTGATAGAGGACAATGTTGCAACATTGTCATCATTATGATTGGTTTGTTGATTGATTCTTCTTACATTGGTATTCCCATTTTCATTGATAAATGGATGATTGTTGATGTCATTCAACATGATGAAAGATTGTTCGGAAAGATCATGATTATCGGATTGAATATCTTGCTCATCTCTTTCATCCTCTCGATGATCATCATGGAAAGGAAAGTGTCGTTTGTGTTGTTGTTGTTGTTGTTGTTGTTGGTGATGTAAAGTCAGAGAAGGACTTGGCGACTTTGAAGTGACTTTTGGAGATTCGCTTCGAGAAGACATTTTTTTCATGCTCTGAAGTCGATCGTATCTTAGAAGTGGTCCATCCTATTGAAACCAAGCATGGCAGAATCATCACAAAATCCTTCAAGTCCAAAGCGCAGTTCTTTAAAAAGCTATCTCCAAATCAAATCAATCAACAGAGAAAGAAAGCTCTAACTTCTCAACTATTACTACTCCAAATAATTATGAAGCAAGGTTTACCAGCCTTGAAAAAAGAGTCTCCAATATGGAAAGCAATATATCATATATTGCTAAGAATATGGAAACTCTAATGCACAGCGTTAAAAGACTCGTCCAAGATGGGAAGAGAAAGGACATGCATGATGAAGATATTGAATGATTTTTACTATTGCAACCCTTAATGTGAATGGAATCCTTCCAAAGGATCTCAATCAATCAAGTAGATTGGACAAAATCATACGGCTTATGGATATCTATCACCTTAACTTCATGGCAATCCAAGAATCACACATTAACAACTCACAACCAATAATAGTGATTGGTGACATGAATTTTAGTTCAGAAGGAAATGCTTACAAAGACACCAAGTGGAAAACATTTATGGACCAACATAACCTAAAAGAAAGAGAAACAATAATTCCATCCTACATCAGAAAATACACATCACAAAACAAAATATTAGAAACAATCTCAAGACCTGACCACCTATTCCACTCGAGTCACATTGAAATAGAACATGAACAAGCTTTACCACTCGTCACAACAAATGACCACATACCAATCATGTTCAAATTTAAATTATTAATTCCAACAACCTGGAAACGAATAATCAGCGATGAGCAAAGTGTTGCAAAAAAACTCGAAGAAATTTTGAAATCTCTTCCCGTCAACAACAGTGAATTGAAAAAACTCAATCATGAGATCAAGAACCAATCTCATAAACCACATCCTATTAAGGGATTTAAGGAATCTGAAATCATTACCAATTTGAAACAACAGCTCCATAATCTCCATGAACAGAAATTATCCGAAACAACCCAAGATGAATCCACTATCAAAAGATCTATAAAGGAAACAAAGAAGAAACTCAAAGAACAATATAACCTTGAATTTGCGGAATATAGAAAAAAGTTCATAGATTCCATTAATAACAAACACACCAAAGGAATCCACAACTTCGATCACCATCTCAAATACAAGGAAATTGATTGGAATTCAACCAAAATAACAAAAGAAGGAGCTGTGAACTACTTTAAAAACAAATTCACCTCAAAACTAGATGACAAAACAGAAATTAAATTTAAACCAGGTGAATCAACAGTTAAAGAAGGACCGTCCAACATTACAATAACTAAAGAAGATGTTACGGACGCGTTGAAAAGAATGAAATCAACAACACAAGGGGTAGATTTCACAACAAAACAGATATTTGAAAATATCAATCCCAATAATTTAGCATCAGCATTTAATGACATGATCCAAAATCAAGACATCCCAAAATGCTGGAAACAAGGATGGGTTAAATTAATCGGAAAAAAAGATATAATCACAGACTACAAAGATCTAAGACCAATCATAATCATGAATATTGGATATAGACTCCTATTCAACATTATAACATTCAAACTTAAAGATTGGGCCGAATCAAATATCAACATTAGACAACAAGCATTCACCCAAAATCGAGAAACAACAAATCACTGCATCCTCATACAAGCCCTCATTAACAAATTCAAAAAGAAAGGATTCATTCTAACCAATATAGATATTGCTGCTGCATATGATTCCATTGAACTCAAAATCATTGACATGGCGCTCACCCACTGCAAATTCCCCCAAGAACTTAAAAACTTCATCATTAATGCTTACTCAAATCATCAAATCCAAATAGAATGGAATCATACACTATCAGAAAAATTCACCAAGACAAGAGGAATCCCACAAGGATGTCCTCTAGCTCCTCTAATCTATAACTGCATCTCCCAAATGATTATTGATAAAATTATTGAAAGAGAAAAACTCCCAATCACTCCACAAGATCTAGACATTGATGATATTGCCACACTTTGTTTTGCCGATGATATGTCAATTATCAATTCTAACATTACTCTCCACAACAAAAGACTCAAGAAAATTAACAGATGGTTCAAACAAATATTTCTAGAAATTAATCCATCCAAATCAGTTACAACTTCACTCCCTAAACCAAATGAGGCCTTGATTAACAATACCAAAATTCCAAACCAAGACAACCAAAGAATCCTCGGAGGATATCTTTTTGAATCTAAATTATTTAAGGAAGAACTAGAAAAAAGGAAACATAAGATGATGAATATCCTTAACATCCTCCCAATTAATCTGATTCAACCATATAATCTCAAACAAGTAGTCACATCTAAAACCTTATCCCAAATTAGACACCTTGCACGCAGTAATTCAATAAACCAATCCCAAATAGAATCATTCGACTCTTCAATCAGAAACCAAATCAAAAGAAAACTAAATATTGATGCAAGAACACCTAAAGAATGCCTATACTTACCAATCTACCAAGGAGGAATGGGTATTCCATGCCTTGAAATGATGACTGATATCATAACCCTAAGATCATTAATTAATATCTCATGTCACAATTACCAACTCATGCAAGAAGCGGTAAATGATGCTATCACATCAACATTCAACACCAAAAAATCCAAAAACCTAAATATATTTGAAAACTTCCACCACATAGCAAGGAAGTATGAGCTTAAAGTTGATAACTGCAACTACATACCTCAACTTGTAAATGAAGAATCACTAAAATACCATAAGAAATGTAAAAACTTTGAAGTATGGACTGATGGATCTAAAACTGAACAAGGAACTGGATTTGGTATTATTTTACAGTCCAAAAATATAACAACTAGACACAAATTCAAACTTGACCCAATCCATAGCAATAACTTAGCTGAACTACTAAGTATTGTCTACACTCTCCGATTATTACCAACAAAATCAAAAGCAAAAATCTACACAGAGAGCGAAATAAGTATCAATTTGCTATCAAATCCTAAATACCGAGGACCATTTCTCCCCCTTAAAACTGAATTTGAATTCCTCAAGAAATCTAAAAACCTACAAATCACCATCATCAAAGTTAAAGGCCACCAAAATAGTGGTAACATTCACGTAGACAAATTAGCCAAAAAGGGATGCACATCAGGAAAATTGATAATTCCTCACAGACAACTTACCCAAAACCAAATTATCCTCAAATCCAATAACCACTGGATTCCAGATATTGCAACATTCATCAAGAACAAACAACTTCAGAAATGGAATGAATCAATAACTTTGAAGAGCAGGAATAAGTTTAACCCTTCTTGCATCTTCCCAACAACATTCAATTTCATGAAGTCAAAGAATATCTCTCCCCAACAAAAATATGCAATCTGGAGAAACATGCACAATGTTCACATGAAAACATTTAAACAACAAACTCACACCTGCCCCAGATGTAATTGCACCGGAACTATTGAACATTATTCCACACGTTGCACATTACTATCGGAGGAAAGAATGTATGCTAAACAACAGATGAAGAGGCTTCTAAACATTGAATTGATTCCCCATGACCGAAATGAAATTCTAACCTCCTCCAAATTCCTTATCGACAGCAGAGGAATCATTCTTAACTCCGACACATATTTTACAAGAAGAAAACAGGACATCATCAAGTACTGGGTAGACATTCAAGCAATTCTATCGCTCTTGATGGGTAGAGCTTTTAATCAATACTGGGAAAACGAAAGACCTGAGGCACCGAAGGCCAATAAATATTTTTTCAATTTTTTTCATGCACGCTACATGGAAGAACAACAAATTCTGCTGAATGTTCAATTATTATTATTGAAGGGTTTTAAAAGTGTGTTTGTACAATTTCATCTCTCATGTGAAATGGTTTGATTGAGAAAGTGGTATTGAGAGTAGGAGATCGTTCCTATTATGATGATGATGATGATATTTACAAGTCTTGTCTTGGTTTCATAATCACTTTCAAATTTCCTGGTCGAACAGTGACACCTGGTACATCATAGATTTGATCGTTTGGTTTTGATTCATCATTACCCAATTCCAATTCATAGAATTGTAAAATTCTACACAAAATTACAAAGGCTTCAATTTGAGCAAACTTGAATCCAATGCATTTTCTAACCATCATCATTGGTGTTAATCATTACAGTGATTTAATCATTACCACTTACCTATTACCCATGGAGAATGGAATCCATGTGAAATCATGTTGAATCTTCAATTGTTCATCAGCATTCATTGGATATCGTTCTGGAATGAATTCAAGTGGGTTGACCCAATTCTTTTCACTTCGATTGGCACTGAAAATGTTGATCAATACATTGGTGTCCTTTAGAATGGTCACATTGCCAATAGTGGTTGTCTTTTTAGCAACACGGAACACACTAGTCACTGGAGGATGAAGTCTCAATGCTTCCATAATAACTGCATTGACATAATTCATGACAGGATAATCATTATAGTCTGGAGCTCTTGCATTAACACCTTTACCCAAAACAGCATCAACCTCTTCTCTTGCCTTCTTTTGTATTTCTGGTCTCTTGGATAACTCGTAGCACACCCATTGAAGTGTGGTAGAGGTTGTCTGTCATGAGATTGGATCAAAGAAAAGATACAATTATATGATAGTCATCAGATTAGATCAATCCAGTATTGTAACAACAGTAATATGATTCAAGTATTCATATATACTCCATTATCATCACCAATATTGTTCACTTACCTCATGTCCAGCCAAAGAAAAGATGTAAGCATCTGCTTTCAATTCAGCATCTGTTAAAATTCCCTTTTGAATAAAGTTTGCTTCCACCAACACGCTCAATAAATCCTTTCTGTCTTCTTCGCCCTCAGGAGAAGTGTCCATGTTGGATCTCTTTTCAATTTCTTCAGTTCTGGCCTTAATGATTTCATCTAACTTGTTGCTGACAATGTTGACAGCTTGATCAACTCCTAATACCTTTGTAACAAGTGGATAGGCCCATGACAAGACAGGATTCAATCCAACGAAACGTTTTGCAATAATACCTTTTGTGAACATGGTCTCCAAAGATCTTCTGAATATCTTTCCTTCTGGATTCAATTCATCAAAAATTGAAAAATCAAGTCCAAATCCAGCCTTTCCAAGAACATCCAATGTAATATCAGAGAAGTCTCCATTGGCATCCAAAACAAAACTCTTCGTTGGAGATTCACGAATTAACTTGTCCCATTTTGATGAACGACATAAATCAACACTCTTTGAGGCAACTTTGGCCATAAATTCCAAGTTCTTTGAAGCAAATGCTCCTGAAGCAACTTTGTGATGATTCTTCCAAGTGTCTCCACTGGCATCCAATGCACTGAGAATATTGACTCCAAAGGTATTGAAACTCTCATAGAGCTTCTTTTGTTTGACAAAATTGTTTCCTTTTACAACGAGTAATTCTTTGAGCATGTCCTTATCGCTGATGGAAACAATGTTACGATCATACATGGAAATTCTAACAGTTCCAGTTTTTTCATCTCCCTTCTCCTTGATTAATTCGTAAATGGATTTATGAGCACCAAAGAACATGTGTTGAGAGATGATTGGATAGCGGAAGAGAGTCACAAAGAATTGCCAAGAACCGCCGATGTGTTTGACTTTGAGATAGTTATTGAAGATTGAGAGAATGAAAAAGGCTAGTACTGCAAGAGTTATTGCCGTAAAGGCATACGCAACTTCAACAAGTGGCATGGTGTGAGGAGAATCTGGCAAAAAAGCACTAGATGTTTTGAATTTTGTTTTGATTTGTTTGAACTCGTATCACTGGTGCATGGCAGTGCCATTTAAATCAATTGGGATCATCGGAACTCGGCCGAAATTGTTCGATGACGACATGGTCGTCGCACCAATATCTGTCCTTCTACAAGCTTAGAGAGAGAGAAAATGAGTCGTATGGAGATTTTAGTCGCTTTTTCGCGTCATTTTTTCTCCTTCAGCTCATCCTTTTTGGAAATGTTGGCGCACCTAAATAAAAATTTAATTCAGGAACAACAACTCTTTCCTTGTAAATTTTCGAATGGCTGCGGCGGGCGATCGAGTGGTTTCAATGGCGGATTTGTACGTGGATGATTCATCTCATCATCAATCCAAATTCCATCAGGAAAATGTTTTACAGATCATGATGGACAGGCTTCTTCGTTTTGGAATGAACCTCACCGTGAAAAGTATTGAGGAAGAATCGGGAACTCTAAGGAGTTCTGATTACCTTCATGATGATTCAAAAAATTCATCAGAGCTCTTAGATACCATCACGATGGACAACATTCTTCAATGTAATTTCCGAGACAAAAGTACTTCATGTCATACAAGGCCTCCTCCTCATTCAAAAGTAACTAATTTCGGGCACGAAGATGCTTCATTCGATGATATTCCTTTAAATGAATTACTTGAAGCGTTTTTGCACACAAGTAACGACGAGTTTATGAACTGCTTTGTTTCCTCATGCAGTTTGTTTATTTCAACTTTGACATTCATAGACTATATTTCCATGCATTTCGAGAAAACAAATCTTATTGAAAAGAAGCTCAGCTTGTGGATTCTTCAATATTTGAAATTCATTCTTAGTGATGACAGGTTGCAAGACAAGTTAAATAAGTTGTTGTTTGTTTTGGAAAAAACTGGAATGATAACAACATCTTCTGCACAAACATTAAGAATGATTGCTCAAGGGTTGCCAATGATCACCTCCAAAAGTCGAGTGATCTTCTTTGCACCAGAAATTCAAAACTTACAGAATTGTTACTTTTCTTTTTGGGAAATGAATGAATGTGATATTGCAAGACAAATTTGCCTTCAAGATGAATTCATTCTTACCCAAATATTGGTAAGTAGAATTATTGATCATCAAATGGTAATGTGTGGTTTCAGCCCCAAGAGCTGTTCGTGATGAGAGCGTCAACTTCTGTTATTGCAATAACAGAACGATATAATCGATTGTGCATTTGGGCATCATCAAGTGTTTATTTACAGGATACCCTTGATTGGAAAGCATTTGAAAAGTTGTTATTAATTGCCCAAGTAAGTTCTTAATGTAAGGAGTTTTGTTCAACGAACCTGAAACTGGTTGACACAAAAAGTACTTAAAGAAATTTAAGAATTATTCTTCTTTTTTTTCACTCATGCAAGGACTTGCAAAAAGCTTGAACGGTCAAACGCCAAACTCCCATGATCATAATCCTGCGGTCACACAGATGTTAAACCTTTTTCGTGAGCTATCTTTAACTGAATTCAACATGAGCGCCTCTCGAAATCTTGATTCGCCCTGCATTCCATTCTAGTAAGTTGTTTCTGTCTTGAGGGTTTCTAACTATTACCTTAAATTTTAGTACACCCTATTGGATGCTTTTGAATGAATTGCAAGATGGTGAGCCATTCGTTGAAGAGAAAGGCGACGATGAGACGACTCTTGTTCATTGGCAGAAAATTAAGAAAATTCATGTGGTCATTCGTGAAATTGAAAAATATCAAACCCAAATCAAGAAAACTCCATATCCCTTTCGAGCCAACGTTGTAATTCAAAACTTGATTGAGCATACGATACGTTCATAATAGAATACAATCAATAGAGACATTAAAAAACTTGCTCGTTATTCATTAATTGTTTTTGAACTCTTACAGCTGCTGTTTGAGTGATAAGAGGAATTTTGTCTCTTGAAAGCATGTCTTTGACCGAAAGCTGAAGCGAACTTTCATACACGTCCATGATAGTCTCAGGATAAATTGGTAAAAATTGATACTGAAGACAAACTATGGCATTTCGTGTTCGACAAACAGCTTCTCTATCTTTTCCAGTCACTACATCTGTGTATGTTCCAGAAGCAGTAAAGCTATTTGATTCAAATGGTTCACCAGGCTTGGAAGTCAACTTGGAGATGGGCCTAGATGCTTCCTCCTCTGTGTCAGCAACAGCAAGTAAATCATCTAAATTTGTTGAAGAAGACTTTCTAGAGTTCGATATATCCATTGTGTCACTTGAGGGTTTACCAGATGCTGATATCCATATGTAACCATTTTTGCCCAAAATCACTCTCACTCCAAAAGAAAAATTATGAAAGTGTTGAGTACATCTTTTCACAAGAGATGGATGAACTCGGACCATCACTCCATTTGCTAATTTACCATATCTCGAACTTCTTGTTTGTAATTGAAGAGAACTACCATCCGTTCGGTGAACCTCTGCTGTAATCAAATCATCCTCTTGATATATACTTCTCATGTTTAATTGATCTTCGTATGTTTTTCTTCTTTGTCCTCCAGGAATATTTACAGAATTTAAATCTAGCATTGCATCTTGTCTTGCTTGTACATCAACTTTCCACTTTTTGCCAGTTAATTTTGAAATTCTTCCTACAATCACATCTCCAACTTCGGCATGATACCTTGCCCGAACAGGTCTTACTGAAATTAATTTGTTGACTTGTTCTACTACACCACAAACGCTGCTGATGAGTTGATTTCTTTCATTACGATAGGTTCCGTGTCCACATAATACATTACTTCCATTCTCTACAATGAGTTCTCCAGGAGTAACAATATGAATTTCTTTCAATTGTCCTTTTGATGATGATTCCTTTTGGAAAGCAAATCTAATAATTCCTTGCTCTTCATCATCATCTTGCATTCGGTTCGATGAAAAACCATCATCGTTTTGATAATCTTCTCCGCTATCTTCATAGCCATCCTCGTCATCACGATAATTGTGTTTGCTCGACATTTTTTGTGATTGTGTTATTCAAAATTTCGCAAGTTTGTTGAAAGTGAAAAGAGGCTCATTCATCATTGGACTCCACTTGGCTCATCATGAGGAGGCATTTGTTTGAAGTGGCCTAACGGTTTCCGTAAATTATATATAAAAAGAAAAAAAATAAGGCTTCATCAGGAGTTGATACCTGGTGCTCGTACTCTCTCATAAATGGAGCAATTAAGGAAAGAATTTCAAAGATATGATGCGTTTGGGGATGGAAGATGTGATCCATCTCAATTTAGGAATGTTCTTTCAAAGTTTGGGGTAACCAATGGAGTGAATAATGTCATTAAACGGTTCATATCTAACGGACGAGTCGATTACAGAGAGTTTTTAGGTTACTTTGAACAGTCGAGAAAAGAGAAAGCCTCCCTTCCTCCATCCAAACAACAAACAACAACCTCTTCACATCAAGCAAATGAAAATTCAATATCTTCTCCGAGAACACCAACGTACACTCTGGACAAGAAAGCAACAAACCAAGAGTCTCTGGAGATCAAGCTCTTTAACTTCCGCAAAACAATCGAGAAGGAGCTGAAGAAAATAGACCAACAAAATACTGGTTTGGTTGCAAAAGATTCCTTCACTCATGTTCTTGGTAAATGTGGATTCGAGAACACAGAAGCCATCAATACTATTGTAGGAAGTGTAGGCAAAGGAGAACATGGTAGGTACAATTAGCTGATCACTTTGCTTGTTGTTTACTCTTTAAAGTTAACTATGAGCTCTTTTTGTCTCTTATTGGTCCAAATAATAATGAGCTACATCCATCGATCAATCTTCCACAAAGAGGAGTCCGAAATGACAGGAAAGTTTTTCATGAGCTCAATTCATCTTTTTACGATCAACTCAAACACAATGACCCTTTGAATTGCGGCTTAATAGATGAGAATCTGTTCAAAAACGTTGTTGTAAACAATTTTCCTTCTAATTATCTTCCATCTCTCAACGAGAAAATTAAGGAATGTACTTCTGAAGGTAGAGTTGACTACAACCAATTTGTCGTTAAAATGTTAGAAGAAAAAAAGTCAGCAAATCCTGAATATTCCCCCCGAGGAATTAAAACCTATCCAACAAAATCTTCAGAAGTACTGGACGCACAATTAAATCCAGATGCTAAGCCAAGATTTGAAGGATCTTTAGCGACATTTCCAAAAAAAGACAGTGTCAGGGATATTTTAACATTCAATCCAGAAGTACATGTGGAGATGCAACAAAAAAAAAGATACAATTCACCTACTTTCAAATCAGAGTTTTCTCTTGGAGTGGCATCTGAGGAAAGCAAAGCATCAAAAATATTGCCATCTCCGTTAAAGTCGCCTTTACTTCAATTTTCTGAATACGAGAAAGAGGAAAAAAAGTATGGGGTAAGTACAAGGTTATCTGAATGACCAAAGTCCGCTAAATTAAGGAAAGAAAAAAATATCACCACACAAAGAATTGACGAAAGAGAGGACCCCCTCCAAGAAACATTTTCAAGCAACAGTTATCGATGAATCTGATGACAACCCACTATGCAATCCATTGTCAGAAAGTTCATATAACCAGATTCAAGAAATGAAACGAAAATCATATGAACTTAGAGAAGCAATCAACAAAGTAAGAGATGAGTTGAAGAAAAACAAAACTTTAAAGAACCATCTTAACGATTCTCTCGACAGTAAGTACAACAATATTCATTATATTACGATTTGATGCTAAACGTATGTAGCTTTTGGAGAAATATCAAGTACAGATATGAAAACTATGATTTTGAAGTCTGGAGTTGGTTTGTCGGAGGATCAGTTGAATTATGTTATTAACAAGTGTGATCGCAATAAGGACGGCTTTATTGACTACTATGACTTCAACACCTTAATGGTAGGAGTTGGAGAATCAGCCTTTGAAACCCATCTTCTACACAATGGCCTACTTAAACAAGGAACAGAAGAAAAGAAACCAAAACCAAAAAAACAGTTCCCTGATGTACCAACATTCAAAGACCAGATTCAGGTGGGCACAAAACAAGAAGTGAATCCTTTCCCAGTCTCAAAATTGGATTACAAAATTTCTTCTGAAGAAGTATTTGAGCAAAAACAAGTTCAATCTGTGGATGATCAAAAATCAGATATATTGTGCGAGCCAAGCCAGACAATTGTTCAAGAGAAACATGAGGTTGAGGAACAAAGCTCACCACCTCCACATGTCACAGAATCAGAGGCAAACATTTCGGTTGTACCTCCTTCTCCAGCTTTATCATCAAAACATACAGAGTTTTCGACAAAAGTGAACAGCAAGTTGCTTGCCTTTACAGTCGCCGACAAACTCAAATCGTTAGCTCCTTCCATGCAAAAAGCCTTTAAAACATTTTCTCTTGACAAAGATGGAACAATTTCTCAAAAAGAGTTTTACAACGGGCTAACAAAGATGGGAATCACTATCTCTCCAGACGAGGTTGATTCACTAATTTCAGGAATAACAAAAGACAAAAAATTGAATTTTTCAAACTTTTCCAAACTTGTTGACAGTTCCTACTGGGGGTACAACAAACATCAAAAATTGGTTGATGAAACTTCTCCAAGACGTTCAAGCAAAGAAGAAGAAATTATCAACAAACGAATAAGAGCAGAACTTATCGAAAATACAGGAATGAAACCTATTCAAATACGGGAATCTATTCGTTGCCTTGATAACGAGAAACAACTGTCCCTATCCCCTGAAAAATTTAGAAAGGCCTTACAATCCATCAATCCTTCATTACCTGATTGGATTTTGGATAGAGCTGTTAGAACGAGTGAACTAGATAATGGTCGATGTGATTACAACAAATTTTTACGTGATATAGGAATCAAGTTACCGGACGATACAAACATGTTCAAGCACTTACAGCAAGCTGTTCCAAAACGTGATATCTTTCGCGTCGAAGATAAGGTTGATGCCTTAGATTTAAAGTCTTTAAATAGAGTACCTAATGATGTAGAAGTTATTATTGATTGCCAAACACCAAGAAAAGACGAGCAAACGCTCGAAAAATCAATGGGAAAGAAAAAAACAATTCTCTTAAACAGCTCAATCAGTGATCTACTGGAGAACGAAAATGCGACTTCCCCAAGAATGACGCCCAAAGGAGTGAGATATTCAAGCACACCTCCTTCTCGTAATCCTCTTTTTGGTGAAGAATCCAGCTCGTCTGGTATAAAGGTTGGATACTCCTCCAAGCCAAAAGAAGAAGCCGTGTCATCTAAAAAAGTGTTTGAAAAAGACCACAGTTTGTCATCCGGTATTGGTTCATTTGTGAACGATGTACCCGAGATCCACAGCCCTAGGAAAATGCTCAATCTTCAGCTCAATTCATCATTGGACCTGTCTGGAAACCTGCCAATTACATTGCCAGAGAAAAAGTCCTCTAAGAAATTGTATTCCCAAAGACAGTAAGTTGAAAATTATCAATTCACCCTTCATTAATCCTTTAAAGCAACACTGAAATTTCCACAATGGAAAACCGAGAACCACAAAGTCCAAGGTCCAAGCAATCTCAACATGTAAAACCTGAAACCAGAGAACTCTTGTTTTCCAAAATGGAAGAACATCACAAGAGCGCAAAAGATGCCTTCAGAAAAATGGATTCAGCCAACAAGGGCAGTCTATCGGTAGAAGATGTTCAGAGAGTGTTTAAAGATATGAACGTTCATGTCACAAAAGACGAGATCAAAAAGGTATTTAACCTTGAGGATAAAGGAAATGCCCAACCTATAAAGTTTGGGCAATTCGCATCCACATTTAAGCCAGCAGAGATTGCTAAGAACGAAACGCCAATTTCTCCTCGTACGAAAATTGCCCCACACAACCAATCCAGTTTAGGTTATTTGCTAAAAGGAGAGGGAAAGTCAACACAAGAAACACGCAGTAGATCCGTGCCAAACAGAAGAGACATGTTTAGAAGTCTAAGTGGAAATATTATTTCATGGCAAGAATAAAAATAGTCTAAGGAATAGTTAGATGTTACTGTATCTTCGCGCAGCCACAGATCCTTTCACACAAATTTTGATCTTTTTGTAAACATGTTTGGTTACAATAAACATAATTGCAAGAAGAACAGTTCCTAATACAAAGATATATAACAGAAGCTCAATTATAAATCTCTCATCCTGGATAGATCTCTCAAAGAAGCTGGCATAGTAAAACTTGAACTTTCCATTCAAAACAGAGTCTCCACTTGACAAACCTCGGATAGACTTGACTCCCAATCTTTGTGATACGGTCATAATTTTTACACCTCCATTTTCTGTTGATTCAATAATAAACTCCTCATTCGATTGAGAGTCCTTTCCTGCGAATACCATCACGTTGGTCATTGAATCTGATGTCGTGTTCGAAAGAAAAATTAAATCTCCAACATGAAAACCATTCATGGATATCTTTGAATCAGCAGCCTTATATTGGTCATTAATACTGCGTGGAATTCTTTTGCTAAAAGTAACCATGTATAGAAGGCTTGTAAGTCCACTTGAATCCATGCCTGTGTAATCACTAGAGTTGATGTCGAACATGCTTCTTCCTCCCAATGCATATTTACATCCTATAAGTTGCAAACCATATTTTGTAATAGGATGTTGATCCCAATTTGTAGAGTCTGGATCTGGTCTTACAACTGCAGAAATTCGTTCTCTTGATGACTCTTTAAAAGTCGTAATATCACTCTCTCGAATGTAAGCATCTTGAAAGAGAGTGTTGAATGATTGTGAAGAGTCCAATGTTCCATTTCCAGTGATAATTTTTACGTTTCTCCATCCATCAGATTTGTCTGCTGTTTCATAGTAAAGAAGAGTTCCAAAAGATAATTTGAAAATTAAATCTTCCTTAGTACATCCAGATGCACTACATCTTCTTTTGAATAATTGTGCAGTAATACTCTTCACAATGCTTAATTTTGAATTGGAGTAATCTGTTGAAGTAAGTGAAGTGATATCACTCATAGTTGGGCAAATATCAACCATCAAATTTGTAGATGACTTAATCTTTGAAGTTGAAGTTACAAGAATATAGAGCGCATCTCTTTTAACAAATCCTTGAACACCTGAAGTAGTGCCATCTTGATTAACAGATGTTTGCATTGGAATGTTTATCAATAACCATTTCTCCCCTGATGAATCTACAATGGGATTTAAACTTTCAACCACAAAAACACATTCTTGGTATTGTAATTGAGTGATAATTACTCTTGGCTTGGAAATGATATCATTGGCGCTACTACCAGCATATACCCTGACATTTGTCTGAGTCGAAATAGCGGAGGCTACGACATTGGAAGGAATAGCAGGTAAATAGGAAGGAGTAGTAGTTGTTGCTGCATACGCCACGAATGATGACGGTGCAGATACCATCATCATGAAGAGTGCAACAATAAATAATAATTGTAACATTGCACTCAAAGAGATGGAAAATAAATTATGATGATTCGTGATGAAGTGGTGTTTGTGGTTGTTGTGATTGTCGTTTAAGAACAAACTTGTTGTTCGGCCATAAGAGCAGGCGCGTCTTGGAAACGACATTTTTCTATTGACCAACAACAATTTTTTCAAGCTAGTCCGCAAGAATCAATGTGTGTTTGGATGAATAATCCCGAAATATATTCCGCTCCAACTCTCTCGAGTTCTCTCTCATGGTTCACCAGCAGCAGCACATCAGATAGTTAATGTATCCCTCATGCTCATTTCGAAACGGACTCCTTCTTCTTCTTCTTATTGAAAGAACAAGAACAAAATAAACAATTTTATTATGATTTTTACTTTTTAATGAATCGTTGTTGTGTGGTGGTATCGCCCAACGTGGAAACAATTTGCTGGTGGTTGTGATGATATAATTAATTACCTAGTTGTTGTTGTTGTTGGATTTGTTTGCTTTCTCAACAGTCTTCTTCAAGTGGTTGTATACAGTCTTTTTAATCCAATCTCTATCGTGCGGAATATAGGCAGCGTCTTTGAATCTGTTGTGTGGTTGATGTTTGTTGGAATCATCAAAGGTGGTGTGAATACAATAAGAATTGTATATGAATAAAAAAGATGACAACAAGGAGTGTGTTAGAAAGGGAAATATTTAACAACAACAATAACATACGTTAAACAAGTAATGTCAGTCAATCTATCAATCCAATCGTGTAAATCTGCCACGCTGTATTGTACTTTACTCTTAGATGAGTTGATCTTCTTTAGACTTCTTTCAAAAAGTTTACAAACTCCATCAGCCATTTCGGAAACAGACTCATAATCAAAATATGTTCTTGATTGAGCTGATTTCTCGAACTGAACGAGTAAGATGCTGTGTCCCTATTCATTCCGAAATTAAATTGTGCAAGAACAAGAGGCTTGAATTAGCGCCCAAGCAAAAAAGAGTACAAACCTTTGACATATTTTTTTGCTTAACGGAAAATCGATTCAAATGTCAGCCACCCTTCTTTTGCATCATCATCACTGAGATCTGAGGATTATACAATGTCAAAGCAGGAAGACCTTCAAGACGGTATCGATTCAAGTCCGAGCGTCCAATATGTTGCGGGCGATTTATTTAGCAAATCAATTTTAAAATAATTTTAAAATTTTATTAGTAAAAAATTGCTCTCGCCATGTCTCTCATGCAAAAGCCTTCCAAAATCCGAGAGAATGATGAGGAAGACGAAACAGATGAGGAAGATGTTCAAAATGTAGCACCAACTCATTCCAAGAGTAGGATCGGAAAAGATCCTATTCAACCCTCTAACTCTTCCGCTAAACCTACTCGACCAGAAACAACACCCCATCATCCAATATCAACCATAACACCACAACAACAAACAACAACGAACAGCAACATGACCATCCATCCACATCACCACATACGTGACAAACATTCTAATGAGCACTCCAAGTTAGAAATGTACAAACATATTAAACCTTTGAGTGTCGATGACTTGACAGGAGGAAGAGGAAAAATATCATATCCTTCTCTCGACCAAGTTCTTAATTCAGATGATTGGTTAAGTGGAGACAATGTTTGGATGAGTTATGTGTTACCTTCTGCACCTCCTATGGAGAGCCATGAAGATCAAATCTCTTTTCCAAACATTCATGATCAAATTTCAAATAATACCTTACAATACATTTTACCACCCATCTTACAGCATACCCATCATCATAATGAAGAATTACCCTATAATTCAGAAGAAATTCAAGAACAAGAACAACAAACAACTCCACCCAAACTACCACCCATTGTCATACACAAAATTCAACCCGACGATACTCTCACATCCATTGCTCTCAAATATGGCGTAACAGAAGAAGCCATCAAACTGAAGAATCGAATATTATCCAGTGATTTAAGTATTTACAACAAAACAGAGCTTGAAATACCTGATCCCACTCAATTACCGAAAGAACATTTGAAACCAGAAGAAATGACAGAGGAGGAACGCCAAAAGTTAGAAGAGAGGAAGAAGGCTTTTGCCTTAACACTTTTTATGAAATTATGTTGTGTGTCGGAAGATGAAGCACGATATTATTTGTCTGTTCATGATTTTAATTTTAAGGAAGCTGTCAATGAATTGAGGTCTGACTTGGAATGGGAAAAAGAGTATCATGAGAAGCTTGAGAAAAAGAAGAGAAAGAAGCAAGTGAATAAGATGTTGAATCAGTATCCCATTCTGTTGAGCATTTCGAACTTGTTATCCACATGTTTTCCAATTCAGAAAAGACCAGTGAAGAACAATGTTAACTACCAAGACGTGGAATTGGACATGTTGCCGGATGACAATTTAATAAACTATGACAGTGAATAGCAAGTCCTCGCGAGAAATAGAATAATTGATGGTGTTCAGCAAAGAGGTTTGAAAAAGAAAAAATGAGTCAAGATGTAGTGCACACAATGAGTCCAAATATCATTGAAACTTCGACTCACCAACAACCCTCACCCTCATCATCATCAGTTGTACAACAAGAAATTGAAAATCTGGCATCAAAAAGAAATGTTCTGGATTTACCTTCCTCCATAAATCCCGAAACCATTTCTACAGCAACACAAAAGATATTTAATGAATTGTTCATTGATTCAAATTCCAAACAATTCAACATCAAATATGTGGCCTTGATCAAGAACAATTATTTGGAATTTATTCAGTATTTTGTTCAACACGTGCAACATTCCAAGTAAGTTTTTTCAAGCCAAAAGTAATGTGTTTATTGCCTTTTTTAGATCCAATCAGCAAGACATTTTGTTCGGACTTGGAATGTTGTCTATCATTTGTCTTGTTCTTTCTGTTGAAAGTATTAACAGTAAGAATTTTAATGACAAGATTGCAGTTGAAACTATCAATAACTCGTTATTGGAGCTTAAACGGAATGTCGACATTCAGTTCTTTGTTACAGTGTTGACCACCATTCAACAACAACTTCAAGCCAAAAACAATTATTTGCTTGTTTATTGCGAGTTCCTGTCGTTGTTATTACAACAAGCCAAAGGCGATAGCTTGTTTGTCTTTGATCAGGCTACTGTTCAATATGCTTACCAATACATCATCAAGGAATGTCAAAAGTTTTTGACAACTATAGACAGCATACCAAACCTATTTCTTGTTCTAGATGTCCTTGATACTATGTCAAGCTTATCAAAGATTGATACAAATGGAGTTATCAACTATATCACTTTTGCGATTCAAACCGTGTTTAAAGATGTCATTGATATTCTCGTAGGATGGTTTTTAGACAAAAACACACTCCATAAGCAAAAACTCAGAATTGGAGAAACCTTAGCAAATATGCCATCATCGCTTTGGGAGGGAAAACATCTCGATTTTACTTCCAACCTCATCCAAAAGTTTATTAGTGACATGAGCTCATTGAATGATGAGCGTCAATTTCAAACTTTTGTCATGTGTCTTAGGTACATTTGTGTATCATTGTCTCCATCTACTTTGTTCATGATTCTCAACAGAAATAAGACAATATTAGCCTTACTCTTTGATACATTGTTTTTAGGCTCCATGACTAAATTTTTGGATAAGAAGAAGCAGCTTTGGAGATCTATTTTGGAATGCATTACTACTTTCACAGAAAAAATCCCAAACCAAAGAAAGTCTTCGGATCAGCAAAACATTGCCAAAAATGTAGAATTTGATATCGCTGAAAAAACTTTAGGCTATATTGAAGGATTTCTCTCCAAAGCTTCCGATGATATATCTTCAGAGTTTTTCTCGTTTGTTGTAACAGTATTGAATAACCTAGAATCAGTACTATCCAAAGCAATGCTCAAGAAATTTATTCATGAACTTTTACAATTTGCCTCCCGACAGGTTACTATTGACACCTATCTATACCTGGATCTTGCTCGTATATTTGACATGCTATTCAATAATTTTCTAAAGAAGAACGTATTGGATGTTTTGAAATGGGCTGACAATGACGATTTTAATCGCTTATTTGTGTTTGGCATGATGGCCTTTTCTATGGACAAAGGAAATGATCATCTCTATTCTGAATTATTGAAAGGCCATGAGAGTTGGATGGAAGATATGTTGCAGAGCGATGAGCAAACATTTATTGAAATGCTAAAGAAGTTCAGAAATAACTTTGAGAGATTTAGAGAGAAAGAGAACAGTGAGTTAGTTCTTGAGATAGTTTTGCAGCTATTGAACAAAAATATGGTGTCTCAACACGTCCAACGGGAGTTATTGCTATGGTTACATCTCATTTACAAATTGGAATCTACTCTTCCTACAGACAACGCTGTAGATACCTTAAGATCTATATTGGATAGCGACTCCTCGACTGAGAACAAACTAGCAGTATTGAGGGTCGTTGTGGAATGCTTAAAGAAGGTCAACACGGATCAGTACAGCTTGACTGGAACAACCCAGTTAGTAGGGTGCTTTTTCAAATGTCTCGAAAGCAATAGTGACCTCATATTCTCAGAGGCCGTTGAAAGTATTAGAAAATGTGGCCATATATTGGTAGATCAAACGGTTTCAAGTGAATTTACGTGGATCAAATATTATTCGTCGAAACAAAGTGAAGGGTTGCCTGATGGAACTACTTTGAGCAACGATTTTGAGAGATTATTTGGATCTCTCGAAAAAACAACCGAAGATCCATACTTGTACAAGAGCGTTCCAAATGCCGTACTCTACTGCATTGCTAACAGATTGAAAACACCTTTCGGTAATGCAATGCCTACATTTGAGGAGTTTGAAAAATTATTGATCAAACATCCTGATAGTGAGGTTTTGCAGTATTTCATTAGTGAACTTCAAAGACAAGTGAATGCATTGATTTATAGCCAAGCTTTTAGTAGCTTGTTTAACTCTCAAGTTGTTTCCTTTTTCAGTAGTAATCTAAAAGTTTGTAACGATTGGTTCACTCGACTTCAAGCCCAAATGTCTGGAAGAATTATTTACAACGGTCTAAAGTCCTTGTTATCAGAGAAGGAAAAACCAGATCGAGTAGAAACTTTATTAATTGCCATTTGCACTACTCTTTGTGAAGAATATGACGATCAGGAGATGTTGATCGGATTACACACTGTAATGGAGACAGACTTTCAAAAATATCCATATTTTTTACAAATGGTAAAGGGGTTCATTCATGAAACACAAGGTCGTTTTGAAGAAGCGCTTCGATATTATGAGGAGATATCATCCTTTTTAAGTGAAAGAAATAGATCCAAAATCATGGATAGAGTTTTAATGTGCAAGTATTACCTCAAAACAGATAAGAGCTTGGAATTGTTTCAACTTGCATCGGAATGTAGTTCTTACTCGCCTTCTATGACAACATATATTGAATTAGCAGAAAAAAAGAACGAAAGTGTCAATTTGAAAATCAGCAACGACTCAAACAGGCATGACGACTTAATTTTAAGTAAGCTAAACCTTGCTGAAGAAGTTAATTACAAGCAATACATCAGAAGATACCTTCATCAAAATGTGGTTCCTTTTGCCACCAAACTCATCCCAACTCACTGCTTGAACAACGTCAAGATCTCACCTAAATATGGCATTATTATTTATGCCGACCAACAGAAAGCAGATACGGTGTTGTTGAAATATCATTTAGATCGATGTAACGTGCATACTTCTCGGACATTGGCAGATATTCTAGATATTGAAGAAGAAGAAAAGGCCATTTTACAAATTGATGAGTTGTATAATGAGGACAAAAATCAAGCTATTGTTAATTTGGCAAGCAAGCTTTCCACCAGTAGCAACAAACAGCTATTGATTTCTCAAGGAGTTCCTTCTAAACTATATAGCTGGATTGACCAGAACCAACATGGTCTTGAGAAGAATACTTTAACACAACTATGCTCTTCGCTTGGTATACATACCGATGATAACGATACCAATATAATTCCAACAATTCTTCGCTCGGTAGTTTCTGTTTCAGAACAATTATCACCATCCTCACACAAAGATCATCTCCATATGGCTTTAGAGTTTTTGGAAAAGTATGACACCGAAAACAAAAATAGATTGCAAATGTATAGAAACATCTTACAATATCAGGTTAATTTATCACGTCTTGAGGTGACAAAGATTGTGGCCAAGTTACTGAATGATTTGAAATATTTTGATGAAGAAGAGTTCAATAGATTCGTAGAGGATATAGACTATAGAATTTGGTTACCATTCATACCACAGATTTTCAGTGTTTTTACAGAATACTATGCACATGCAAAAAGTATTATTTTGAAGTTAGGTAAACACCGACTTCAAAGTATAATCTATCCATCTGTTGTTAGGTACTTGGACCATGCAAAGAATAGTACTGACATCATTAGTGAATTAAGAAAAATTAATGTTGACATGGTGAACAGCGTTATATCGTTCGTTACCGAATGTAAACGAATGACGCACACTTGGCATGATCTTTGGATACAAACTTTGGCTGGTTGTAGAAAATATTTGACCAAGACAGGTGTTAAGAGTCAAAAATTCAGAATTTTACTTGAACAAACATACAATGTCACTATGAACGCACTTCCAGAAAGTAGGGTAGAACATTTGTTCCAAGTGCAGTATCAATCAGTTTTACAAATGATTTATCAAAGCTTGCTTGAATTGAGTAACAGAGCTGATGATATTTCAGACCATGAACTTGATATTGCCAAGCACAAGCTTTCTGACCTTTCTCATCAAATATCTAGAGGCTCAATATTCAGAGAATTCAACATGGAAGATGTTGTGCCAAAGTTGTTAAATCCAGAAATTTTAAGAAACATTCCAATTCCAGGATTCCACTTGCATTCAAGCGAGGACAGCCTTGTTACTGTGGAAAGTGTGAACAGCAAAGTTAAAGTTCTTGGCTCTAAAACAAAGCCAAAAAAGATTATTCTGGTTGGAAACAACGGCAAGTCATATACATTCCTACTAAAGGGAAAAGAAGACCTAAGATTGGATCAAAGAATGCAACAGTTCATCAGAGTATCTAACATGATATTGAAGTATAACAGTAATGATCCTCTCCTTAGAAATAGAACTTATGATGTTACTCCTCTTGGAAAAAATTGTGGTCTAATTGAATGGATTGAAGACACACAAACGATCTTTAATTTATATAGAAAGAAGGACAGCATTTACAAACCAATGGATCATTACTACAAATGTTTGCTTCCAATCCTAAAATCTGAAAATATTACAAAGCAACCTTATCCCACTTCAGTTCTGAAGAAAGTCTTTTCAAAATGCAAAGCTACTCTTGACAAGGAATCAGGAATTAATCCAGTGGATACTTTACAGCGCCATATTCTGTTCAACCCAACACAAACTTCAATTAATAGCAGCTTTGAATCACAACGAAGCTTTATCATGTCTACAGCATGTATGTCTGCTATTGGATATATTGTTGGTCTTGGAGACAGACATTTAGATAATATTCTAATTGATTCATTTACGAGCGAAGTTATCCATATCGATTATCAAATATGCTTTAACCAAGGATTGAATCTACCTGTGCCAGAAATTGTTCCATTTCGTTTGACACCTTGTATTCAATTGGCAATTGGAGATTCTGTTATGAAATCAAAGTTCTATAGTGTTTGTGAGCAGACATTAATGTCGCTTCATAAGGAGAAAAATCTATTATTAGAGTTGTTAATGACATTTATCAGTGATCCTTTGATTGATCAAACATCGGATCAACAAATTCACTCTATTTTTGATAAGCAATTGGATTCACTCTTCCTCGAGCAGGTAATTGAAAAGAAAGAGGATATTGCATCCGAATTCAAGACCTTCATAGAGGGTATTGCATTGTTAGATGTTTTCGAAGAAGTTCGTGACTCAGAGCAAGCTAAAATTGAAGAATATTGCCTAATTGTCGAAAATGAAAAGATATTGCAGCAAGAGAAAGCTAGCATTGATGTTTCTTCATTTGAAAATATTGACTCTGTGAAAGAAAAGCTAGATACTGAAAAGTTGAGAGTCGCTGCTGAAAAGCACACCATTAGCACTTCCTTGGAGAACTTGTTGCAGAAGTTTAGTGACGAATCTGCACAACATTTCAATTTTTTCAACACGGCAAAGGATAGAGAATTTAATTTAACATATATGGGCGTGAGTATCACCAAGCCTGAACCATTGTTGCACAATATTCTTCCATATCTCTCAGCAGATAGTACAGAATATTTCCAAAAACAACAAGAGGTCGAAGATAAACAAGTAAGACTAAAGACGTGTATATCGGAGATGGTTTCTTCATTAAGAGAAATACAAGGCATGTACAAGCGATATTCAGACATGGAGTATATTGCCCATGACATGAAATATGTAATTTCTAATGTGTTACACCAATTGTTGATCTGTAAGGATCCTACACAGTTAGATGGAATTGTCAGATCTATTTGTGTACCACAGCCTGAGCTTTCAGACAGTATAACAATGCTGGATAACGAGCTCGAAAAGCTTGAAAGAGATGTACAGTTTTTAACGAATCAACAATTCTCTGTTCCAACCATGTCTTACAGCCAGCAAGTTGTTGACGTTGCATCACTTTTGAATCAAATATTTATCGAAGTTATTGAATCAAGTCGTTCCATGGTGCCATCTGAGTCTTCCGTTTATGATGTTAGCGATTGGTGTGGATATAGAAATCTTCTCAAAATTGAAGCATGTATTGCATTTTGTCATGATCATGGCATATCCGCTGCTTATCAAATACCAACAAAAGATCAACTTGTTCTTCTCTCTACTGCTATTGCAAACATGACAAGTACAGTCAAACAGTTCCTGGAAAACGTTGTTTTTGTTATATTTCCAGAATTTGTAACAGCTCTCTCTCAATCCGATTCCGTAATCAAATTATTGAGAATAATTATGGATCTGTTTGAAAGCGACATGAGCATTAAGGAGAAAATGATCGCCTATCAAGTACACCTCAGCAATCCTTCTAGTGCTAATTTATTATGCTTGGCAATGGACACTCAATTTACACAGCTCGAAACTCCATTCAAAGAGTTGAGTTTAATTCCAAATGTATCTGATTTATTATTTTCTACCAAGCTGGATACTCTTCACGACATATTCTCAGAGTTATTGAATTATGATCCATCTTACAACCAATCCATTTATAACATTATTAACATTATCAAAGATCATGTAGATACATTTGTAGAAAAGATCACCATTCCGACTTTGATTGAAACTCTTAAACAATGGAATATCTATAGTTCTGATGTAACCAATGAAATTCGTTCAAACGAACCACTCATACATCAAATCAAAAAGTTGACAATAGATTTTGAAGAATTTGGAAATCACATTGCTCAGCGAATTATTATTCCAAGACATACCATTTGCCGTTCCAAGCTTCAGACTCTCATTTGGAACAATCAATTCAGTAGCCATTTGTCCATTAAAAATCAGAGTATTATTCATTGGAAGGAATCCATGCTGGACAATTTAGAAAATGCATTGAGAAAGACTTCTTTTGCTCGTGATGACTTTGTACATACCTTGCAAGACCTTCAAAATTTGGAGAATAACAAATACTTGGCCATTTGTAAACCATACCTCAATGAGTCTCAATTCAATGGCTTGTTAACCAATATTTCTACTAGAAACACGAATTTTGAGACCATGATGAAACAAGTTCATTCTGAGATTGTTTTTGCTAAATCATTATTATATTTGGAAAAGACAGATCGACAAGTACCTTTTGATACAGCAGATCTCGGTTCTATCTATGGCGTAGAATGTTACAATGCCATTAAGAATTGGCTAGCTCTCTTCGAAAAAGAAATTTTATATCAAAAACAATATCAAGAGCTTCTTCATCAAAAGGAACGATTTGTCGAGTTGGAGCAGGAAATTGAAACTCTCCATTCGACATTGAAGGATCCTGACTTGGTAGAGGTGCAATCCAATCAAATGCACTATTCTGATTTGATACGATCCAAGTTCATTGCACCCTACAAACAACTTTCTACTAAGACAGCTATCTCATATATGAACATGATTTCTCAACTTGTGAGCGTTTTACAGTCAATGATTGAATTAAGTAGTTTCCACAAAGCATTCAGACAAGCATTACAACAATTTGAAGCCAAACTAACCTCACACTATGAACTAGTCAACCAATACTTTGTTGATTGTAATGATTCATTAGAGTTCAAGAAGGAATCTATGGATTCTTTATTCCATTATCAACATCACAAAAAGTTAATTATGAGAACCAATGAGTTAAAACAATCAGTGAGTGATATTTATGATTACACAATGGAACAATTCAATGAAATATCCAAGCAAATCGAAGAACAGTCGTATATTGAAAATATTGATGACGATGTTGTACCACAACAACAAAAGAATTCCAAAAACAATTATGATGGACCATTTATTGTTAAATTAGTGGAACAGAGACTCAACGAAGCTGATTCTGTTGAAAAAGTGAAGAGTATCATTTCCAAACAAATAGAACAAGCCACCAGTGAAGAAAACTTGTCAAAGATGTATAAGGGATGGATTCCTTGGTTGTAATTGACAAATAAATGAAAAGAAGGCCATGATATCCATTCCGTCAATCGATTAGTACCACAACAACATCTGAACAATTAAGGTAGAAAATATTTGGTTGAAACAATATAGTGATGGAGGAACTTAGGGTTCAGAACATAGACCTTCCTTTTTCCATGTCATTGATAAGCTCAATAGATGCCATAGAATGCTCTTGATGAAAATTTAATGTGTGTTTATTTTTGTCAGGGAGTTTTTTTCAATAAATTCACTCAGTTGGCAATCGTGTATTTGAAGTAAAGAGTGACAAGTCTCTGAATTTTGCAATTCATCAGTATCCTGCAATGACATGTAATTACTTCGTAACTCTAGCTTTTGTTCAAAAGGAATGTGTTTGGAAGATATACTGCCAAGTGCCAAACTCATCATGTGACCAGGTGTAAAGTTTCTAATAACAATAAAATCCCAATCAGAACTATTGTCCTCTCCATCAATAAATAGTTTGATCTTCTTCTCGGGACTTGTAAACTCGCTTAGAGAAATATTCGAAAATGATGCTCGTTCCAAATTCATGCATTGATCTTGAACAAAAGAGCTTTGATCGATAAATCTAAATTCAATTCTGGTCAGCTCACCAAAGGACACACCCATTCCAACTGCCTTTATAAATGATTCCTTGAGAGTCCAATGTATAAAGAATCGTTCAATCATGTTCTCTCGAATAGTGTCGTCATTGCATTTGTCAACACTTGCAAGTGCTTGTTCGAAAATAAAATTATTACTTGTTTTGCTACCTTCTGATGGTAGACATGGATATAATATGGTAGACCATTCATGGGAAGTAAAACATGGTTTCATCAAATCAAAGAATTCTGCCAAGTAGTTTTTCCATTTGTCATCCAATTTTGTACTTCTTACATGAATCTCTTCAATATCAATTCCAATTACTTTGGGAGTTTCATTCTTACAATTAATATAACCAAAGACAACCCAATTACCAGAATGAGAAATATTAAAATCCAAAGAGCTATTTCCATTCTTCATCTTTAAAAAAGGCTTTCCATATTTACTTGCTTTGACTTGAAATAATTTTGAATAAGATTCATGTATTTCCAAATTATTATTATTAATACTCGAATGATGATCATCGGGAATGAAATTTTTCTTCATCAAATAAAATCTCATCAAAACCTTTCCCATCAATGTTCTGTATTGATCCATACTGAAACGATATTTTCTAATTTTCGCCTTCTCCTCTTCTGTTTCCAAGTACAAATTCAAGAGAGAAGTAAAATGGCTTTGCTCCAATTCCTTCTCCGATTCTTTCACGTTGAAAGTAAAGAGCTTTAAAGACATTTTTTAAAACAAAGTAATCAAGATGAGCACAATTTAGATTTTAATTAGCTGAGAATCCATGTTCAACATGGTGTTGCGCGTGGCGAAAAAAGTGGGACATGTCATCCATCAGATAAAAAGAAAAAATTACTTCTGACACAAATCTCTGAAACACTTGTCATCCTTGGCTGTTTCAACCAAATTACAGATCTAAATTTCATTGAATCTAATAACACCATCCTACCAAAGAACAATATTCAAATTAAATACATTCCAAATTTGCTTCTCCGAGAGAATATTCAGACTCCAAAAATAATCATCTTAAATTGAATCATCATCAGTGAATTTTCCAAAATTTCATCATCATTCTCAACTACTCCTAACAAACACCAACAATACCAACAACACCAACAATCATGGGAATTAATCCAAGTAAACCCAACACCAATGACACAAAAAAGGATTTGGACCAATTTCAAAATCAATCCGAAGATTCTGGAAAGAAAGTAGTTATGGAGAAATTACAAGCCTTATACGGAGAGAAATTACAAGGTGAAAGTCTTGATAAATTTGCATCCATCTTGTCCGATAAGGAACGATTGAAGGAAATTTATCTTCATACCGATTTTGAAAAAGCAAAAGAACTTCAACGTTCCATTAAAGATCTCAAAATGATCACTCCAACGGTATTGCAGAGAGCAACAATGAAATATAGCTCACAGGCATCTGCTTCCCCAATTGGAGGTTCTGAGATGTTGGAAGCAGCGAAATCATCACGTAGAAGTAGTTCTGCAGTGGAAAATTCTTCTTCGAGTCAATTACAACAACCTCATGATGAAGAGGAATATGAAGATGATGAAACTACTGATGTGACAGATACACCCATGCAAAATCCATATACTGAGCTAGATAATAACAAAATTAGGATTAAATTAATCGTTGCAGAGACTAGTAAGAATGCGTTGGAAAAGAATTTAAAGAGAATGATATCTCCATTTGTGGACATGGAAAAGAGAAAAGCTCCCTTTGGATTTTTCCATATTGCTCTTGCAGTTGGATGTTGGAAGGTAAGTGTTATCATCTATGATTGAGGTTTGTGGATGATCCTTGTGGAATGTTCATTAGATTGAGTGGAACAATTCTTCATTATGCATACCAAGAACTGTCACAGGCAATTACGCTCTCATCTGTGCAGATATTGAAAGTATCGCTAGCTTGGACGAACTTGAATTTGTACGAGATAAGCTTGCAGAAACAATTGTCAAGTAAGTATTTAGAAAAATGACAATTAACACCATAATATTATTTAGATGGAACACTTCAGTATTTTACAAGCAACAAAAAGGTGATCCTGATAATGGAGTAAGTATCATGAGTGTTTGAAATCTTCTTTTAACATTCAAAATTATTGAATAGTCAGGAAATTGTCAACAGTTCATAGATGAAATTTTACAAAATTTGGGGTTGTCTGATTATTCTTCTTCATTTCCTCTTCCACTTGCAAATTATTTAAAAACTCTTAGAGAGGAAGGATATGGTGAAATGGTATTCGAATTGGAAGATTCATTTAAACAAAAATTCTTTTCTGAAGATAATCCAGAGACTAGTAAATATTTGAAAAAGAAAAGTATTCATTTCAAAAGCCACAAAGAGCTAGATTTATTTGCAAAAGCTCTCTTTGACATAGATCCTGATTTCCAGATAAATCATAAGTACGAATATTATTTATTGAAAGCATATGACAGAGGTTTTTGGATGAGACATTTAAAGCCTGCAGGAGAAACAAATACTGATAAAGAAAATTATGAGCCTTTGGAAGAGGAGGACGGAACATTAGCATGCAAGTTTGGAGATCCTACCCTGCATTCTTTCCTTGCATTTAATCTTGCAAAGAAGAGGTAATTGTAAGAGTTTTTCATTTGTATTTTAAGGTGAAATGTGTCACTCTAGTAAAGAACTCTATAACAATAGCTTAAAAGAGTTTACTGTATCGTTTAAATTGGATCATTGCTTTGATTCCGAAAGTGATGTTGTTTGGGAGTCTTCTTCAAATGGATTCTTACATTTTTCAAAAAGAGGCGTGTCAAGTTGAGCTCTAACTGAATGAGGAAGCAACGACTCAAGCTCTTGTATTTGCAATAAAATTAAGTCTACATATTTTCTGGTTTGTTCTACATATCTATCAAGTCGTTCAACTAGATATGAATGTTAGCATTCATGTCTATTATCGATAATTCACTTACCATCTCGAAGTTCAGATGCAACATGATGAAGCTCTGCATTTTTCTTTTCCAAAAACTTGGCAGTTGCATTTGATTTTGAACAAGCATGTGAAAGCAACTTTAGGACTTCTTCTTGCCGAAACGCCACGGCGCGATCTATTAGGATAATAGTGTCACAAAACAATTAGCACAATAATAAAAACCTACTGTTGTGCATTGCATTTGTTTGAAACTCAGCACATATGTCAACCAAGGGTTTCGTGTCAATACAATCTAATTCCTTTAACGAAGGGTCTGTAAAAACATTATTTGTATTGCTCGATGATGTGAAATAATCTTTCTTTGTAAATTTTAAAATACTGGATAATGGTGAATTTGTTGTCTCCACTTTTGCACGAATGAGGGGATAAAATTCTGTTAATTGTTTTAACTCTCTTAATAACTCATCCTTTTCTACATTATTTCTTGATTCAATTACATCATTAATTCCATCTGGATATGTGTCATCAACTTTCACTTCTCCTTGTCCGTTTAAAGTCACCACTGAAATGATATCATCACCAGCTTTTTTGGTTGGTGTATTTAATTGTTCCTTTTTCTGCTGATCTACAGGAGTTGCTACAACTCGATTCGTCAACAAGGATAATTTTCGGAGAGCGTTAGAAGAAGCTCCTTGAATTTTCGGAACAGAAAATGATGTATATGGAATTTGAGTAGTTGGTGATGATGATAATGGTGATCCTGTATTGGCTCGTGAAGTGCTGTTGTTAGTTGTTGACTCGGAGAAAGAGCCTTTGGAGGGATCTTGTCCCATTTTTTTAAAAATCTTTTATCGAAAAGTAATTCTTTTAAAAAAGATGGAGTCTAGATTTAATTGCAAATCTTCATGTTTATATAGAGTTGAAACGAATTTTATGAAATAAACATATTGTTAAAATAAATTGATATATTTATTTAAATTTATGTTAGTTTACAAAAGAAGAGGAGCTCATCATCAAAAAAAAATGATGCAAAACAGAATCGATCCGTCTGGCATGACTTCATCATCTCTGATTGCCAAAGCCAAATCATCCGAAAAGTATGATCGGAGCATGGAAGAATTGAAAATGGTAGATTTATATGATTTTAGAAGTATTAAATTTGTCAAGAAAAATTCACAAGTGGAGAAAGACAAATCCGTTCCCGAAAGAATGAAGCGAATGGAAGCTAACTATCAACAGCACGGAATGAAGAGAACAGTGGAAGCTGCAATTGCTGTTAATATCCATGGTCATCCTCATATAATGTTGCTAAGAATTGGTAATAATCAAAAAGGCTTCTATAAATTACCGGGAGGACGATGCCGCAGGGGTGAAACTGAAGAGGAATGCCTGAAACGAAAATTAACTAAACGTCTTGCACCTGAAGATCCTAATGAGCCAATGCCAGAATGGATTGTTCATGGAGTTATTTCGGTGTGGTATAGACCAAATTTTGAAACGTTATTAGTATGTACACAAAGTTGTATTAAATTAACAAAAACTCTGAAATTCACAAATGATAACAGTATCCATATTGCCCAGCTCACATCACAAAACCAAAAGAAAGAAAGCTAATTTATCTAGTGACTGTTCCTGCAGGATGTAAGTGTTACTTGTCATGACATCTTTTGTATTAAGAGCCTCTTCCAATAGGTACCATAGCTTACCCAAAAAATTACGAGTTTATTCCAGTTCCATTATTTGATCTTTACGAAAATTCAAAAAAGTTTGGTCCCATTATTAGCTCCTTACCACAAGTGTCCAGCAAGTTTGAGTTTAATTATTTATATCAAGAATAGAATGTTACAACATAATTTATTGACCTAGTATTGTTTCTTTCCAAATAAATTAGAAATGTAAAACTTTTGCTCATTTTCCTCTTCTGAGGGAGGCATTACCGAGTCGTCTGGACGATAAATCTTTATAGATTTATCTGCACCTCCTGTGATTAATCGAGCCCCACTTCTATCAAACTTGCATGCCAACACAGCAGATTCAGAATCTAACGAACCTGGTTGAGGAATGTTTTTAGTAGAGCTAAAATGGTGTCCAGTTTTCCAATCCCAAAAGTCTAGGGTACCATCATCGGCTGCACAAACCAATACTCCATCGCTATTTACTGCCATTGAGTGAATAATGACATCTTCATTCGTTCCTTCATAAGAGAGCATGAATTTTCCTTCTGGACATTTCCACTTCTTAATCGAGTCTGCAGAAGCACTTCCGAACGTATATTCAGTTGGATGAAGAGTCATTGTTCTCACAGATTTCTTGTGATGTGTAAGGGTGGTACGGGTGGTTCCTGTTTTTAAATCCCATAGCCTTATGGTAGAGTCCATGGATCCTGTTACGACTTGAGGTTCGTGCTCCTGTGACAACACGGATGCAACTGTCGAGTCGTGTCCTGTTAAAAGAAATACTTCTTTTTTTGTTCTAATATCCCAAATTCTACAGCTGCTATCTCTTGCTCCGGTCGCTAATAGATCTAATGAAGGATGTAATGCACAACAATATACACCACTTAAATGGCCCCTATATTGTCTGATGCATTTGTTTGTTTCTAAATCCCAACATCTAACACTTTTATCTTCTCCAACTGAGAATAAATAAGGCGATCGATCTGACACAACAAGATCTCTAACCGTTGAGGTATGACCAGACAGGGTTAATTTAAGCTCACCTGAAGCTAAATCCCATATCTTAATTGTTCTGTCATTGGATCCAGTAACAAACCATTCGTTACTGATATCCACACTAACAGCTCTTACCCATCCTGTATGGCCACTGATGACTCTCATGAGCTTCCAAGGTGGATGCCACTTTGGTTTTTGTTCAATTTCTTTTCTTCTTCGTTTTTCTTGCAAAATCAAAGATCGTGTCAATTCATCTTTTCCCTCCAAAGAATAATACGAATTGTCAAAAGCAACCAAGGCTTTTTGGGTATCTTCAACACGTTGTGGAGCATGTAAAACAATTGATGTGGTAGTTTGATCTTTTTTTTCATCAAATAATTGCAAGGCAGTCGAAGAGGCTCCAGAAGCAGAGGAGCCGGTGGCAACTTGATCCAATTTTCGTTTAGACAAAACGGTTTCCTCTTTTTTAGGTTGTGCATCTCTAATAATTTGTCTCACTTTTGTGTTGGTTTCTAATCCTTGCTTTGTTTGGCTCAACGTACGATCAATGATGAAATTGTTCATTTTCGATTTTATGTACAATGGATCTACACTTCCCGAAAATAAATAATCAATTTTTGTTTCGGAAGGTTCAAATTGAAACAGCTTTTCCGCTTGTTCCATCCGAAGTTTGAGCCTCTGTTTCAAATCATCATGAAGGTGAGAAGGAACTGAAGTGTGTTCTTGCTGCATTTTTTTCTTAGTGATGCTTCGCCTTCAATCAAAGGATATGAATATTTAACATGTTGTGTTTATTTAGACTAGGTGGAGATGTTGTTGTTGTTTGTGGTGGAAGATGATGGAGTGGCAGTAGTGGTTGTGTTGTTGTTGTTATTGGATGAGGAAGTATTATTGGTCGATGATGTGGTGTTAGATTTCCTAACGGTCTTTGCTGGTGATGAGGAGGGCTTGTTGGATGGTCGGCTCTGCGTGGTGGATGGTTTAGGAGTAGAAGAAGAATTGATGGAAGAAGTGCTGTTTTGATGATTAGGAGTTTTGCTGCTGCTTGGAATTGCTGGTACTAGATTGGTCAACAGAGCTGGATGAATCATGGGATGTTGTATTTGTTTGAGTAGACGTTGAGCTTTGACTCTCTTACGAAGTTGCTCGTCGAGAGTCATGGCTTGTTGTTTCCGAGCCTCTCTCTGTTCGAGATCCTTCTGTGCGAGAAGATAACTTTGTCGGATACGTTCTTTCCGTATCGTTTTCTTGTCCTTCTTTTGCTTTATCTTTTGTTTGAGTTGGTTCTGTTGTTGTTGTTGAATTCCAGGTTCGTTTGTTCATGAACAATTCACAAGATCGGGTTGACATCATCACATAGTGGTAGTTCGACAAATTTGTTGATTTCAAACGAATCTGGAATTACTACGTACCATCTTTGCGATTTTTGCAACCTTCTCTGTATTTCTCTTCTCCAGTATTCTATCAGCAATTTCCGATGCTTTATTGGCTGTACTGCCATTTCCCGATGTTGTTGTTGGAGGCTGGGCAACGGAAGAGGAGGAAGATGATCCTTGTTTATTCTTTGGTGATTTTTGTACCATTTTTTTTGAGTTACAAAAAAAACCGTTACAACCTGCTTCGAAAGGGCTTGATAGCACGTGAGTGTGTGTGAAAATCTTTATTGTTTCAATACTTCACATGCGTCATCCATTTCTTTCAAGTCTGCAATGTATTTTTTACATTGTTGCTCCCACTCTTTGAGAATGCTGTCATCCACAATATCCAAATCAAAATCTCCCAAATTTGGAGTGTTAAATCTGAAATAGGAGACTTGTTTTGTTTCCCTCATTTGCTCAACTTGAGTAAGCATAAGCTTGTGCTGTTTTTCAGAGCTAAGTTGCAAATTTAGAAGGTCTGTAATGGAAGAAAGAGTCTTTTTTACATTGTCAAAAAGACCAGACGAACTCTTTTTCATAACAGGAGTCTCTGTTTTAAATTTCAATTCTTCTTCATCATTCAGTTGTGCAGAGGTGATTGTATTTTCTTGAGACTTCTTGAGTCCTGTTCCAACAGAAATAAACACAAACTTTTCATGATCTGGCCATATTTGTTTGGATTCAAATGCTGCTGCAACCGATGGATTATTGGCTAATTGTGATGGCATTCGTCGTTATCAGATTTCTCAAAAGTGTGAAAAAATCTACTTACCCACAACCGCTCCATCTACAAAGACTCGTTGTCCAATAGCCATTTCTTTAAAGTACAACGGAGCTGCAGATGTACAACGTAGTGCTTGATAATTCTTAATGCCTCGGCCATGCAAAGTTCCTAAATAGAAATCAGGATGTCGTTTCTTATTTTCTGCATATCGAAAAGGATCTGAGTATGATCGAAATATAAAAGGAGAAGATTCCGCATGCATCATTAAATCTTCATAAAACTCTTGTTCATAAGGATTGCTATATGTAATTCCATTGTGACATCGTGCAACGTGTTTCTTAGATTCTTCATCGAGTGCGTTTAGTGTCAGAAAGAGCAAACCAAAGAGGTCTCTTGTTTGGGTCGCTGTTGATGTAATCTTTTCCAACATATTTCTTGAAAAAGTGTTCCAGTGTTTTCTCATCATACCAACTCTTTCCTTGCATAGTTAATATTGTTTTGGTTACATTAACATTTCCCTCCAACTTGAAAATTTGTTTTCCTAAACAATGATAAACCGTTTTGCATTGTTCACAGCTGTAACCCATTTGGAAGAGTTTAGCAAGTATAGCCCCTGTTGAGGTGCCACAAATCAAGTCAAATATTTCACACATTTTCTTGCCAAGTTTTTGTTCGATTACTTCACAAATTGATATCAGGTTCAGTCCTTTAATTCCTCCACCATCTAGACTCAGTACACGAATTGATTCTGTCTTTGGTATGCTGTTTCGAAGTTGAGTAAAATCTGTTAAAGGGTTTTGAAGAAGGCAAGAAGTATAGAAAGAAATATATGGATTAGATTTGAGGCAGGTTGGTTCTGGAAATATACAATCTTTTGAAGGAGTTATTATGTAGTGAGAGAATTTAGCTATTGGGTCAGATTCTATCTGAAAATAATGATGGAACCAACACGTTCGATCAAAGTTTTTGAGTAATTGGAAATCGAATGCAAACTTTTCTTTGAATTCAGGAAATACTTCTAAAATAGAGTTAAGAAGTAAATGAAGCTGCTTGTATGACATGATCAGTACTATATCTGATTTCCAACCCTTGGTCTTTTTAAGTAATTTAAAAACCTCTGAAGGTAATGTATATTCAAATATTGGGATTTCCCAAGGTTTTAACTGGTCAATGTCAACATGTGTTTTCTTCTTTTTTTGTTTTTGTTCTTCTTTCTCTTGTTGTAGCATGGCGTCATCATCATTGAAACATGAAGATAGATGTTTTCTTCTATAATAGTAATATGTGTTCCAAAACTTTTCTAACTGAATTAATATTGGTGGAAACTCCTTTTGAACAATCTTTGAATTAAAAATCGAGAACACATCTTTCACAAACTTGATACTGTTGACAGAAATCAAATCAAAATAGGCTGACGCGTTATAATGTTGAATCAATTTAACTACCTTGTCAAATGAAGTTTTTTGAGAATCTTTCGAAGAGAGAGGAATTTTGAATTTCTTGAATGCATTCGTTAACTTCAAATTTTGAAGAATGGACAGTGCGTTTTGTTTTTCTATCACATAGACGAGTGAATCCTCAAAAAACGAAATTACACATCCAAATATTTTCACTGCCAACCGCACATTGGCAAAATTATCTCTGTTGAAATTACTAATGTTTAAAATCGAAGGTAATTCTTCCTTATCTGGAAGACGTACAGACAGAGGCCTCATAGAACCTCCATTGAGTGATTCTGAAATGGAGTGTCTATTGACATGCAAGTCATTTGATGGAGAGAGCATGGTGGAAGAACTAATGACACCACTCTCAATGAAATTAGCTACAACGGGTTGATCGGGCAAAAGTATTTTCCAATGTCCATAATCATCAACATCGAGTAATAATAATTCAACATCTACAAACTGTCCCGAATTTGTTGATTCCGAATATTCTTCAAACGCATTCCTCATATGTCTGAACATTTCTGATATCATAAAGTTGGACAAGTTGGAATAGTAGGAATCATTATTTTCAACAATTTCAAATTCATCGTCTTTTTCTGTGATGATTTCCTTCTTTTGTGTTTGAATCCATCGGCCCATAATTGCGGATTTGGAAACCTTCTCATAGATGGTCTCATATTCGGATAGACCCATACTAGCGAGAGAGGATGATTGGCTTCCACTCGTAAACAACATGTTGAGCGAAAGTGTTTCAAGTGTTTTTCTTGTTGTTAGGATATATGTGTTGCAATTGAATTTGTGAGGAGGAAATTGTAATGATGACGATCACGGTAATGATGATGTGCGATTGGAAGGTCCGAGTGAGGCTAACCACGAGCTCTCCTTATGTTGGATGCAATTTTTTGCGTGTGACATTCCCTCAGGCCAGTAACATTTGAATTCCTAGAATTGAACATTCTTTGAAGGGGACAGGTTTTCTTCGCTTTTTAAACCAAAGCTTTGGAAAAAGCAATCTGTCCTCATTGTGTATCCAAACAACAACCACTTTTCGTTGTTGTAGTTTCTGAAAAGCTTTTCTTTGTATATTGGAATTATAACGTTGTTGGCGCCATCAAAAAACAAAATAAAATGCAACAAGAGCTACAACAGGCTCCTTCTTCATCCTTAGACGACACATGGACCATTTCCGATTTATCCTCTCATCAAGGAGTAGGATCACTTAGAAATTCCTTGTCGGAATCGATAACCAAAAAGAAGGTTCGTGAAAGACCAACATTTTCTCCGATATCTTCGTTGGACTCTGAATCGGACAAAGATGAAGATTTCAAAAGCAAACCTGTCAAGCCTTTTCTCAAAAGAACGTCAGGTGGTTACAAGGAGGTCACTGTGGTGGAACCACAACAGTCTGTCAAAGTAAAGAACAACCCTCAAATCATGTCACCTCCAGTATCAACAACACCTGTAATTGCAAAAAGTACACCAACAAGTCCAAACAAAATCATCAACAAAGACCACCACGAAGCAATAAGAAACAAAAGAAAATGCTTCTCCAATTCTTTCATCATCACAAGATGTCACAAAATCACAAATTATGGGCCCAGAGCTTTATTCAATTCCGAAAGCAAATTTACAAGGATTAGCAACAACAAATAATTTAAGAGGGTATGAAATTGCTCCTCCAAAAGTAGTAACTCATATGGATTTTTTGGAATATAAAAAATTTCTGCAACGAAAAAGAGAATTTGAAATTACTTCCCGAGTCAAGTAAGAAAAAAAAGGAAGACGAAGAACAAAAAAAAGAAATGAAAATACCAGAAGCTCTATATACATACCTTGCTCCTAATCCTCCTCCTAAGAAAGATACTCCCTTGAAAAAGGAAAAAGATGAAGGACCGCATTATCTGGAAAAAATTCCATCCAAGCCTGCAAAGGCGCAACTTGAAACAACACCAGACGTCAATGAAAGATCAAAGAAAATTCGAGGAAGGAGGATGGATGATAAAGAAACATCCTCAACACCACAAGTTATTGAAAAACCTTCTTCAAATAGCAGAAGCATAGAACAAACAGAAAAACAAGTGGAGCAACCTTCATCTGGAAAGAATAATTTGCAAAAATCTATTGAAAAGGTAACAAATTTAGCCAACAATACTGCAACATCGAATTTGGGAACTCTCAAATATATGGAAAATGCAATTAAAGACAGCGAACAAAAACTCACTACATTCCAAAAGATGTTGGACAAATTACTCGAACAAAAGGAGAAAGAATACGAAAATATTTTATCCAAGACAACAAATCAAGTGTCTTCTACCATTTCTAATTCAATGTCAAAAATGGGAATTGACATTCGAACATTTTACAAGCAGTTTGAAAAACTCCAGAGAGTGACTTCAGAAATTACAGCAAAGTTTGGAAAGCAATTATCAGAGGATCAAAGAAAATCGCAAACTCTTCTAAATAAGCAAATGAGGCAAATTGAGGATATAGGACGAAAAATTGAACAGTTAGAAAAGAAAGCTAATCAAATCAAGGATCAGAAGCCCGTTAAATCAGACAAAAAGACATCGATTGGTAGCAGGACGAACAAATCAATCTTTGATGTCACTCCTACAAAGGAGCTCAGTATGGAGGATATTCACACCGATATGTTGAAAAAGCATCCTTCATTATTTAAGTCACCAAACGTAAGTAGAATGAAATATCTTGGCAAGGAGATACATATTTTATAACATGAAAGTGGAGTGAAATTTCACAATTATCAACGTTAGAGATTTATCAAGCAGAGCAAAAATATCTTATTGATGAGCTTGTAGGATCATTTGACTATTCAGCGATCAAACAAGTATCAGACTTAACCAATAAGGATACTTCATTACTGAACAAGAGTATTTCAATCGATGTTAATTTTGACGAAAAGAACATTTCGAAAATCAAAATTGACAGCCCCTCGCCGAAACCAATGTCAATATTGTTAAATCAAGAGATTTCCCCAGATGACATTCAACGGCTTTATCCTGATTTCGCTAAAAATTTACTGAAATTTTCAATTCTTGCGAATGAGGATCATAAGATTGCAGCGTGCATCAAGAACAACACAGCAGCCAATGTTCAATCTCAACCATGTGAAGACCCAGCATTGGATTTAAAACAAGAAACTTCATCAAGCAAACAAGACACAGACACACCAACAGTTTTGAAGTTTGAGGTGGAAATTCAAACGGAATCAACAGAAGAAATGCAAACACCACAAAGCGAGGAAATTCAGGAGAAATTGAGCCCTTCAAAAAACAATACTACCTCCAATATATTGGAGCCTCCTATTGAAACATGTGATGTTGGTTGGAATAAGAAGGATAATTCAGGAAAATTATTTCAGGATCAAATTGATCACATGGTGTCCAAAGAAATCAACATCTACGAAAAAGAGCAAATCATTAAGCAACTTTTACCAAAGGAAACTAAAATTGCAGTGCCTCCTATTTGTGGAGTCAATGAAGATGATTATGATGGAATTTCGTTTACCTCGCATTATCCACAACGGATGAAAAAACCTGAAGAGGATCATTTCAAGACACCAAATGAATATCATCAGGAAAACAGACCACTTGATGTGTTGTTTGAAGAGTATGCCAACACACTTGTGGAAAGAACGATCAAACATATTGCACATGGAGTATTAAGTGATTTTCTTCAACAAACTTCAAGAATGCATAATGACAATGATCAAGAGGACATGCACATATTTGACGATCAACAACTTTCGTCCATCAAGGGAGGCGCTCTTTGTGCAGAATTATTCACGTACTGCTTAGAGCATGGCATACCGTTCGATGATGCATTAGTATACAAAGCCACAGAGGAAGTCATTTGGGAATTTATCAAAAACAAGTTTCCAATATTCACACGGCATGAAGGTGAAAAAGAAGAGGAAGAGAGCAATGACAAAAGTGAAGCAACGAACGGCTTGGAACGTGAAGCTTTATGTGAATTGGTTTTAAGGTTATTAACGTCTCACACAACCTCAAAAGAAACTCATGTGGAAAGAGAGCATGCTTCTCACAATGATGATGAAACATACAAGGAAATTTCAACAGAGAAAGCACCCGTTGTACCGAAAGTGGTTTCCAGTGATTCCGTACCTTTGGAACCTGTTAAAAAAGTCATTCTCTATGAAATTGAGACTCAAACTGATACACCCGAACCACAAAGCATCGTTCCTCGATCAATTCAAACCGATCTGTTTGAAACACAAACCATCGAAACACAAACATTCTTTGACCCAAAGAAAGAAGAATCAAGTTGTCAAACGAGCGAACTTAAAAGAAGCATCTCAGAGGCACAAACTGACAAATTATTAACACAAACTGTTCACACAGAGACAGATACTAAAAAGTTGTTGATCGAACCACATTTTGGTATTGGAATTCCTCCAAAGATGCATGATGCCAAGAACATTCAGACTTCATTTGTGAAACCAAGTATGAACAAGTCTTGCTCAGCAAGTACATCTAACACATCCCAATACACAGAGGAGACTCAAACAGAGTTATCAAGTAGCTATATCTATGTGACAGAGACTGAAGAAGAGGGCAACAACGTTCAACCTCCACAACCACAACTACCCAAGACCAAACTATTTGCATCTGTGACAGAAAATGAAATTGAAAGAATGCTCAAACTTCAACTCTTAAAGCGCTCGCTTGGTGTCAAGAAGCAGACTTATCCTTCTGTGAGGAAGCCATATGGCAGCTCTGATGATAGTGATACAAGCTTCCTTTCTTCTGAAGACTCATTTATTGAATCAAGCAGAGAAGAGCGATCAATATCAACTTTTTACACCTCAGAATCGAGCAGAGGATTGGAAGAAGATTTTTCTCAAAGTGCTTTTGAAGATGTCAATGATGAGCACTATTACACTTCCTCGACCACACTTTCTCAAGATTCAAGAACACTCACTCAAAACAAGAACAACAACAACCTTATTTCTGATTACTCAACAGGATACATTTCTTCTACATTAACAACCTCCGACGACTTGATCGACCATTCTTGGTATTAAGTCCTACAATAAGCGAAATGGCCGCATTCAAAAAATATTCTTTCACGAACCTCATCAGGAATCATCTCCTCTGGTACGAACAACATGAGTGATATTCGAGGATCGGAACGATTTATTAAGGGTATGTTGATGAGGATAGAAGTACTCGTAGAGAAGACTCACAATGAAATAATGGCCAATAACGTTCATCATCTTGATAGCTATTACTATCGGAAACACCTCAGTGGGAAAATCATCTCTAGTACGCCGATGGTGTGGAGAAGATGTGTCTTCATCTTTACCAACGGTTGGCGTGGATTTCAGGTATCGAGAAATCATGCTTGATGACCGAACGATTAAGGTGTCCCTCTTTGATACTGCTGGTTCCGAAAAGTTTGAGTCCTTAACTCAAAGCTATTATCGAGGGAGTAAAATAGCCTTTATTGTCTATGATGTTACTAAACATGTAAGTGTTTGGAAGCTTACTTTTGCAACGGGTGATTGAGTTTCATTCCAACTATTAACTTTTGGCACATGATGGAATGGTTAGAATTCTCTAGAAGCTTGCAAACATTGGTTAAACTCCCTGCAAAAAGTTGTGGATGTGGATGATGTTGTTGTAGTTTTAATAGGAAACAAATCCGATGATGTTTCCCATCGAAAAGTTACCTACCAAGAAGGACAGGCATTTGCTGAACAACACAAAATTCCCTTGTTTTTTGAAACATCAACCCTCTCGAACAGCAATACAGAGCTTGCATTCTTTGAGGGGGTACGAAGAGCCTATAATATCATGCTTTCCAAACATTTATCAACTGCAGATACCATTCATCTCAGTTCTAAAGTAATCATGCAAGACAGTTTAACTAAAAAGGCATCATGTTCTTGTTAGTGCGAGGCTTTTCTCCTTCTTACAGTATTAGAAGAGATCCACTTCTCGTCACTTATCACAAGTATAAGTGTTCCAATGCCTTGTATATCTTATATCACGAGATTAAATTATGTAAAATTTTTTAGTCAACTGAAAACTTTATTTAAAGTTCCTGGTTGACTGAGGTATTGGTATCGAGAAATGCACAATTGCTCGTACTTGTTACTTCCACATATGCAAAAGGCAATGAAAGTTAGAATTCCATGTTCACTAGGATGCCATCTCATTATTTGAGAATAATTAAAAAACCCAAAGAGCTTATGCAAGAAGAATGAAGAACCTTTAATCGACCTTCCACACTTTCTACATGGAACTTTACACAAGCACTTCAAAACGAAAAAATTTGGTTCCAACTTTGACGAATAAACCGGCCACAAATGCAAATCAATAAAATTATAAGCCTTGATGTTCACTCGAACCACATTCCTATCGACAAGATGACACTTTAAAAATCTCCATATTTTGTAAATGATACAACATGACCGCGCCAAAAGGATGTAAAGCCTTACTCGTCTCAATTCAGTCTTACCACATTTTTACCGCTTAAATACTACAATCTTGGTTTGAAATCATTCTTCAGATGTATTGGTGTGTGGCTTGTAATTCCAAACCACCCCAAGAACGTTCTGAAGAGTTTGGATCGCAACTAATTGAGAGAGCATTTGCGTACAAGGCTGCAGCATGGGGTGTGTATATTCATTTAATATTCATTTTCCATAAAATAGAAGAATGGTTTGACCTCGGAGGGAAAGTGACTGTTCTTTGTTAAGGATTAGACTTCTGTAATGGCAACATTACAACAGTTTCTCATGGTGGTGAATTGTCCTCCCTTAGAGAGAATTCAAGAAGATAACCAATTCACATGCTCTGTTCCTTTAAGACGAGATTGATTTCGGACGGATTCATCCCTCGATGACATGGAAATTGGAAATTCTCCATTCAACATAAAAAATGTCATCTCGTGATTCGGATGCAGAATTTGTTCCGGTTTTATCATCACCAACATCTCCACATCAAGAAGAAGAAGAGGAAAATGCTAACCAATCAGTTGCAATGTATTCTACAAGAAGGAGTAGTTTTGAGAAGAAAATGACAGAAGTAATGATCTCACAAAATATGAACAACATTCGATATTCGGAAGAAGGAAATGAAAGTCAAATCATTTGTGATCATCTTGTAGCCGATAATTCCAATCCGACTGAAATGATGAATACTAATAACAACAACAACATTTATTCTACCAATGCTATCAAACAAGATAACCCTGTCTCGGGAAACTCACATGTGTCACCTTCGAATGGGATCCAACAGCAAGAGCCACAGACAACAAATTCCACAATTACAAACATTCCTCCTGAAATTCGTAATCGAATTGGAGTGTTACCTCCACTTGCCAAATCACCTTCGATACAACCAGAGCGCCCAAAAATTGATTATTCTAAATTGGGAGCTTCATCTTTTGAAAAATTAAAACTAATAGGAAAGGGAGATGTTGGAAAAGTATATCTTTGTAGGCTCAAATCTACTGAGCTATACTTCGCGATGAAAGTGTTAAGGAAAGATGAAATGATCAAACGAAATAAGGTCAAGCGAGTTCTCACAGAAAGAGAAATACTTGCCACAGTGGATCATCCATTCATCACCAAAATATTTTGTTCGTTCCAAACGAAAGAGTCACTTGTCTTTATATTGGAATGGTGTGCTGGTGGTGAATTTTTCCGTGTTTTAAAGAAACAACCTTTCAAATGTCTTCCTGAAAATATAGTACGATTCTATGCTGCTGAAGTTGTTCTAGCCTTAGAATATTTACATTTGAAAGGGTTCCTTTACAGAGATTTAAAACCAGAGAATATTTTACTACACCATACAGGTCACATTCGACTGACAGATTTTGATTTGTCAAAGCAATCCGTCCAACCAGTGACACCAACATTGGTGAAATCTTTTTTCTCGTCTGAAAAACAAAGCAAGGTAGAAGTGAAGCAAATTCAGGAATCGAATTCATTCATTGGAACTGAAGAGTACTTGTCACCTGAAGTACTGTCAGGCGTTGGTCACAACTGCTGTGTGGATTATTGGACTTTGGGAGTTTTACTTTATGAAATGCTTTTTGGAACGACACCTTTCAAAGGTAATACACAACAAGAGACTTTCCAAAACATCTTACATAATACAGTGACATTCCCAATCAAGACTGCTTATCCTATCAGCAAGCAAGCAAAAGACATTATTTCACAGTTACTGATCAGAGATAAGGACAAACGATTGGGAAGTGCTCACGGTATTGCAGATATCAAAGCTCATCCATTCTTTAAAGATATTAATTGGGCTCTCATACGTAATGAAATACCTCCAATCATTCCAGTGTTAAAATCAAAAACAGATACATCCTATTTTACTCAATATAAGGAGATACCTCAAGATGAAATCGATGAAGAAGAACCCATGAAAGAAGATGAAGAAGAATCCTCTGATAATCCATTTAAAAACTTTAGATATCAAACGAAAAAAGATATCAATTCATTTGATGAGAAATGAAAAATATCTGACATTTTGAAATGACACTTTGCAGTTAATAGTAATTAATAATAACTTGCCAAGCTCACACCAGGTGTTGTGGAGATGATTTAGAGATTTGTTTGACAGGATGATTTCTTGAATTTTCACTTGAGTATAGGACACTCACTTGTTCAGACCTCACAGATCTGGAGGGCAACAATTTTCACATCCTCCCAATATGCTCTCTGCTTTCCATTCGTTGGTATTGTCAGACAGTTATTGTAAACAATTTTGAGAGGAGTGTTGTCGAAGTTAAAAAAATTCTTTCATCTCGAAAAAAAATGAAATCACTTTTTTGTCATTTATCATTTTTCACTACTGCTGCTGTGGTGATCACATTCCTCCTTGTCTCGAATGTCTCTGCTTCCGATGTCGTGTTCCAGAAACTATCTCCTGTTGGTCCTTCTCCTTCCTCCTTGTTGAATTCTTGGTCCATCGGTGATGCCAATACTGCTTTGGTAAATTGTGAAGTGTTCTTTGATTTGTGTTGTCCTGATTGTGCTCAACATTGGACAAACGTGTTTAAACCATTGGTCAAGTATTACTTCAATAATTCAACTCAAACCAATCCTAAAGTGAGACTCATGGTTCATTTGATGCAATTACCAATGCACATTGCTGGTTATTATTCATCAACCGCTTTTATCATTGTCAACAAGTATTCAAATTATAATGCAGATACTGTTTTCAGATTTTTAGATTCAGTCTTTACCAATCAAGGTCCAATTCAAAATCAATCACTTCAAAAGTTGAACCAACTTGAAATATTTACACTTATTTACAATATCTATGTTCGTCCTTTGAATTTATTGTCGTTGACACAATTTATCAATGAGATGAGCTCTCAAGAGAATTTTGTTAAGACTGCTTCAATGTTCAGGATGGCTACATCTCGATCTGTATCTGGTACACCAACATTCTTTGTCAATTATGTACCTGTGTTTAATGGTTATCAATTAACAGCATCAGACTGGATTTCTACATTCAACAACATTATTGCCAACAATTAATTGGAACTTATTAAAATTGATTATATTTATTACAACACAATTTACGACATAATGTAATTCGTTGAATGTGAGGAACATGCTATTGAAAGCTGTGATATTGACGCACGTGAAAGTTTATTTTCTGGCATATTTGTTATACTTGGAATGTCATACCTGATGTGAAATACTTTTACTTTCTGACATATCCATAAGCCTGGGCAAGTATTTCTATTGGATGCTTGTTTTCAATTTGGTGTAAATCCCCTTGGGATGACACAGTTGTGACAAGTCCTTCCTTTTCCTCCTTAGACATGGATGTGACTTGGCTCAAATGTTCAGCGGCTAAAGGACACTCACTGGCAACAATGTGTCGATGTTCATTGCTTTTCTCTGAATCTTGCAAAATTTTCTTTGCTACAGGCTTGCCGTACTTGACAGCTGTGTCAAAATGTTCCTTCTTTGTTCCAAAACTAATATATTTAGAAGTCAAGGTCAAATATGAGTAGATAATAGCTAGCTCATAACTTACCTTCCACCATGACCACTACATTTTTGGATAACGCTTACATTGATGCCCGGAATGAATTTCAGCATTTCATGGCCCTTATTTCCAATATTTTGTGCACGAGCATGACATGCATGATGTAATGTAACACTGTACGGTAATGATTGAATTTGATCTTGTGTTGGTAATTGACCTCCATTCTTTTTCGCTAAATACACCACATATTCACTAATGTCCATGGTGTTCTTCTTTACAAGCTGTACATTTTCATTATTGGGTAAAATATTGGCCCATTCCGCCTTCAGCATGAGAGAGCAACTGGGAACAACAGTGACCACCTTATATCCCTTAGAGATATAATTTGAGACCAAGTAATTGGAAACAGTCTCTGCCGCATGGCTTACAGAGGCCAAATCACCTTGCTCGAAGAAAGGCATCCCGCAACATTGTTTGTAATCGACGACAACTTCCACACCATTCCTCAGTAAGACAAATTTAGCTGTTTCCACGAGTTCTGGCTTGTTGTAATTTCCCAAACATGTTGTATATAGAATGACTTTTTCATCAATTGCTGCAGTCGTTCCAACAGCACTTTCCATGAATTGATGTTTCTTCTTTAACTTTTCAATAAGTGTTCCAAATGTGAAAGGTGGTAAATATGCTTTTTTGTGAATGAGTCCGATTGTATCAAGGAACCATCTTACTAATGCATTGTTCATCATCAAGTTGGTGATTGCAGTAGGTAATCTTGTCAAAATTTTTCCGTTTCGATCCATGTGTGTCAAAAGTTGTTGAGACAGTTCACTTTCTTTTTGAAGAGTCAATGTTCTATCAACTCCATCATGGACAGGAGCTTCAAATTCTTTCTTCTGTGGCACTCCTTGATTCAAAAATCCAACTGTTTCCTTAAGCTGAATGGGTGGTTGTGAAGTGACATGCTTTTCATTCTTTTTTCGTTGTTCAACAGCTCTGTAACGAAGTAAAAGATGAGGAAAATCAATATTAAATTCATGAGGAGGGACATATGGGCATTTGTTATTATAACACAAGTCACATAAGGTACACTTGTCTACAACCTTTTTAAATTCGCTCGAAGGAACGTTCTCCAATACTTCAACTTTGTCAATCAAATCAAAAAGAGTTGGAAAAGAGTCACACAAGTTAAAACACCGCCTGCATCCATGACAAATTTCGAATATCCTTCTCATCTCATTCTCCAATTTTTGTTCGTTATAATAATCAGCATCTTGCCAAGGAATGGCATATCGGAAAACTCCATTTCTTGTAGCAGGTGCCTGTAAATTGTTCTCTGCTATCGAGGAAGAATGTACTTTGGACCTTGCAGAGATTGAAGATTTTCTTGACGAGCCTGCTGTTGTTGTTGGATTATTATTGGTAGATTCTGCAGATGATGATGGAGTGGAGGAAGCGAGTGTTGCACCCTGAGATGATGATGCTGGCTCATCTTCCTCGGAACTTATCATGGAAATGAAACGTTTCTTCCGAGCTGAGCCTGATCGTGTTGGTGCAGAATTGTTTGAGGCATCATCACTTGGTGTAATATTCTCCGATGATGAGAATAAGCAATGATTCAAATGATAACCTCGATAGATGGCTGTCGTGGTGTTCGGATAACGATGAGCCTTTTGGCAGAGACGTTGCAATGAACAACGAGCCCCTTGTTTGGAAGATGAAAACATTTTTTTTTGTGAGAAGAAAGAAAATGTTTATCAATAGTATTCCTTTGTAGTTGTCGTTTCAATCATTCTTCATCTAGGATCGTTTAGAATCATCATTGAGGGTTCAACGTACTGTCACTTCCATATGCATCATTAGCTAATGATGATTTGAAAAAATAAATGCTAGCCGAATTTTAAGACCAAACGCTTGCTGACCAACTGAAAACTTGTCTTCTAATTTGATTTCCATTTGAAAATTCGTCAAAATCAGTTCTCTCATTAATTGGTGGTTCGTTCACCAACTTCTACTCTTTCTCAGGTCTTTCTGTCTTTCTCTTTTTTGAAGAAATTTCCAAATCATTAAGGGGTGAATTCATCGACGAGGAGGAAGAACTTGACGACATTGCAGTCTTTAAATGACGTCTTGCAAGACGTTGCGCAGCATTAGAGAGAGAATTGAATTGTTGTTTCATGGTCAAAGGAGATGAAGAGGGAGTATGTGGACTCATGGAAGGAGTTAGAAAGGATCGTGAGGATGAAGGTGTTCGATTGTAGGAGTAGGTTTGATTTGGTGTTGAACTTTCTCGAAGTCTAATGTTTTTGCTTGCTTTGGAGGCAAGTTGCTGTGAAAGTATTTCACGTTTTGGTGTTTCTGGAACTCTGAATGGAGATGATTCGATTGTACCCCATGTCATGATTTCAGTGGATGCTGTTGGATGAATGATTGGAGTGGTTTCTAATTGTATTCCGTTGATTGAAGGAGTTTCACTACTTGATCGATTTAACTCTCTATTAATGTTTTCCAATGTTTGTTGAGGATCTTCGGTGGCATTATCTAAATCATACTGTTTAATTGTACTCAATGATTTTGTGAGACTTTCGTTCTTTTTCACCACAGTCTCAGAAATTCTAGTCCCAGAATGTTTGATAATTGATTCTGTAGCTGTTGAATTGGTGGGTTCAAGCTTTGAAATACCAGACGGATAAAACATCAAGTTATTTTTGTACTGTTCAACTTCAGAGTCTTCATCAAATTTAAATTTTGCAATTTCTTCTGATGATTTTGATTCATTGATGCGAGTAACCAATTGAGTATTGTCACTGCTGGATCCAACTTTGGATTCTAACATTAATAATGAAGAGCTATCATTTGTAATTGCTTTGATTTGATTATTAGTATTTGTGAGAGCAGGTAGAAGCACTCTATTGACATTTGATTTTGCATTCTTTTCATAAATTTTCTCAACGATTGCTTTGTTTTTCATTTTCCACTTTTCCATAATTTCATCAAACGATGCATTATCTTCGCTAGTGTATTTTCTCAAAAACTCATCAAGCGAATAATTTAATTCCCGATCTGTTCCGACCATGGTTAATAAATCAGGATAATAATCTCGTTTAATAATATAATCAGCATATGCCATATATTCCTCTTCGGGAAGTATAATCTTTCCATCTTTTGAAATATTATTTCGATCGGCCGTTTCTGCGAGAGAAGTCAACATGGATGCAGTTGGCGTAAATTTTACCACACTTTGTGGCGTCGTCATTTTTTTTAAAGTTGAACCTGTTGAAATAGTAATGATGACCACTAAAGAAATTGCAGAAAGTTAAATAAATCAATCAGAATTATTGGAAGAGATCAATTCTTCATAAAGAATTCCCTAACACGATTGAAAGAAATTTTATTATAAATATTTGGAATTTTAAAAAAAAATGAGACGATCTCCTTCTATTACTGTTAGCCTTTCAACTTCACCTGGAAATTCGGGTGTGCTGAGTTCATCATTAGGAAAACATCATCATTTATCATCAAATGATAACAAACCAATTACCAGCTCTTTATCAACAACACCAAGTGATTCCGAAATATTTCTGATGATCAATAACGAACAGGCCAGAACCGCTAATTCTAATCCAACAAATAATACTACAACATCTAACGATATCAATGGTAGCAATAATGGACATTCTTCTTATCAGCAATCGTTTATTCAACTTTCAAATCAATTACATCCCCCATTCCGATTTAGATGTATTGCTCCACAGATTTTTGTGGGCGCTTATCCCACCTTGAGAAATTTAAGATATTTGAAAAGGTTGAAATTGAAAACAATACTTTCTTTAATTCCAGAAAAACCAATTACGGATCTTCGAGAATTTTGTGACTATGAAAAAATTATGATTTATCATTTTCAAACTCCAAAATACAAAGAACAAGTATCTCTTTCATTCAGTGAGGTTTCCACAATTATTGAGATGTTTTTAAACTCAAAGTATCATCCTATTTATTGCCATTGCTTGGACGGAACACAAGTTTCTAGTGTCTTAGTGATGTGCTTTCGCAAATTACAAAATTGGAGTAAGACAGCAATGAAGAATGAACTCTCTCGTTATACATCAGAGCTTAGTGACGAAGATTTTGACTTTGTAAAACAATGGAAAGGACCTGTAAAAATAGATAAGCGATACATTCCAGATTGGATCAAGTCATCTTCAGCTATTGCACAACTATTGGTGACCCATGAAAAGAAAAAGAAAAAACAACCAAAATCTATCCAATCTCAAGAAGATAGCGAAGATAATCAATATGTCCTAAAGCATGTCTCTGGTATCAAGATAATTGTGGAAGGCTACGAAGAAAATAATCCATCTATTGTAGATTCAGCAAGCAGTCAATCTCCGTCACATACTACAATTAGTGTGAGCTCTAAAGGCTTCAAAAACACGAAACGAATTGGAACACCAACCATAGATTTAACAAAAATCAAGCCAAAAACAACAAAAGGACGGGAGCACACTAAAAGCACTGAAAGCTTGTCTCCCAATGAAGATTTAGACCAATTCAAAGACGAAAAATTTCCTTCTTTTGTGGAAACACAATCTACTGCAAAGAAGGAAAAGCCATCGCTTTGCATTAGAGGTTTAGATTTAGGATATTTGTCTGAAAAACAACGACAGCAAATGATCATTTGGAAAAATAAGAAGATCACGTTTCGAGACATATTGCTTCCTCCAGACGTGGAAGAATTTTTGGATGACATGGAAGATCCTTTTATTCACGATGAGTATTTATCTTTTTTGGCCATGGATTCCGCAAATTCATCCAATAAATAATCATCCCATCGACAGCTTATTCTTTATTTTGATGCACTTAAAACTTCCATTGACCTTAAATATCCATTCAACACAATAATACTCCAAAAAAATTTTTATTAGAGGTATTGTGAAGGGTTACTCTAAAACCTCAATTCCCTCGTACTTCTCTCCATGTGCGAGAGAGTATGGCATTTCAACAACACCTGAAGGGCTATCCAGCAAAATGACTCCATCTTCATCAAAGATGGTCAAATAAGTTGCTACAATAGGCTGAGGATTTTCAGGGTGAGACATTTCAATAACTCGTGTTGCAATGTAGTGATGTTTAGAACCTGTTTTTGTCAGAAGAGCCAAATCTGTAAAACCAAATCGAGTATCTATAAAATTTTCATACATTTCATCAGACTTAGGGCTCTTTTTGCCAATTCTCACAACCTTTGTAACTTGTTGAAGATCAATATCCATTCGAATCATTAAATTAGATCCCAAGTACTCGTCAGAACTTTCACTGTAAGGTGTGTCAATGGAGTGACGTCGTGGTAAGAAAATCCATTCCTTCAAAAACTTGTCATATAATACAGCTTCATGGATGAGATATCCAGGAGCTGTTGCATTGACTGCTTGACGCAGTTTAGCGTAAACATCTCCCCAATTAACAGAAATAGGGTGATAATAAGATCGATCAATGACCTTAACCCATTCACAATGTCTATTTAAGGCTTTTCCATGCGACACCCATTCTTTTCCTATTGATCCAATATATAATCGATCATCAGGTCCAACTGTTGACCATTCTGCTTTTAATGGAATTTTTGTGTGTCCATCTCCAGAGTATAAAACATGTCTTGGATAAGCTCTTTGCGTTTGCATATCAATTTCGTAAACAATTCCAGTGTAATCACATGTAGCATAAAATGTTCCTCTCCACAGTGATAAAGTGCTTAATTCCATACTCCGATTTCTTCTTGATAGTAATGACTGTATTTCAAATTTTGCGTTTGCCTCATTAAAGTGAATGGAATATTTTCCAGTTTGAATATTTCGTTGTACAGATCCTCTCTATGAGATACATTGTCATATTATTTGAAAAAACAATTCTTTCAAAAACGTACAATTACATAGCTTCTCCACTTGAATTCATTTGGGTACTTGGAATCCTTATCTAAATCCGCAATCATGGCAAAATTGTACTCATTCGGTTCTGTCTTGTAAACTTTTGAAGTGTATGAATCTTTATAGTATGATGATCCCGAAGATTCCGAGGCTAATCTTAAACTTGATAAATGATGATAAAACATGGCAGAAAAAACAGCTCCCAATGCCATCAACACCACAGCAATCGGAGAAGTGAATTCACCAAGTCCACCTGCGCACATTTTTTTGGTTGGATTTCGATCGGAAATGCAGTGAGGACTTGCGGAGTGGATTGATCAATATCCCCGCTCGGTCAAATTGCAAATTGTTAATAACAATTAAATGTAAATTTATTATTTAATATTTTAATTAATTCATTTGGTTTCATTACTATACTATAAATTTATATAAATAATTTATAAATTTATAAAAAAATGGATGAATCTGTGAAACAGTTGAACCAGCAAATGTAAGTGCCAACATGTCTCGGAAGATCTATTTGAGAAGAAAAATGAATCGGAACAAACAATTCATTGTGGAACACATGCTATAATAACAAACGATCAGCCAATCACAAGAAGAGGAAATTTTGGGATATTGTTGTGCCGATAACAATGGATTTTGCATCAATTCATTCGGAAATCTTGAAAACAATGCTGAAGTCACATCCGGATATATTAGAGGAATTTTAAAGAGAGCGAATCGCTTGGCACTTTCCGACGGTCAAGCTAATCCTACTGTAATTATTGAATGCGATTCTTACAAATATATTTTGCAAAGTAAAGACAACACTAATGTTTGTATCGTTCGGAAATCATCTCAAAACAACAACGAAGGAGAGGCAGAGAAAGAACACGAATAAATTTTGGATCGTTTCATATATTTCAAAGTAATGCATTTAATAGTTTTCAGTGAGAAGGTCCACAATAATGGATTCCAACAATTTAGATTCAAGATCTCTTGCCTTTGGAATTGCGGTTTCCTCATCAATCTTTAACATTGTAACTTGTCCAGAAATGGATCCAGTCACAATTCTTTTGCCGTCGTTTGACCATTGAAGTTTGTTTAAAGCTGAAGTACCTGTTGATATTTTGAAAATTGGCATTTCTTGGTCTTGATTAATGTTCCACAAGCTTAAACACCCAGATCCGTCGGCAGCTGCAAACAAAGAAGGATTTGAGGGTGACCATTTAACGTCAAACACGTAATCCTCGAATTCTTCAAACGACAGGAGAGGGGTATGCTTTTTCTGGCTCCAAAGTTTACAGGTCCAATCCATGCTTGATGACAGCATTATTTCTAAAAATTCAAGAGATGGATGAGAAACTAGTGATGTGACAGGAGCAAAATGACCTGAGTAAACTTCATTGTTCGCCCCTTTTTTGCTCCCGAAACGATGTGCTGGGTAAATTGAACCGTTTTCAGTTCCAACATAAAACCTATTAATTTCTCCTTTGGGAAATGTCATTGCATGGCTCAGTAATGTAACAGGACTGTAGAAACTCTTTGATTGAAGACTAGGGTCACTACTCGATGCAGGTGGGTTTTCCGGTTCCTGTGTCTTGACTGTATTAATATATAGATCAATCACTTCGGGTGGTGAATCAAGCTTATTCATTGACCAAGTACACACCCTTCCGTCCGTGCTCATCGTCACCAGATTATGGCTGTTTTCTGAGCTTCCTACAACCTCCATGCCAAATATTGGCTCTGTGTGAGATCTCGAACCTATTAATGTTCTCATGACAGGAGCTGATGATTTTTCTCGAAGGTCCCAAACAACGATTTGCCCAGTGTATGTACCTCCAATGATAAGGCTTGGATTGTAGGGGTAGAACTGTGCAGCACTAATGGGCGTGTCACAAAAGAGAGCGTTTTCTTTACGCTTTGGATAGTGTTGAGACCAGATAAGAACAAGGCCTTCATGGTCATGGCTTATATCAGTACTACTGTATGCAACAAGAAATAAGTCTTCAAATTTTGGTGACCATGACAGATCTGTCACAGACTTGTGCTGACATAGCTCTGAATCAAAAAATAACGCTTCAATATTGGCTTCATCTGATGTGTTGGCTTGAAAGGATCCTGAAAGACCTTCAGTATAGTCTACAAGTGGATCGAATGGTTGTTTTATACACCGTTCAACATAATGTGAGGCTTTGAAGAAAAAATCTTGAAATTCTTTTGTGGAAATAATTTCCTTATACCTTTTCTCACTATCTTCTAGGGAAATCTTTTTCGTTTCTTCAACATTTTTTACATCTGCAATCACGAAAGCGTTTAAAGAGGTGAAATAATCAGAGTCGTCGTCCATATCGTCAACATTAATTCCCTCTTCAGAGTAGTATGCATTCTTTTCAAAACTTGCAACACTATAACTTGCAAAATTGTCATCTGTTTGTGTTTCTTTTGAATATATTAGGGACACCTATCAAAAATATGGCTTAAACTGAGAATATGATGCTTACCAAAGGTGCAACATCAATTTCATTTATCCTTGAACATAATTGTAAAATACGAGTTCTATTATTTTCTTGTACCACCGTTCCATTTTGCAATTGATTCATTAAAATTGCTTGTTGAATAGATGTTGCTTTTTTGGTTTCAATTAATGATACAGAGGGCTCATTGCTGGTTGTATTCCTTTGAGGCTCCGATGATAATTCATTTGTGTTGTATTTGTTGGAGACCAAATTATTAATTTGTATTGGTGTTGATAAACTTGTGGCGTTCTTTTTGCTTTTGAATTGTTCAAGTAGTTCTCTCTTTCTTCGAATTTCTTCCTTTCTTTTCTCAATCTCGGATTTTAGATCTTCTTCCAACAGTGGAAGATTGAAAGACATTTTTTGTTTGAAAAATTTCTGTAAACGGAATGGATGGAAAAACTCTAAAAGGGTGGTCTAAGTTATTAAGTTGAGGTATGGTGGAGACAATGATGATAGGACCTGTCTTAAGCCTTAGAAACACAGGAAGCAATCAATAAAAATAGAAAAAAATGTCTGCTTCCAATGCATGGAGTACCATTGAGAGCGATCCAGGAGTGTTTACCGAGTTGATTGAAAAATTTGGAGTCAAAGGGTTACAAGTAGAAGAGTTGTGGTCATTAGACTCGGAAACACTGTCGGAATTAAAGTACGTTTTTTTTGAATCTTGATGATCGCATATTGGTGATGATGTATTACTAATGTTTGATCGGAATTGATAATGAATTTATTTCATGATCACCTATTACTTTTCTAATATTATTTAGACCAATTTACGGATTGATCTTTCTTTTCAAATGGGTGGGCGAAAAGGATGAAAGACCTGCTCTTGAACAAACTCCAGAAAACATGTTTTATGCTCAACAGATCGTTACCAATGCATGTGCTACACAAGCTATTTTGTCAATTTTGATGAATATCGATACAACCACTGAAAAAGTAGAACTCGGAGAAGAATTGACTCAATTCAAGTCTTTTTCTTTGGGGCTTCCTCCTGATGTTATCGGAGAGACTATTGGTGCTAGTGAAATGATCAAAGAAGCCCACAATTCATTTGCAAGACCTGAACCTTTTATTATTGAAGAGAGCAAAAAACCAAAGAAAGACGAAGATGTTTTCCACTTTATTGCATATTTACCTTTCAAAGGACATTTATATGAATTGGATGGCTTGAAAGGAGGACCAATTTTGCTTGGAGAATGTACTCAAGACAATTGGTTAGAAAAAGTCGTTCCAGAAATTCAAAACAGAATTAACAAGTATGCTCAAACAGAAATTAAGTTTAATTTGATGGCTGTGGTTAGAAACCGAAAGGATGCACTTTTGGAAGAATTAAATAGCCTTCCTCAAACACCTGAAAATATGGATAAGATTTCAATTCTGCAAGAGAAGATTCAAATGGAAGAAGAGAAACGAGCAAATTGGAAACAAGAGAATGCACGAAGAAGACACAACTACGTGCCATTCCTTGTAAACTTATTGAAAGTCTTGGCCGAAGAGAAAGAACTTCTTCCACTTATTGAACGAGCAAAAGAACAGTCTGCTGCTAAAAAGTAAGAACTGAGCTCATTCCACAACTCATTTAGTAAAGGTTTTATAGTCCAAGAATCTTCTTCTTCTTTTCATTAAATTCTTCTTGAGTAAGAATTCCAGAATCCAATAATTCTTTGAGTTTCTTTAACTGTTCCATTTGAGCATCAAAATCAAGAGCCACAGGTTTTTTCTCTTGAGTTGGTTGTTGTTGTGGTTGTGGTGTTTTCTCAGGAGGAGTGGTTGTTGTTGTCTCAGTTGAAGCAGCAGCAGTAACGTTGGAGGTTTCTGATTCCTTTGTGGCTTGCTGTTGTTTCTCTTCTTCTTTCTCTTCTTCTTCTTTTGTTTTCAAAGCTTCATTTCTCTCATTGATTTCATCTTGAATTCTCTTCTTTTCTTCCTCTTCTTCATTCTCAACCACTTTGGCACGAGGGAAACGTCTCACATAAATATTCTCTCCACTCTCTTCATATTCTTGGCGGGTAATGTAGGAAGAATCAAAAGAAGAAAGAGAAGCAAGCATGGAGAGACCCTTATATGCTAAATTAACATCTCTGGGTTGTTTGATATTCCAATTCAGAGAGTCATCCTTAAACTCTTGATCCAATTCCATAAAGAGTCTCTTTTGTAAATTCTCCACACAACAGACACCTCCCATCAAGAGAATATTCTCAATCATGGATTTGGTATGGATGAGTGTGGTTGTTGTTGTTGTTTGACTCTTGGATATCATCTTGGGAAGAGATAAAAAATGTTCTTCAATCGGCTTGTAAAGATTAATAATATTTCGTGTCGGATCAAACAAGCTTTTTCGTGAAAGAGTCATCAAAGATGATAATGATGATCATGATGACTCTCGAGACCAAACGTTTACCAAAAAGAGAGAACCTTACCTTTCATAAGCTTCAAATCGTTCATTCTCCAAATGAATCAATTTTCCATCCGGCAATTGATAATCGATGGCAGGAACCTGTTCATTCTCTGAATCCAACAATGATGAAGAAACAAAAGAAGCACCTTCCTTTGCTTTCACCACTCGAATACGTTCCGAACGTGTATCAACATATTGTTCTCGATCGGTCATGATTTTTACAAATACATCGGTCAAGTAATTTCCATTCAATCCGTGATTTTCTACAAAGGTTTGTACTTGACCATCTTGATAAGAAATTGAATAATTGGTGCCATATCCAATGTTAATAACAGTTCCTGTGGTCAATCCAGATGCAAATAATCCACATTTTGTTTGTTCTTGGAAAGCAAATTTTGAGCTTTTCAATTCTTCAAAAACGACTTGAGTCAATTTTCCCAATGCCATTTTCTGTCCATTCAAATATTCAAATCCAGTCATTAGGAATGGTAAATTCTCAGTTCTGGATCGAAGTTTGGATGGATCAACGTTTTTCACCACTTCCTGAATCAAGTGTGAAAAATCATTCAAATTACTCAACCAACCACCCTGTTTGAAAATTGGATATGGAACAAAGGATGCTGATTCATGACTTTTGAATCCAAAATATCTTTTGTTTTCATCGAGACCTCTAGAAAAACCATGAGTGAAATCATATCGATAAACCCATGAGTGGTAATCTTGAATTTGTGGTTGATGATTGTGATCAGCGGTCAATAATCCTGCTCTCAACGAAAAGGTACCAATATCAAAGAGAAGACTTTTTGTGGTGTTTTCATTGGAAGAAGATCCTTCGATTTCTTCTTGTCGGAATGTTTTCGCTGCTTGTTGAAGCTTTTGTTGTTTGACGAGATTGGACAAGGCACCAAGTTTCATTTTTTTTTAATCATTGTACTGATTGACACTTGATGGGTCATCTCCCCTTGTTTTCCCTCACTTGGTGTTTGATTTTCTTAATGTTTGTTCTCTCTTAATTGTCCTTAATCACAATGGGATCATCGCTGGCAAGCGATTGGATGCTTCACTCGCGATTGTATTCAATAAAAACAAAAAAAATTACTCAAACATCAACCAATCAACCCACCAACCCTAATAACTAATTTCAATGCCCCAAGAATCGTTTCAAAGTTTTGTAGAGCGCATTCAAACCAATAGAGATCTCTCTATGGAAGAACATAATGCTGAAAACCATCCTCCAACAGTGGATATTGAGAATATTGTGATTCAAGGAAGTATTCCCGAGAGAATACAACAAGCAGTGATGATCGGAAAGATTCCATCGGAAATTGAAGAAAAACCATACAAAAATTTGTATAAATCAAGAGAAGTATTGGTAAGTGTGATGGAATGTGCATGTTATATGAATAATGATGAAATGATTATTAGGAGGGTGTGATGAATGAGTTGTTGCAAGCCTCTGAAAAGAATCGTGAAAATGAAATGCTTCTTGGAAAAGTATTCCATTTATTAGGAGTGAATTATTACGATACAGATGAGTTCTCAAACGCTGAAAAATTCTTCATCAAATCGATCAATACTCTCGGAGATGAAACAAAAGGAGCCTCACTAACATGTGATGATTTGTCTGAGGACAAAGAAGATAGAATCAAAAATGATACAACAATTCCAAAAGATATCAACTTTATTCATTACATGAACGGATCATATTATTATTTGGGCGCTATTTGGTCAAACAGAAGTGAATATCACACTGCACTTAAATATCTCATGAAATCTGAAGAAATTTATAACTATTTCAAGTTGAATGAAACCAACGTTGACGCAAATACAAAACAAGATTTGGAAAATGACTACACTCTAACAGCATACTACTTAGCCCAAGTATATACTCATTTAAAGGATGGAGATCAAGCTGCTCGGTATTGTTTTTTGACTTTGCAGCGTCAATTAAATAGTGGACTTGAATATAGCAAAAGCGAATGGATTGAAAATAGTATTCAACTAAGCTCATTCTTTCTTGGCTTATTGGACTATAAGACAGCTATTCATTTCATTAAGGCAGCAGAATATATACTTATGAAAACATTTTCTGACACAGAAGAAGAAAATGAATTACAAGCTAAAATTAATATGGCAAAAGGAAAATTATCGCTCGACAAGCTTGAGTATAGCAAGGCATGGGTGGAAGAGCATGAGTCGTCTCGAATTCAACATGGTCAAATTTTGACTAATCTCCCTTCTGACAGATGTGAGAAGGTATTAATTGAGAAAAAGAATACTGCATTTTCAACGTTCTATTTTGATAATATTCCAATTGAACACAACGAAACAGATTCCTATGTGTGTAGATCCTTTGCTGAAGCTCTTGAAGTATTTAGAGAGGGTAAAAAGGCGTTCGAAAAGTCATTAGAGTATTATGTCATGGATGGGTTCGTGTCTGATCACATATCATTGCTTCAAGATTTAAGCTCGCTCTACAGATGTTTGATATTTTTCGAGGAGAATATTGATCGAAAAGTGTAAGTTTATCAAAAATGGTTATTTATTGTGCTGAGCAATTTTATTCGTTTCCAGAGCAATGCACGAAAGAAGACTAGATCTTCTTGAAAAGAATACGGGAGAGCTCAATGTGGCTTATTATAGAGATATTTTGAAACAGCTTTGTTTTGAGGTGGCTGAAACCTATGTTTCCATATTCGAACTTTTGAGCTTGAAAAATAAGCTTAGAGACATTTACAAAGAAGTGAGCTTTAAAAAAATGAATACTATGTAAGTACTTTATTCGCATCGACAATCGACTCATCTATTTGGTATTTAGAATTACCAAAGCTCTTACCTTCCTTATCAAATTTTCTGGACTATTTACAGATAAGGGTGTTTTGAATGTGGAATCTGAGAATAGACCTGCATTTTTCAGAGCTCATCTTCTTCTAGGAAGAATGTACTATAACTATATCACATCAGATCCTCTTCAAACAATTGATTACATGAGAAAGAGCTTACATGAATATGAATTTTGTGTAAAATTTTACAATTATAATGTAGAGATACTGGAAAAGTTACATGCAGAAGTGGAATTAGCAAAACAAATGTGCACGCTGCTACCTATGAAGATTAGCGAAATTAACTCTCTCCTTAGGCAATAAATGGTATGTAGATAAACCTTTTGAACCCTTTTCACTAGAGATTACCAGTCCCTCTGGGAATTGGCTTGATCAAGCGAAGGTGCAAGTAAAATGATGTTTTGTTAACTGCTGTGCTATTGCTTTTTTTTTCTCCGAGAATGCTGTTGATTGGTCGGAGAGCCAAACATCATTTACCAGACTGGTAATTTGTAGTGTATAGATATTTACTAACTAGTAATGTTACACTCCAGTACCAAATACATGAGCAACTGATCCTTTACCAATTGTGGACGAAATTGAATAAGCACCAGGGCCTGGTACACTTTCCAGAGATTTGTTAAGAATGCTGGTTCTGCCTGAGAGACTAAAACCCTTGGACTTAGAGTTCTCGAAATCTGATACTGATCTATAGGCTCCTGGGCCTGGCACTGTCATGGAGGAAGCAAGCTCTTTGTGACGAGAAGAAAGAGAGAACCCTTTCTTTGGTTCATCAAAACCTGACTTGAGCGTGTAGGAACCTGGTCCAACGGAGCTTACAGAAGCTGAAAGCTCTTTTGGTCTTCCTGAAATTGAATACCTTAATCCGCTATTGGAATCAAAATCAGATCTAGTCTTGTAGGTTCCTGGTCCCGGTGAGGCAGAATGTGGTGAAGATTCCTTTGGTCTTCCCGATAAGGAGAACCCTTTCTTTGTGGTCAAATCAAAGTCTGACCTTGGTTGATATGCACCAGGTCCTGGACTAAATGAGATAGAATTTTCTTTTGGCCTTCCTTTCAATGAAGCGCTTATCACACCAGAGAAACTACTTGGAGCATTATAGGCTCCAGGTCCTGGAGAAGAACTAGTTGGACTTAGTTGTTTGTGACGAGTTGACAGCGAAAATCCTTTCTTTCCATCCAAACTAAAATCGCTTTTTCTGTCATATTGTCCAGGCCCAGGAACAAAATCTGAGTGATGGTTCGATGAGGTTCGTCCTGATATTGAAAAGCCTTTTCCTGGGCTTTCGAAATCTGATTTGATCTTGTAAGATCCAGGGCCGATATTCGTGTTGATTGCTGAACTTACTTGTCTTGTTCTTCCAGACAAGGAATATCTTGGAGATGGTGATGTTTTGAACTGATTGTCGCAATAATAGGATCCAGGACCTGGTACAGATGATCGACTTGATGAGGATGCAGAATTGGCTCTTCCCGACAAACTAAAACCTTTCTTTGGAGAAGGCTCAAAATCAGATTTAAGACTATAGGCACCTGGTCCAACAGGATTTGTTCCTGCCGTTATTTCCTTGTGTCTACTGCTAAGGCTAAATCCCTTTCTATTTCTATTGGAGTCTAATTCAAAATCTCCTCTCACAGTGTAGCTTCCTGGCCCTGGTCCTGATCGTTTTTCCACTAACATGAATGAGAATAACGTTAAATATTTGTATGAATCGGAATAGATCATTAATCGGATCATCATAAAACATATCTGATTAATGTGCGAGTTCAAGCCTCAACTTTGTACTTACGATTGCTTTGCCCAGATCGACCTGAAAGAGAGAACTTGGCTCCCTCCCCAATGCTTGATCGAATACTGTAATTTCCTGGTCCGGGGACCTCTGTTTCTATCATTAAACATTAAGGTCATGATTCCGATGGACATTTTAGAGTTATACTTACGAGCCTTTGTCGTGAGCGGCCGACCGTCCCTCTCTCGCACCGGAGTCAAACGAACACTCGAATTCAAAGAAGAGGTGAAAGAAGACCTCATGAGGTGTTTTGGTATGCGATGTTTGTATATACACTACTGTACTCTTGTTCCCTTAGGCGTTATGCTATTTTTTTAAAATGGAAAATACACGACGTCGTGTAACGTCCTTATATTCTTTTCCCGTAAATTTCATCGAGAGAGATGTGTCTCCAAGCATGCATCGACAAGTGTCGTGGTTGTTCAAAAACAGGTTCTGCATCAACAAGTAGACAACTACGTATCGATAACAGACCTGAAAGAGTTAATGATATGACAAGTTAATTTGAGAGAAATCATCTTTGGAAATTCAAACCATTTGATTTCTTCCCTTTCGAAAAGTTTGATCAAAATAAATTTCTTGAAAAAATGTGCTCGAGGGCCTTGATTGCGTATGCACTGATCCTCGTTGTTGCGTTTTGTTCAGTGATCAGTAAGTGTTTGATTCCATGCAAGCATGCCGATTAACTGTTAATATTTTACTTGTAATATTAAACTGAATGATCAATCATGATTCCGATAATTTATATATTCAAAGGGGCTGAGACATATTCCTTCTCATTAAATCAAGAATTCTTGAAAAAGGTAACCCTGGAAGCATCAACAAAATATCCAACACGATTAACCGTAACTGTGAGCAGCTTAACCACAAAAACTCCAGTGCAAAATGTAACAGTTTATTTCTATGAAACACCTGGAGTCAATTCAAAGTTAAGGCCATACTTTTCTCCAAGACAAGTGCAAACCGATGCTTCTGGAAGTGCAAGTGTTGACTTTTATGCTGGAAATACTCCAGGAAATGGTTCAATTACAGTCACAACAACTCCAAAGCAATCGTTCAATCCCTCAACAACCTCGTATGCAAGATTTGAATATGTTGTGACCAGCCCAGTATATGGAGAGGCGTGGGGTCAAATTGCTACAATTATATTCTTGTCAATTGTATCAATTGTAGGTGCCTGTTTTTTAGCCATTTACGTTTTAAGAAAGAGTAGAGGCACAACTGAAATGATTGCTGTAGCAGATCCAATTAAGGAAGGGGCGCAAGGTTTTTTAAAAACACAATACTTGGCTATTGTAGGTATGTACTATTGCAACAACATTTACGATCTGAAAATTATTGCAGGTATTACAATTCCTGTTGCTTTGGCATTATTCGGCTTGTACATGGTGCGAGCAAAGAGTGCTACTGATCCTGACTTGCATATTGCGGTTATTGCTACGCTTGTGACCATTAGCTTTGTGCTTGGTGTGGTTTTTAGTGGATTATCAGGATTTGTGGGAATGTTCGTGAGTGTGAATGCCAACTCTCGAGTAGCAAGTGCTGCTACAAGAAGTTACAGAGAGGCTCTCAATGTTGCGATGCGATCAGGAGCATTTGTTGGTTTTTTAGTGGTTTCCCTTTCAATATTAGGTGTCATTGTTCTCTTCTCCATTCTTTATCTTGCCATTCCAAAGGAAGCCATTACTCCAACTCAAATTGTTGGTTTGATTGTTGGCTTTTCTTTTGGTTGTAGTTTATCTGCATTGTTTGCTCAATTAGGTGGAGGTATATTCACAAAAGCAGCCGATGTTGGTGCTGACCTTGTGGGTAAGGTAGAACAAAATATTCCTGAGGACGATATTCGAAATCCAGCAGTTATTGCTGATTTGGTTGGAGACAATGTCGGAGATTGTGCAGGACGTGGAAGTGACTTGTTCGAATCCATTTCTGCCGAAAATATTGGTGTAATGATTTTAGGAGGAACTTTAACCACTCAAGCATTTCCTCAAATTTCTACACCCATTTCATTCATTATTTATCCTTTAATTGTTCACATTTGTGGCATGATTGGAACATGGATTGGAATGTTCTTTGTTCGAGTCCGTGATCTCTCAGAGGTGGTACACGGAGATGAAAGCTATTCCCTTATTCGAAACGAAATTCTCGAAAAGACTGAATCATCTGAGTCACATACGGAAAACGAGGAAGAACATGAACCAGCAATCAAACAAGAACATTTAGATGATCCAATGAAGGCCCTTAACATTGGTTATTTGGTTAACGTACTAGTGACTACATGTCTTTTCATTGCTTGCTCCTATTGGTTCCTGAGATCAGATCAATATCCTGACGCTTGGTGGAAGTTTATGTTTTGTGGATTGATTGGCATCTTAACCTCATTTGCATTTGTTTTCATTACCATTTATTATACAGACTACAATTGGCGTCCTGTTCAATCGATCATTGAAGCATCCAAGACAGGACCAGCCACAAATATTATAGCAGGTATTGCTGTTGGTTTGGAGTCTACTGCTTTACCAGTGATTGCCATTTCATTGGCTATTTTAGGTTCTTATTACTTGGGAAGAAGCAGTGGAATTGTAGATGAAAATGGAGCACCTATTGGTGGACTATTTGGAACAGCAGTCGCAACCATTGGTATGCTCTCGAGTTCAAGTTATATTTTGGCTATGGATGCACTTGGACCAATTGTGGACAATGCTGGTGGTAAGTTATGAAAATATATCGAGAACAGCAACATCAATAACATTTGTGAAACGTTCCACACTTGAATCATTGACTAAAGGTATTGCTGAAATGTCGTCATTACCTCCAAATATTCGAATGATTACGGACAGACTCGATGCGGTTGGTAACACGACCAAAGCACTCACCAAAGGATTTGCAGTAGGTTCTGCCGCAGTTGCTGCCTTTTTACTTTTTTCTGCATTCTTGGATACCATTGAGGCATATATTGGAGTGAGTTTTAAGGTTGTCAATTTGGCTGTTCCTGAAGTCTTCATTGGTTCCCTGTTAGGCGCTTGTCTTGTTTTTGTTTTCTCCTCACTCACTATGAAGGCTGTAGGAAACACTGCTCAAACTGTGATTGAAGAAGTGAGAAGACAATTCAGAGAAATGCCAGGAATTATGGAATTTAGACAAAAACCCAACTATGAAAGATGTGTTGCTATCGTTACTCGTGCCTCTCTAATTCAAATGATTTTACCTGGACTACTTGCATTCCTTACACCTGCAATTGTAGGATTTCTCTTTAGATTTATTGGACAAGCTCTTGGACATCCCTATTTAGGAGCTGAAGTGTCAGCTGGATTTTTGATGGTCGCAACCATTGCATGTATCTTAATGGCATTGGTAAGTCATTTCGTAACAACAACAATTTTTCAAAGAGTAATATGGAAAATGCATAATCATGACATTTAGTTTTTCAATAATAGTGGCGGTGCATGGGACAATGCTAAAAAGTTGACAGAGATGGATAAAAGTTTGGGAGGGAAAGGATCTGCTGTACATAAGGCAACTGTGGTAAGTGATTATTTTTGACTTTTGACAGAAATAATGACGACGATGATATCCTTGTTTTAATCCTTTTTTTGTTTTAGATTGGAGACACAATTGGAGACCCATTTAAGGTATGTAACTTGCATTCTTCACTTTATCATCATCATGACCATCATTTAACGCTTAAAAATTCTTGGTCGAATGTTATGAATTTGATTTGTTCACTTTAGGACACGACTGGTCCTTCTCTCCATGTTCTCGCAAAGCTGTTAGCAACGATCACTCTTGTGATTGGTCCTCTTTATCTCAGTTACACCTCTTCTTAAAATTCTTTACATTTTCAACAATAAATTTGAGTTTGTGAATGAAAAAAAAACAAATGACCTCTCACTCTTCAACAACAGTGATAGCATCGGAACAACAAAATGACAACAACAAGAAGGCTGATGTTGATCAACAACAACAAGAATTAACGCAAAATATAAACAACTTTTTAAAATGTATGTGCTCTTGTTATACATTTTGAATTGATCATTGTTCTAATTCATAATTTTGTTATTGTTGTTATAATTTTATTATTATTATCTACGACAACAATGATGCCTCTTTTTACTATTTTCTACATTGAATATCCATGTCAATTTAATGTACAATTCACAGTTTACTCAATGTTCTCGCCTTCATCCATCATCTCAAACCAGATTCCTCTGCAAATGGAATCCGATGAAGAGGATGATGAACTACTCAAACATTTTGCTGCCAAGAAACAAAAGTATGAAAAATCCAAAATGTCCAAGTTGGCTAAAAAGCGATACAAAAACAAATTGGCTATTGAATCCGATGAAGATGAGGACTCTGATGACGATGAAGACTCGAATATATTTAATGAGGATCATGATGATTCATCTGAAAATTCTAAAAAGAGAAAACGAAAAGATGACAAGGATTCAAACTCATCGATGAAATTCTCCAAAGTTGTTGATGTTTTTGATGATGGTGAGGCCGATAGTGATGAACCCTCTTCATCCTCCCGAAATTCTAAAAAACAAATCAAGAAGGCAATTTCAGAAAAACTAAAACATCAATCGAAATTGAGCCATATGAAACATGGCGATAAAATTGCAAAGGAAGAGAAGATGCAATCAGCCATGACTAAAATTGTTAAAGGTAGAGATGATAATGATGTGAGAGTTTTGCAATCCAAGTTAAAGAAACAAGAACAGCTTGCCAAAAGGAAACAAAAACAGAAAAAGCAACAAACAAACTCATCTTCTTCGGAAAGAAAGAGAGCTGGTTTTGAGGGAAGAAGTAATGGAAAGATTAATGATATTCAAAATCTTCAGAAATTAAAACAAAAGGTGCGATAAATTGTCGCGAATTCCCTTGTCTGCTGCAATAAACTCGATCATCATGATGCCATGCCTCTTTCTGCAATCATTCTGAGTTTTTACAAATTCAAACAAAAATGATAAAGACCACAACCAGGAATTTATTTGGTGGTAATTGTCGGTCCAGGACTGCAAAAATTTCGGAATACATAAAACTCACCAACAAATACTGTATCAAAATAAGGGCGTGTTCGTATCATGCAACAATAGGTTGTTCCTCTTCAGTGCCATCAGAAAAAGATAAATCAAATAATGAAAGGAATAATTTTCTGTCATCACAAATTCAAGAAAATAACGACCAATCAAGTCTTGAAGATCATATCGACAAGTTGGAACACAAATTAAAATCATTACCACATTTATTTGTAGAAAAATTAACTGGAAATCCGCAAAGTCTGCAAGAGTGGAACGAACGTCTTAAAATTGGAGCTGAGAAGCTTAAAACACGGCAAGAATTGCGAAAAACAAAAGGAAGAGGTCACTTGTATTTTGTCTACTTTTTAGTGTCATTTGTACCAACCTATTTGTTTTTAGAATTTATGTTGTGGTATCAAGACAAGAGAATTGAAAGAAAACTTCGAATTCTTTCTCAAGGAATGCAACATGAAGCTACTTATGCTCTTTATAATTTGTCTCTTTATGCAGACAAACCTCCCAAAGACATTCGAGAGAGTCGAGCTCTCAGTAGAGAAAAGTTTTACTCAAACAGAGAGCTGGCCAGATTGAACTTTGAAAAACTTTCCTATCAAAAGAAATTAGTGGAATTCAGAGAGCAACATTCAGGTAAAGAAAAAACTGAACGATAAGGCTCTTTCGAAACAGAGTAAACAACCCTAACATTTGTTTATGGTTCCATGAATTTACAACTTCTTGGAAGTTTCTCTACACAAAGCCAAAATCTTCTCAGCTCGTTCCTTCTTGATTTGCTCATACTTGGCAGCATTCAATTGGAGATATCTGTCCATTGCTCTTTGTGAAAGAGTTGGTTTCAATTCAAAGAATTCTTGTAAAATGTCCTTGTAGTCCTCACCATAGTAAGCAGTTAAAGTATGTTCGTCCAATTCAACAGTATCAACTCCTTGAATACATCTGGTAAAATCGAGTGTCTTTTCCTTTGGGATGATGTCCATAGTTTTATATTGTTTGTTAAGAACTTCGTTGGCAACGGTAATAAATTCTGGAGTGATTTTATATGGACGAATAGCACTCAAGAGAGAAATCAATCTGTCCTCATAGGAACCAATATTCCAGAGAGATTGAAGTGGAGAGGCAGCCTTGAAAGCTTCTTTGCTGGTATCATAGGCCTTTGGAGTTTGGGCAACAACAGCATATGATCTCTTGGTAGTGTTGTTACAAATGAGCTTTGATGATTTCTATTGAATATAGATTATTAAAGTTCATATCAATAGAAGGATGATGATTGGAAAAGAACAACAATTTTCATCGGATATCAATTTGTCGGTGGTTAAATTATCATCATCATAGTCGATAATATTCAGGAGAAACGTCAAAAATCAGGATTCACAACAAATCCATAATTCATGTCATCAAATAATAATAATATTCATTGCGATGATGTTTCCAATAACAACAAGAGTCAAAACCTACTATTGTAGCAACTCGATTCAACATTTTTTTAAATAACAAAAATATTTTACAAACAAGTTTCTGCAGCAGGATTGAGATATGAGCAACCAACAACAAACCAACTCTTCGGGAGATTATTCCTCTCAATTCGAACAATCTATCAATGAAACAGTGGATGAATTGAAGAGTAAAATGAATTTATTGGAAGAGAAAGTCAAAGATGTTCTTCAATTTGCCGACACTCTTCAACAAGTGGAAGATTTGGAATTTAGTGAATGTGAGAGATTGAAGATATTCTCAATTATCAACAAACAATTTCCTTTGGATCCACCGAATTCATCATCCACCATTAATTCTACTACTTCGGCCAATCTTCATCAAGAAGAAGAAGGAGCACAAGATGGCACTGGAGGAAACACCAACATCTAACGGATTATTGTCGTTTCTTTAGCAATGCTTCATATGCCTTCATTCTGTTTTCAACATCATCTCCCGTGTTGAGAAAAGGATCTAGTTTGCTTTCGTGTTTCATAATGAATAATTTAATTCGGAAGAGAACTCTCCTCAAAAAATCAACAGGTTCTCTCTGTTCAAACAAGTCTTCAAGAGATCCTGTATAACCAGGTGGTCTCGTTTGATACTTTTGAAAATACTCATTATTTGCGAGAAAGCGTTGTCGTTTTCTTCTTGAAGTTTCGAATTGATGCCACTCCCATCTCAAATACTCTTTATGATAGCAAGTAATAAATCCTAACAAAGAAAGAGGCAATAGATATTTAACGTAGGGTGAACGGAAGTTGATATTGTACCATTTCCGAGAAATTGTAGTGGGTGTTGTGGTTGAAGATGAAGAGTGAGAAGGATGGTGCTGAAAGAGAGAAATGTCCTTCATTTTTGTTTGAGGATGACAAGATGATGAGTTTCCATGTCTTTGTTTTAATTTCCACAACGCTGATTAGAATTTACCAATCTTCATTGGTGGAATCACCATAATTACGAAACGATTCATCACATGACTCTCCACCCCTTGCAAATTTGAACTTTTCTTTGAGAACACTGAAAACGTCAAATGCCTCTTTTCCAGGAAGTGGTTTCTGAGGAATGACTCTTTCTGTGGCCTTAGATAGCTTAATTCCCTTTCTTATGCTCTCAAGCAAATCTGCCATAGTGTCATTTCTGACAGTTTGATCTCTTGGCGAGACTGCTTGCTTCTGGTGTGAACTCGCAGATGACTTATTACTGACTCCTGCTAATTCAGAAATTTTGGTACCAAGGGCATTTGATGCAAGGGTAATAGAAGTAAGAGGAGGTGGAGGAATTGACAAAGAATTAATTGTTACCACAGGTTGTATCGATGACATTGACGGAGGAGGAGGAATTTGATGTTGAGGTATCATTGGAGGGGGCGGTATCACAGCAGCATTTGAAGGGACATTTGTGTGAGAGTCTTGCTGTGATAATACGGACAGTACGTTGACAATACGCTCAGAGGGTGGTTGAGAGAGTTCTTGAGAAGGAGAGGTTTTCAGGTTAGACAACTCGCTCAATGGAGATTCATTAGAGTCAATTCTTGCTCCACTTCTAGACTTTGGTATTGATGGCAATGGCTTTCGCCTTACTTCTGCTTTGGGTGGAGAAGAAACAGTCGTAGTTGTTAAAAGAGTTTTTTGACTTGCGGATCTCATCACTGAGTGAATCTTTGTTTTCTTAGCTGGAGCTATGTTGTGGCATCCTGTAATGACAATCTTTTGTGATTCTGACAGTTGTGTACTGCTACTGCAACTGCCTTCCCGTTTTTGTACAAGTTGTTTGAGACCATTGTTTTTATCTAGATGTTTCCATGCCTTTTTGATCTTTTTCACTTTTTTCTCAGGAACAATCACGTCACCAACTTGCAAGGATTTCCTTGAAGATCCTAAGGATCGAGCCTTATTATGGTTTTTGGTTTCATTCTTCATTTGACGAACATAATTTTCCTTCCAAGAAGCATAGATACCTTCTGGATGTGAATAGTTTTGAGAAATAGAAGCATGGGCATATCCAGGTTTCAAAATTAAATCTTCGATAGGTTTGAAATTTGGATTATCAGGACATCTCAAGTATTGTTCATACCATCCGTCAGTCATGGTGCTTGGATTGAAACGACCTTGATCAGGTTCTTGATTTCTCACAGAATAATTTTCATGAGAAGGTTTTTCTTGATCGTTGGGCAGTACATGGTCAAAGTCAATACCCTCAAGTTTGCTTCTCAGCTCTTGATACTTGTCATGCACAGCACATACTCTCTTAAAAGTTTGATCAGTAAGCGAAGTGATGTTCGCGATGGCCACTTGAGAGGCAATTGACAGTTTTCTTAAATTTGACAACATGCCTAATAATGTGGTAAGGTAAAGACACTGATTGGTAGTTTGTATGTCCAATTTGACTTTTTCGTTTCTGTTGTTTTGATGGGCAATGTCTGATGTAGTCAATGCTTTGAGAGATGCGTTTTTTGAGCTTGCTGAAGATGTTATGGAAAAATTTGAAGAGGTTGCCACCGAAGAATTACTTCCCGAAGCTTGATGACTCTCGTTGGTGGAAGGAGCATCGTTATTGTGTTGCTTTATGGTCGTCGTTGTACAAGAAGAAACAACACTACCGTTACTACTACACGCACTGCTGGAATGAGTTTGAGAATTGATGTCCGTTGTGGATGGTTGATGGTCTTTTTCCAAAAGACTTTTTCTCACCTTTTCAAACACATCATCGCCATATAACCTCTTCCCCAATGCTTGAGAGTTTTCGAGGAAATAGGACGTGATGAGAGACATTTTTTTGTAAAGTTTGATGTACATAATATTTTACAACTCCTTCTTGAGAAATCCCCGCCAAAATTGTAAACGGGCCAAAGATCTTCAACCACTCTTTTCAAGTCATGTTGAAATATTTCAGAAATTTATACATATTTTGATGATAATACAAGACAGTTGAGAAATCACTGCTATGTGGTTGGTCATTGGTTGTGCAAGTATCTTCCATTCGAAGGGTGCTTTTTAATTTTTAAGGAAATCGCCCATGAAGCTTGTAATATTCTCAACATCTTCATTCAACTTGTTATTTTCCTCTGTTAGTTGCTTAATTCGTGCTTTAAGTTCGATATTCTCTTCCAACAACATCCTTTTGCTTCTAATTATCTCTTGGAGACCAGTCCAAATCTTTCCTACCCTTTGTTGGACCCAATCAGACAATACAAGTACAGCCCCTTCTTTCCATCCAATGTTTTCAAGTGGAGAGACCTTATTCTTCTTGTCTCTTTCTTGAATGCATTCCTTACCCATCTCAATTTCGTACTCTATTTCATCTAATGCAACTGTCAGGTCAATGAAATTTATTCAATGGTGAATCTGTCATTGGTAAATCTTTGGATTCCACTACTTTTGATTAAAGTAGTAGTTGAATGGAGATGGATTTTGGAGATGCTGGTTTTCATATGCCACGAATAGAGAATGCATAGATTCATGACAGGGCTGCTGCTGTGAAAAAGACTCCACGGACCCAACTTTAGAACAAGTAGCATTTCTCTTCTTTGTTTGTTGAATGAATTCCTTGTCTTCCTCTCTTTCATAGTTGGTTTCCATTGAGTCTTTCTTGATGCCCTTTGACCCAATACAATCAAAAGGTAATCCCTCTTCAGCCACATACATCACCCCACGATTAGACTCTTTTTGAACGATGCTCTTCTTCCAGGGATTATGTTCAGTATTGGGTATGATACATAATCCAATTTTCAAATGACTTGTTGGACCTTCTGGTTTGAATTTCAAGAGTCCCTTGTAAGGTAATGCGTGTTCAAGAGGTCTCTCTCTTTTCCCAAACCAAACTTTTCCTGATTGAGGATCTTCATACGCATGATAGATAGGGTTTTGTTCTTTGGAAGAAGGAATGAATTTTTTGTGAAATTCATCATCCATGAATTTGAGAGTGGTGTTTCGTCTTCCTGCCTTTCCCTCTTTAGATAGATATCCGAAACATTGTTCGATAGAGGGAGGAAAATCATCATCACCAGGGAAATTATCAATTTCCATCGACTTGCTTTGGTTGATCTTAATGCTGGTATTCTTCCTTGACTCTTTGGTTGACTCGAGAAGGATTTTTCTAAATTCCTCTTCTGCATGAGGTTTCATAAATGTAATTTTTCGAGAAAATCGAATGACTTTCTTGTCGGGAGAAAGCTTGAGATTTTCTGACTTGGAGATTGGAGGGTTGACCGAAATGATGATGGTGGAGATGTTTGTAACAAAGCACCAGAAGGAGGAGACAATATTTCTTTCGAAAAGGATGTGATGGGATCATTGTACAAACTTGAGATCGTTGTTGTTCCTGGTGGAGGGACTGATCGGCTTGACCAACAACACCAACCGATACAGAAGAAGAGAAACTATGTGAGACACCGCTGACTCGCTGTTTGTGGAGGGAAACCTTTTTATGTTTATCCATTTTTTCGATAGTAATCTTTAGATAAAAAAATTTAGAGATTAAAATGCAAGAAATTTTGAAATCTTCGGAAAATGTTCTTTTGGGTGTTGTAAATTACATATATCTACAATTTATCATACCTAATCCTACATTGAGATATATAAGAATTACCGTATATTTTGATATATCCCCTTATCACCTCCTCCTTGCATGAACATTAAAAGATGTTTTTCACTAATTATTTTAATAGATCCTAATACTAATCATAGAATGTGCTTCTTTAAAGAAAAAAATTAAAAAGAACAAGAAGGCTCTTATCTACACAACTAAAGCTCATAGTCACAGTTTTTTCGTACAGCAGAAAAACATTCATTGAGGTAATTTAAACAGATCGGATTCTAGGATTGGATTGACTGAAAGTTCAAAAATAATCGCTCGAGCAACCCGATCCAATCCGTCGAACCTGGTTCATTAAATTACCTCGTTGGATGGGTGCCCTCTTGATCACTTGTTTATACCTTCAACTTGAAGATGATGAAAATTGATTCTTCCAAAATTGATTGAGTTTCGCTTTCAAAAAAAATGCGAGCAATTATAAGAACTCATACATCATCCTCCTCTTTGATGCTCGCGAGTTCACGGTGCTTATTACTCGAAAGCACTATCCAGAAAACCTCAAAAAACAGAAATGTAATGAGGATGCACTATACAAATTCCGATCCGTTAAAACAGAAAACATGCAATTCAAACCAAATGATGATCAACTATGACATGATGATGAGAAGAGAATTTTCAAACATGATGATCGGAGCAAAGACACTCGCAAGTTCGGGTTGGGATTGGAAAAAGAGAGCCGCTATTCAACGAATGGCTGATCACAAAAAGGAAGAAATGGACAAAACGAGAAGAATTCAATTTGAGGTTGATACCTTTAGAAACAAGAAACACTTAGAGATTCATTCCATCACAGATAAATTGAGTATTAAATTAATATTTCCAAGTATGCATGTTTACGATAGAGTCAAGGACGCATTAACGTCAACCTTCCACGTGGAAAAGATGTATCAGCCACATCACCATCATCAGAATGAATCAGAAGAACAAATTCTTTCTATGACTCGATCTAATGATGAAATTTTGATTGATAGTGAGGAACAAGTGATAGAAGCTATTCAAGATCGTCCAAAACCAAATACTTTGTCTCAAATTCCACCAGTTTTATATTTTTCATATTTTGATTATGATGAAATTTTAAAGTTTTTCACAGAAAATTTTGATGACATTCCATTGGAGCCAATACCAAACTTTGTTTTTGAGGTTTTAGATCATTATGACATGATGGTGAAGGCATTTAAGGCACGACAAAAAAGAAACAAAAGCGAATACGATCTCTCCTTAAAACTTCCAACTAAAATGTACAGTAGCATTTTGCCTTTTCAAAAAGAAGGCATCGAATTTGGAATATCCAGAGATGGTCGAGTGCTGCTTTGGTAAGTTGAAATTGATGTTGTGTTATATTTTATATATTATATTAAAAATTGCTTGATGATTGCCCAATACTCAATTAGCGATGAAATGGGATTAGGAAAGACATTGCAAGCATTAGGAATTTCATGCTTTTATTCGAAAGATTGGCCAATACTTATTGTCGGACCTTGTAGTCTTCATAATAACTGGAAAAAAGAGCTGACAACATGGATAGACATGGATTGGGTGAAGAAAACTGTTGGCGATACTTTTAACATTCAGGGCGAAAGTTTGGAGAAATATATTGCCATTGTTGATAGCACTCAAAATTTGCTGAAATTGATTGACGAGACGACAGTTCAGCCAAAGAAGTATTTGGCATTTATCATTTCTTACGACTTGATATCAAAGAATTCCAGTTTTGATGCCAAAATTAATGAATGGTTGTCTAAATTTTCTTTAATTATTGGTGATGAGTCTCATATGATTAAGAATGATGATTCAAAAAGAGCAAAGCATATTCTACCTCTATTGAAAACTTCCAAAAGAGTAATTTTAATATCTGGAACAGCTTCCCCAAGTAGACCAATCGAGCTATTCACTCAAATGAAAGCTCTTTTATCTGGACAAAAAGGAAAAGCAACGCTTTTGAAAAAGACTCAATTCGGTGAACGATATTGTGATTTGAAAAGTACTTATTTCACAGGAGCTGATTACAGAGGAAGCAAAAGATTGTCAGAACTACACGTTCTCTTAAGTAGGTCTGTGATGATAAGAAGATTGAAGCGTGATGTACTATCTCAATTACCACCAAAAAGACGTTTCTTGACCTATTTAAATTTACCAGAAGAAGATATTGGACCTCACAGGTTAAACTTTGAAAGCTTTAAAAAAAGAAAGAAAGGAATACTCGATCCGAATGACTCTGAAGTGTTACAGAAATACAATCTCACTGCTGTTGCTAAACAGAGAACAATTGGATTGTTCTCAAGAAAGTATTTAAGGAAAGGAAGCAAGTTTTTAATTTTTGCTCATCACAGAGCTGTTCTCGACACGATCGAAGAACATATTCGAGATGAAATTCAACTTATTCAAGCAGAAGAAGGAAAGACATACAAGTTTGTGAGAATTGATGGAGAGACACCTGTCGATCAACGACATGATATTTCACAACAATTCAGAGATGATCCAGATGTAAAGGTTGCCATTTTGAGTATTGCTGTAGCGGGTGTTGGATTGAATTTTGTGCCATGTCAAACTGTTGTGTTTGGAGAATTGACTTGGAATAGCGGGTCTTTAGTTCAGTGTGAAGACAGGGCTCACAGAATTGGACAGAAATCTACAGTTGATATTCACTATTTGATTGCTAGAAATACCCTTGATGAGTATATATGGGAATTGTTGTCCCATAAAATTGATGTTGTTTCTGAGACTTTGAATGGTGAGAAAGAACTTTCTGAAGAACATCATATTACTAAGGGAAGTAAGGAAATTATTGATATTTAGAAATGTCATCCACTCTCTTTTCGAAATTTCACTGCTGACAGTATATCCACTCAAAATTAAAGCACTTGGCAAGTTTTATTTACAACGATCCTCTAATTGCTTGTATTGTGTGTTCACTTGATGGACAAGAGTCTGAAAAGAATAGATTTCGTTTGTTGATGCTTCATCGTTGACAAGTTTGCCTCCTTGTGCATACGTTCTGAGATGTTGGTAACACTCTTTTTGAAAAGTCTCATCATTTCTGTCCCACACAAGATTGCTCAGGAAGAACAGGGTTGATTTCACAACCTCCTCGTTTTTCGAATGTGTTTGTTTAAAAGTTATATCCAAAATATCCCTATTCAAGAGATATCGCTTCATTTCATTTCTACATCCAGCCATAATATTGGCAAAAACGTAATAAATTTCCGAAGTGAAAGAAGGATCCAGTGAACCATTAGTGGTAAGATGATGAAGCAGTGTTACTACCAACTCTTGACATACATTGGCAGACAAAATTTCATGTTCAACTTCGTTTGTTTCTCCAAATATTAAATTTCTAATGCAGCTCAAAACTCCAACTTTAAACTCAACTTGAGTTTGGCTTAAATCGCATTCATTTGGCAATATCAGGTTAACCATTTTAGAAATTGGGAAGTGTTCAATGAACTTCTTCTTTAGGGGAAATTCAGCCCTGTAGAGAATATTCCTTGCAAGTGTAATCATACTTGTTCTAATTATTGATGAATTGGAGGCATTTTGACAAAACTCTGATATCGTTTCAAGCAATTTTTGATTATTGTGAACAAAATCTTTCACTGTTTCCAAGTCCAGAGCTAAATTATGGAGTGTTTGGATTGCCAGCTTTCGTATGGTTATTTCCAAGCCGCTGTAGTGGCATATGAAGTGGCACAGGATTGAAAGCAAATTACCAGAAGAGGATACCAAAGTTGATCGGAGTTGCTTCTGTGCTCTTGAGAGGACTTTGATGCAAGATAATGCAGCTTCAACCAGTGGCGTTGAAAGTTGAGGATTTTTCTCCAAGTCCAAACATGAGAGTAATATGCTTTTGATAAAGAAAGGTGACTCAATCATTTGTGAACGAGCTTCCTCATTGTTAGAACATAACATGGTAATAGTTTGAAAAAGCTCGAGGCCCGCAGTAATATTTCCGAATTTGCTGTCGCCACCAGCATCTGCTTGCATCTTTTGTGAAATACTAATCAGTTTGGAAATAAATTTAGCAGAAACAAAATCTGATTGGATTTCCTCGTCACATTCCATACAAAGACACATTGATAGAAGTACTCTTTTAAAACTTTGCAAAGAAAGAGCAGGAGATGACTCAGAAATATCGTTCAATATCTTTGAAAATTCTGGTACTAAGCTTGTGGAGATATCTTGATGAGAAATTTTGCCTAAAGTGGAATTAAGTTTCTGCAGTAGTAACACACAATCGATAGCACTCAGCTTGATTTCTAATTTTTCATGGAAGCAAAATCCTGTCAATAATTCAAGGTATGAATTTTCATTACAAATAAAGTCTGCAATATCCTTGCTCTTAGTGAAGAAAAGTATTTTACAAATGGCATCTAAAATTACCTCGTGAGAGGTTGAAGAAAATCTAGAGTGAAGCAATCTGAATAATTGAGGCAAAATTTTTTCTCCGTATGTAGAGTAGTGTTGAGCACGTTGCTCTGAAGAAAAACAAAATCTTATGACACACGCTGCCATTTCATTTACAGTTTGGTTTGGACAGCTCAACAGTTCAATTAAAAGAGGCATGTTCTTTGTAGTGGTTAACGAAAATATTTTGAACATCAAAGGTAATTTACGATAATATCGAGATCATGTACTCTGAATATGAATTGAGAATGTTCAACCTACCTTGACAATTTCAAAATCTGCATTCTGGGTTCCTAAATTATTTGAAGATATTACACTTTGAATGTCTTTAGAGAAAATGTTAAACAAGCTTCTGGCGACCGTTTCTGTCAGTTTCTTAGTGTAATTGAAGGAGCTGAGGTGACGAGAGAGAAAATTTAATGTAGGCTCCGTTTGAATGATGAGAGAAATTAGTTCGTTACAATGGGCTAAACTCCCAATAGTGGCTGCGCTCTGAATAAGCAGATCTTCGTCTTTAGAATTTTGTAGAATATCCACAAGGCTTTTAGGAAATTGAAATTATACAAAGAAGGCAATTGTCGGAATTGATGTAAAATGTGTTCAGCAACAAATTCAAAAGACAAACGTACATTGGTAACACACCCATTTCAGCAACTAACTGCTTCTTTTTTGGGTTTCCAATCACTAGATTTTTCAAACTTTTCAAAGCGCTAACTTTAGTATATCCCGATGGTGATGATGGTTTCACGGTTAATTTGATCATTGAATCGTTGTCCTCCCTATTGTTGATAAATCCTTCCGTAATATTACTACCACTGTACCTATTACTATCACTCAAAACACCACGATTACGATCATTGGTACCATCACATAAGGCTTGAATTAATTCCGACGGCTGTTTGAAAGGATACATGTTGATCGGTTTTTTTGTATTTTTTTACAAACACAAAGAATTCAATACCAGCTGTTTCGTTTCTCTCCAAAACAAGGAGACCATGATGTTGTTGTTGTTGTTGCTTTGTTTTTATCGAGTACTCGTTTAATATACTTTCTCTCAACGAACCACTCACTCATTGGGAGCAGCAGCTTTAAAACCGCAAAAAATTTAATGAACCCTTTCATCTCTCTCTTCCGAGAAAATTTCATCAAGAGATAAACTCACTACTGGATGAGTCTTTTGGAGCATTATATCAAGTTGGCATTCAAAGGAGGTGAAGATGCCAAGTTAGAGAGTGCCAAAGTGTTTTTTAAATTTTCGGAACAGAGTATGTTTGATGATGAGGATTTGTTGGCTAATCCTGACGATGATGAAATTGTTTAATAATATTTGAAAAACAACATCAAATCCAAAAACCAACGAAAACAACCCTTTTTGTTGTATATTCATTCATACATCTTATCCCGACAACGATAATGATCGAAATTTAAAAAACAACAATTCTGAAACTTCTCAATAACAGATGACTCAAAATTAGGACTCTTACTGGAGGCTGTAGATGCCTTGATACACTTAATGACCACCGAAGATCATATTGAAATTGTAAAATACTCACTCCTCACTTTTATGAATATTTGCAAAGAGAAAAAGTATCTGCCGAGTATTTGTGATAAATCGTGTTTTAAGGGACTGGCACGAACATTATGTAATCACAATATGAACATTCAATTACTTGCTGTACGATGTGTGAGGTTGTTGGCTCAACATCCAGCATGTGGGAAAACATTTGCAACCGATGGAGGGCTTCTTCCAATGCTTTTCCTACTCAAACCTGACCAAGATGCAGATCTTGTCATTGAGGTTTGTAAGGCACTCTCAGTCGCTCAAATGAGAGGTAAGTTTTTGTAGAGAACTTTCCTTTAAAGGCTGACCACAAATTTGTATGATAAAAATCAATCACATGAAAGGCGATTGTGCCGCTAGAATTGTTGAGGTGTGGGGACTTCAAAAATTGGGTCAACTTATCGAACAATATATCCACGAAAATAACGAAAAGAGTGTCTCGATTGTGTCACACGTGACTGAGGTTTTTGCAAATTTTTCTAGCTTTCCTAAGATTGCTATTTGCATGATGAATACTGAAAAATTACGATTAGTGGAATTATTGCGCATGCTGTTGGGGTCATCTAATGTTTCTGTTGTTGCCAAGAGAGCTGCGGCCAAAACATGCCTTAATATAATCAACAATGAAAACATCAATGGACAAGTCATGCTCAATCGTGATTTTATAATTTTCATCATGCAAAGGCACTCAGAAAAAGATTTTTTGATCAAGCACACTTTGGCTAAAACTCTCGACAATGCAATCACACAATATTCGGAAGATGCAGTGCAAAGAATAATTGAGGAAAATATGGACGTTGGATTTATAGAATGGATGATTAAATCAGTTGGTTGTGATCATATTCAAGTCATGGTTTTAAAACTGTTTATCAGCAGAAAATGGATTTGCCACGAAAAAAGTCATTTATTTTCATTAACATTTGTACCCACTCTTATTCAAACTATCAAGGAAACAATATCAACAAGCGTTAAGAGAATGTGTGATGAGGCTCTTTATCATTTCTCAGGTATTGACAGATTCAAGAAAGAAATTGTGGATGCGAGAGGAGGAGAAATATTAATTCCCGCTCTCACTTTCAAAGATGTTGATTCTAAATATTGGTGCGTGAGAACACTAGCCAGAATTATTCGATCAAAGGAGTTTGCCACTCAGTTCGTAAAACAATTTTCAGTGGTAAGACCTGCAGTCAACTGTTTCTTGATGACTCATCCTCACAGCACTGATCAAGTGGAAGATTTCATTTTCATGAGTACATTGTCTATTTTGTCTAATATATCAGAAACAAGAGAATTTAGGATTTATTTTGTCCAATCAGGCGCAATTAACAAGCTGCTTGACATACTGGAAGATCCAAACACGGTGCCATTGAAAATGATACAATGTCTAATCATTGTCATTTCTTATGTCAACAGTGGTAGGTAATTATAATTTTAGCTGTTTTTACCATTCAAACAACAATACTCTTTCCTTAAACACAGCAAACAAAGAGAGCTCTGGAAATGCCAATCTGAAACTAGTACCCGAGAAGAAATTATGTAAGGTTGTGGAGAATATAACCTCTCGAAATTTTTCACTTTCTGCCAAAGTTATTGAACTCATATCTGCTTATTCTCAACATTGTATGTTTTCACTAGTTTCAATCATACTATTAATTATTTTCTTGTGCCAAATATATAGCCAACTCGCCAATTCAGAATTTTTGGAACATTCTGTACAACAAGTGCCTCACTGTGGTGCGTTGCAATGAGAATTACAATTCATATCTTTATCAACGAATTACATGCTTCACTACTCTTACATCCATCTTAACAAAAGACTATGTATGGTATAATTTGGACTTGACCATGATCGCTTCACATTATCTCGCAATTTTTACCAATAGTAATTTATTGAGCCATTTGAAAAGGATTTCAGCGAAAGGTCTTTGCATGATTGGAGAGAAAAGTCCATTAACTCTTTCGAGTTTATTGCCCTCCTATGCTCGAAAGCTTCAACTTGTTCACAAGGATCATTCCTTTACTGAAAAAACAAATTTCAGCGATTGCTCTTCCTTTTGCCAATTCTTGCAGCGATTTCTTCAATATTTTGAGCTTGAAAAGCAAAGAAAACTTCGAAAATATTTGCTCTTTTCTAGAATTCAACGATTTCTAACTTTCTTATTACATTTTGTAAGAGAGAACAAGGAAAATGAACTATTTGTCGAAAAGGTATGTCTTTGACTCATCCAAAGATGTGATCGATCAATATGTATCTAATGAACAAAACAACACGCTAGTTGATTCGACAAGGGAGTGAAAATTGGGAAGATGAACAATCTCGTAGAAGACGAATGCTCCTCCAGAATCCCATGTTGCACTATAGACCAAAAATTCACCATCATCATTATGACATGGACAAGAATACGTCCACAAATAGTACATCTTGTTCGAATGAATTCATTCCTTATCAACCTACTTCCACAGATAGTCGCATTAGACTTTCAGAATTCATCTCACAAAGAGAATATGCAGCCCTGAATGAATCACAAAACAAAGATTCAAACGCCAAAAAAGATGACACCACTGATTTATTTAAGAAGTTGGGAGGAAGTGGAACTTTTGCAAATACTGTGGTCTATAATAAGAAAATTCACAAAAAACAAAAATTGGTCATTGAACAGAACAATAAGGGACCAACATCCTTGCTAGATCAATGGGAAGAAGAGTACAGCAACAAAATACCACCACGACCGGCCTCTGCCAATGTCTCACGAAATTCTATCACGACCACAGAATCCCTCATGAAGAAACCTCAACGTAAAGTGGTGCAAGATTTAGACCCAGAATTAGTGAGAAAATACTTGAAAAGAAGTGAGCTTATGGGCATTGTGAAACCCAACACTCTTCCGCCATCGAAAATTGTTTCACAATATAGGTATCGATAAGGAGTTGAAGTATACTGGGAAGATTTAATGGTGGTTCTAAAATGATATATGAACAGAGTTGGAGTTACAGCTGTCTGTGTATTTAGATGTGATAGATTGTGAGTGATGATTGATTTACAAGGCTTGTTGTTCAAAATGCAAACAACGGGCATGGCTAAATCAGTTCATTCCTTCTCGAATAACTCATGAATATTTTGCAATGCATACTGGGGTTGTCCTCTGTATTTCATAAAGTATCCCTGAAGTTGAGCTGGAGTAATATTTTCCTTTGTGAAACTTGTTAATTTTTCAGAAAATTGTTGTGCCATCTTGTCTTCATATCCCATTTCGTCCTGATAAAAGTTTTGAAAGAGCTTTCGAACTTGTGATGGATCAGCATAGCCAATAGTAAATTTTCTATCAACTCTTCCAGGTCGAACAAGGGCTGGATTCAATTTTTCAGGATGATTGGTTGTTAGGAACAGTATTCGACCTTCTTGAGCACTAAGTCCATCAATAGAATTTAATAATCCACTCACTGAAATGTGTTGATTCTCATTGTCGTGTTTCAGTGGATGATCCAAAGTTTGGTCAACTGCGGATTGACATGAATCAACGTCCTCCATGAGAACGATAGAATTTTGAGGAACCTTATGAAGAAGTCTGGATAATTTTTCGTCATTCAATTGATTACTGCTAACGTTAAGAATATAAATGTCCATTCCTAGCTCTCCAGCGAGTGCCAAGACAGTACTTGACTTGCCCGTTCCTGGTGGGCCTACAATAATTTTAAAAAAAAGAATAAATCAACACATGTGACAATTCATGCATTTTGATCATGTCGAGTAAATTCAACAAGACTTACCCTGTAGTAAAATACCTCTTCTGTACGGAATTCCTCTGTTGTAATAAAACGAAGAACCCTCAACAAATGACTTTACATCTGACATGATGTCGTCCAATATATTTCCTTGAAGCACTAAAGAATTAAGTGGTCGTTTTGGCTTTCTGGTCAATTCTTCCCAATCGTAACAATCCAAGCTTGGAGAATAGACGACTGTCTTGTCTTTCTTGTGTTCCTTGAATAATTTTCTCGCTTCTTCAACAAGGTCAGTCAGCAATTTCTTATCTCTTGAAAGGATTGTTAATTTGAGAGATTCTCTGATAGGCTTATTTTTGTCACCATTTTGTTCACTTTTTTGAATTAGTAACCACATCAATTTTCCCTTATACATGAAAAAATGTCGTTCTCCATGTGCTGGAACATACAGAACTGGCCGATCTTCATATGGAGCATTCTCACCTTGAGAAGCCATCAGTGCGCCGAAAACTCCAAATAATCCTCCCAATACATTTGAAATAGCCCTATTATCAGCTGAAAGAACAGACAAATGTCTACAATTTTGTGTGTATGAATGTTGAGCAAAATATGACATTAACCAATGATAAGCTTCATCTTCTTGTTCAACTGATAAGTGAAGAGTTGATTCTCTTTCAACTATTGGAAATATCACTTCAGACATTAGTTCGTAAGTTAAATAAAACGCTCCTGCTGCAAGTGCCCACTTCCACCATTTGATATTTAAATTATTGAGTGATTGATTAGCAGTATTCATCTTTTGGTCATTATTATTACTAGAAGAATTATTTCTATAAGTATGATGATAATTTTCTCTACTGGATGATTGGTTGAGCCAATGAGTGATCACTTGTAAATCATTCATCTTGCAGTTACCATTTCTATGATTGCAATCATGATTCAATAAATTATAATTTAATTTATACTTTCGGGCTTCCCGTAAATTCATCATCATCGAAAACCCAGAGCTCATTGCATTACGACCCGAAACAATGGACCGTTGCAACAACATTTTTTTTTCTCAAAAAGCTGCCCGCATATGGCCGAGTGGTTTTTCTGGAACTGTGGCAGCCAACTGGTCCAGCGTTCGAATCCCAGGGGTTGCTGCTGTTATCGTGAGCAGTTTAAACACCTTTACTTCCGGGGTGCCTGCTAGGAAGTCACTACGTATCTTACGTTCGGCTTGTAAATAATGTACATAAAACCATCGAACAACGTTTATCATCGAATAAACCCATCCCTGAATTTTTTTTTCTCAAAAAGAAAAATGATTGGCTCTTCATGTTTAGAAAAGGATTCAAGTTGTTTGGAATTTTCAAGTGAAGATGAAGCTTATCATGACGGTGATGAAACTAGTTTTACATTTGATCAACATTTTCAATTTTCATATTGTTTAAATTCCGATCATTCCATCAGTGATAGAGATGAATCATTAGAGAGTGGTAGTTCCGATCGGAGGACTCAATTGCAGCCAAGCTTTTTGAACATTAAATTACGAGTGTTTATTTCCAAACACATCAAACACACTGGAACACATTTGTGGAATTGTTCTGTATTATTGGCAAATTATTTTCTTCATGAGATGACTCGAACCGATCATTCGGAATTGTTTGAAGATGATGTATTATTGCCTGTAATGAAGAAGCCTCTCACGATATTGGAATTAGGATGTGGATTAGGGCTTCCTTCAATTTTAAATTGTAAAATCAATGAAAGAAATCGATCGATAATGACCGATTTGAACACTTCAGATTTTGAAGAACGATGTTTAACACAATGCAAATTGAACTCCATTTCACAAAATCAATATAGAATTATACCCTTGGAATGGGGTTACGATTTTACCAGTGTTTTGAAAACAAGTATGGCGGAAAATATTGATCTCATTATTGCCACTGATTGTCTCTATGACAAAAAGTTGTACGACAATTTCTTTTCGACCATTTACTTTTTGAAAACATTGTTAAAGAAACCAAAGCTGCCCTTACTGCTTGCTCAATACAAGAGAAATGAGAGTGACAACATTACATTTCAGTTGAAACGATGGAATTTATCTGCAAGGGCTCTGAATTGGCAGGAAACAATCGATCTTCAACGTTATTTAACACTCATGAATGCTACTGATAGTAATGATCAGGAGAATTTAGAAAAGCAATTCTTTGAGCTGTATGAAGCAACACAAATTGTTTTAATAAAGTAATCACTATTTACAGTCACACAATATGAGTAACATGTACCTATTTTCCACAAGTAGGTAAAATTACTGCTTTTTTTTCTTTGAACTTGACGACGATTTAGTGGTCTCGTCTTTCTTTTTCCTCTTATTGGAGGCTGCTGAACCTGTTGCGTTGTTGATGACTGGCTTTTGAGTTGCATTCATTGAAGGGTTCATGGAATTCATTGGTGGTTGTGCTTGTTGTGGTTGGACAGGTGGATAACTGGATTGAGAGTATTGAGGTGGTTGTGGTAATGAATGAGGATTAGGATAACTTGGTTGATGAGGTCTCAACACAGTTGATGTAGGATGTAACACAGGTCTAATTTCAGGATAAATATATCGATGATGTTCAAAGCAATTGGAGCTTGGTTTTGGATTGAAATAGGGATGTTGAAGTGCTTCCTTAGCAGTAATTCTTTTGGCTGGATCATATTCCAATAATCTTTTAAGTAAATCATATTCTGGTGAGTCCTTGCTAAAGTTTGACACAGCCTCCAGATTATTTTCATGTTTTGTGAAATTACTCAATTGTTTGTATTCTGGAAGACTGCTCAACGAAGGCCATTGCTCAACTGTTGGAGTACCCAACACTTGAAATATCTTTTCAAGTTGATCTTTTTGAAAGGGATTTGGATTATTTCCTTGTTTTACCTCTTCTCCCTTAAAGAGAGGTTTCAACTCATACAGCTCATACATGATACATCCAATACTCCAAATGTCGAGAGCAGGTGTATAGTGCTTTGAACCAAGAAGCAACTCAGGAGATCGGTACCAAATGGTCACAACAGGACCATCATCAACCAGTTTTCGCAAGGGAGCTTTGAAAATACGTGCCAATCCTATGGATATTATAAGAAACAAATTCAAACATATTGCAAGGAATGTAAGTTCTTTCTAATATACTAAGGTGACTTACCAAAATCTGCAACCTTGACGCATCCTCGATCAGCACCATCCACGTCATTGATGAGAATATTTGAGGGTTTCAAATCACGATGTATCACCTAAAGTGGTTGTTGAGTTTGTATTATTACGGCAAATGTCAATTAGATAAAATTATGATGTTGAGTTCGTGGAAGCAAAAGTTTGACTTACCCATTTGCTATGCAGGTAGTAAATACCTTTCAAAATCTGATACAAAATTGATCGAATCATGTGATCATCCAATTTCAAAGGGAGAGGCGGTGAAGTGTTATGTGCTCTCGTCTGTGTTTTATGATACATGAGCAATTTTTCTAAATCAATTTTGCAAAAATCACAAATCATGTTGAAGCTTCCATCCGTACTAATGACAATATCTTGAACTTTGAGAATGTTATCATGCTCCAATTCTCTCAACAAATTAATTTCTCGGCACAACGTAATAGGAATACCATCATCTTTACCGCTCCTCATGAAGAATTGTTTGACAGCAATTTTCTTTCTACTTTTATCTTCATAACAACTCACGGATCCATAGGCACCCTTTCCGATGACTCCAAGATTCTTGTACTTTCTATTAAAAGTTTCAAAACGTTGTTCCGACTTGGCTCTCAAATTATTCATCTCTTTGGTTCTTCAATTATAATTTTCTCTCTTCTCGGAATGAGAGGTTTGATACTTTACTAATAATTTAAATATAGAAAAGCAAAAGTATACTACTACTACTACTCGTACTAGTGGTATTCATACAACAGCAAGTGAGGATTCTCCAACAATAGAATGACTCTCTCCACTCCTCTTGAAACCTATTGATTCAATAGTTTTGAATTGATGTCCAGAGAAAATAGGCTGAATGGATATTCGAGTGAAAGAGACAGTGCTGTGTGGCAGCAGTATTTTTTTTGAGACATCTATGATCCTTTTTGAAATTCCAAAATTAGGCGATCCATGATCTTTACAAGATCGTGAATATAAAAATTGTTTATAGTGAAACAAGTTCCATGTTGTTCAAATCTTTAATAGTTCTTTAGATTTTTCAATTTAAATATATAGGTGAAACAATATCGATTTAGATTCATGAAAAAAAATGCAATCCTTGAGAGAGACTGTTAGAGTGTATCTCGTTCCATCGGTCAGCATCGGAGAAGAAGTTTTTAATCATAAATGTTTAATTTATGATGCTAAGAGTAAGTGAGCAGCTGGGAACAGTGGAGAGAATTATTGAAATGATTCTGGTACGGAATTAATTTAGGTGTTGAAATTTTGAGAAATACCTATCGGATATTAGCAACACCCTTTGGATCGCTTCCGAATTATACACAGCAAAATGTCTTTAATTCATTACCGTGTTTGATCACACCCGAAAGTGTTACACTAGGAATTGAACATGGATTTATACGAGTTTTTGAAGATTTGCATTCATCAAATGTAAATAGACTGCAAGATTTAATGTTAAACGCACCTGCAGCAACGTCGTCTAGCTCTAAACTCGCTTCAGGTCATAATTCTGGAGTGAATCAAACGATCTTTAAATTTCAAATAGGATATGAACAAGCAATTTTAAATCAAAATACTTGCTATGAAGAACCTAAAGATATTACTCAAATATGGACCTATCCGCAAACACCTTTCCAATTCGAGAAATATCAAATTTTCAAAGATTTACACAACAATGGATTCTTTTTGAGCAGTGGAGATAAATTTGGATGTGATTTTCTTGCCTATCGAGGAGATCCAGTATTACATCATGCAGAATTCATGATCTATATACAAGAAATAGATAAACCAATTGAGCCACATCTCATTATCAGTATTGGAAGACTAGGAAATACAGTTCATAAAACTGTCCTTTTTGCTTCTTGGAATTCCTCGACACAGACTGTACAATATATAAGCTTAAATTGGTTCAACCCTCAACCTATCAAACCTTGGAAAATCAAAGAACTTTGCAACAAGGAAAAAACTGACATGCAAGAATGAAGGTAACAAAACATGTCAACTCTAAGGTGAAGAATGAAAATTTTTGTTGTTGTAAAAAATGATTCCAGCACAATCTGGTACACCTGTGATTAATTTAGACGAAGAAGAGGAAGAAGTGCAAACGATTGTCCGAGCAAGCAATAATAACAGCAATAATCATTCTTCATCATTAACGAATAAATCCATCATGATTCGTGAACAAATACCTTCTCGGAATGAACAAAATCATGATGATGATGTAATTGAACAAGAAGACTTTGATGATGATGAAAAAGACAATATTTGTTTGATATGCCAAGATGAATGGAAAGAAGAAGGCGACCATAAAGTAGTCGCACTCGCGTGTGGACATCTCTTTGGTATGAGTTGTATCAACCAATGGTTACAAACAAAGCCTAATTGTCCAATGTGTAAGAAGCCTGCTCGACCGAATGAGTTAAGGCCCATATTCTTGGGAGAGTCATCTGCAAATAGGCTTGCCATTCATAAAGTGAAGAAGATGAGCGAGAAGGAAAAACAAGATATTAGATCAAAATTAAGAGTGGAAAGAAAGAAACGACGTGTTTTTGAAAAAAGTTTATTAGAGTTGAGAAAGAAAATTACAAATTATTTGAATTCAATGGAAACTCAAATTGTAGATTCACAACAACATTCAAGTAATGCAAACGCTGAAAATAATGCCATTGTGCATGACGACCATGATGACATTATTGAAATCGGATCAGAGCGTACGCCTTCATCATCTTCAGTCATATCATTCCTGAGAGAGCTTCAGGCAGACATTGAGGAATGCCCATTCGAGCTCAAACTATTTGACACCACCAATGATTTTGCAAAAAAAAGAAAACGAGACGTCTTTGAAAATGAGCAAGATGTGATCGTGACAACACCTACAGATCCACTTTTGAGGCAAACCAATATTTTCAGTTCTGTATTAGAGCTTAATATTCACTCACAACACAAAATGTTAAGATTTTTGGATGATCCTTCTTATCTTTGTTTTGATTCTAGAAAAAATCATGCTCTTACAGTTTATTCAACAGTGAAATATTCAAGTAATGATATTTCATTGGTTAAAAACCAACAAGTGGTGGAGACTTTTGATATCAATGACATGTACTTTTCTAGAAAAAATAATCTGATATATTGTGCTTGTGACAACAAATTTGTAAAAGTTGTTGACGTTAAATCAAGAAATGGAGTTATATTTGAAATGGAAATGGAGGATATTCCAAACTGCCTTTCCATTCCTGATGAAACACATGACAGCCTTCTTTTTGCAGGTCTTGAGAATGGTTCTATTTGTGGCATGGATTTACGAATGCCAGGAAGAATAGTATTTCGGTTTGATGTTCCTAATACACCACGAACGAGCCATGCCAATTCCATTCTTTCTATGCAATACGTGTCAAGTAATGATTCATTGATTTTTTCTACCCTTGGATCTGGAGTATTTCATGTCAATTTAAATGTAAAAAATACTCCCAGTAATCACTTAACTTCAGATGGTGAAGACACAACACCAAGTTTATTTCAAGGCGAAATTACTACCTTAAATGCAAACAACAGAGAAACTGTGCCACACCCATTCAATATTTGCTACGACTCTTTTTCACACAAAGCAGTAATATCATACTCCACTTTTGGAGAGACAAAAAGAAGTATTGACCATTGTGTAAGTTTTTGGTTGGAAAACTGTGTTTAACCCAAAAAAGGTTATGAATGAAGAGAATGGAAACTTTACTTCAAGCAATATAGTAATTTCAGAACCAACAATCACACTGCCACCATCTCACCAATTTACAATTTTTGAAAGAGGTAGGTTTGTTTATGGAAATGATAAAGTTCACTAACTTGTCTTAGTGGAACATCATCCAACTCCCATTGGCAAATTCAAGTCTCCCACGGTACTGTTTAATTTAACAAATTCAGGTGCTATTGATTTAGAGTCAAACCATCACTCCTCTCCATTTACATTCTTCAATGGAACAACTCTGATGGCATACACTGCTCTCAAAAATGTATCATTATTTGATGTCAATACTGGACATATCTTCCAAAACCTACCCTCAGAGAACCTTCTTCCAATCACGAGTTTAGATTATTTAAATTGTTCAATGGGTACCTTCTTTGGAAAGATGTCTCCTGATCATTGTTCTTTGTACATTTATAAAGAATGATGTAGTGGTTATTCGGTATCACTGTCATATTTCTTTTTCTTAATTATTCTGGAAGATCTTCGAGGTGGTGGATTTTCAGATGCAGAAGATTCTTCTTTGTCCTTCTTTCTCTTGCTTGAGCTGTCATCTTTGGTTTCTTCTTCATTGTTCTTTTTGCTCTTTTTTGATTTCTTCTTTTTCTCTTTCTCCTGTTTATCTTTTTTTTTCTTTGACTTTTCTTGGTCACTATCGTTGTTGTTGTCTTCATCTTTTGCTTTCTTGGATTTCTTTTTTGTTTTCTTTGCTTTTTCGTCTTCCTCATTTCCATTTTCGGTTATTTCCTCTTTGTTCTTCTTTTCTCTCTTCTTTTTCTTTTTTTTGGGTTCTTGAGTTTCGTCATTGTTTTCGTCTTTGGATTTTTTTCTCTTTTTTTTTCCTTCTTCAGTCGAGTCTTTTGATTTCTTTTTCTTCTTTTGGCCTCCTTCCTCAATATCATCATTAATATTTGAAGTAATAAAATCATTCACAGATCGACTAACCTCCAGAGAGGCTTTAGAAGGGGTCTTCTTCGTGCTAGGTCTTGGTCTAATTTGTTCTTCCTCCTTCTTCTTGACGACTCGTTTCTTTCTTCGTCTTTTCTTGATTAATGAAGAGCCAGCAGGATCGTTTTCGTACTTGTCCAAAAATTGAGTTATTTTCTGCTCTGGATTTAATGCGATTTCTGATGCTGCATTCTTCAAATCCTCAACAAAATTTGGCTTTGTTAAACTCAATGCATGCTTGACAGAGATAGTTCCAACCACTGGATTGTATTGATGAGTGATATTATCACGAGCTCTTTCAGTGGCGCTTATAATGTCGTTTTTAACCGATTGATAAGAATCGTCAATTGTTTTTAAGGCATTGTAGTCAATATTTGGTGTGTGGTTTGTTTTAGCAATATTTGCTCTTTCATCTGTCAACATTTCTTCCTCAACATTGTCATAAGGATTCCGCAGGGAGCTCATCAGTGGATCCACGTACACCATGGCACAATATTCAAATGCAGAGAGGCTTTTTAATCGATGCCATACAATGAATGGTTCTGTTAAATCTTTCTTAATAAACTCCTGCAACAATTTTAACATTTCTTTAAAAGCTTCAATTGATATTTTGATTTGGACGCGTTTTTGTGGAAAGGCTCCAATTTTTCGTTTTGGCTGTGTGCAATACAGATAGTACAATAAATAAATAACTCCAATTCTACATCTAAAGTTCATTGATAACTCGGTAGATGATGTTCCTTCATAGTTATGATCTGAATTATTTGTTTGATTTGAAGGTTTTTCTTGCGAGAACATTAAATACCCAATGCAAGTCGTATACACTTCTTGGATGTAAGTCTCATAATTTACTTCATCAGGCCGTCCTTCATGAATGTACGAAAATTTAAGAGACATCCACAATGTTTTAAACTCTCGGAGTGATGTCGTATTCAATTCCACGAATTTATTCAATATCAATCGAACATCTCGGGCGAAGGGTGGAATCATGGATGCCAATTGATGAAACGAGGATCCGGACGAAGAGGTTTGTTTTCTAGAATCCGATGACTCCTCATTAGTATCCATCATTGTACCGTTTCTCTCTTCTTCCTCGTAATGATCATCCTCTTCATGTAATCCCGAATGATCGTTCTCATCCTCATGCATTAACAATGATGATGGCCTCATTCGCAAATTGTTCATTTTTTTAATGTTGATTTCTCGCAGTCTTTTGCGTTTTTGCGATTTCATAGATATTTGGACCATTTCGAATTTGTGGTTGTTTTGATGGCAGGTTTTGGGAGTGGCTTGGATGATTGCACAATTCTCTTATCGTTTTCATCATCATCGTCACTGTCGTTATAAAGATTTGATCCTGATGATGATAGGGAAGGCAATGGTTTGGTTTTCTTTTGACGAGGAGCACCAAGGTCAGCATGCTCGTCGTCATATGACGGCGTGATGAAGGAATAAGAATCATCCTCGGCATCATATTCATCATTTCGGTAATCATTTTCCTCATCATCATCGTTCTTGGTTTTTCGCTTTCGGGATGTTGTGCTTGAACTGGACTTGTTTGTTCGTTTCTTCTTCTCCTTTGGTGGAAGAGAAGTAACCACTTGAACAGAAGGGTCGTCTTGTTCTTCTCCATCGTCTGACTGCTGTCCTCGGAGAGGTTTTGATGATGAGCCTTGATGTTTGGGATCATATTTGGCCCATTTACTGTGGCTTGATTGTTTGTATGTGACTTCTCGATCATCTGTGGGTGTTGTGTCGTGATGATGATGGTTTGCTGCTGACGACTCCAAACTCTCGTTGTGCGTCATTAACTCTTGTTCAATTTCTCCTCTTTTCTCATTAAATTGTTGGACGATAGGTCGAAGATCTTTGGGTTGATGAGAGGTAGCAAATATCTTGCGAATGCTTTGTTGAGAGCCACACAGTTTGCATTTCCATTTCCGATTCTTTGTGATTTGATTAACGCTGAAGGCTGAGCACTGGTAGCATTGAAAAACGGCATATTCTCGAGACATTTTTTCTTTTGTTTACTGGAAGAGTGGAACAACAAATTTGTCCACAGTGTTGAATAAATAATTATTTAAGATTGATTTATTGGCAAGTTACATGGTCCCTCGTCATGATGACCCAGTAATCAATTATATTGATAGTATTAATATTAATAATAACAATAACTATACAAGAATTTCAACGACTTTCTGATCTCCGATTAATATACTCTCTTAAATGGAGGAATGTATTGCCATTCCTTTTCATCCAAAGTATAGTTATGGACTGGTCTATAGTCAATCTTAACTTCACCAGTTTCAGTATCCATAGTTGTGAGTGTGTGTTTCATCCAATTTACGTCATCTCTTTCTGGGTAATCATCACGAGCGTGAGCACCTCTAGATTCCTTTCTGTTTTCAGCAGCCATCATTGTTTGCACTGCGTTAGCCAAAAGATTTTGCAATTCAAGAATTTCATAAAGGTTAACATTGTAAACTGGTGATTTGTCTCCCAATTTAACATATGGAAGTTTTGCGTATGCTTCCTTAATCAACTTGACACCCATGTCCAAAGTATCTTGCTTACGATAAACAGCAGCATAATTTTGCATGATATTTTGCATTTCCTTTCTTAATTCGTGGCACTTGATGGTACCCTTAGGATTATTGAAAATTCTGTCCAAATTCATGATGGACTTGAGTCCAGCATCTGAAGGAAGTGGCTTATGTTTGGTGTCCTTTGGTAAATTTTCCATGACGTATAAAGCACAAGCACGGCCGAAAACGACAAGATCCAAAAGTGAGTTAGCACCCAAACGATTAGCACCATGTACAGAAGCACATGCAACTTCACCTGCTGCTAACAATCCCTTAACTGGATAATCTGGTTGATCTTCGCCCTTCTTGTAAACCACTTGACCCGTATAGAGAGTTGGAACACCACCCATATTGTAGTGAACTGTTGGGACAACAGGAATTGGTTCCTTGGTTAAGTCAACACCTGCAAAGATTTTAGCAGTCTCAGTAATACCTGGCAATCTTTCATGGAGCAATTCTGCTGGTAAGTGATCCAAATGCAAATGAATGTGATCCTTCTTTGGTCCACATCCTCTACCCTCTAAAATTTCCATTGTCATGGCTCTACTGACAACGTCTCTTGAGGCCAAATCTTTAACACTTGGTGCATATCTTTCCATGAAACGTTCACCTTCAGCATTTCTCAAGAAACCACCTTCACCACGAGCACCCTCAGTAATAAGACAACCAGCACCATAAATACCGGTAGGGTGGAATTGAACAAATTCTAAATCTTGATTTGGTAATCCGGCTCTTGAAGCCATTGCGGTACCATCACCAGTACAGGTGTGAGCACTTGTACATGATGCATATGCTCTACCGTATCCTCCTGTTGCTAGCACAGTGTAGTGAGCACGGAAACGATGCAGACTTGAATCTTCAAGGTTATAGGTCATAACTCCTCTACATTCATCTCCCTCCATCAACAAATCCAAAGCAAAATATTCAATGAAGAATTGAACATCATATTTCAATGCCATACCATAGTTGGTGTGCAACAAAGCGTGTCCGGTTCTGTCAGCAGCAGCACAACAACGTTTAGCTTGTCCACCTTTACCGAATTTAATACTTTGACCACCGAAAGCTCTTTGATAAATCTTTCCTTCTGGTGTACGAGAGAATGGTAAACCCATATGTTCCAATTCAATAACAGCTTGTGGAGCTTCCTTACACATGTAGTGAATGGCATCTTGATCACCAAGCCAATCACTTCCCTTGACTGTATCATAGGCGTGATAAGTCCAGTGGTCTTCGGTCATATTACCAAGAGCAGCATTGATACCACCTTGAGCAGCAACTGTGTGGGATCTTGTTGGGAAAAGCTTTGAAATACAGGCAACCTTGTATCCGGCTTTAGCCAAGTTTGCTGCACACACGAGACCAGCGCCACCAGCACCAACAATGACCGCATCATAGGTATGGTCAATCACTGGGTATACTTGAGAGAGTTGTGGACCCTTTTCGTTCATAGTTCCTTCTCTAACAGCACTATTTCCTAATACCACCAAATTTTTAATATTTGATGAGAAACATCTATTTTGGATATTGTTTGTTGTTGATGTTGTTGTTGTTGTAGTAGTGAGGAGAGAAGGAGCACTTTTAGTCGAAAGAGATGATGATGATGAAGAGAGAACGCTCTTCTTGACTTGATTAGCCACACGTTGGAGCTTTCGGCAGTTTTTCATCATTTTTTGCGTTTAATTTTTTTAATGCAATAATAATTTTCAGTTTGCCAAGCTGACGATCGCATCAGCTGAAATTAATTTCAAGTTCGGGATTTTCCGTGAGATGCATCATTAGATTAATAATAGTCATTGCAATAGTTGTTAGAATTTTGAATGAAGAGAACGTATCTGTTCTTTATTATGGATGTATTAGCTTTTTCAAAATTCTTCATTAGCCTTTCAAAAAAATGTTACAAGATGTTGCTCCAGGTGCTTTCCTTGGAGTACTCGCTTTGTTTGCCTCAGGCTTTATTTGATGATAGGAAATGTTCATTCTTTGGAGGAAGAAGTATTGACTTGGTTCCTATTATGCATGTGTATGGGACAATTCAGGAAACAAAACAAAAGGCTTGTTTGCACATTCATCAATTGTATCCGTATTTTATGTTGTCGTTTCCCTACGAGTTGTTCTTGGAAGAAGGTGAAGAAAATGATCATTCAAATTTGAAGAGAACCGATAATTTACTGCTAAAATTGAACATGAGAAAGGTTTCTGATTTCATACATGTTTTGGGAAATACCATTGAACAAACCTTTCACAGATCACTCTATGGCACCTCACTTCAGCAATACCAGAACATGCAACAACAAAATTCCAAGCAGGATCAATCTGTTTACAAACATCAACGACAATTCATTCATGACATCGTCGTTGTGACAGGCACTCCATTTTACGGATATTGGTTTAACCCACAATTGTTCTTGAAAGTATACGTGTATAATCCAAGCCATGTAGGTAAAATGGCAGCCATGTTCGGGAATAGTAGTGTGATGGGTCATAAATTCTCTGTATATGAAGCCCACATTCCTTTTTCTTTGCAATTCATGATGGATTACAATGTGTATGGAATGGGAGATTTGAGTGTTGAAAAGGTATTTTTCAGATTACCTTTTCACGCAGCTGATAATGACAATGAAAATACTCAGAAGATTAGTAGCCAAAATGCCACAAATTATGGAACAATTTTGCCAGAAAATGTCAAGAGGTTATCCAAATGTGAGATTGAAATGGACATTTTCTCAAGGGATGTTTTGAATCGACAAGAAATTATTAATGTGCAACTTTCCCTTGAAAAGGATAAAGATAATCAATTTGGAAAAGATAGAAAGCTTCTCCAGTCCCTGAATATTATTTGGGAAGAAGAAAGAAAAAGAAGAAGATCCATCAATATGGAAATCTCACAACCACCCATTCCTTTTTCACCATTTGAGAGAGAGGTAAATCAAAAAAACGAACTGGAAAATATTATGTACGACCACTTGGTAGAAATTATTGAAAAGGTCCAAAAAAACGATGATGAGGAGGGAATTATATTTACCAGCCAAATACCAAGTGGATTGAGAGATGACACTTCGACCATTAAGCAATCTCAAGAAACACTGAATCAATTATTATCCAATTATCCAAGTGCATTTCTGACATATGAAGAGATTAAAAAAGAACAAGGAATGTTCTATGAGAATGCTCACATCCATAACGATAACCAGTACAGCATTCAATTAACTCAAAGTGATGAAGAGCTCGAAAACATCCTGAATTGGATGAGAGAAAAAGATTTTGAGCTGAAGGAAGATGAATACAATAATCTAGGACTTGAGGACGAAAATGAAGACGATGAAGAGATGGAAGACAATACAGAAAACGAAGAACATGAAATTTTAAATTCTATGAAGGAAGTGATGGACATGGATGACACAATGCACATTCTCGAAGTAGATGAGTCTGATGATCATGTTTCTGATGGTGAAGAAGGTTACTCATCTGAGAGCAGTGATGGTGATACGTACGAACTTATACCTCAATATGATGGTTACTCTGACAAGAACTCTCTAAGAAAAAAAGAAAAGAATATCAAACTTACAATTGAGGATGTATCAGTAGGAGAATTTGTTTATCTACGAGCTCCAAAAAATTGCAAACCCTACATTGCATGCGTTATTGACAAAAACAATCAATCTAAAATCGTAACAGTGAGGTGGTTCTACAGACCAGAAGAAACGAAAGGTGGAGTTAGAGATTGGAATGGAGAGAATGAAGTGTTTTTGATCTCTCATTGTGACACCAATTTAATTGATACAGTCATTGGAAAATGCAACGTTCTTTTTGTGGACAAGTACTTTAAGGATCTTCCCACCAATATTGTTGTTGATAATTTTTTCATTGAAGAGAAACTTCCTGAAGAATTCGTAGAGCAGTCAAAAGACACCTATTTTTGTAGATTTGAATACTCTGTGAAAAACAATAGCTTTAGAAAGATTTCAAGCAAATCAATGGAAATATTTACACATGAAGGAAACAAGACCAATCTACTTCCCAGAAAAAAGAGAAAAGTTTCTTTTCAAGAGGAAGAGGCAGCATCAACACCAAAGAAGAATATTGAGAAGGCTCATGATCAATTCTTTCTTGACAATTTTTTTCCATCCCAAGCAAAGCAAATAATTTCCTCACAAGAAAGGTCTTCACACCAACTCGACAGTATGGCTTCTCAAGAAATTTCTTTTTCGCTTGTTCAGCAAGCGCTTGATGTAAGACCTGAACGTTTTCTATTTGCAGAGGTAACACATCAAAGTGGTGCTGTCAATAATGATAGTCTTTTGGAGTCACCTCAAGAAGAGGATGCGCAAAAAGGAGCTGTTATTGATGACAACTCTAAGGAACCGACGTCTCCAATTTTAGAAGCTTTAGTACAACAAGAAAAAAACAAAGAGGACAGCATATTAGAGGAGGAGCCCAACATTGAAGAAAGTTTATCACCTTCACTTTTGATTACTTCCGAGTCACAAAATGAAAGACCTTTAAACGAAATCAAGGAAGGCATCAACGCTTTCGCTCTTCAAGATGAGGCTGTAGTTGACAATGATTGCACACCACCGTTAGATGACACATCATCTTATGGAAGGGTTAACTCATCTGAACATACACTGATTTATAAACCCACTCCTCCCTCATTGAACATGGTCTTAGATGAGCTTCATGTGTCTGCAAAGGAAAATCGAGGTATGATCAAAAATCTTGAAAAAAGACCCTTTTTCAGCAATCACTCTGATTTTTTGGAGAGCAAGAGAAGCTCCATTATTCGATTTTCTTCAATCTTCGGTAAAAAACGAGTGAAAGAGGGAATGCCTATCAGTAAGCACTTAGACGAACTCGATGTTTTTTCAATCCTTCAAAAACACTCAGAATCCAAGCTGAAAACAAACGCCATTCACTCCAAAATGATACTAGAATTTGCACCAAAACCACCAACACTAAAGCAGATTATGAAGGAATTCCATGTAGAATCAAAGACAACTTTGAGTGATGACACATGTGAAAGTTTCACACACATAATTCCGTCTCCTGAGTTTGACGAGCCCATTCTAGATGTTGTCTCATCACTTCCTCCTAAGAATTTGTGTTCACTCAATACTACTCCTCCTAATACACCTTCCCGAAGACGACGAAGAGCGCCTCAATCACTAGTGTCAGAGTTATCTGTAACTATTCAGCGAAAAAAGATTGCCTTTAATTTAGATACACATGACAAAGAAGACTCTTCCACTAAGAAAGAGCTCGTCTCCAAACAAAATATTAATGTAATGTCTATTGAATGTCATGTCACTACAAGGGCAGACTTTTTACCGAATCCAATTTATGATCCAGTTCAAGCCATTATCATTTGCTCCCAAAATTGTGCAGATGTTGCAAACAGTACAGAGAGTATTCTACTTTTAAATCGAGATTTAGAGGACAACGACACCATACAACACAAATTAACATGCATTCCACTTAATTTTGATCGATTTTATGAATTTAAAACTGAACAGGACCTTCTGAATGGATTCATTGATTTTATTTGCAAGGAAGATCCCGACATTTTACTTGGATATGAAATGCAAACCGAAGGTCTTGGATATTTGATAGAGAGAGGTTTTACTGTACTGGGAAAGAATATTTGCTATGATTTGTCGCGTGCAATTTTCTATCAAAACGAAAACAAAGCTAATAATACTAATAAGGACAAGAGGCAAGATAAAATCATGAAAAAAGCTCAAGAATACGCAAGAAACAAACAATCTGGAGTGATGATTAAGGGAAGAGTGGTTATTAATGTTTGGAGACTCATGAACGGAGAAATGAAACTTGATATGTACACACTACACAATGTGGCGTTTAACATTCTTGGGAAGAGAATTCCATATTACTCATACCAAACGCTCAGTGAGTTATCCAACAGTTGTCAGCATCGTAAAGACAGCTTTGAATATCGAATTATTCTTCAATATTATTACAAGAAAGCAAGTATTACACTTGAATTATTGAACTATTTAGACTTTTTGAATAGAACTGGAGAACTTGCAAAGGTATTTGGAATTGAATTTTTCTCTGTCCTTAATCGAGGATCTCAATACAGAGTAGAAAGTATGATGCTCAGACTTGCACGATTGTATAATTATGTCGCTCTTTCACCCACTCGGAAACAAGTCATGGAACAAGCAGCTATTGAATGTTTGCCATTAGTCATGGAACCACAAAGCAAACTTTATACGAATCCAGTCATTGTTTTGGATTTTCAATCTCTTTATCCATCCATTATTATTGCCTATAATTTATGTTATAGCACATGTTTAGGAAAGATGGCATATGTGGATCAAAAAAAGAGCAAACTCGGTACATTGGATGGTTATGAGCCCAATAGTGAACTGAGAAAATTATTGAAACATAGAGAAGAGGGAAAATCCATTGAAGAAGATATTCTTATTACACCCAATCAATGTCTATTTGTGAAACCAAATGTGAGACAAGGAATTCTTCCAAGAATGTGCACAGAAATTCTCAACACTCGAGTCATGGTCAAACAAGCAATGAAGGAAACGAGTAAGGAAGACACTGAAACTCAACGTATTCTCAATGCACGCCAGCTAGGTCTAAAACTCATTGCAAACGTGACTTATGGATACACATCAGCCAATTTCTCAGGAAGAATGCCACTTTCTGATTTAGCGGATGCCATTGTGCAGCTTGCAAGACAAACTCTGGAAAATGCGATTGAAACTGTCAATCAACGCTTCAAAGGAAAGTGTCGTGTTGCATATGGGGACACAGACTCACTATTTGTGGAATGTATTGACTCTACAAAAGAAGAAGCATTTAAACTTGGGAAAGAAATTGTGAAGATTGTCACAAATTCTAATCCAAAACCAATTACATTACAAATGGAACGAGTGTTTCATCCGAGTTTTCTGGTGAGTAAGAAGAGATATGTCGGTCTAGCATTTGAAAATCCTTCACAAACGAAAGGCACGCTTTTCTGCAAAGGCATTGAAGCTGTGAGAAGAGACAATTGTTTAATGGTACGAAGTTTAATGGAAAAGAGTCTCGAAATTCTATTTGAAACTCTTGATTTTTCTCTTGTGAAATCTTATCTATCGAGACAGTTCTATAGAATTATCTCTGAAAAATGCTCTCTTCAGGATTTCATCTTTTGGAAAAAGGTCAAACTTGGATACTATAAATCAGAGAAAAATCTTCCTCCTTCTGCAAGAGTAGCAATTCGAGAAATGCAACGTGATCCAAGAGCAGAGCCAAGATTTAATGAACGAGTGCCCTATATCGTAGTGTTCAGTCCTTTGCATCCATCTAAGGCAAAATTATCAGACATGGTCATTCATCCAAAATATTATATTGCGGATCGTATGGGAACTAGTACGTCCAATCAAGTAATGATTCACAACACTCGCCAAAAGTATCGTCTTCATTATAATTATTATATCACAAGACAACTATTACCTTCTTTAGATCGATTATTTTCATTATGCTTTGTGAATTGTAATGTTTGGTATATGAATTTACCGAAACGTGACGTGTATTTGATGGCCGATTGGAGAAAACAATTATTTAGAAAATCAAAAAATTTTATTGAGAGATACTTCAAACCAATCAGTTTGCCATGTGTGAGTTGTGGAGCCATTATTGATTGTAAAACATTGAACAAAGTTGAAGGGGCGGCGACAGATCTGTCTTCACAAGAACCACTATGTCCCAAATGCAAGGAATATCCACTTGTGTTGTTGCTTCGATTGAGAAGCGTGGAAAGGAACAAGAATATGCTTTCTGAACTATGTCGACATTGCAACCATGAATTAGATGTAACGAATGGATTATTGCCTTATTCCAAAGTTCCATCGATCGAAGAAAAATGCATGTCCCTAGAATGCCCAATTTTGTTTTCAAAAGTTCATACCCTGAGCAATTTTGCTAGCTTGTTGTTTATTGAAAAAAATTTACGATAATGAAAGTATAATGTATCAATAATTAGATTGTGAAATCTGAGATATTATTGGATTTTTGTTACAAATCAACACTTCCATTTTTAACACCTTCCAATAACTTGGTCAAGTGATCATCAATTGTTGAAATGGCAAATTGTACATGTTGGAAATTAGTAAATGAGCCACATATTGCCATTCTTAGGCTATATTTTCCGTCGAGTACAGTGTGACTGAGATACATGAGTCCACTTGAATTAATTCGCTCTATAAGTAGTTCATTTAAACGATTTTCCTTTTGTAGTGTCCACTCTTTATCGTATTCTGTCAATTTTGCTCTAAAGCATACTAATGAAGCAACCCGAGGAGCTACAATTTCAAAACGTTGAGACTGTTGTTTGATATGATTCTCAAAAACTTTTGCCAGTTCAATATGATGTCTCAAATAACTTTGAAGACCTTCAATTCCATAAATTCGCATCACAAACCATAGTTTCAATGATCTAAATCTTCTACCCAATGGTATTTGCCAGTCTCTGTAATCTGTAACAAAGCCAGTAGCTGATGCCTTATTTTTGAGATATTCTGGGTCAATAGAAAGAGCATTCTTCAAATGTTTTCTTTCTAAAGAATGAATCAGAAGAGAAATTAAAGCCATAATCCACAACATATGTGAACCCCAAATGCATAATGTTGTCGCTACATACCCTTAACCCAAAAAGCACAACAATCAAAATTTGTTAACATCCACTTGTGAGGATTAAATGTAAACGAGTCACTGTAACTCAGAGCCTCACATTCATCTCCAACAAACTTGCTTCTACATTCTGGCAACAACAGTGTCGCTCCTAAAAAAGCTGCATCCACATGAAGGAATATCTCATGTTTCTTACAGATTGGACCAATTTTTGACAAGTCATCAATGGCTGTAGAAGATGTTGTTCCAATAGTTCCACAAACAAAGAATGGAATAAGTCCATTCTTTTCATCTTCTTCGATGGTTTTTTCTAGTTCATTATAATTCATGTCATATTTTGAGGGAAAGGTTGGAATTTTTCGAAGATGAATCACGCCAGTAATCATACACGCTTTTTGAATAGAGCTGTGAGTTTGATCTGAAACATAACAAACAAGTTTTGATTGAAAATCAGCTTCATTAAATTTCTCCTGACCTAATTGAGATTTGAGCTGAGACCGCTTCTTCTCTTTGGCAGCTAAAATAGCAACAATTCCAGCTGATGAGGCAGTATCTTGAATAGATCCTCCCTGTGTTGAATATATACCAATAATTTGAAAAATTTTTGTTGCAATTAAACAAGTTGTGAATATGAATGTCATTTGTAAACACATTGCAACACTTACTCCAGTGGTTTCACTCAAATAAAATTTTGGTAAATGCAATGCTTTTGCAAGCCAGTCCATTACAATCGTTTCAAGCTCTGTACATGCTGGTGATGTGATCCACGAGAAACCGATCACATTGAACATTCCTGAAAACATGTCACCAATTAAAGCAGGATAAGAAAAATTTGCACAAAAGAACTGTCCAATGATGAGTTTGAAAACAAATAATTTTTGGATTTCCCAAAATTTTGTAAAATATTAACAAATAATTAATATTATAATAATTATTAATAATTATGATCATATTAATATGAAAGAGATGGGTTAAAAATCAAAATGGATGAAGTAACCAAACAAATACATACAGAGTAAAAATTGGGATGCTGCCAATGTGTAATTCCAGGCATAATCTTTTCAGAAATGTCTTTCAAAATATCGTCAAAGGATTCTCCTTTCAATGGTGCTTCGGATGGCAACAACTTTGCCAAATACCCTGGTTGAACTTGAGAGCATACCGGAAGAGGAGAGGAGTTCTCAACAAGGTGTTCATCCTTTTCCGAGAGCGGTGCTTGTGATGATGCATGGATCAATTTTTCATAATATTGAGTAATGAACTCTCCTGTGGTCCGTAAATGATTTTTAAAGTCCTCGGAAGACCATGGATGTTGATAATTTAAATGAGAGAATGAAGAAGAATCATTCATGGTGGTTGTTTTTGAAGAATCCAAGAGGCCATTGTTGTTGTTATTAGTATTAATATTAGTATTATGACTAGAGTGATGAAATTGATGATTCGGAACGGAAGAAGAAGAAGGAATCATTTTTTGAGGAGCGACAAGTAACGATCCTTTCAAAGAAGCAACAGAATCACTACCACCACCACCACCACTGCTACTACTACCACGAACAAGTCCAACTCTGCGCGAGAGAAAACAAACTCGGCTAATTCCTTCTCGATGAAGACGGTTCAGCATGGAAGGTTGATGATGTTTTTTTGTGATGAAGAATGAAGTTGAGAATCGGGACTTGAGCTATTGGTAATCGTTCGTTGTTGGATGAACTATGGAGTCATGTCTTTTCTCGACTCCAAAACCTACACAATGAGCTGTTTCATCGCATGAAATCATCCTTTCAACATCTTCTATCACATTTTGTTGTTATGAAGTTCTGATATCCAAGACACGAAATCCCCATTCGGTTGTAAAACAGGTTTGTTGCATGTTCAATCTTTGCTTCAAAGTTGCCTTCAAACTTGATCAACGAATCCACATTATTTTCCAAGTCCGTCCCATAAATTACAATTTCATTCAAGGCTTGTTCTTCAATCGCCATACCAATATCTTCATCTCTAAGCAAGACATCTATTTGACACTTATTCCATTTCTTTGGAGTACTCTTTTCCAATTCTCACTAACAAGTTTCTTCTTCAACTAGTTTGGGCGGTCAAAGCATAAATGCGAATTTGAAAAAAGAATATTAGTTTCCAAATCCTTAACACTCAATGTTCAAAATAATGAGTCTGAACCCGTCACATTTATTGCAGAGCAAAATGGTGTTGGTCAAATGTCATTTGCATCTGTAACTAATAATATTTCAAACATGTCTCCAAATGATGCTAATGCAACTGCCAAACAATATTTAGACCAGTATTTCAATGTCATGTTCAACCTGTTGGCTCATGAGCATCTGAGACAATATTTTAGAGATTTAAGATCAGTCAATTTTCAAAGAGGGAGACGAAGTGGAATTAAAGGAATACTCAACAACTGAATAACAGAATCAAGAAACTTGCACTTGGGAAGTTTTATGGAAAAGGATGAACTGTGAACTTCCGAAAGGAATCTTTTTCCAACACGGCAAAAAATGTCTTCTTCCAAATCTTCGACGCTCGATCTCGCTCAAATTCTGAAGCGAATGCTCATGGCAGAGAATGACACTCTCTACCGATCTTCCGATGTGGCCACTCTCGAACAACTTATTGAAATGAACGGAGGAGATTTATTGGCAAGTTTTTCAATGGTTCATGGAGGAGATCCCACTCCATCCAAAGTCAATATTTCTGAAATCACTGATCAGTACTATAAGGAAAAGGGACCCACTCAAAGTAGTAGTAGTAGCAGCAGTACTACTAGAAACAACAACAATAACAACACAAATTATAACACATCAACAACAAGGAACAATAATAGAGACCGAAGTTTGGAGATTACGATTGAAGATGAGGAGGAGAACACGAATATTCTTCCGAACACTGCAATCAATGAAGATGAAACTGGAAAACAACAAGCCACTTCCTCTTCATCCTTATCGATGAGTGAACTAAAGAAAAGTCCACAAAACGACTCCATGAATATCCAAGATCACCCATCATCCTCCTCCTCCTCTTCACAACCACACAGAGCCTTGACATTATCCATGCAAATGAAACTTCGAGCACTTCGGTTGAAACTACGAGAGACACCAATGGCTACTCAATTCGAAAAGTATGATGATCATTTGTTGGCTAAATGGTTAGAAGACCACAACGAAGATGTAAATGCCACACTGGGATATATCGTTTCAAATAGCAGTGGCACAGCTCCGGTGGGTGCTTCCAGTAGTACTAGTGGAGAGGCTCAAAACGGCGATATTGTGATAAACGATGATGATGACCAGAACAACAAAGCACGAAGCCTCAGTTCTGCAAGTTCTAGCGATATTTCTGTTGATGATCCTTTAAGTTTGGTTGATAATGACGTAAAAACCAAGAGACGCCATTCAGCTCTTACCTTAGATATGCAAATTAAGATTAGAAGCGTTAAAATCAAATTGAAAAACACCAAAAACATTCAAAATGTTGATGATATCACTGTATTTAACTTATTACAATTGAATGACAACGATGTGCAAAAAACAGTGAAATACTTGAAGGAATGTGATTCGAGCACAATATTGAATAGTGGAGCTCCTCCACCGACTAAGACACTCTATATTGCTCCAACTACTTGGGATAAAAACCCATCCATCCCCATACCACCTGAGGAGATTGAAAAGTTAAAACAAGAAGGTAGAAATATTGTGAATATTAATCAGTTACCCAATGATTCTCTTGAACATGTATGTGAGTTATTATTTATTTGGAAACCTTATGGACAACATTCTTTTTTATAATTTTAAATGATGTTTGGTGAATAATACTACTAAAAACAATTGTGTGGATTCAACGTATAGATACTAGAGTATTTGGACAAGAGAAACAATTTACAAATGTCAGCTGTGAATCAATACTTCAACAAGTGTGCCTCATCTGATTACTTTTGGACAAGCAAGGGCCAAAAAGGTCGAAATGGTTTAATTGAACCTTATGAGGTAGATCAGTATGATATTTTCACTAAAAATCATACTTATTTTGGAAAATGGAAGCTTGCAAGAATGGACAATTTATTCTACACCAAACTTTATCAAGTTCCAGTTTTCATGCAAGAAAAGCTCGAAAAAAGCCAATCAAGACATGGACACTGTTCATTTACAAGAGCAACAACAGTCAACAACAAATAATGATGAGGGACCATCTTTCAAATCAAAATACGCCAAATACAAGAAGGAACAACTTGTTCAACAACGAGTGATGGAAATTGAACATTCCATCGTTCAAAATAAGATAAATGACCTCTCCAATAGAGATTATGAATGGAAGGAACATGTTTATAAATCCTGGATAGGATTTATCGTCGTTTCCATTGTTTCAGCGGTTGTGGGACTGGTATTAATTCCACTTTTCATGGATGAATATATCCCTAATGACATTGGAACATACTATTGGTTGTTCTCATGGCTTTCAGTCGGAATTGTTACGATTCCCTATTTCTTGATCATGATTGCTCATCATGCACATTTATACGAGTTTTATCCTGCTTGGACCTCGAAACAGTTGAAAGACTTTCGTATTGAATATACTACTCAGACATTCATACTATTTAGCTCTACTTGGATGTGGATTCCCTATATATGGCTTGTGGGAGGTGTAAAGAATGCTGTTTTTCCTGATTTACCCATTTTGAGTTATATTGCTATTCCTGCCTATGTTTGGTGTTTGTTATCTTATCTGTGTGGTGCTCCTGCTCTTAAATCAAGGTAAGTAAGGGAATTTGTGAATGTGGTCTATGTTTATCTCACCAACATGTTGTGCTTATTTAATTTCACACATTTCCAATATAGTTTGAAGGAAACTCAAAGGGAGAAAGCAGCATTTTATGTTTCGACATTCACATATGGCCTTTTATTAGCCTTTTCTGTGTTGTTTATTATTTTGTTATTTGCAAAGGTTGGTAGTAATTAATTGCATTTTCACACAGCTAACCATATATTATCAATATTGTTGACTTATTATTATAATTGTATTATTATTTTACTTTTATAGATTGATGGACTCGAGTATGCACTGAATATTCCTTGGTCCTTAATATTTGTTCCACTCTATGCTGCTATTTCATGTTTCCCTTTAGGATTTTTAATTGTGCCAATTGTTGTTTTGACTCTCAACAACGAATTTTGGGCTGGTATGGGAACTGGATGTGGACTTGGATTTATTGTGTTCCTTATTGTGAGTCCTATCTACATTGTAGTGCCTTTAATTGGTGCTGTGTTAGATTCCTTCATTTTACAAACTGCATTTCCTTTTGTTGCTGTTTTTTCGATTGCTTATGGTTTAGGATTGATTGTTCTAGGTATCGCAGCATGTGTTGGATGTGTCTTTATTTGTTGCTTTTTATCTAACGTTCAAGATGATTGAGAAAAGGTTGAAGAAAAGCTTCAATTATCGTGCCTTTGTGGTTCTTTTCACCACTTCCCATTTGTGAGAAAATACCTCTAGAAAGTGGTTGTCTCTCTGTTCAAAATGACACTCGACGACGTTTTCTGCACGATGCAAGCAAGAAAAATTTATAAATGGGGAATACGGCAATAATTTGCTTGGATTCAATTAATTGCAACTAGTCCGCTGACCTTCTTTGGAACCAAAGCTATTAACATCACGAGCGAGAGCATCGGTGCTTTTGTATGAGCATTTAATTTTCGTCTATTTAAAAAAAAAGTCTCCAAATTAGTCTCTCAATATTGCCAAATTTTGACAACTTGACACACTATCGCTGTTCTTTGAAGAGATTGAAACCCTAGTCCCAACAACGAAACCCTATAACAACCACAACATCACAAACAACAACATTATTCATCATCACCATCATCATTTAAAAATGAGAAGCACTCCCAGCTTCTCAATCCCAATGATGCTTCCTTCAGGAGCCACAACAACTTCTCAAACTCCTCCATCGACGTCCAATTTAACATCATCATCCTTGCAACAACAATACCATCCGTCCTCCGCGCATCATTCATACCCTTTTCCTTCTTCACTTCAGTCTTCGAGGAATTCTTCCCAATCTCCATCTCCAGGATTACCACCATCAGCAGGAGTAGGCTTGCAAACAACCTCTTCTCTGCCTAGACCATCATCTCTAGAGAGTAGTAATAACAGGATGCAACAGCAACAACATCATGGGTCAAATTCTTCCGCATTTCATCACCACCAGCAACAACAACAATACCATCCGTCCACGATGCAGCAACAACCACAACGAAATAATTCTTCTTTGCATCCATCCATTCATTTAGTGCCATCATCATCAGCGAACGTACCTCCTCATCAATATCAACCAACTCCACATCACAGCTTGTATCACTATCCACAACAACAATCATCATCCGCTCTATCCTCATCACCGAGTAGTAAAAATCATTTGAACACCCTTTCGGGAATGTATGATCAGACATCCTCGTTACCAAACAGCAGAAATAGTATACCCTCGTACGATCAAACATTAAATTGGGCTTCCTATCAACACTGCATCCCACCTCATCATCAACAACAACCCACCACTTTAAACCCATCTCTCTCTGCATCTTCATTGTACTCTAACTCACCAACACAACATCATCAGCATAATAATAATCCTAGCATGATGACCTATCAAGGAACTCTCCGTTCTTCACCGAATACGATAGCTAACGCACAAAGTAGTACTACCAACACAGCTCCTCCTTTGCTCAATAAGACCGTTTCCTCTGTCAACGCAATGGAAAATAGTAGCAAGTTTGTGCCAATATCGTCACGAATCAGTGGAGGACAAACAAGACAATCTTCACCTCGCACATTGACCCCAACGTTTGATTCTACCACTGCTACATCATCACTCGATAGAAAATTTGTCGAATTTAGTCCTCCACAACAAAAAGCATCTTCGTATCAAGAAATGACTTTCAATATGTATGCACCGAATGACACAGTAGCAACAACGACACCTAACAACAACAATAACCTCATTCAACAACATATACCAAAGAAAAAAAAGCTCAAAATGGAAAACACAAAATTCGAAAAGGATAACACCCAACAATCAAAAATGGAATATTCTTTTAATCCTCAAGAGTGTATGGACGACGTTTCATCTGTACTGGCATGTAGTGGAGCTAAACTTTTCCCTATTGCTTGCGTTGCATGTAGACAGAGGCATAAACGTTGCAACAGAGTGCTTCCGTCATGCAGCTCCTGTGCCTCCAAAGGTATTCCATGCCAATACAGAACACCAAGAAAAAAAGGAAGAGCTTTGAATGCTTCAGAACAATTTCAACCCTACACTTCCCTAGATCAAATCAAATATATACCCCAAAGCTCAGGTGAAATAGACATGTCACAATTTGATTCTAACAGCAATTCAGGCTCCTCTTCTCCAAATATGAAGGTTTCATTTGAGAACGTTTCATCTGGAATGAAGAAACGCAAGAAATCTGATGAAATAGATGCAAAGAAAAAAAAGAAAACGATCAAGGCTGAACAAACTCTCGAAAACGTTCTTTCTGACTCTACTCAACTCAAGCCTGACACAACCCATATCTTAATTTCTCCTAATAACCAAAACAATATTGCACCAACAACAAACGAGCAAATGCAGCCAAACTTCGAAGCGAGTCATCCTGTGGCAAATGTCATGGCTATCTCATCACAACCAACTATGGTCATCCATGACAATCAAAATAGCATGATTGTGACGGCTTCAAACACTACTAATGAAAGCCAAAATAACTCTGGCTATTTTGTGAATGGCCAATCGATTGACATAGAATCTGCAAAAGCCTTACTTAACGCTCTATCAAATCCTAACATGCCCCAAAATACTCTTTGTCAGTTACTTTCAATTTTACTCTCTAGCCCTGATAAGGTTTATGTCTATCAAATTTTGGACACTTTACTGCGATCAACTGACTCTAACGGAGTAAAAACTTTGGTAAACAATGCCTATAGCTTGGAGAATTACATGACCACCAACGAAAATTTAAATATCAGTGCAATTAAGAGGAAATCTATCGATTTCTATGATGAAGTAATTAGCTTGGGCTATCCTTTAATAAGTACAGAAATTATGGAGGATGCACTTTTTAGTCCACACTATATTAGGGGCCAATACAGCCCAGATCAACTTGGTCTTATTTATGCCATCTATGCAGTAACATGTCAACGATTTTGTGAACCTTTGCAAGCTAAACAAGCATATCACAGAAGCTTAGTAGAGCTCAAAGATATCAAAGATCGGAACAATATTATAGTAATTGGAGCTTATTGTAATTTAGCTTTGTACTGTGCAGGAACAGGAGATACTGATACAGCATATCAATTTATAACATCCACTGATGTTTATTTAATTAACAGAAGAAAGGAGAGATCCGGAATGGTATCTAATGATGCTGTTTTGAAATTTATTGGAGATGCTGATGAAAATTGCCCCTCCATGTACACATATCTTACTGAAGATGAGTTTAAAGTGGAAAAGTTAAAACTTGTGGCTTGTGTTTCCGGCTTCTTAGGGTCAGGAGTTATTCCATCGATGACAACCGGTTATTTTTCTCTTAGAGGTTATACGTTTACAGAAGAAATTGGTTCTTTCATTGCAGAGTGTATTATTTTGTTTACTGGAAAAATCTCAAAATCTGACTTGACGATTTTGACAAAGCGTCTTGATCCTAACACTCTTCCAGAATATTTATCAGTTTTGAAAGACATGGAAACTGCTTATACTGGCCACGAGCAAATGCGTAACTATTCTGATCTACAAGCAAAAGTGGCCACAGCTTTACTCCTCTGTGTGAGTAATGGAGTGAGAGCATGGATTTTACATAAGAGTGGCGTTAAAGGACCATTAATCGAGGAATTTGCCAGAAATATTACAGTCAGCTCTACTCCAGACTATTTCTTGTTGTTGCATGCTGTTATTGCTCCTTTTGTTGCAAAGGCCACTGAAATCCATTACGAAACCATTGTTGATGCCGAGAGCGGATTAAGATCAAGAGATGACCTTGTTAACCTATATAATTTATTGCAGACCTCTTTTTCTATTCTCGTTGCCATTACCAAACGCTATCCAAGAGTTGAAAAACAATGGGGCAATCTTTTACTGCAGGTCGCTCTCAAGCTCAAATCTCTTGGAGGGCCTCCAAACGAGGATGTTGATAAGGTTTTGTCTGTGCTCATGCAACCTTCGGGTACGATGGCGCAAACCTCAAGCGTTGTTCAGCAACCACCTAAGCAGACCCAACCTAATATTTCTTCTTTAGACCTGAGTTCTGCTGTGCAATTCAATTTTGAAGAAAGTTTAAGAAACTTTATTGTGACGAACCAGTTCACTAAAATAAATCAATAGGCCATATTTATTTGAAAAACAAAGTGCCATGATCCAAGATTTGAATCTTGAAAAGATCCTTATATCCGTGTGGAGTTTGGAAATGGCTCGTTGAAGCAGTACTGCCACTATGGAGAGTTTGTAAATATGCATACTTAACTCCTGCTGGCAACGAAGAATCTGGATAATCACCTCCAAAAAGCAAACGATAATTCACAGCCTGGGTCCATGTTGGATATTTTAAAACGTCACGATGTATCTGTACTAGTTCAGATGCTAATCGATCCTCATTGAATTGTCTGTTGGCTCCTTGGTAAAAGGTCGTGTTCCTTTTTTGATTATACTTTTGACGAGATGTTTTGCTGAAAGGATCATACACAGTTGCAAGGGTGAAAATTTGCTTTCCATGTGTCAAATGAACAAGCAATTCGACAGCTTTCTCCCAGTTCTTTCGATCATGTTCATTGTATGGCTTGTAAAATTGCGTTAAACTGTTAATAACAATAGCCTTGTAAGAGTTGAGATGCTCGAGTGCGTCCTTATCTCCCTTCTCTACAGAAGCTCGTTGTGTGAGGAAATTCTCATCCTCTTCCTCCAAGTCTAAAATATATTTATCTCTGAGCTTATTACTTTCCAAATGTCGTTTGTATAAAGCTTCAAAAGCAAGCGCAAACTGAAATGAATTATCGATATGAAAAACGTGTATACGGCTTAAAATTTCCATTATAAATGATTTGTAATTACTTTCAGAAGCTTCAAAAACTTCTTCTACCACATTCTCTTCTGTAATATCGTCATAATTGATATGTTCTCCTCTCCTTTTCTTCAAATCAAAATATGCTTTAAAAATACACATTTCTATAATTTCAATAAATCGGTGTTGATCAAATTTGTCATCCAAATCAAAGTACAATACATGATATCCTTCCCTAGGTTTTGTTTTCTCATCTCCTGAAAACTGTAAAATTTTGAAATGAGTTGGCATGGCCAAATGGCAAATACTCGTATAGCAAGTTTGTGTTAATCCCTGTCCTTCATTTCCATATAATTCAATAATGGATCCTGCAAGTTTCATCTCACCCACAATAGAATCAAAAGGTTCTATTCCTGTCTGTATGGCATCTATTTTCTTTCTTTTCATGAACGCAAGAGCATTCTCGGAATAAACTTTGTGTTCGGAAAATAATTTGTTCAAGTCGCCGATGTGATGATTTCTTACTGATGATGAATGATAATCAGTGATGGAATGTGCATATTGTTGCCTTTGGTGCTCTTCCAAGTGTTGTTCCAGTTGAGTATCTTCCTCCGTTGATGAAAATCCAAAAAGAAGACTTTGCAATTCGGGCGTCAGTTGAAGCATTTTTTTTAAATTTTGGAAAAAATAAATTCCACTTTTTGCTGTCTTTTAATTTCAACAGTTTCTTTATTGTTTGAGGCTTCAAAACATTAATTGCCAAGTAATAAGGCAACACCACCAAGAATCCACTTGGAAACATCATGTTTCGTCTTGAGTTGAGCTGTGAAAATATATGTTGGTCCTCTTTGTGGAGTTATATACACTGGACATTCATAAATGCTTTTAACATCCTTCTTATCGATTGGAACAGCTTTGATGTGAATGACTGGCATTGGTGTGTGTAATACTTTGAGATCACTCTCTCTCAAAATACCTGCTTTCATGTCCCAACCAGCTCCTTCTAGAATGAATCCATCCACATAACAACCTTCTCGTGGAGGGGTTGGTGGAATTTCAGATCGAGTCTTTTTGAGAACTTCTGTTTGAATGCACATCTTGTCTAAAGGATAACCATTCTTACGAGCAGATGTTTGCATGATCGCTGTGAGGAATGCCATTGGATTGAATAAACCTGAAAGCCATACTACTTTAGGCAGAGTCAATTCAGAACTCCATTCTTCGAGTTGTCGAACTCTCTTAATTAAATCTTCAAACCATTGATTGAGAGGTTTTCGAGAAGGATATGCAACTTTGTGCCATCTATCGGGAACTTGATCATATGAAAGAGATTTTCTCAAGTTGTCCATTTGTTCTGAAATGGTTAACTCTCCATTCAAACCTTTTCTGAGTTCTGTGAGTGAAGTTTTAATTTCAGTTAAGAGAATGTTCATTCTTTCACATTCTTGTAAACAAACAGCGACGAATGGAATCTTTTTGTCTGCTCGACTTGAAATTTCATCCAAATCAAAATTATCAGGAAGCATGTTGTATAATTCTTCAATTTGATGTGCCATTGAGTCGTCCATGGAGTCATGAGATGAAGCTCCACTCTCTCCTCGAATTCTAATGATTGACGAAAATAGAGATTCGGCTTGATTCGTCAAGAAGTCAATTTCGGCATTAGGATGAAGTCCAAACAGAGCAGGTGACTCTGATGGCAGCTTTTCATTAATGAACTCATGATAATCATCAAGAGATTGCATGCTTGGTGGTGCTCTGAATCCTGGAGCCAACTCCATCTCATCAAATAATTGCTCTCTCAACAAACATTTCAAGTAGGTACTGCAGGTTCGACGATCCCAGTGGTCAGTAATGTGACCACCATACATGATTTCTCCAAATATATATCTGATATCTTCCCATGGTATAGAGTCATTAGTTTCCAGATAGTTATATAATACATCAGCACTAATGGTCAAATCTCCATTGTTAAAACTATAACTTCTACTCCAACCTTGGAAACCAAATTTTCTTCTTCCTAATACTACAGCATGGAAAAAGCAAAGCGCAAAGAGAATTGTTTTGAACTCGCTTTGCTTAATTGAGGACTCAAAGAACTCTTGAGAAAAGTTAGAGAGGGCTCTATGTAAATTGGCTGAAAGATCTTGAGGTGGTTCGTTTGTAATTTTGATAGAGTTTTGAAGAATACTTTGAGGAATAACAGGATGATGAGTGGGTTCTGCAGTGAGAAATACACGAAAATCTTTGTGAGAACCTTCTGATAGTTTCTCTAATTTTCTTTCCAACGTTGGTAACCACTTTTTCATAAGGTGGATGTTTTGTAACACAACCCAGCCACCAATTTCATACGCTCGTTGCAACTGTCTTTCTGCATGTTCTTCTTGGCCTTTACCCATGGAAATGTTAACAAATTTTTCATTCTCTTCAGAAAATCCAAGTCTTTTACCAAGAGCTTCAATGGTCTTGATAGGGTCAGCACCAGGGAACAAAATAAAGAAGAGAGGAGTATTTGGTCTTGACTCTGCAAATATCTTGTCTAATGAGAATGGAATGGAGTCTACATACTTGGATCCCATTATTTCTCCAACAAATTCTTTCAAAGCTTGAGTAATTCGATCAGGTCTCAATGCTCTAATGATGAGAAGTTTTTCAAAACCAGACTTTTTCTTCCATTCTTGCGGTAGACTCTCTTTTTCTGGAGCTTCCAACATGGACCATAATTTCCAACGTTTTCCAGAATTTACAATGTCATCAGATAACTTTTCAAAGCCTTCTAATTGGTTTAACTTGTAAATTGCTTTCCAACTGAAATCTGAAAGCCAATCAGTAAATGGATTTTCCTTGGGTGTATTTGGATCTGGAGAGCACTTAATCAAAAACTCCAAGTGATCTGGCCTAAATTTGTCATGATTAATTGCAAAGCAAAGATTTGTAATAAATATGAGCTTGTGTCTTTCAAATAAACCACGCTCAACATATTCATAGCATGCAAACGTTATCGAATCAATCAATTTTTCTATTCTAACGAAAAGATCTTCGTTTTCAATCTTCTCGGTTTTGGTAATAGCTCTGTTGAAAACAACTGTAAAAGCTCCTAAAGAATACTTGTACATGTGCTCGATCAATTGGAGTTGATCCAAAAGGAAGTACAACATGGAACCTCTCTTGGCTACCTTTCTGTAATTTTCTCTTGCCGAGTTAATATCCTTTTCAGTCTCAATAGATTCTAAAACTTGTTGCTTGATTACCTCACTTGTTTTCTTGGTATTTTCTAAACCGGATATCAGATCTACATTTCCAAGAATATCACCTTTGTACTTCAAGTTTTCAAGAAGATTGTCTTCGAGTTCTTTGAGCTTGATCTTAAACTCATTCTTCTTGGTGTTCAATTCTGATTTTTTCTCTTCCAAATCCGCACGCTCTTTCTGTACAACCAATGCCAAAAGTTGCTCTTCTAAACCTTCTTCTGTTACAGAAAAATTGATTAAAGTTGTTTCGGCTTGAATTTCAGGATTATAATGAGGGTTGCTCAACTTGGTATGCAATATTAATCTAAAGTTCTCATTATACTCAACTTCATTTTTGCCGAGTTTGATGTATTTTCCAGATCCACTGTGAATAATGTTTCTTCCAACGACAGGAGATAAAATTGCATCAATTGATTCCTTAATATTTTCTATCAACACTGTACTTCCTTGTTGAATTGCTCGTTCCATCTTTTCAATCAAGTCATGCTGTTCGAGTCTAAGTAACACAATATCTTTGAAGTGATTCTTGATCCAGGTAATGGCTTGCAATTGAGGATCGATAACTAGTGGCCATCTTTCACAGTTCAGTAAAATACAGCCATTTTCAATACTGGTTTTATCAGATGGAAGCTTTTCGTTTCCCCATTTGGCTATTTCAGCGTCATTGGTGAGAACATCAACAATATTCAGGTTTTCAGAGATTGGAATCTTCAAATCGAACATTTCTTTTTTCCAAGATTCAACTAGCTCGTTTCTGAAACGCATGTCGAAACTACCGGCATAGGAAATAAAAGCAGAAGCCAGCAATACATCTCCAATCAGAACATTATTCAGGGATTGTAGCTTCTGGATTTCTTCAACCCAACGTGCGTTTTCGGAGGATAAAGCTTTCACAAATCTCTGGGCCAAATCAAGTTTTTCTTGAGTTTTTCTTGCAATATCAAGAGCAGCATTCTTTTCATCCTCAGCCGCTTGATAATCTGCTTCGATTTTTTTAAGTTGTTTTTGTAGCTTTGACACAGTCTTTCTCACCTTGTTTAGCTTTTCTTCTGCGTTTGCTTTGTCAATCTTGGCTTTTTCAAGACTGTCGAATTTGGGTTTTACATCCACAAAAACTCTATTGTACTCAATTGTATTTCTGACCCAATCGCACAAACCAGCAGATGCAGAGGAATGTTTCTTGATTTGCTCCCCAGTGAAGTCCGGATTGTCCATAAAGGGTTTGATGGCAGGAAGAATGTGTGGGTAAATATTTTTAGCATCATATGCTTCAAGCAATGACAAAAACTTGTCTGCTCCTTTAGCCATGGCTTTTTGAGCTGCAGACCAACTCAAATCTTTAGATACTCCATTCTTGGGACTTAATAAAATAAGTACTGCTTGGAAAACAAGCAATACATTTTTGTTTGGAGTTTTAAACGATCTCAGTTCAGTCAGTTCATTTCTGTTCAATGTCTTTAGAGCTTGCTCTGCGCTTTCCAAAATTGGTTTGGCTTTAGCTACTTCTTCCTCACATTCAAGAGTCTGTTGAGCAACTTGTTGGCTAATTTCAGATGCATTTTTCTCCTCAGCTAATGCCTTTTTGTTTTCAGCTTCAACAATTGCTCTTTCTTTTTTGACTTTCTCCAAAATTACATCAGCAGCCGCTTCTCTTTCTTTAACTTCTTTCTCTTGAATCTCTAACTGCTTTTGAAGTTTTGTAACATTTTGCGTGGTATCCCTTAACTTTTGTATTCCTTGGCTAAGTCTGTCAATGAGAGATTTAATGTGTTCTCTCTTCTTAAAAAGCAATGATTTGTAAAGCTTAATAAATTCCAAATAGCTCTTTGGAGTAGTATATGTATATCTACCGAGATCATGGAAAAACATCTCACTAAATTCATTCACCTTTTCGTGCATGAATGACATTGTTTTGACAATAGCAGGATGGTGATCTCCAGTAATTGGTTGTTCAGGTTTCAAGAATTTATCAGCAACACTAAGGAGCGCTTCTTGAGGCCATGGGAAGAAAAAAGTCAATCTGAGTACAGTTAATGATAGCAGGGAAATTTCTGCTTCGTATTCTTAAATTATCACCAACAGGAGAGAAGCATAAAACCACGTGCAGATTTTTCCTGACCTTGTTGATGAAAAATTTCCAACAGCTTTCCTTAGAGATGTCGAAAATACCAGCAGATTTCACCTCTGTTCGAAGAGAGTTAGCAATTTCCTCGCGTTCGTCGCTTGCAAACAAGTCTGGTATATTGCCAGTGGAAAGTAAATCGTTGATATATACCAAAAATCTTTCATCAACAATTTGATTGTCATTAAGCAAGAAAACCAACTTTTGCCCTTTTCCTGCTTTCTTGTACATGATCTTTAAATCTTCTTTGAGATTGTTGACTCCATATTCCTTGGTGATAACAATTTTATAAATCTCAAAATCTCCAATGTAGGCAGCAAGTCTTGATAAACTTTGTTTACCACTTCCTCCAACACCAACCAATAATGCGTTACCATTGGATGCCTTAATTATTCTGTTGATTCGGCATATATGTTCAAGTGCATCTTCGAAAAGAACTAAATCCATTGCTGCCTTCGTTTGATTATACCTACTGAGTGCCTCTTCAAGTACAGCTCTAATACTGTCCATACTGGCAAACTCATCATAAGCTCCATCTGCTCCATTAACAAAATGAGAGAACACGAGTGGTTTCCTTGTGACAGCCTCACCACCAAACTCAGGAAATTTGTCATTCAAAATTCCCTTGATATCCTTTTCAAACTGGACTACATCAGCCCTTGAAGATAATCTATCCCCATACACACGAGAAATTTCGTGTGCGACTAATCTGGAAAACTTCAATGCTCCAGCTTTTTGATCTTTAAACTCAGAAGGTTCGCTTCTTAGTAATCCTTCAAACAAACTTGAGAGTTGTCTTAAATTGAATTCGTAATGAAATTTGTGGGCCGTCTTTGGGAAAACGTTCACCACTTTTTCATGAATGTCAATTATTGCGTTCATGACATTATTGGTCAAGTTAATGATCTCAGCTGGGAATCTTTTAAGGTGGCCACTTAAAATTGAACCATAAATTTTCTGTAAACTGGCTCTTGATGGGAAGTTAATACCCAAAGTGATGAAATGTCGTTGCAATCGAGGATTAACAACAAAGCTTCCTGCTGTAGGATTCATGCTACAAATATATTGAACCTTAATAATTTCTTTTAAATTCCATTTGGCTCTTTCATACCAACATCCATAATCCAATTGTTGACGGAGTAAAGCTATTGGTGTTTGCGTACCATAAGCGTCCACTTTTGGCATGTTGAAATCGTCAATGAAGAAAATCATCTTTTTGTTACCTGGAGGCCCAAGTCTCTTTCCTCCCTTTGACTCTAAGGAGCTTTCCAAGAAATTTTGAAGAGACTCTGAGTCAGTATAGTAGTTAAAATTGATGGTGGTTGATGAAAAGTTCAGAACATCTAAATTATTGAGCTTATCCTGAATGATTTGCGTTTTACCAACTCCGGCATTTCCAACTAGCATGAGAGGCTTTCCAAAATCAACAATATGGTCCATTAAATATCTGATACATGTCGTCTCTTCAGTTGGAACCATAATTTGAGGGACTGGAATGTCAACATCAAACTCATATCTCGGCATAATATCCTTCCAAGGTTCCATACATTTTGATGTTGGGTTATAGTATAGGTCAAAAACAGAATATTCATCACTAAACTTGACAGTCTTGAAAGTAGTACGCCACCACTTGTCGAATAATCCTTTGTTTGTATGTTTTTCATTGTCAACGACAGCTCCCATGAAAGCCCAAATAGTTGCAAAAGCAAAGAAGCTTTCTATTGTTTCTTTCTCTCCATGGGTTGGATATTTCACTAACAAGCTTTCTAAAATTTGGAAAAGGGATGACACCATGTCAAAATCTGAAAGGGGAATTAAATGCTTAAAGTTAGCTCGAACAAATTTCAGAGTTTCAGGTATGTATTTGTCAACGAGAATAACTAAATGAGCGCGTTCTATCTGTGGTCTTGTATCGATCCAGGACGCTACATAAGGCTGCCAACCAATATCTTTTTCTCCAATAAATAAAACTCCAGCTCTTGAGACTGTGGCAGGAGTAGCATATTTTAAGTGTGAAATCTCAAATATCAGTCGCATGTGAGAAAGTAAAGGAATACGGTCATTGTTTGCAAGAGTAAGGATTCTATTGTCGTCCATGACAGAGTTCATTGATTCAATCCATTCAGTATCAAGGTCTCCATCAAGTATTATCCATTTTGGATCTGTATCTTCTCTTTCTGCAAGAGTTTTCATGATACTACTAAGCAGTCCATCTCTCCATTCATCAGTTTGCTCGTTCTTGTAACCATAAAGCTCGTGGGATGTAATTGCCTTGGGGTCGAGATACCTTACAAGAACTTTTTCATGTCTTGCTCTTTTTGCTGCAGCTAGAGATTTCCAACAAACAGACTTTCCAGATCCAGAAGGTCCAATAATAAAGACGCTATGACGAACTTCTAATAATTCAGCTAATTGAACTACTTTCAAAACCAAGCTATCCTCAGATTGTAATTTCATTTCTGTCATTTGCTCAGCAGCAATTCGTTCAAATTCTTTGTCTACTTTTCGAGGTGGATCAATTCCTGGGAATAAATCGTTAATTAAACCAGTGAAGACTTCCAAGTCATCTTGTACAATCTTTGGAAGATTAAAATCTCTAAGAGCTCTCATAAGAACTTGAGTTTCAGGCATAGATGGTTCTGATCTTTTTAGGGTACCAGCAACAACCAACACCGATTTGATTGCACGAAGTCCCCAATCATAGTGGTCTTGCTTTGAAAGCAAATCTTTGTTTAAACTATAAAGTGTGATAAACTTTTTCGCTAATTGTTTTGCCTCCTTAAAGCCTTCTGCCATCAGCATATTTTCACAGATTAACTCCAAATCTGGTACTACGACAGTAACAGGCCTGAAAAGAGCCTTTAGTGACTCTGGTAACTCAGTTCTGCCCAGATAACCTGGATTCATTGTGATAAATACTCCATTTGTTGGATCAAGAGAAATTTCTTCTCCCTCAAAAAGGAATCTATCTTTTTTGGCTCTAATGGCATTCAAGATGCTCTTGAACTGAGTGGAAACCACAGACAATACCTCCACAGCAATTCTGTTAAACTCATCAAAACATCCCCAAGCACCGCTCGATGCAAGTCCTTTGAAAATATCGGCTAAACTTTCATTGTTCATCTGATCTGAACAGTTGAATACGTATACCGATTTTCCAAGTTGAGACCCTAAATCCTTTGTGGTTTCTGTTTTACCTGTTCCTGCAGGACCAGCTGGTGCACCACCCATGATTAAGTGTAAACTTTGTGTTAAGGTAATATAAATACGATCAGTAAGTGGAGTAATCACAAGACGAGGTCCATTACCAAGATATTCGTATCCATATTTAAATGTAGCGTCACAAATATCAATAATGCAATCTTGATGTTCTGCATCCCAACGCTGTCTTAACTGGCATTGCCATCCAAAATCTTGAGCTGATGTAATGTTATCACTAATTAATTTGTCAACAATATCTCTAGCGTGTACATCCAAAGTAACTAGATTCATAACTTTTTGTCTTTCTCCTTTTTCTAAGTCTCCTTGAACCATGGTGATAAGTTTGTTGAGTTGATTTACTTGCTTCTTGTAGTAATTCTTCATTGCGATTTCGTTATTTTCTTCGAGAGCATCAAACGCTTGATTCACTTCCATAGTCCAAAAAATCTGAGAAGTTACCAATACGATTTGTGCTGGATAACCAGCTAACCATTCCTCTCTGTTATTGCTTGAATAGGTAGTGATAGCTTCAGATAAAATGTCTTTCAAAGTTTTGGAAATAGCCCTAAGTAAGTCGTTCAAATAATCTTCAACCTTTCCCTGTAACACGCAAGGTGTTGTTAATTTCACTTCTTCATCTTCTCTACTGATAATTGAAATAACTTCATTAGATTGATTACCTTGGTCGTCGGTCTTAAATTTCAAAGTTTTGACAGCCTGTATTAGTTTTGGCATGTGCTTCAGTATTTTGTGAGGGGATTGACCTCCCTTGCTTAGTATGTCCAACAAGTCCGATTCAGATGTAAAGTAAAATCTGGGAAATGCCTTTTTCTTTGTTTCCAAATACTTGCTGAGTTGATGCTCGCATGATGTAAGCTTATTTTGTAAAACGATGATCGTATCCTCCAGCCCTGGTTGCGAGCAAAATACAACAATATTCTTAACTTGTTTTGCTGTAATAAGAATAGTTCGTAGCTCTCTATCAACCCCATCAAAGTTTTTAGCATCATTTGGAAGCTGTTGACGAATATCATCAGTACCTATGAAGATGTTTTCCAAGTACAACCATTTTCTTTGTACATCAAGAAGACCTGTAACTACCGTATCGACTTTTCCAAGCTTCCTGAGCCAGTCCTCTATCTCTTCGATAAAGAACTCGACAAATCTACTCGCACTGCTTGCTTGGAGTTGAAGCTGATTCTCTTCAAGGTTATCTCGAACATCTTCTGACACTTTCACAATTTCTACTCCGTTGACATGGAACACAAAATCAAATGATAGGTCACTCCAAATAGTTTCAAGATCCTTCAATTGCTTTTCCATTTTCATTTCTTTCTCTGCTCGGTCAACTATTTCGTTAACATTTTCCTGGTAATTGTGGAGCTCCAGAGCGAGAAGATCAGCAAGAGTAAAATTATTACTTATATCAAATTGAAACTTGGCCTTTTCCATCAACTGTTTCCAATGTCTACTTCTCATTCCTGGATTTCTCAACTTTTGTATCATTGGAAGTGTAACCATAAAGTTGTCAACAAAGTTTTGCAAACCTAAAAACACATCCCATCTCTTAACTCTCTTGTCAACAGATTTGAGCTCTAAAATAAATTTCTTTGTTTCTTCAGAGAGCTCGTCGTCATTAATCTTAAGGAAAGGAATTTGTTTCCATTCATCAATTTGCCATTTCACCAATGAGGCCAAATCCCATATTCTTTTGAGAAGTCTTAATTCTGTTCGGGATTCTCGTACTAATTTTCCTTGGTTTTGCATTAAACCAAAAAGTTTTTGTCTATCTCTCAATTCTTTCATTCTATCCTCGACCTCAATAAGCTTCTCATTAACTCTATCAATACGTTCGTAACTTTCTTCCATGCCAACACTGTAATCAAAAGGAGCCATCTGCAAAAACTCTTCTCTAAAGGTCTCAGACATTTGGGTAAATTGAACCTCTTCCTTTGAAATCTTTTTGATTTCTTCATCTTGCACGATGGACAGCTTATCCTTAACATCAAAATAGACTTTTGACAAATCATTCCACTTATTTTTAGCGTCATCTAAGTCTAAAATGACTTCTTGAGGAACAACGATTCCATATTTCTTCAGTAATTGCACTATTTCTCTCAAGTTTTCAAAGAGTCCATCCTTTTGTTTGTGCTCAGGTCTTTCCTTAAATCTAACGATATATCTCATCATTTCAACAAGTTTAGGGTAATCGTCTTTTGGTATTGGCTGAGTAAGGCCTGTCTTTATCTCCGAAACAAACTCATTGAATTCTGTTAATGTTTGCTTTACATCAGACAGTAAATAATCCAAGAAAGTAAATCTCCATTTGCTGGCCAAGTTGGATAAGGCTATCTTAACAGGAGAAGCATCTACAGTCAACCATCCGAAAGAGGCTTTGTCAGGTAATTCCATTATTTCATTAACCATCTTTTCATATTTCAATATTTGCATTTCAAATTCCTCTAAGGATGCAATCACATTTTCTCCTTCAATCTCAGCAATTTCTTCTCCATCAGAAATATCGCTATCACTATTAAATCTCACGTCATCACCTCCGCTTTTGATAAATCTGTTCAAATAATCTTTTGGATCTTCTTGCCATAGCATAGAGTATTCACAAAACTTCTCTCGCAAAGCCTCCATATCTTTGATAGTAGAGTTCATTAGCACAAAAACTTTTTGTTTTAGGTCTTCGATGCTTGGATCCTTTGAAATAGTTTCTTCAAAGGTTAAAGATGTATCTAATCTCTTAACCATTGATGAGAGACCTAACACTCTGCTTACCCAAACTTTCACGCTATTGTGAACACTGGTAGCACTTTCAATAAGGTTAGGTGTGAAAACAGCATCATTTCCCAGCAATTCCAACTTGACAGTAATAAAGATACTGATGTTAATTTTGGGGTTGTTTTGGTTCATAATTTCCGATTTAACAGAAAAAGAGTTAATTAAAAACATCAAACCCTCCCTTATGGCTTTGAATAGTCCTTTTTCCACAATGTCATTAACATAGAGTATATAATTCCTCCAATATCCTTCCCACTCTTGTGTAATAATAGTTGGACATATCTTGGCATAACTACTGTCCATAATTTGATGGATTCTTTCACTTTGAACAGGTACATCTGATAATCTTTTGATATTTGAAGAAACCTTTGCCTTCCACTGAGCAAAAACTCTATTCGTTACGTTTGGAGGGTCTCTCTTTCTCCAGAATGATACCATATCAAGAACCTTGCTACTTTTCCTTTCCTTGAGATCGTCTTGAGCAGAGTTATCTGTGATAATGAGAGATGAAATTGTCATCCAACTGTCTACCATCTTTTCGATAGTTTTTACGTTTCCTTTCAAGAAATTAGTTCGATTATACAAATCTTTAACCACTTCTCGTGAATTCGAAATAAATGGGTCTATATCACTTTTCCATGTAAGCCTATGTGTTGCTTCTTCTATGAGCGTGTCTGCTTCCTTCAACTTGTTAGACAATAAAGGTCTTTCAACCTCTAGAAGCGTCTGGATAACTGTGTTGTATTGTCTAACCATTAGATCCATGGTAGAAATTTTTAGACGGAAGGAATCACCTTTTGAAAATAGCTCCAAAGCTTCTTCAGGAATAATCGAGCTATAAGAGCCAAGTTGTTCTACTTCCTGAATGCAGAATGCGAGCTCTGAATTGAAATTAACCTGTAACCTGTTATTGTTAAGTCTAACAATAATGTTATCATTTAAGTGACATAAAGTGTTCTTCTCCAATAAATATTTCCAACAATTGAAAACTTCTTCTTCATATTTTTCCAATTGCGTGATAAGTCTATTGTAGCGATCTATTACCTCATTCATGAGAGAAGTTCCTGATAAAAATGGTTTGCTTTTAAGACTATCTAGAGGCCATGTAATTCTTTCTTTCAAAGCCTTGCACCAGGCAATAGCTCCAGAAACTTTAGGAAAGTTGTCAAGTATGGGAGGGTCCTCTCTGTTTCGGCTAAACAAGGCAGAAACTCTGGATAATTCATCTAGATAGATTTGAACCAATGCAGTAGTTTTCGATTCTACTTCCTGCCTTATTCGTTCTCTACGTGTTTGTGGTTCTAGTGTTTCAAGAAATTTGAATGCAAATTTGAGATTTGAATTGAGTTGCAAAGCCTTGTTAATTACAAAGCAAATTCTCTTGTCAAAATCATTAATGCACTCGCAAAACTTGTAAAAATCCTTGTCAAACTGTGTTTGCTTTAGATCTAAAATATCGTAAGTGACGTTTTGAATTTTCTGTTGTTGCTCCACAAAATCGTCAAATATTTGTGCAATCATTCCAGATGCTTCAGCCCCATTTACGCCTCCCACATCAAACTTGTCGAGCAATGTCAAATCATCAATATACAAGGTGATTGTCCTAATATCATGCAATCTTTCAATGAAACTGTTTAGTCGAGTAAAAATCTTAGAGACTTCAAACCTCCAAGGTTTTTGAGTGTTTGTCTTATTTACATTGTCTCTGTATTGGTAAAATAAAACCTTAAATTGATCACAAACGGTGTATGATAATTCTAACTTTTCTGCAATGAGTTTTGTTGGATTTCCCCAAAGATCTGCTGGTTCAATAAAGTTATAAATTCTATAAATTATATCATTACAAATTTCTCTGACAAGAACAAAAAGATTTCCAATTGTAAAGAATTCACATTTCTGCCAAACCAATGATATTAAATAAAGGGTCGGTTTCAATATTTCTGTCAAATCGGCAATATAAATAGTAGCATCGTTAATCATGTCGAAATACTTTCTTAGTGGTTCTAAATATCGAGATATTTCCTCAGCTTCTTTCAAAGAATAATGTAATTCCTTAATCATCTTTTTAAACCCTGTTACATAAGAGCTTTGTGTTTTTTCTAGAGTTGATACAACAGTTTGCACCTTTTCCGTGCTCAATTGGTCTACAAGATTTCTCAGCTTGGTTTTTTTTGTTTCCCAGAAATCAAGTTCGAATAATGGGCCTTGATATTTTTCATTCTTTTCCATTTCATCAAGTACTTTGTCTGAACCCATTTCTATTATCTTTTTTGCCTCTTTACTCCAGTCTATCACGGATGTCTCAAATGTGTGCACAAGAGATCGATCAAGTGAAGCAGTATCTATACCTTCAGTTGGCGGCATTGGTAAAATTACTTCTCCTTTAGTATGCCCAATAAATAAATCAAGCATGCCAGTAAATCTGTGAAATTGTCTAATTAGATCTTGGGCCACAACGTTTGGCCACCCTTTTTGATTCTTTGGAGATTGTAGTAGCGGAAGATATACTCCCTCAACGATACGCTGTAAATTTACAAGTGGATCTCCAAATAAATCTTCATAAAATAGTGATTCTACGTAGTTGTCATTGTTAATTTTGACAGGATTGTGTTTCATGAACACTAATCCTTTTCTATTGCCAGCAACTATAGGCTCAGCAGATACAATTATCTCTTCTTTTAAACTGTTTTTGATGAAAAAGAGAATCATCTCGGATTCGACAGTGAGGAATTTTTGTATTTTGACTCTGTTTTCATAAAGTTAACATGTACCGTGGCACTCAAACATCGGAATTGACTTACCTCACTTCCTCATTGTTCTTAAATTCGTTCCATTTCGTTTTGTTGATCTTGACCATTTGCTGCACTTTATCAAAGATCCATTCTGAGGCTGGATCTTGTTCTCTGGTTGTTGTACCATCATCCTCCAATGTATTGTGTTCTTCGTTCGTCATTTTTAATTGAGGTTTGCAAAAGAAATGTTCATACAACGCGCCAACGAGCATACAAAATCGATGCCCGCCAATTTCTGTTACATTTTCCTGAGATTGAAATCAGGAAGAAAAGTCCATTTGATTCAGAGGGAATTTTCGGGCAAAGGAAGTCACTCATTGAATGCGAATAACCTATAATGATGATGAAAGTTTATTCCACAGCAATGTCATCATCAAGATGTGATCCAATCATCACGAAGAAAACAAATTTGAAATTATTATTGGAGGTGTTGAAAATTCAAATTATATTTTAGACTTGGATGAAATAATACTCTCGATGTGATTCAAGAGTAGAGTTGTATTACTCGTATGCACTCATGAATTGACCGAGGCATATCAAAGAATATATTACCTAGAAATTTCGAGGAACTGTATCGCTCTTTGGTATTGAAGTTGTTGGAATGATAAATCCGAGTTTCTTGGATCTCTAAAGCTTTCTCGAATCTTGTTGTAAAGATAATTTCTCACCTTCTCGTTGGGATAAGTTTTGGAAGAGGCCGATGAGACTTGCTTGAGCAAGACTCGGTAGAGATGAATGGGAGAGCGAATGATGAGAGGCATCGAGAGAAAATACGAAAATTTTTAATAAAATTCAATCATTTAAAAATGATGAAACGAGCGCTCACAGGATTGCCATCATCATCAGCTTCATCGGCACTCGCTCTAAACAGCCGAAAAAGTATTCAAATTCAAATTCCAACATGCTTCACTCAACTAAGACACGAAAGTAAATGGGTGAAAATTAGTAGTTTATCAAAGGCAGAACTTCAAGAACTAGCCAAAAAATATGGTCCCGAAACACCCAAGGGTGCTAAAGGATGGGGTCTAGAAGGTCACGAACTTCCTCTCAATATTCTGAAGGAAGCAAAAAACCCAGTAGTTAAATCACCAGATAAATATCCTCAATGGTTGTTTGACGTGAGTTACAATCCGGACCCAACACTCGAGCAACTCAAAGAAAAAATTGCAAAAGGAGAGAAATTAACTGTTGCTGAAACGAAAAGATTCAACAAATTGACAAGAAGAGCAAAAATCAAGGAAAATAATTTCAATCGTGTTATGGGTATTGTTCTTGCCTAAAGCACTATTCCCGCTATTCAAAAAGCCTCTTTTGAACAATAAAAAAATGAATGATCTTTTGGAAATTAAATTGTTGAACAAGAGCGAAGATGACACTCTTCGTATTCATCACCTTCCATGCAAAATTGATCATAATGGTCAAGCCCAAGTTGATAAATATTTTGAAGGCAATGTAAAGGAAAAACGAGCAGACAATAATGTACATGGCCAACAAAACGTTGGAGAGTCCTCGGAACCACAAAGCAACACAGTCATCTTTGAATCTTCGTTTAGAGGAAGACCTCTTCAAGGAAAACAAGTAAATTTCGATGAAGAATTAAAAAATCAAGACTTATTGGATGTGACTGGTTATATCATCAATGAAGACAAAATTTCTGTTCACCGATTCAAAGAATTCACCACGTGGACTCTCGACCAAGACCCACAACTTGAACAAGACATTCAATCGTCTCTGGATTGGATTCAATTTTCATCCATTGTAAGTTTTTTGAGGTTTTGAACAAATTTCGTATGATAATGCTCTCTCATTCCTAAGATTCATCAAGAAATAAAACCTAATCAAAGTCTGTAACGAAGGCAACATAAATTGTTTCAACATTAATTTCTTTGGCTCAGTCGCAACAAAAAAAAAT